CTTCCAGCTACTTTTAAAAGGTAACCTCAAATCACCGCCGAGCATTAGATTTGACAATGTTACTGTAAAAAATAAAACCTCAGTGTGTTATCTAGGATTAGTTTTAGTAAGAAACTTTTATTTTAATATTAAAATAGTTAATGAAAAGTCTAAAAAGAGTTTCTGTGCATTGACAAGGATATCAACTGCGACATGGGGTCTATCATTTAACACATTAAAGATCATATACGGAGCTACTTATTTAGGTTCTATGTGCTATGGTGCACCTGTATGGGCCGATAGGGCGACCGTAGGCGCTGTCCGTCGCAATCTGTTACAAGGCTAACGACTTGCAGTGATATTTTTGTGCAAGGCATATAGGACGGTTAGCACTGAGGCTTTGTCGGTGTTGGCGGGTGTGCTTCCGGTCGATCTCGAGGTGCAGAGACGTGCAGCCATGTACTATTCAAGACAAAAGATGGAATGCGATTTTTTGGGCGCCCGGGATCGCGGTAATAGACCGGGGTCATTATTCACGTCGCTATGATAGGGGATTACAAATTATATGCGAAGCTATGAATTTATCACTGACGAAAGCGAAAAAAGGAATAACAACAATCGTAAGAACTAACATTGCGTTTGTAAAGGAAAACTCAACAAAAAAGACTTTACAAAAGCCGTACTCAATCGCAAATACCGCCACCGACTGGACATTATTAGTGGACGCGTATGAGCATTACAGAATACCGGAGGATAGCTGTTCTTCGGGGTCCAGACCAGACATATTTCTTTATGCAAAGTCAATTAAGCGAATTTTGACAAAATCAGGAGCTCAAACCAGCAGACCATGGAAAGTGCCGGCAATCCGTTCAATGGGAAAGGTGGGTGATGGAGCAAAGTGAAATCGATGCCAATTTTTCGAAAAAAGTCATCTTCTCCGATGAAGCGCATTTTCATCTGAATGGCTACGTGACTACACAAAATTGTAGAATTTGGGGCTCAGAAAATCTTCATTCAATCCTTGAGAAACAAGTGCACCCATAACGAGCAACTATCTGGTGCGGATTTAGGTCAGGCGACGTGATTGGGCCTTACATTTTAAAGATAAGGCCGAAATTGCAGTGACTGTGAACGGCATTCGTTACAGGAATATGATAACGGAGTTCTTGTGGCCTCAACTGGACGGCATGGATCTGGACAACATGTGGATTCAGCAGGACGACGCCACCTGCCAGACCGCGCACGAATCAATCGGCTTATTGCAGCATATTTCCAGAACACATTCTCTCATGAAATTCTGATCTTAACTGGCCACCAAGATCGTGCGGTTTTTTTTCTTGTTCACTGTGATTTTGTCCCATGCCAACTAGGCACGTATCAAATATTGTTAGGTAGAGGGGGCAACAAAGCAGTCGGTGAAGGTGAGCACTGACGCGTCGCAAGGAGTATTCCCTAAACCGACTTCTGGGTCGCAATTCCCAGGCGCTGTCGAGTTGCATGTGTTGCTCCATCTATCACGCGATGGACCCGTCACCTGCACGGTGAATCCATGGAACGCTAAGAAATATCTTTTTTTTATAGAAAAAGAGAAAAAGGAGAAAAAAGAAGTAGCGTAGCTCGTTGTCGAGTAAATATTTCCTGTTGTTTTATTTGGACCATGTAAGAGCAAAAGCTTCGTATGCAAAAGCTGCATTATGTTTATTTTATGCCGTGAACTGCAAAAAACATTCAGTTTCATGTTCCAGCTCTTCATATTTATAGTTCTAAAGCTTTTAGAATATATTATAAGACCATGCCTGTCCTCCAAAGCTACAACAATGGAATGGAACAACAGCCTTTCAAGATTAACTTAAAAAAAATGAAATAGATAAAACAATTTAGAATTATTTTTTCTAGTTGTTGCATTAATATAACAACCTCGAATTATTTTCGTACTATTGTTTTATTGATAGAACAACCCGGCATTGAAGGTTAACTGGAACTGGAATCTGCTTTGCTAAACCATAACCATATGCTAATACTAGTTCTTGTGTAATTTAAAAATTGTAATGTCTTTGACAGATGACATGTAATGGACCGCAGCACAGCGATCTGTGCCCCGAGCACGAACAACTTGCGAAAAAGTATTCGTATCGTCTTCGACAAAATTTGTATGACATTTGTGCAGCGCCTCTGACGGGCGTAAAAGTAACTAATTTTGGCAGCACGAACGTTTCGAATTTACTTTCGTATCGTCAACGTATCGTCAAGCATTCGATACGTTACACTTTATAAAGAAAATTGGCAGCACGAATGAAATTTTGACGTACGTTCGAAGGCTGGCTATCGAGAACCTGTCAAACTTAGTCGAATGTTTATTCACCTAAGATTTAGCCGTGAGAAAAGTTTCGAAACAATCAATTTCTTTTAAAACTATTATTTTCAAGTATTAACGGTTATTTTTTGTAGAGATAAAATGCAAAGACCGCCGCTTTAGTCCTATGTATGTTCTTGTCGCAAGTTTAATTGATAATAAAGGTATTTAACAACTAGATTCGAGGTGAGCAAATCTTGTTTTATCTATAAAATGTAAACTAAATATTTGTCAGAAACATTTGAAGAAACTTCTCTACTATATTAATAAAATGTAGTATACTTAGTATGTACCTATTTATATATTAATCTAATTAATTATTTTTTAGTGAAATAAGGCGAAGAGAAAAACAAAGATAGATAAAAGTTAAGAAAAATCTGTCTGTTTGTAATATAAAATAATAGGTTTTTTTTCATGCTCACACGGTTTTTTGCAAGATACCTATGCCTAAAAACCAGTCTAAATATTTTTTGGGTTCGGGTAATCTTCAAAACGGCTAGACCGATTTTGATAATATTTTACTACAAGGTAGCTGTCTTTATAAGGAGTAATTTAGCCTAAAAAATCCGGGAATCGAACCCACTAAGGCAGCACTTTTCAAATTCTACGCAAACGATGTTTCGGGCACCAGCTAGTCCTTTAAATATATAACTTTAAAGATATAACGAATTATATCGCTTTAAGCTAAGAAGTAGTTTGACTTAACCAACGAAATAACTAAAAGTGGTTATTTCGTTGCGTTGTATGCTGTGGAAGTGGGTGCGAGGGGTATAAGAGCTAAATCCCTCTACAACCTGTTTAATGACCTTGGATTGCTCAGTAAGCTTTTACCTTGAACAAATATCCAAAGCGGCATTGCTAGGCTCGTACCAAATTAGGTTAGATAGAGAGGGTTACCCAGCAGACAGGGATGAAAGGCATATAGTAAAAAATGAGCTAGTATGAATATTTTTTATTTACCATAATTTTAAAATGAATTATACAGAGTTGGTTTTTATACATTACATTCACATGTACATGTTATTTACAGAGAACATTATTTACTTTGAAAAAGTTATGTGTCTAGTTATTAATTTTAATTTTTTTTTCACACAATTACGATTCTATTAACGGTTAAAATATGATTGCTTGTTTTGAGTTTATTTTTCTTCAGGAGTCTTCCACTCCTCGCCACTGCGGTGACTGGAGAAGACTGAGAATGAACCTTAGATGCTGGTAAAGGAGGAGCCACAGTCGGTTGGGTGCTTGAGCATGAGTATTGATTATTCCAATCTACAACAAAATATTGCAACATTTATTACTTATATAATAACGAATATAATATCAGACATCTGACACACAACACTACCTAGTTTCAAACTAAGCAGAACTTGTACTATGAAACCTAGATTGACTGATATAGGACATTCGTAGTCCCTGGTATGTTTATCTGTAGGATTGCTGTGGTGGTGTTCAAGTAACATTTATAAAGTGACAGATGTTATCTATATTTACAATTGAAACTTTATTTTAATGTCAAGTAGCAGTGTAAGTCTCATAACAACGAGAAATTGAACTATAAATATGAAATTTATCATATTCTCAAACATCACATCGTTATTTTACATTACAGTACATTGAGTATTGCAAATAGTAAATTGAATAAACTCACCTTTCAAGAAATTACACCATAGCCACGTATTGTAAATGGCTTGTTGGCACTGACTTTTTTGATGTTGGGATTTTTGGCGCAGAGGATGATGAAACACGTCTTCGTCTGTGCTGTTCAACAGTTAGATTTATTGTGGCACGACTTACTGCTGTTTATTTTAAAGAAATCTTTATCAGTTTCTTTTCACATAAGACTCAACGGTCTAGTGGTATACGACTTAGCTATTATTGGAAGCTTAGATTTTTGTCACAATCGACAGTCAACACGACGTAATAATACAATTAATATTTTCTATAAAATGCTTCTTAAAGTTTCAAGGTTTACAAATAATCTTAAACTTGGTGATGAATTTACAATAAAAATAATAAACAATTTATTGACATAGCGTCGTATCTATGTCAATAAATTTTCAAGTGGAGACGTGTTATTCAGAAACCGAAAAAAATGTCATAATAATTATTTTAATTCTCCAAAATATACTACATTTTAAAATCTTCCATACCTCATTTGAGATTTATTATGTGTTTATATAAGTATATTTTATTTTAATTATCAATAAATAGGTAGTTTAACCGAAAGTAATAAAAAGTTCACTATTTCATTATGTTTTCGAACGCATAGTTCATTCAATAAGATGTTGAATTCGTTCTTAAGTGCACATCCTTATTTACGTTAGGATGACGTCACTAACGTAATCGTATCGAGCTCTCGATACCTTAACGTTAGTGCTTCGTGCTACCGCCTATCGTAAAACTCCGTTAACGTATCGAAGACTCGATACGTTTACGATACGCATTCGCAAATTTTTCGTGCTCGGGGTACTGAACTTAAAGATCAGTTAAACGATAGTTTTCATGCGTCACTATCATTCCATGTACCATGTAGGTAGGTATGTGTATTTCTATCAGTATGCTAAGGAATATAAAACAACAAAAGATTTTTGTATTTTGTTAATTTTACTAAGATTCTTTTTTTTTAATTTTATTCAACATTTAAATTTGGTATGGACATGAAATGTTATTTCTTGAATGGAAATTCTGGATGTTTGTCAGCACCAACGAAGAACGTAAAATCACACACGCGGCCGTTTTCGCCGCGGTCTAGAGTCGCCAACTCATTCATTTCAGACTCACTTAGGCAAAAGTCATAAACTGAAATGTTCTGAAAAAGAGTACCTCCATAAATCAGTAACATAAAATTGAAGTTTAAATTAAGTTAAAAAAAAACATGAGTATAAATGTTTGGTAACTAATATATGTACGAGGGGTGATCAATAAGTAATGATAATCAATATGAAACAGAACTATTAGATTTAAAAAAGTATTTTATTTTTCAACATAGTCTCCTTGCAAGTTAATACATTTAGTGTATCTTTTTTCTAAGGCCATGATTCCCTTAGAAAAAAATTCTTTGTCTTGACCCTCCCAAAATGCCTCTACTGCGGCCATCACTTCACTATTGTCCTCAAATTTGTTGCCCCGGAGGTGTTCTTTGAGCCGAGGAAAGAGGTAGAAGTCACTGGGAGCTAGATCTGGCGAATAGGGAGGGTGTTCGAGCAGTTCGAACCCCGTTTCTTCAATGGCAGCCATCGCAACTGCGGCTTTGTGAGCCGGGGCGTTGTCTTGGTGAAACAGCACTCCAGCGCGCAGTTTACCGCGTCTTTTTGACTTAATAGCTTCTCGCAATCTTCTTATTTGGCCTGCGTAGTAAGAGCCTGTTATAGTGGCCCCCTTTTCCAAATATTCCACCATAATAATTCCTTCTGCATCCCAGAAAACAGACGCCATAACCTTTCCCGCTGAACTTGACACTTTGAATTTCTTCGGCGTTGGTGAGGAAGCTCGTTTCCAAGTCATTGATTGTTGTTTGGTTTCGGGATCAAAGTGGTGGATATAGGTCTCGTCCATGGTCACAAAACGCGACAAAAAAAATTCTTTATCGGCCTGGAACTTTTGAAGATTCACCCTCGAAATGTCGACTCGTTTCTTTTTTTGCTCGTCGGTTAACATTCTCGGTACCCAACGCGCAGAGACCTTTTTCATATGCATTTTGTTGACAATGATTTTTTGAACGCTGCCATAGGAGATCCCTGTGACCTCAGCTACATGCCTTACGGTCACCCTTCGATCGGCCAACACGATATCTTCCACTTTTTTGACGTTTTCTCCAGTAAGGGACGTGGAAGGGCGTCCCTCGCGATGTTCATCTTCAGTGGAGGTTCTGCCCAGCTTAAATTCCTTTGCCCAGCGTGCGACTGTGGAATATGGAGGAGCAGACTCCCCCAATGTTTCCTTTAAGTCGCTGTGTATGTCTTTGGTAGACATTTTTTTCAGGCAGAGGTACTTGATGACAGCTCTTATTTCATTTTTCTCCATTTTGATGTTTTCTCTTCGACAGTTCGTATTCAAATGAATGTATCTCCCGGTAATGGTGTCCTATTTATACATTTTTTTGAAGCTGAAGTAGTGGATATATAAGCAAGCAGAAAAAAAATAATTTGGGTTTTTGTGCGTTCTAGAAATACTCGATTATCATTACTTATTGATCACCCCTCGTATGTAGGTATGTACATTATTGTACATACATATTATCTTTTCACAATTCTACCCTTATTTGTTGCATCAATTGTGCAAATTATTAAGACACATACAGTCAAATAGGCAGATGCGTGTTAAACGCCCATAAAGGACACAAGGGTGAGGGAGGTGAGAAGGGAAGGCGATGACAGGAAAGGGATATTACCTATAAGGATGGAATGTTTAATGTAAGCAATAGCTTGAGCCGGTCAGTACCTGTAACTCGAATTGACTATTTGAATAAATATTCGATAACAATTCAGTGCCGATCTATTCTCGATCTATTATTATCTATCTATTTTCTTAGTAAAATAATAAAGTATTACCGTAGTGTAATAAATACGTAATATTTATTAGACATATGGTATTACTAAGACTAGCAGATTATCGATTCAAGTTTCGGTCACAACACGATATACCTAATCACTACTGATGGAATAAATTGAAGTGAAATTTCGTAAATACTACACGAAACTTTGTCGTTTCATTCGTTAACGTTTCACATTCACACAGCACACACTTTCTCATTCGCATCAACAATTTCATAAATCGTCGTGCTAAAATATTAATACAACTGCATTCCCTAATTGGAAATGCATTCCCTAATTGCATTATTTCTCGAACGAAATTGCAATATTAGCAAATAATATTAGGTCTTTACATATGAAATTAGCATTTTGTCGTATTGACCACTTTGATCTGAAATATCTCCTATTTGGTTAAGAATCCCAAATTCAAATTTATAAATTCATTTAGCCGGTACATTTGAGTTTTGAAAACAGTAATTCATTTGTTTTTCCCCATTATTTTTTCTTTTGGCGTCGCTTATTACCGCACAATGGAAAACATGAAATATCGGTATATTTACGAGTAGGTACGAGTTCTACCAGGGTATACCTGGTTCCCCGGCTATTAGTACCCGGCGACGGCGTGCGGTTTTAGTCGGTTCGAGTCCGACATGCCACCGATAGGTGGTATCCGAGGGGATTTCCGCACGGAAAAAAAAAAGGTACGAGTTCTACCGTGGCACCAATGCTGCAGAAACAGCTGGAAGGATTAATAATGTTTCTACGTTTTCGTACTGGAAATTTCGACCGTCAGAACCAACCCCATGGACGGCCGGAGACCAAAGTGGAAAATGAAGAATTAAAGGCTATTGTGGAAGCGGATCCATCACAAAGCACTTTAGAGATAGCTGCAGGCTTCGGGGTAAGCGATAAAACTGTATTAGTCCACTTGGAGCAACTAGGGATAGTAAAAAAACTTGAACGATGGGTACCTCATGAATTGAGGGAATCGAACTTGCAAACACGCGTCGACTTCTGTGTTACTTTGCTCAACCGACACAATAATGAAGGGATTTTAAATCGAATCATTACTTGCGATGAAAAGTAGATACTGTACGATAATCGGAAGCGCTCGTCGCAATAGCTGAACCCCGGAGACCCAAATCCTGCCCAAAACGAAAATTGACTCAGAAAAAGTTACTTGTGAGTGTTTGGTGGACTAGCACCGGTGTCGTTCACTACAGCTTTATAAAATCTGGCCAAACGGTTACTGCAAACCATGAAGGAAGAACTAGCTACTAAACAACCGAGGCTCTCTAGGCCACTGCTGCTTCACGATAACGCAAGACCACACATTGCTCAACAAACAACCACTAAGTAAGATGAGCTACAATTGGAATCTGCGACATCCACCGTACTCCCCGGACCTTGCTCCAACAGATTACCATTTTTCCGGAATTTGGACAACTTCTTACAAGAATAAAAATTCAACTCCGATGCGGCAGTCCAAACCGCCTTCGAAGAGTTTATTTCTCTCTCGCCCCCATGGTTTTTTAGTAAGGGGATCAATGAACTACCTATGAGATGGCAACAGTGCATAGATAACAACGGTGCATACTTTGATTAATAAAATATATTTAAAGAAAAAATGACTATATTCCAACCGTACAAATCGCATATTTCATATGTAAGGACCTAATATAAGCATTAGCAATTAACATGCTAAAACATAAGAATTCGCAATTAATTAAATTAAATCTAATTAGCTTTAATGCCCATAACTAATAATCACATTACAGTTACCGTTGGATCTTTAATACTCTACTATGACATTCTTGAGATTGAGAGTAGATCGGAACTGAATTTTGACCGAATTTTTATTACGAGAATTGGCCTTTATGTTGTGAATAGGATAATTTAGGGTGGATAATAGTCTTTTACGTATACCTACTAGGTAGGTGGCAATTACCTGCTTAATGCGGATAGGGTTTATGCTCTTCGGGATGGCAGCCAGTCCTCTCTGGAGACTGTACCTCAAGAGTACTTGTGCGGGAGTACGCCCATGCAATTGCGCAATACGTTGCACTTCTGCTAACTGCAGCAAATCGGGGTACTTAAGCCTTTGTAAGAAAACCATTAGAAAGTTAGAAAAAAACCTTAGTATATTAATAACAAATACTGTTTTATTTTCAACGTGGGAGAGCTAAGCTTCGGCAAAAATTGTCCGGTTCGACCGGTGCGATACCACGGCCTCTCAGAAAACCGGTCGTAAAGCAATTTCTCTGTTGCATTTCAACGAGTGAGTGAGGTTTCCGGAGCCCAACCCTCCCTATAACCCTACCTCATGACAGCGTCGTTGAAAAATATTCCAGCTGCGTTAGCGTATGAGAATCACCCTCTGGACGGCCAGAACACCATGCGTCTGGGCGTGGATGTCTGGGCTGCCCCGCGTATTCGGGGGGAAGGGGAGGGAGGGGGGACGCTACAGCGCTCGACAGGATATCTGCCCGCGGCGGGAGTAGGCACATCAGGTCACGACGGAGAAAGCCTATCTCTTAGGCAAACTCTTTGCATCCAACTCGACTTTGGATGACGGGTAACCGTACCCCCGACCATACCGCGATGCCTGAGCTAATGCCGGATATCGGGTTCACACAAAAAACAGTGCGTAAAGCACTCTTTTCCCTCGACATTCATAAGTCGTGTGGGCCAGATGGAATCTCTCCTATCGTGTTGAAGGTGTGTGCTCTCTTACTCCCAAGGCGTCGTCCCGAACTCCTGGAAGGTAGCGTTTGTGCACCCGATCCTTAAAAAAGGTGCCTGACCCGTACAACTACAGGCCTATTGCCATAACTCCTTTGCTCTCTAAGATTATGGAATCCATATTCAACAGTCAGCTCCTCCGGTACTTAGATGATCACCAGCTACTCAATGACCGACAATATGGTTTTCGTCGGGGTGATCAGCTGGTGATCTTCTCGTCTTTCTGACACACCGACGGGCATAGGCAATCGAGACCAAAGGAGAGGCTAGTGCCGTTAGTTTGGACATAGCGAAGGCCTTCGATCGGGTCTGGCATAAGGCGCTTCTCTCGAAGGTCCCTTCCTTTGGGTTTCTCAAGAGATTGTGTAATTGGGTCACCAGTTTCCTTGCGGACAGAAGCATTAAGGTCGTTGTTGACGGTGCATGCTCCGACTAAATGCTGGTGACCCACAAGGCTGTGTGCTATCACCCACACTGTTTCTTCTGCATATCAATGACATGTTGCAAACTAGTAGCATCCATTGCTATGCAGATGATAGCACGGGAGATGCCCTTTACACCGGCCGCCCCAACATTTCTCGGGAAAACGTCATCTAGAGTCGAAACAAATTTGTGTCTGAAATTGGAACTTCCTTAGCGGAGGTTTCAGATTGAGGCCGACTAAATCTAGTCCAGTTCAACCCAAAAAAGACACATGTCTGTGTGTTCACCGCAAAAAAGATACCATTTGTCGTATCACCTCGGTTTGAGAGCACCTCCCTAACCATCGGAATTCTAGGCATCGACATATCTAGCGAAGTTCAGTTTCGGAGTCAGTATTTCACTCCGGCCCACCGCCTTCAGCTCTGTAAGGCGCAAGTCCGGCCGCATATGGAATACTGTTCATATCACTATGCAGGGGCACCTCAGTACCAGCTTCTCCATTTGGACCGCATCCAACGAAGAGCGACTCGAATCGTCGATATCCTAAACATCTCCGATCGGCTAGATCCCTTGGCGTTACGTAAGAGATGTGGCTTCACTCTGCATTATCTATCGCATATATCATGGAGAGTGCTCCGAGGAATTGTTCGGACTAATACCAGCGGCAACTTTCCGCCATCATTGCACACGGCAAAATTTTCATCTTCATCACCTGGATAGCTGGGGCTCCACTACTGTGAGCTTTTTAAGACAAGTTTTGCCCCGCACAACTAATCTGTGGAACGGGTTATCGTCTGCGGTATTTCCGGACCCATACGACCTTCAAACCTTCAAGAAAAGAGCGTACTCCTTCCTAAAAGGCCGGCAACGCGTTTGTGACTCCCGTGTTGCAGACGTTCATGGGCCGATGGTCACTTTCCACCAGGTGACCCGTCTGCTCGTCTGCCCCCTCCAACATAGAAAAAAAAAATGTCGTAACAAATAGTCATAATATTATGGTTTAAGAACGTTAGAATGTAGAAAGAAATGAAAAATGCTTTTGTAAACCAATTGCACAGTAGCTTTATATATCTAAACAACATTTTACCTATCTTACCTTAATAACTGAAAATGATATTTTTTATCGTTTAATATACATTTTTAGGTAATTTTTCGAGACAAACCATGACTATATTACTGTTCTCTGTCTTACGAGCGACATTCGGTAAATAATCAATTACTTTCTGTATGGATAAAAGATAAATATCACGAAATTCGACGCAGTGACCGTTAAGGAGACGAATCGATTTGTTTAAGGTAACTTCTCCATGAACACCTTTTCAGACAGTATCTATGATCTCATATCTTTATAAAAAAAAATGGGGACAGGTTCTTGACAGCTCTCTAAACTTACCCTGTTTGGGCTGCTTTTGCATCAGCTAAGGCCTTAGATCCAAGAGGTGAATACGCGACAATAGGCACGCCCAATTTATTAGCAGCAGCAACTAATCCTGGCTGTTGACATAAAATATGATTCTCTATTTGCAAGCACGCTGGTTTCTCAACACTGCACACTCGTTCCAATTGCTCCACATTCAAGTTAGATACTCCAACCAGGCGAACACGACCGGACTCTTTCAATTTTAATACAGCCTGAAACACGCATCTGTTTTATAATATTTGTGAATTACACAGGGATTAGGAGTGAAAGGACGGTACGCATAAAAGGATTTTGAGCTTTACTAATTTAAATGTAATTAGGCTTAAAAAGAAGTGTAAAGATAATAAGATAATAAGAAAGAAAAAAAATAAACATTCCACTAAGAAGGCTACTTAACCTTTAGACGTTCTGATTAAAAGAACTTTGCCATGACTTCATATCTTTTGATTTTATCACACAATTTGCATTTTCAACTTTTGAGGATTTAATCCTTGCTAGTAAAGGTTTTTCAGATACAATTGATTTCTTGGTATTGTGGGTCGTAGACAGGGGGTCAGTAGTATTAAATTTTCTGGGAACTGGAAGAATCACCACATTGTTTCTTTTGCTTCTAGCTGGAGTTTTCGAAGGTTTATTTTTCAATTTTTTACCTAAAGTATATATCATTACTTGAAGAACACTAGATGGCTTTCTCTTTGAATTTTGCAAATTTTCGCTTTTAATTATGCTTCTTATTGATGAAGTCTGGGAGGTAGGTTTCGATAGCATATGAGACGTGATTTCAATACTTTGATTTGATTTCACACCAAACTGGCAGCTGAAATCGTTAGTGGTCTTCTTGAACAGATCCATTACGGGTTGTTTATATTGTGCATCATCCACCAGAGTTGCCCTCGCTCCCCTACTATGTTTTTTCTTCAAACAACAGAAAAATATATTTGCAAAAACTTTATGTATAGTACTTTCTCTCGAATTCGAAGAAATCGGGTTCATTGGAGCGTGACTGGTAGTTTCCAAAATTAATTTCTGGCCCTCCCTATTCCCTTGAAGGTTATGTAAAGAAATGCATCTTACAAGGGATAGATCACTTTTCGGTTTTCGTTCATTTCTGCTCGTTAATAATATTTCAGGCGTATGTTGAGTCGTCGTAGTACTGTAGAGTACTGTGGGGTAATTACAGCGATTTAAACTATTGTAGAATTTATTATTATTCCTATGTACTGTAGCATGTACATTGGAGTGCTTACGATGGAATGACATATTATTATAATTTTTTATGCAATTCACACTATACAATCCTGTTTTCTCTACGTTATATCTGTATATGCGCCTCTGATAATTTTGCTTTTGACGAATTTGGTTCCGTTTTAGCTTGTGATACCATTTACAAGTAAGTATATACTTGCAATAAAATTTAAAGTCTCTTTTTTTAGGACTCCTATAACTATGTAGATAATTAGTGCTTTGTCTTAAATGCAGGACGTTCAGTCTTGTTTTCATGATCGGGTTTCATTAGGTAGCCGACTTATGATGGTTGTTGTAGTTGTAAAGCAAGTGAAAGCCATATTTGAGAAATGGCTTGACTTACTTTAAATATTCTGTACGTCTGTTTCTCATTATCACATTTTACACATGGATCAGAGGAGAGAACACCATATTAACAGGCTTAAAACAGAAATTGTTGTTGGTCAATGAAATCGGAATGTCATTTTGACATGCTCACTTGTCAACTTGCTTTTTGTCTTCTAGGAGAGACAAAGCCTCTTTTCTATTTTATTTACGATATAATTTTTATTCGTCTCTATAAACGTTTAAAATTGCTAACGATTTCACATGCACTACGAGCAACACAGCTTTTGAATTTCCCGTAAATTGTTGATACATTCTGAGTACCAGTCTTGTACATATGATAAAAACTCATTACAGAAGCATCTAAATTTAATGAATCTAAGGGCTTCAATTCAATACTATCAAACGATTCAACAGGGTCTTTAGATCGATACGGTCCAACATCGTGATCATCGCCACCAGTACAACAAGGACATAATAACCATGGAACAGACTTATTGTAGAAAAATTTAGCTTTTGTAATTAAGCTCTGCCTTGACTTCGCGAAAGATTTTGTGGATGTAGCTGCGTTTGTTCTTGTTATATGAAAATAAGAGTGCGGTTGAGTGAATATCTCGTTATAATTAAGTTTTGCACGTTGGTGATCGTGATACACAGTCTCTTCCCCTTGCCTTTCGACAGGGGAATGATATACCTTTGACCAAGAATATTGTGAGTCAAATATTTTTCCGTTACGTGAAATATGCTTCTTTGATTCCTCAAAAGGAATTGTGGTAGAATTTCTCTGTTTGGTATACTTCAATATATTGACCGAAGGTGGATGATGGTTACAATCATTGTAAACTGTACTGTTTGTATATTTTATGTGATAGTCATTAAAAATATCACATTCTTTAACTTTCTTTTCTTCAATATTACGTTTTTCTGCATAAGTAACTCCCATTTCTATGTTTTCTTATTTAAAGATATTATCTAGGATGTAATATTCAGTCAAGAACTTTTAAACAGATAAATTAGCAAGGCATATTGACATGGCAACGAATAGACTTACAATTTTTAAATATGATTTGTATCCTAATGAGAAAAGAATTAATGTTTTACTTAGAATCAAATGTTAGAATGACTTGCATGACAATGTCATAAGTTTTTTTCTAAGTATCTATTGTATATACCTTCCATAACGCAAGCAGGTCAGTTGTATGATCCATCTTGGCGCTGCCATCCGGGTTTTTGGGATGAAGGTCTCCTGGGACATGCTCGAAAGCGAACGGAGTGTGTAACAGATACATATCCAAATATTGCAGATTGAGGTCTTCAAAGGAGCTATTAAAATATTCTTGGACCAGCTCTGGCTTATTACCTGTGTATGAAATTGCAATAATATATACATAGTAAAAGCTCTAATAGGACACGTATTTTAATCACTTAGTAACGCCAAAACAATTAATTATTCTACCATTATTATACAATAAATGTAATTTGTTATCGTCAAATAAACTTCAGGTGCCGATCATCAAATTTGTTCAGAAGTTTGAGTGTAATAAGTAACAAAAACACTTCTCATATACATACGTACATACATAGGGGAAGGTGGCCTAAAACGGGTAAGCTAAGAACGAAGATAAAAAAAAGTGTTAAATCATGTTAGCAATTAGCTGGATTTACATTATAAGATAGGGTATTTATCGAACTTGAAAATAAAACACTATTTGAAAATATATTGTATCAAATATTAATTTAATAAAAAAAATACAAATCCTTTCCAAAAACCCGTTTTGCCCGCATATGAGCCTAAAAAGGGTAACCTCCTTTGGGCAAAACGGGTAAGTCTAGGGTAAAACAGGTAAGTGTCATGATCAGATAAACTATAATCATAATTATAAAAGGCAGGAAGCTAATAATTGAACCTTATTTAATATTTTGGCAATTAGCATTTAACAAATTCAGTCACAAAACATTATACATACGTAAAATAATCTTTAATTTTTATGAATAACATTAGATACAAAACTACGAGTATATTTAGGCTCTTTTAATCAGTCTAGAGATACCTATTATTGAGATCAAACTTATAAAGAAAATAGAAACAATTATTAAAACTTTCATAATAATCAACGTTGTAGATTCAAAGTTAAAAACTATTCCTGACAAAAATAGGAACCTATACCAGAATAAGCAGTACATGCTTCGTGAGCCCATTCTTTACAGTCTCCACATTTGATCCAGACTTCTCCAGGTGGATTCATATAAGGGTCATCACAAACCAAGCAAACATATTTTCTTTCCGACTTTTTCTGCGTACCTTTAGTATTACCTTTCTTTGTTTTGCTGGTAGAAGGAATATTTTTGATGTTTTTGCCAACTTTCCTTGCCGTCAGAGATGCTTTCTTTTCAGAAACTTTTGTACGTTTTTTCTTTTCTTCCTTTTCTCTTTGCTGTTCTTTTATTGGTGTACTGGTTAACACTTCAGCTTTTTGAATCTTCCGCTTGCGATTTGTTTTATTTAGGCTCAGTTTCGGCATTGGTCTAATGTCTACAGGTTTTACATGAACCAACAAATCGATCCAAGAGAAATCTATTTCACTGGTGTAGAACATGAAAGGATGACGTTTTCGGCTAGTGGATCCTGGGCAGCTCTGATCTGATTGATGTCTTTCTCTACGTCTTTATTTGATGACGAAACGGCAATGATGGGGTTGGAGGCCTGTTCATCTGCATTTGGCATTTGAATTTCTGCAGGGTTTAGATTTTTTTCTATTAGACATTGAGTGACAACAGTTGCAGTCACGTCATCGATGGGGTTAAAGTTTTCATTTTCCAAAACAGATGGAGAGACAGTGCGGTCAGAGTCAAGAGATACGAGATGTTTCTCCACGTGGAAGTGCAGATTGGGATGCACAATTAGAGGTTGCTGAGTTTTCTATAGCGCCTGAAGAAGATGGTTCAGGGCGGTCCGTCAAAGTAGATGGCAAAAAGTCTGACTCATCAAATATGTGACAATTTTTAGGCCATATTCCAGTTGATTTAAAGCCATTAATAGCATTTTGCGCACTAGCTGCTCTCATATATGTACCCGTTTTGCCCTACCCGTTTTGACCGAGAGCACATGTTTTTTGTAAATTAATAATAACCTCAAAATGAAAGGTAAATGGGGCAAACTTTTTATCTTAAATTAAAGTTAGATAGTGCTTGAATGAAACGGTACTACTAATAATATGAGAATTATAAAGGTTTTCGACTAATTACGAGACACTTACCTTGAATTTTTTTAACAAAATCACTTTAAAACTTTCGTTGCACACACCTACGCCATTACGCGCCTCCGGCGCCTGAGCGAAACTGATCGAAACTCGTCAATGTTCGGCAACTCTCGACACAAGCACACATTGACACTTATGCTTGATACAACAATATACGAGGGCTTACCCGTCTTGGGCGGCCCACCCGTTTTGGGCCACCTTCCCCTACTATTGAATATGACGTCATGATGGTAGAATAATGTAAAACCATATTTGGATACTACATTGTCTAAATAATATTACTACATACAAGAAAAATTATATGTATTTTAGATTTTAAATTATTCAGTGTTTGTTTAATAGGCACTGAAAGTAAAATGAAGCATGCTACATTTTCAAGAAATTTTCATAATTATTAGTTTTTATTTTTATTGCATTTCAAAACAAACCCTATTTTTCAAATGTATGCCAATTTTCATAATTACAAAAAATTAGATCATTATTTAAAATGACTGCCCTGTAAAATTCAATTAATGTCTGATCCGACGCTATTCTACCACTATGACGATGCGTGGAGGATAGTTCCGCCATAGAGTTAAAAAATAAAATATACCTACTTTTACCGTGTATATTGACAATATTAAATAAAATTGTTGTAGATTTTAAGAGAGAATTTAAATTGATCAAAATTTACAACTTCTAAGAAAAGAAAAGACAATTAGGGATAAGTTATCAGTAACGAAAATGGGATGTTCACTTAAAAAAATAATAAAACATACGTACTCGTATGTTTGTTTGATATCAATATGTGCTTTTTGTTCGGAGTCTATATTATCCATACCAATTTTGTAATGAGGTAAAGTTTGTGAGTTTTTATGTTCAGGATGATCTCCGGTACTACTTATCCGATTTTGAAAAGTCTGTCACTGTTAGAAAGGTATATTATCATACACATATCAGTCAACTAGTCCAAAAAAATGTTCGGTTTATAGACTTTGTCTCAGTCACAGTGTATAAACTGAACATATTTTTATGTTTTGTAAAATTTCTACAGTGTATAAAATAAGCCCTCTATTTTATGAATGAAATATTTGACCTCTTTCAATGAGTACTAGAATTTTATTAAAACTAGCATGCTGCTAATTTTTTTAGTGTGCGTCGTTGCGGTTTTCTTTCCTTAGAAACCCATCAGCGACCTTTTCAGTTTAAAAATGGAGGTAACTATTTTTAGTTATACGTTGTCGGCATGAATGAATCGATCACGAGAAATTACACAGAGTTCATTCTTTGAAACAACTTTGTTGTACCTTTATAACGTATCACCGATTTTATTGCCACTAGATATCGTGAAGAATTGTTTAAAACCTTATTCCTTAATTTTCCTCTCTTGGGTGTGGATTATTTAATTAAAATTTCAATAGGCTAAACGGAAATTATACTACTCGTATAACTCTTTCAAATTAAATAAGAATTTTCCCAATCGATTCATGAATGACGAAGTTCTGAGATTTTGAGCCTTCTCCTTTTTGGAAGCAAGTTAAAAAATTACTATAGTAAAATATGCTTATAGTAAAAAATTTAAGCAAAAAAGCATCTACCAACCTCCTGGGGGTAATTTTGTGACAACAAATAATTCTTTTCGCTTTTCAGGGTTTCCTCCAATCCATCGGTTGAGAGCACTCCCGAGAGCCAACTCATTTTCATAGGCGCGCGCTGTGTCGAAATGCCGGTACCCTGCCTCCAGTGCTGCGTCGACTGCTTGCTCCAGAACCTCACTGGATGCCTAATGTGATAATTTTTTAGACTTAAGTTAAATTTTATGTTGTCCGTGTATTTATTTTGTCCGTGTGGTGACGGAATAAGAATACGTAATGTCACCACCCCTATTCATCCCGTGGGTGTCGTAAGAGCCGACTAAGGGACCAAACTACGCAGGACAACAGCACTGCAAAGAGAAGGAAAACTTGAAACAAACCCTATACCAACCCGTCTGGCCAGCGTGGTATAGTAGGCCAAAACCTCCTTTCTAAGGAGAGGCCTATGTCCAGCTGTGGACTGTTATAGGCTGTTGATGTTGATGAAGTTAAATTTTACCTGCTACTTAGAATAATAATCGTTTGTTTGTAATGTTTGAATACAAGTTTCGAAACATTTAAGACTTTTATGTATTACTAGCTGACCCGGCAAACGTTGTATTGCAAAACAAAAAAAAATTAGGGATGGGTCACCCTTACCATTTAGGGGTATGAAAAATAGATGTTGGCCGATTCTCAGACCTACCCGATGTGCACACAAAATTACATGAGAATCGGTCAAGCCGTTTCGGAGGACTATGGGAACGAACATTGTGACACGAGAATTTTATATATAAGATATTCTATATATCAAACAAAGATATGACAAGAAAAACTTTCGTTAGACCTTCCCCTTTCATTGAAATTGACATCATGTTAGTACATCCCTGAATCGAATGCGTAAAATTTGCCGTCAGTAACTGGTGCCGTGTATAGCACGGCCACATCGGACCATAGTCCTTTATTTTGCGGACTAAGGTCAACCGTCAGATGCTACATAGTCATAACAAGTAGAATACAATGCTCGGCGGCCGTTCGTGTGTTTTAAGGCATCTCGGTAAGCCAATGAGGCCGGTAATGAGGGCACTCGATGACTCTTACAGGCGACTCTAAGCGTGGGTTGTGCGGTCCGGGCGGAGGACCTGAGAACCAGCAACGTCGCACTAATGAGACGACTGTAGTGAGTGCTGGCCAGCAGGGTCATTAGGGGGTACCCTAAGGGGGTATCATAAGGGGGCACGATCTCCTATGAGGCGGTGAGTCTCCTGGCCAACGCCTAAGTGCTCACGCTGTCAGAATACTCGGCGTTTGTGGAGCCAAGGCGTGGCCTCCCTCGTGGCGGCTATCGGAGCGGAAATTCTTTCGCTAGATACCACGATTGCAGCCATGGTACGGAGTCAGAGCGCGTGGAAATTCGCCGTCTCCTTCTGCAAGCAGCTTATTTTACTTTTTGTTTATGACTTCATGCACAAATATATACCTCGGCGGACTTAATGCCTAAGGCATTCTCTGCTAGTCGACGTTGGGCGATACAGAGAAAGACAACTTATGCCTGCGAAGAGACGGTGGAGCGAGACCGGGAATAGTTTAGAACTCTCCCGGGAGGCCAGGAGGACTCACGCTCACACGGAAGGGGATCATCTACAAGCCGTAGATGGCCCGAGGTGCGTCGGGATACAAGGGAATTTCCTTTTTAGGGCACATCTGGTTACCCGGTAAACCGGCGTGCGGTTTGTTGTCGGTTCGAGTCTGACATAACCACCCCACTGGTGGGTGGTATCTGACGGGATTTCCGCACAGAAAAAAGGCATCGCGGCAAAAAAAAACAATTTGGAAACTCGCCATAGTTTGCCAGTAGCAGTATTAAGCAAACTAATAACCTAACTTTTTGAAGTGAAAACTTCTTTAGGCGCGTTGGGCATTTTTGAACAACAAACAAAGGATTGTGGAATGTTGGGACATTACACAATCTTTGTAAATAATAGGTACTCAGTTGAATGTGAATAGAAGACTGACTGTAATTCGAATCAATACATTGTTTTATAGTTTCTCTTATATCTATCTTACATAAACTGCATCACACCTCCGGGAGAGGGAAAAAAACTACAAATACACACGGTTTTTTTAGGTTTCATTACAATATTTTTTTTAATAAAAAGTAATATATTTTTTTTTTGTACATTGAGTACATACATGTAATTTTTTATAAATTGTATTAACAATATAATACAACTAAAAAAGTAATTAGGTAACAATAATACAATAAAAAATGTTATAAAGGTATAAAAAGTGTATATAATGATTATAATTACACAATTTATTAGTAAATACAAATTCATCTATCAGCATTTTTATTTATAAACATTCGTTCTGTTCTTATGAACAATATCAACGTTTCCATCCATATCAACATCCACGAACTACAACATAAGGGCACAAATAGATAGCATCAAGCTTATGGTCTGTTTCATTTGTCAATAATATTAAATTTAATTATTATTTTTATTAATATATATAAAAAAAATAATTATATTTTATTAATGCTAGCATTAATCCCGTCACATATAAACCAAACGAGTCATGTTTTATTTTTGTAATCTGTTTGCTTTGTATTAAATTTTGACAAGCCGTCAAAATGGCCGTAAACCTCGTAATTAAGTTTGCATTCTGTATTTTAACTCTGTGGGATAGTATTCATAATTATAAATAGCATCTACAGTTAAATTATTTAAGTTTGAAGATAAAATGCATCTCTTACCGAAAACCAATTCAAACGGTGTAGAAGGTACCAGAAAGGTACCCCACCTGCTTCAAGTTTCTGGGTAATTTTTCGTTTGAATTCTAAGATACGTACCCAAGTTTTTGTCAGTATTTTTCAACGCACCTATAGTCTGGTGGTGATACGATGTTGATTGAAGATGATACATAAAATTTGACAAACCTCTTTAAACAATTCGGATGTGAACTCGGCGCCTCTATCAGCCGCTATTTCGTAATTCCATACCTAAGAATGAAATTATTCACAAAAACTCTGTCAATTTCTGATGAAGTTTTGGTAATCAAAGGACAAGCTTTTACAAACTTAGTCAATTCGCATCGCAAAGTTAGTATATACATGTAATTGTCATCGTCTCTCGTTATGGGTCCTACAATGTCCAAAAATATATTTTCTAATGCTGACTCAGCGATCGTTGTAACAGTCATTGGTTCTTTCGTTTTTATTGAATATTTTTATTTTTGATACTGTTCACATTTTCCTACAAACGTTTTTATATCGTTCTCAAGACCTGACCAGTAATAATATTTTTTAATATAGTTATACATCCGTCGCATGCCCGCGTAGCCACTTGTGGGCAAAAGGTGGAAATCATTGAGTGCTACCTTTCTATCATCTATATTGTCAATTCTTTGAACATTTTTAAAATTATTAACCGGGGTCCGGACCACCTATCATTATTATTTATTTCATTTGTCAATATCTTTACAAATATATCATTATTATTATTTTGCAAAAAATATCTTTCTTTGAGGTTTAAATGTTTACAAAAATCCCCGAGCTCTCTCACAAAAGCGCCTGGCGTCAGTTGCGATTGAGAAGCTGGGTATATATTTTTTCCTAGGAGTATATAAGAATATTTTACTTTAATTCTCATTTTTCCGTAATTCTTAACTTATCTAGTTCTTTTTTACTTACAAGTATCGGATTCTCTCGGTTTGACATACGTTTCCACGGCTTTTGGTTGATCAGACCAATTGTCAGAGATAGGCATGTCCACAGGAGGATTCATTTCTAATCATCTAATGTGTCTGTCTTTCATCTCTTTCAACTCTTCAGATGTTATTATCCTTGAAAATATGTCGGCGACATTATTGGCAGCTTTTGCGTACGATACACTGTACTCATATTCTTCTAGTCTTAAAAGAAACTTCATGAGTCGGCTAGACGGATCTTTCATGTTAAATAAATGTTAATAAGAGGTTTATGATCTGTTAATATTTTAAACCTACGTCCATACAAATAGGTACGGTCGTTAACAGCCAAAACAATAGCCAAAAGCTCCTTTTCTATAGCTGGATACCGTTTTTCCGCCTTATTTAAACTCCTACTAGCAAAAACAATCGGTTGTCCATTTTCATTTGACAATATCGCCCTTAATGAAATACCTGATGCATCTGTCTGTACCAAACAAGTATTTTTTATTGTGTAAAATTAGGATACTGAAGAGCAGGAGGCTTAGTAAGACTATTTTTGAGTATCTGAAACGAATTTTCACATTTATCGTCCCACTTAAAAGACACATTTTTCTTTAATAATGAGTTTAAAGAGTAGGCTATTTTAGCAAAATTTTATATAAATTGTCTATAGTAATTTGCAAAGGCGACAAAACGTTTAACATCGTCTGTGTTTGTTGGTCTTGGGTAATTTACCAATACTTTAATTTTTTCGGGATCTGGTGAGACACCATTTCTTGAAACTACGTGGCCTAAATATAACATTTCTTTTCTCAAGAAGTCACATTTGTTCGGGTTAAGTTTAAGATTACACTCTCTCAATCTGATAAATATGTCTAAAAGATTTTTACAATGATCTGAAATAGATTTTCCAAAAATTAACTAAATTATCTCAATGAATCAAGCATTTAGCAAGAGTTAGGCCTGACATGGCTACATTCATCCTTCACCTGGAAAATGCACTTGGGCTTATTTTTAGTCCCATAGGCATTCTAGTTTTCTGACTGATTCTGACTAAAATAAACAGAACCAGACAAGGAATCAATAATTTCAGTAATTTTAGGCAACGGAAACTTGTCATTTTCTATTACGTTATTCACTTTTCTATAATCGACTACTTAGTAAACACCAGTTTTTTCGCCGCTAATATATGTTTTCTTAGGGACTTGACCATTCGCTTCTAGCATGCTCAACTATTCCCTCATTTAATATTTTTTATACTTGTTTGTTTACGTCCTAAATGGTTATACATGGTATAAATGGTATAATCTATATGGTTTAACAGGCTCCGTATTTGGTTGTAATTGAATGTGTTGTTCGTATATATTCGTTACAGATAATTTATTTCTGGGTAGGTAAAATATATAATGAAATTTTGCACAGAGACTTTCAATCGACAATCTTTCTTCGTCATTCAAATGATTTAAACATTTAAATGCATGGAAAATAATCTTTTCACTCTTTCAGAATTTCTCTAATATTTTCAAAGGTACATACATATATTAAAGTATTCCACGCTTAAAGACGTAACTTTAAATAATATATAATATTATATAATAATATTATCATAATACAATATTTTTTTAAGTTTTTCCGTACTATTTAATATCTTAATGGGGATTTTCCTATCACGCTACGTCACTATTGAATTTGCTAAAAAGACTCCATCACACAACTCTTTGGAATAAACTACACCGTGTCCTTTAAAAGTAGTTTTGATAAAATGATTCGGATCTCGACGGAATGGATAAACACACGAGTGGAAAATTATTATTACGACTCATGTACAAAATTTGACGTGGAAGGTGTAGCCACCTTATCGTCTATGGCGGCCTTCAATGGCCTTAAACTTGCGAGCTGCAATAATTGTGCTAATCCTTCGATTACGTAAGCCAAAGCGCTGAATATCTTGCTGCTCGTTTACAGGCTTCAGGACACTCTAATTACTGTAATTTCCATTAGCTTGCTACGACAACGAATATTTCCGTCATTTTTTGGCCATATCGTTGATAGACAAATCGTTTTGCTGAGTGATTTAACCTACTTTTTAATACAAAGTTAATAAGATCAATTCTTGATTCATTTGTAAGAGTAGTGGCATAATACTCGATGCCATCGATCAATTTCTCAGTAGTAGTCATTTTACAGTCCATAACAGGCAATAATAGGCTTAACGCAATCTTCAAGTTACATTGCATGGTTATAGTTTTGATAATAGAGCACTCACTACAAAGTTCTATTATTTTAGAATATATGTTTTAAACTTTGAACATTATTCCTTTTACGAGTATTTCACCTTTCATCCGATTTTCACCAAGTATGTTTTTATATTTAATAATTCATCAAGCAACTCTTTTAATAAATCTGCCATAACATAGTAATCATATGCATAAGAATAGAAGAAGTTAGCATTAAATTATAAAAAGGTTATACATTTATTACTTAGGTACTTAGGTAACATATGCTCAAAAAAAAAACAAAGCACTAGTTAAAATTAAAACTTGTCCTGTGTTCGATTTTACCCGATTTAGATAACTTTCCACACTTTCCGCACATTACTAATACTAGCACATTTTTTTACTACTAACTAAGCACTTGTCCACTTTGCATCACAATTTATTTTTTAATTAACGCACTTTGACACGTTTTAAGTAACTTTTTACGAAAATCGACGAAACCCCTCACGTAATTAATGGACGCCCCCTTACTATTGATGTACATAATTACAAAAAGATGCATGTAGCCGACAGCATCGAGTCATATATAGACAGTCCATTCTATCGGCTATCACGGCTGACCCTGTTGGAGCTTCCCCTTACCCGTGACAACAATGATTCTGCTCGTTTGTGTATCGTGGAGTAAAAGTAGTCAACTCATCAAAAGCAATGAAATAATTGCTTAGCACCGGTTTTTTGAAGTGAAAATTTATTTAGGCGCGTTAGGCGTTTTGAAATAACAAACAAAAGAATGTATTTTTTGAGATGGGAATAAACCAACTTGGACTTGAACTGGCGACACTGTTACTGTTACCGACACCTTTGTATATAAGTATCACCATTTATTGGCCCCGTTTACACGAGAGTTGAGTTTGGATTGAAATACATTGATAATATAACTATATATAATACAAACAAACATTATATAGTTTTTCGATTAGAAAAGTTCCAACATGAATATATATCTGTGTTGCAGTCTATACAACCAGGATTATAAATATAACATACACGCCTAGTTACAAATCACAATAATTTTACAATTTGTAGAAACAATTATTATGTACCCTATGTATTGCTACTTATTATTTATTCCACAAATTTGCAATATATAATTTAGGCATGAAAAAAATCTTTTACAGAATAGTTACTTCAAAGATGATTACAAATCAATAACCTTGAAATAAGATTAAATTTATAAACTTACTTGCCAAGTGCCGAATCCGATTCTCGGCATGCGATATCCTCCTTCTAATTCGATATATTCAGGAATAGACATATTTAAGTACAGGTATGTGGGGTATTTAATGTATACCTTAAACGAAAATACTGATATCGCAGTTAACTGACTGTTTATTTGAGAGTTGCTTGTAGTTCAACGAATCACAGTACAATGAGGAGAAAGGCAGGCAGTGTGAACCTGCCACTGTTCGGTTCTTGGTCGACCTCGTTTGCAGCATGCAATACAATTAAATTCCATATACCAGTTTGTCTCTATAATAAGAATTGCGTTGAGTGAATTGGGAACATTTAGGCATAATACTTTTGTGATCAGGTTCCTTATTATCGAAATGTTAATGTTCGCAATGAAAATTAGACAGTTCTCACATTGTGAATTTGTAACATCTAATTCTTCAGTTCTAATCCTTTCGATCATTTTATCGTCATTTAGAGCCTAAAGTTAAAATATGCACTCGAATACTAGCTGAAATTTAGGTTACAAGTCATTCGCGCAATTGACTTAAAATTTTAAATTTAAATCAACTTGTATATCTAACCAGAATGGATTACAAGATTATGTATACAGTACAACTTTAAAATAATTAAAATGAGACCACTTACGATGTTGCAAGATTTAATAAAATGTTATAAGTGAAAACATTTTTTTAAATCCTGTAACGTTTTTTAAGTCGATTTGGATGGGGCATCTTTTTAAATAATCTTTTTGATCAGATTAAAGCTTTTCAGAATTGGACTTGGAATGCTAAAATATGATTATTTTATCTAAGTCTATTTCCCAGTCATTGCAAGGTATTATTATTACAATTTTACTGTCATTGTTATAGCTAGAATTCAGACTCATCAGCTTTAAATACATTAGTTAACTTATTTGATACTATTATATTCTTATAAATTATAAAGGTACGTCACACAACCCTAAATTCTCAATTGTTTAAATTTCGCAGATCAGAAACAATTTGGTCATTTATAGAAGTCATTTATATCGTCAAAAATAGAAACTATGCAATAAAATTTCCAGGTACAATACAAAATGATGATGATATCACATCATTTTGTATTTTTTTTTCATATGAATGATAACACAATGTAATGAAATTTCATTGTCACTAACTCATGTCTCAACTCATCATCTATCATCATCACTATCATCGACTTCAAAAACACAAAAGAGGAGATTCTTCCCTTTCCCTTCCATTCCATTCGATTAAATTTTAGCTTTTTTCTCTAGCTATACAAGTATTTGCGTTTAGTAGTCGTTATCTCATGTTGCTGAGCTGATGATGGAAGGGTCCTTGACTTTTTGAAGTTAGAGGATAACTCTTTTAATAATAAAATCATGTAATGATCTTGTTTTATTCTTTCAAGTTAGGTGCTTTTAGGTTGTTAGGGGTTGAGTTGGGTTACAGAGATATGTCGAGTGGGCAGGGCGGCAGCACGGGACCCTTACCTTCCGGCTGACGCAGGTGCTATCCGGGCACGGTTGCTTCGGAAAGTACCTGCACTCGGTCGCTAGGAGGGAACTGAGTCCCGCCTGCCACCACTGCGACTGCAGTGAGGACTCGGCCCAGCACACGCTGGCGGTCTGCCCCGCATGGGCGACGCAGCGCCGGGCCCTCACTGCAGTCATCGGAGTAGATCTCTCGCTACCGGCCGTAGTACGCTCCATGGCCGGTAGCGACAGTTGTTTTACCGCGGTCGCAACCTTCTGCGAGGAAGTAATCTCGCAGAAGGAGGCGGCGGAGAAGGCCCCGGAGGACGACCTCCACTCGGACTCGATCCGCCGCCGGCGAACCGGGTGGCGGAGGCGCGCCTATCACCGCCTCATGCCGCCCTGAGTGTGGCCGCGGGTGGACGGGGTGGGTTTCCCCTCCACCCGCATTAGTTTGGCCAGCCGCGAGGGGGCGGCGTCCGCGTGTGCCGGACGTCGCCTAAAGAGAGGAAAATTTTGAGACGGAGCCCGCACCAGGAGCGGGCTGGCGCTAGGAGGGGTCCGGATGTCTTAATAACAGCTGTTTTTTTTTAATGGGACTAATCCCGCCCACATGCCCACCACTGTAACTCCTGTACACCAGGATCCACAGCAGTGACCCACGAACACACCGAGTTATGACACTCGGGAAGTCCCAGGAAGAAATTAAACTGTCTTGGAACCCGCAACGAAATTAATCAGAAGAAAATTGGAGGAGTTGGAAATACAGTAAATCCACTTCCCTCCTTAGCAAAGCGGGAGACAAAATGAAATAAAATGGGCATACACCCTTTTAAACAGGGAAGCACCACGGCCACGAAATATTACGGGTCCTACGTGAGCTATATTTGATTTCTATAATATGTATGGCAGAATCGCCTAAACGCACGGAAATTCACCCTAGTTGACACAAGATCCCCATAGTATACCGCCCCAGATGTCACCTGCAAGGTATTCAGCATTATATTACGTTCATTATACCAAAGACTACATTCCCAGAGGATATGATGAGCAGACTGTTCATAGTGAGAGTTAGGTGTTGAGCATTGACACAATGGTGACTCGACTAATTTAAATGAATAAATTAGTCGAGTCACCATTGTGTCAATGCTCAATGTCAATAACAGTCAATAACAGCTGTTCCCGGATCCCTCCTGTTACAGGCGCAGAGTGGCACACCGTGTGGTTTTAGTCAGTCCGAGTCCGACACACCACCCCGCCGCAAACCCCGGTGGGGTGACGGTCTGAGGGGATTTCCACACGTTGAAAAAAAAAAAAAGGGGTTACAGAGATATGTGCATCAGAAAGTCATAAATGAGATCACTAAACATTTAGACAAAAAAAGTTACGCAATTATTTTCATGTTTGTTACCTCAAAACGCCTTCATTTGTAAACCGATTTGTTTTTTTTTTATTTGGCAATATACCCTATTAATTCAAATGTGAAGAAATAAAAAAATATAAAAAAAAAAACAAAGAAATAACTGCTTTTTTTTGTTTTGTTTTAGTCGAAAATCAAAAGTCAAAATTATGTTATACATTCTTATTAGTATTTTTTAATGTACTTACTTAGACTTAATGTTAATTGTTGCCATCTACCTGTTTGCGTTTCTTGTTTTTTAACTGTTGGCGCAGTGTCAGGGGCCCGCTGAAAACCAGTGCTTTGCTCTCGCACAGCGTGAACTGACCTGGTGGCCTTTGTTACACATTGCGTCTAAATGTTTTATAATACTAGCTGACCCGGCAAACGTTGTTTTGCCATATACATTATTTCTAGGAAATAAAGAAAAATAAAATTTGGGGTGGGTCCCTTGTCATTTAGAGATATGAAAAATAGATGTTGGCCGATTCTCAGACCTACCCGATGTGCACACAAAATTTCATAAAAATCGGTAGAGCCGTTTCGGAGGAGTATGGTAACTAACATTGTGACACGAGAATTTTATATATAAGATTAATGACGTGTTTTTGTAATGTACCTTGTATCCGCATATGTTTCATGTATCATGTGTAGCAAACATAAATGGTTTAAAAGAAAAAAATAAGGGGCATTTTTTCCCTAATGGTGGAAAATTAAGTAATGTAATAATTAAATTTAACATCTTACTACCTTATCTAAATGAAGTAACATACTTATTAGCACTAAATTTATTACAATCTAACATACTACCGTTTGCTAATATAAACATTTCAGTATGTAGTATTTTAAATATCATATCTACTCATTACAAACGTATTTCACACTAAAAATAATTTAAAAAAAAAATTGATCCGATTTCAAACAATACTAACAAAGAGCACTAAAAACTAAAGAATACATTACAAATCTAATTCTAATAAATTTTTCATATGTAGGTACATATTTATAATATAATTCTAATCTCAATCTATTTTCTAATTTTTTGTGGTCTTTGTTAGTCTTCTTTGAAGTCGGTTCAGCTTTTTTTGAAAAGGATTTATTTTACAATACCCAAGTATTAATTTACAAGGTTAGGTATGTCTTTCTTCCTCTGAGGCTATTTCCAAAACTAGGTTGGGGTCGGCTTTAAGTCTATGATACGGCTGAACTTCAATTTTTTTGTCAGATGCTATTGCCATCAGATTTCCACAACCCAAGTACTAAGCGCTATCGAAGTTCTGTAGAAAGACTGTTGTTGGACTTTTTAGGACCCCAACTACCCGTAACGATTGCCACAGATGTTCGTATGGCATTCGGAACCGAGGGCTTAACGTGCTCTCCGAGGCCATCCATTCACAAATTGATCTGGCTGGCTTAGCTTAAATTTGCAATGTGTTAACGTATTCGGTTACCACTTAGCCACGAGTTCCCAAGGTTAGGTATGCACATCAAACTCTGACGTAAAAAGGATTTAGGTAAGGTTTAAGCGTATTTGTGTGTATCTGTGCAACTGTGTGTCTACCTGCGACATCCTGCGGCTCCTAATTGTTTACCAATAAGTAAGTAACTTAGTGTTTAATACAAAAAACATGGCAGAAATACGTGGCATTCGCATCAGTATAAAATTTAAAAAAGGAAAACAAAGATATATATATATATTATATTATATTATATATTATCTATATATATATACGAGTATATATATATAAGAGATTTCCACATATATAGTCACTCATCACGATATCTCTGGAACCATTAGAGCTAAAGACTTGAAATTTGGTAGGAATATTCTTTTCACCGAGTAGTGGTCAGCTAAGAACGGATTTTAAGAAATTAAAAAAAAATAATAATAATTAAATAATGTAATTAATGAAGCCCAAAATCGATCTAAGTGGCGTGCAATGGGAGAGGCCTATGTCCAGCAGTGGACTGCGATAGGCTGATGATGATGATGATGATGAATGTAAATAGCAAAACAACGTTTGCAGGGTCAGCTAGTTATTTATATAATACTACCTATTACATACCTACTTAAGTCATAAAATATCTTTGAACATGAAGAGACAATTTCATATAAATAAATACTTATTAAAGTAACAACATTATGATAATGACCCATCTAAACTCGTTTCACTAAAATAATTTAAAAAGGCAATGTTTCATTTGATTGTTAATTTTTTCAAGTCAACCAGAAACCAAAACTACTCAATAATACAACAAAACATCTGCGCCCACTGTTCTTTATCACTGCGGTGGATCTTTGTACGGTTTAGCCACAAGTGGCCACATAATCGTTGTGTTCAATTACGTATACTATTAGTAATTCTGTTATTCAATACAATTGTGTCTTGTTGTAATACTTGTCATTCAATGTACAACAATAAAATAATGTAATGGTTAAACTGTTGCAAGCTCACAATGAAATTGTCAACGGACTTTATCACAAGTTGCAGACAATAATTGTGTTCTTGTTCCTGTCTGTTGTCCTGCTCATCGTCGGACTGTATGTATCGTGTAAGTGTGTGGAATTATGTATATAATCGATTTATGATATTGTATCCTATTATCTACATAACATAAAATCTATTTTCCTTAATATGGGCTGGTAGAAAATACATAAGTTTCTTAGTAGCAAACAAAGAATACTTGGGTATGGGAAATATAGACGAATAATGTGTGTGAGTAGGTATAAGTGAGTGAAAGAAATATAGTTTATTACTCCGTACTGCAAAAGCGGTTTCAAAAAATCATCCTCCAATTAGGTATATCCCGTTTTAATTGAAAGTAGATCGTAGGTAATTGTAGGTATTTCGATATCGTTGTCGTCTAGTACAAGTTGCGAAGAAATCGGTTTGAAAAAATAACTACCTACTTGGAATTCTATCCTCTGCGTGAAATGTTTTTTTTTGTATCAACCTTCGATCAACAATAGCAACGTTGATCGAAGGTATCAACACTAAAAACGATATATATATATAAATGTGTGTATTGTATATTTATTACAGTGGAGCAAACATATCGCACCTTATGAAAGCCAAAGGCATAAAGGACAAACAAAAAAACGTATTTCTTTTTAAACAAAGGGATTTAAAATACCTCCTTATAAGTAAATACTTCTATTAACTTTAACTTAATATAGCAGAAGGCAATAGTGCAAGGGTACCATATACCTAAGCATAATCACATCATCACATCAACAGCCTTTAATAGTCCACTGCTGGACATAGGCCTCTCCTTAGAAAGGAGATTTTGGCCTACTACACCACGCTGGCCAGTTATTTTGCGCTCTTAGTCGGCTCTTACATAAATAATAAGCATTTGTACGACATGAATTGAAATAAATTATTTGAAACAGCTCTATTGTAAAATTACAAAGAGTGCAATTAGGTATGCTGTTATCATACCGAAGTGAGTAGAGTAGGTATACAAAAAGAGGTTGTGGAAGAATTTATATTATTTTATATTATTTTTAAAGTAGGATCAGATCATCTATACGTAAATAGTCGAATATGCTTTCGATATTGAAAACGAAATTATTTGCAAAGTATTAATAAATTTTTAATAACTAACTTATTCTGTTGTGATATCATATTACAAGTCGATTAACATCCAACAATAGCGGTATAGTAAAAATACAAATTAATTTTCTCACATACCCTTAAAGTAATATCCCCCTTTGTGTACAAACAGTATCCATTTACAATTCAATTTGCAAAACGTATGAATGAATTCATGTCACAACACTCGAAGGGGCATTGGTGCGTACACACAAAGATTGCGGTCATTGATAACGTTTACTATTCTCGTTCATCCCTTATTATAAAGGGCGGGGCTTACTCCATCCCGCCTTTAATGTGGCTGATACTATAAGGGTAGAAAATGAATGAATACACGTTAGTTATTCGATAATAGTCATGGATACTTCGCCACTGCAGTCAACTTCAAAGTGCGGGTCTGATTTCAGCATAGAACGGATTCTGAGAAGTGATAACCCGAGACTTACAAGCCGGAGTGAAGATGTACAAGTTCCAGATTGGTTGTGCTGTACTCGTTATCGACCACCGCGTCTTCCACGTAAGCGTTTTTATATACTAAATATCTCGAGTGTACACGAATAAATTAAATTTTAGAAGGAATTAGAACCTGAATTAATAATCTGAAGGTTTTCTATTCCTACGTTAGCAGTGATAGATGATACAATTTCCAGCAAATCTTTTAGAGTGTCATTGCACTGTATGCATATTCTAATACATTATTCCAAGTTAATGCAAATGTTTGTTTTTGCCTCAGGTGTAATGAACGGTGGCGGATGTCGAGCACGTCGGTCTGGACGTCACGCACGGGTGCCCTTCACGGCAGCCCAGGCGGCGGCCCTTGAGGCTGCTTATGCCCGAGCGCCGTACCTTGCACCACCGGCACTGCGCGCACTAGCTGCAGCCTTACAATTACGAGATGACAGAGTAAGTATTGAGTAAAAAGTTTTATAATATTTTCGTAGTGGTCAATAGAGGAGAAAAGTCTAACCAGCCATAAAGAATGTGATCTTAAGTGTAATGTAGGTATCCCAAAGTCTTTGGGAGTATTTATGCACTTAATCTAAAATCCAAAGATTTTAATTTAGTCTGAATAAATGACTTGTCACAAAATTAAATAGCGAACATTATTTCCAACATTACCTAATAAAAATTAGGAGACCTTTATAATTAACAACAAGAAATTTATTAACAAGTAGTCCCTATTATTATGATACTTTTCAAAGTATTTTGTATCTGCACTATACCGTAGTATAAAAGGTACTGCTAGTACATAATTTAAGTAGGTATCGGACGCATTATTGTTTTAAGGAAACTCCATAGATATTTTGTAGGTTACAATTTTAATTTATTATGTAGTCAGCCTCAGCTGATTGCATTTACTTAACAATAAACTTAAGCCAATTACAGAGTTCCACGGCAAGTTGTGGTAGGATATTATAACTAATAACAACATCTACAATTAATTTAAAACTGTCAAAGAAACAAAAAAGGGAAAATGTCTATTAAGCGTACAGTCACTGTCCCCTTTTTTTTTTCTTTTTTTCCGTGAGAAAATCCCCTCGGATACCACCGATATCACCGGATATCGGTGGCATGTCGGACTCGAACCGACTAAAACCGCACGCCGTCTCGGGTACTAATAGCCGGGGAACCAGGTATACCCTAGAAAGGAAGTCCCTGGTGCCCCGACATACCTCGGGCCATCTACAACAACAGGTAGACGACCCCCCCGTGTGGGAACCCCATGTTCCCTCTGCTCCCTGGAAGCGAGCGCGCTTCGCAACGCGCTCGCCGCCACCCCGGCCTGCTTCTGCTAGGGTGACAGATGGCCTCACCTTTTTTTTTTTGTTTTTTTTTCAGACTCAGGCGCCGGAGGTCGTTCTGCGACCTCCGGCGCCTGAGTCGCCTGCGGTACCTGGCCCCTTCCCGGGCCTGGCCGGGAGAGTCCTAAACCTCTCCCGGTCCCGCTCCGCCGTCTCCTTCCCGAGCATAACTTGCTCGCAGAAGGAGACGGCAGAGTTCCACGCACTCTCGCTCCGCACGATAGCCGCAATCGGCTAGGCTAGGAGCTAAATCATCTAAAGCTAAAAATCAGCTAAAAATCGGATAGGCTATCGAGCGAGAGAACTCCCACTCCGATGGCCGCCACGAGGTCTCGCCTCTGCTCAACCCACGCCGGGCACTCTGCTAGCGTGTGGAGAGCCGTGTCCACGGTCTGGCCATCGCAGTGGTGGCACTCAGGCGTTGGCTCCTTGCGGATCAAACACAGGTGATCCCCGAAACATCCTTTCCACACCAGACATTCCACACCAAACATCCAGTGATCACCTGCGTCAGTGGCATACCCACTGACGCAGGTGATCACTGGGAAAGGATGTTGAAGAGGGTCCCGTGACGCCTCTCGAGCCAATCCTCCATAACGGGTCTTACCGCCGCGATGAGGGCGTGCCCGGCGCTCGGTTGCCCGAGTCGTTCCCTCCACAGTCACTGTCTCCTGGGATTACTTTCAGAGTTGTAACGACCGTTAAGACTGTTTTTTTTTTGTAGGAACACGTATAGAAATAAAGTCACGATAAAATTAATTTGAAAAAATAATGTCAACATACTTTTAGAGGTATAAAAACGTAAGTTAATATAATATGTGAAATATCAACGAAAACTTTATAACAATTAATGTTACGGACCTTTTCTTTCCTGTGCGGAAATCCCCTCGGATACCACCCACCGGTGGTTAAGTCGGACTTGAACCGACCAAAAACTGCACACCATCTCTGCTACCAGTTGCAGGTGAACCAGGTGTACCCTGGGAAGGAAATCTCAGATACCTCGACGTACCTCGGGCCATCTACGGCGTGTTAATGACCCCCTCCTGTGTGGGAACCCCTATGGCGCTTTTGTGCTCCCGAAAGTGCGCGCACGCTCCGTAGCGCGTCTCTGCACCACCCTGGGCTGCTTCTGCTAGGGTGACAGATGACCTCACCTACCACCCCTAGGCCTGTACTTATGGAGGACGGAGGTCATTCTGCGACCGCCGGCGCCTGAGTCGTCAGCGGTACCTGGCCCGTTGCCGGGCCTGGCACACCGGGAGAGCTCTAAACCTCTCCCGGTCCTGCTCCGCCTTCTCATTTGCAAGCATAACTTGCTTGCAGAAGGAGACGTTGAAGTGCCACGAATTCTCGCTCTGTACCATGGCGGCAATCATATTACAGAGCGAGAGAATTCCCACTCCGATGGCCGCCACGAGGCAACGCCTCTGCTCCTCTCATGCTGGGCATTCTGTCATTTTGTGGAGCGCCGTGTCCACGGTCCGGCCATGTGATCACCTGCGTCAACCGGTATAAGAGGGTTCCGTGATGCCTCTCGAGCCAATCCTCCATAACGGGTCTTAGAAATAACGCCGCGATTACAGCGTGCTCAGCGCTCGGTTGCCCAAGTCGTTACTTCCACTCTTCCATGAGGACCTGGCGGAGTTGGGATTTCTGACCCTCGTTTTCTCGAGACTCAGGACACCGACCTAACTCCCGCGCCTTCTTGCGCCACTGATACAGGGCCGCAAGGGCTCTCGCCTCCAGGTTCCACGGTGGAGTTCCGGCCAGGAGACTCGCCGCCTCAGTTACCTTACGGACCTGACGCTTACTTATAGAAAACATTAATAAACTAAGTTTTTTAATATAAATTTATATAGGTAGACAATGCATATATCTTATTATACTATCACTTTATTGTTTTTCTTCTGTGTGTTGCTTTCTTTTGTTTTGAGTCATCAGTATCTAATCTTCCTTACGCATGACTGTCTGCACATGAAAATGATAATTAGGTACCTATTAACCTTAACTTTATACATCGTGAGAATGAACTCGTGTGAAAATCTTAAATATCTGTTGTTGTACCGAAATAAACTTATGTGACCCTTCCACATGTTCTTAGGTACTTCGTCATATTTTTTGACAATGTAACTCAGCTCCCTTCTATTGTATTTTTAATCCGACTGTCCTGTAGTCTGAATGCTTAAGCATTCAGACTACAGGACAGTCGGAGGTAAAGCGTTAAGATGTTTTAAAAATAACTATATCCATCAGTGTTAAAGTCAATCCTAGAAAATGTCATTATTTAGTTTTTTCCTAAGTACAAAGTCCTTTCGCGTCCTAAAGTATTCAAATATATATATTCACCTTTTATCTGTATACGTATATATAACTAATTTTAATCATTTAAGTATAAATGAATATCAGAAAAAAAAACATGCAAATGTTTTACCTTAAAAAAATTGCAGTCTTACTACCGGCCGTCCACGATGAGAAACATGAAGGACAATGGTAGGTGTGTTGCGGCGTAGTCCGGCTACAGTCGATTTCGTAATTTATAGACGTATGAATCAAATGTTACTTTAATGTTCTTGCTGTACCAATCAATAGATTAAAAGTACCACAAATATATCTTGTTAAAAAAGCAATTGTTTATGGCCGGGAAGCACCGTATACGAAAACGTATATAAAAAAGATATTGGATTTTGAATGTTTTGAGGTTAAGTACTAACAAATTGTCAATGTTTTATTTAAAACTAGATGGCGTTGTGTGTCATAGATTGAAAATATTATTATCATTATTATTATTCATAAACAACTCTATTTTACTATAGAAAGTGTGACCCGACTCTCTAAAGGGTGGAGGTTATTTGCTTGGCATGTACCTATTGGTAAAACAATGAAAAAAGCCTTTGCTTACCAAGCAGATGTAACACTAAATAAATAAATCAATGATAAATTTATTAATAATAATAATTCGAATAAATGTACTTCAATACACATTTACATAAGGCAGAAGCAATTTATTTATTTAGTTAAAACCAGTGCTGTCCAATAATTTACTAACATTAATAACTAAAATCTAAAGCATGCATCCATTATATTGAGATTGATGCACAACAATTTAAGTCGTCACATCATGCATAATAGAGTTACAAGATATGAAATTAAAAATAGAAAAACATCTATCCGAGTTTAATATTAAATTGAACAAATATAAAACAACCAAACAAACTACATTTGCCGTGTGAGCAATGTCGTGTAAATCATGCGTGTGAGTGTCAATTGTGTCAAACACTCAAACGACAAGACTGGTGACTGCGGAACTCGACAGGATCCAAACGACGACGTATCGATATTTTGAAAATATCGATGTATGTCTGTTTATGTGCCGTTGTTAAGGACAATGTGTTTTTCTCATCACACTGTGCAGTATATATATTATATACTAGCTGACCCGCGCAACTTCGTCTGCGTCTCTCAATAGTAATAAATTTTCTCCGTTTTTGAAACATTCTTCATTGGTGCTCCGCTCCTATTGGTCCGGTATGATATATAGCCTATAGCCTTCCTCGATAAATGGGCTATCTAACACTGAAAGAATTTTTCAAATCGGACCAGTAGGTTCTGAGATTAGCGCGTTCAAACAAACAAACAAACAAACAAACTCTTCAGCTTTATAATATTGGTATAGATTTAATGTAACAATAATCGTTTAAAAAGAGTCAATAATATTCTAAATTATTTCTAATTATGTTGAATTAGTCATTCTACCGTACGAATGAACCCGTGGGCAGTAGCAAATTAATAATCACAAAAGGTGAACCTTCATTAGATATTTCAGCCAAAGCTATAGAAATCGACTTTCGATAACATGTTCCATAATATTAGGTCCTTACATATGAAATTTAGCGTTTTTTCGTACTGACCACATTGATCTGAAATATCTCCTCTTTGGTTAAGAACTCCAAATTCAAATTTATAAATTCATTTAGCTGGTGCATTTGAGTTTTGAAAACAGTCATTCATTTGTTTTTTCCTCATTATTTTTTGATTTGGCGTCGCAACCGCACAATGGAAAACATGAAATATCGATATATTCACGAGTACGAGTTCTACCGTGGCACCAGTGCTACAGAAACAGCTCGAAGGTTTAATGATGTGTACAGCGCTGGTGTTGCAAAAGAAAGCACGGTACGTTTTTGGTTTCAACGTAACGATAAAACTGTATTAATCCACTTGAAGCAAATCGGGAAAGTAAAAAAAACTTGAACGATGGGTACCTCATGAATTGAGTGAATCGAACTTGCAAACACGCGTCGACCGCTGTGTTACTTTGCTCAACCGACACAATAATGAAGGGATTTTAAATCGAATCATTACTTGTGATGAAAAGTGGATACTGTACCATAATCGGAAGCGCTCGTCGCAATGGCTGAACCATGGAGACCATCCCAAATGCGACTGCCACCGTACTCCCCGGACCTTGCTCCAAACCGCCTTCAACGAGTTTATTGATTCTTGCCCCCATGGTTTTTTTAGTAAAGGGATCAATGAACTACCTATGAGATGGCAAAAGTGCATAGATAACAACGGTGCATACTTTGATTAATTAAATATATTTTACAAAAAAAAAATGACATTATATTCCACCCGTACAAAACGCCAATTTCATTATGTAAGGACCTAAAATAATAATGCCATCACGCATCCCTAGTCAGTTATACGTGATGACGGATCTGACATTACGTACCTACTTAGGTCAAATAAAATTTTCAAAAATATCCTATCTCCTTTAAAACTTATACAAGACATTATGATATTTTATCATCATGTCTTGTATAAGATAAATCATAGAAAAAATATTTATTAAGTTTATTGTGAGTTAATTTTTTAAACGTTTAAGTTTTAGGTAAACATGTTTTTGCGATTGTTATTTTACCCACTGCATTCTACCTACCTATATTTCCACATTAGGTATTCCAAGGTTGTCTGGCAGAAAATATCTAAAGTCTGCCTTTGCAAAAATGTATCTTCATATTTTGAGCAAAATCTTGAATACATTAAAATAATAATCCATATTACTTCAATACATTTTGTTAAGTGCAATGTAAGACCGATGCAGTAAATACTTACTTGCAACATAAAAAAATATGTCCATTTTACACTAAGTGTACATTTAATAAAATGCTTTACAACGATATAACTGAAAAATTTGGTGAGAAAACATTGTTATTAAAATAAAGGCTTCTTTTTTTATCGTTTAATTACATTGGTCATTCCGTTTATATGAATGTATAGAAAAGCTATGTCTCTAGAATAATATGCATAAAAATGATAAAACAGTGTTTGTCATTTTTAAAACAGTTTTTTAGGGACTAATGAGAACAAATAAGGACGGAAAATTATATTCATCTTATGTACCACATGGGCTGAAAAGTCCCGGGCCTAACAAAGAAAACTAGGTTTTTTTTGTTCAAAATTGGCTTTATTCATCAACGTTATCTCCATCAAGAGCCACACAATGATTCCAGCGCCACTCTAACATATTTTTTTTTTGGAACGATTTATCTTTTGCCTCAAAATAGGCCTAAGTTTCAGCGATAATCTCCTTATTCGAGCGAAATTTCTAACCGGTGAGCATTTTTTTGCGGTCTGCGAACAGCCAGTACTCGCTGGGAGCCAAATCTGGCGAATACGGTGGATGTGGGCGCAATTCAAGGTTCAATTAATGTAGTTTTGCTATTGTTTGATTACTTGTGACACGGTGCGTTGTATTAATGGAACAAAAAAAAATTCTTTGTCATTTGCGGTTGTTTCTTTGCAATTTCGGCCTTCAAACGCTGCAATAACGATATATAATATTAACTGTCTAGTGGTTAGTGACCCTGACTGCTAAACCGGAGGTCGTGGGTTCGATTCCCACCCAGAATAGATATTTGTGTGATGAGCACGATCGTTTGTTCTGTGTCTGGGTGTAATTTATCTGTAATACATATGTATGTATTTAGAAATATATAAGTATGTTTATCAGCAGTCTGGTTACCATAGCACAGGCTCTGCCTAGTTTGGAATTAGACAGCCGTGTGTGAGATGTGCGAGGTTATTATTATTATTTACTCTTTATTACATTAAATATACATATAAATTCAATTTTTAATAAATTTATGTAAAAAAAAAATACATTTTAAAATATTTAAAATAGTGTCCCATCGGTATCGGGTACAGGGACCAAAATCTTCAGTTTCTCCGAAGAGATCACCGAATCGTAGCCAGAATACAGACGCCAGTGGTCTACCTCAGGCCTGTTTAAGGCCCGATAAAAACGTCCATGCAGCTGTTTGCCCTTCCATATCTCCATACGATCAGTAATGTTGAGTACTGCAAATTTGCGCCAGTTCTCTTTATCTAGACCAAGCGGAGTGAGTCCGTTATCAACTGCTACTACATCCCTATGCATATCCACATTACCAGAAAGGAAGTAATTCCTGAGATTACATATTTCAAGATTGTGGGTCCTGGCATTTAGAAAACCACGACCACCACATTTTTGTGGAATATATTCGATCTTCTATCCAGGGTATCTAGTTCAGTCTGAGTCCATCTAAGTATGCCAAAAGAGTAGGTTAGAACTTGTATGATCCAATCATTATAGGCCCTCACCTTATTACCACCTGACAAAAGACTATTTAATACTTTTTTCAGGCGGCTAAAGAATCGTTCCTATAAGGATTGTTTCAGAGTCTACTTATTTATACCTAACGCCTGTGACATACCCAGATATTTGTAAGTTTCGTTAGCTGAGAGACACCTAAAGTGCGTGGAATCTGAGAGTTCCAACCTATCAAATTCCACAACCCTGCCTCTTTTTACATGCATGATTGCACACTTATCTACACCAAATTCCATCCTGATACATTCACTAAAGGCTTTAGTTATTTCTAGGCAATTTATCAGTATGGAATTACTGGAAGCAAACAGTTTTAAATCATCCATGTAAAGGAGGTGGGATATAATCTTACCGCCTCTCTGCAAACGATAGCCTAGCCCTGAACCCTCCAACATAGAGCTAAGAGGATTCAAAGCCAAGCAAAACCACAAGGGACTTAAACTGTCACTTATCACTTAATCTTATTGCTGTTGATGGTATTTCCCTTCTCAAGATAGTCAATGAATTTTACACCACGCACATCCCAAAAAAACTGAGGCCATAACCTTTCCAGCCGATTGTTGTGCTTTCGGGCGCTTTGGACGAGGTTCAACAGGTGCTCTCCACTCAGATGACGATCGTTTCAATTCCGGAGGAAAGTGATTGATCCGTGTTTCATCCATTGTCACACTCCGACGTAAAAATTCCGATTTACGTTTAAACATGGCCAAAAACTGCTCAGAATCATCAACACGTTCCTATTTTTGGTCAACAGTGAGCAAACGAGGCACCTACTTTGAACAGAGCTTTCTCATAGTCAAATTCTCATGCAATATAAAGCCAACACGTTCTTTTGATATCTTTACGATGTCAGCTAACTCACGTAACTTCACTTTTCGATCATTCAAAACGATTTTGTGATTTTGTTATGTTTTCTGGTGTTCCGCCTCATTTGGACGTTCACTGCGTTCTGCATCATCGGTGTCTCTACGACCACGTTTGAAATCAGAAAACCAACGTCTTATTGTTGTTTCTGATGGAGCGGAATCCTTATAACACTTTTCAAGCCATTGCTTCGCTTGAACGGTATTTTTTCTGCAAGCTGCCTTTTGTTTAAACGGGCAATATGATTTTTTTCAATTTCGTCAACGTGGTCACCTCAACAGGCTGCCCCGCCCTCAGATTATTTTCAATCGAATCCCTGCATTGCTTGAAGAGATTGTGCCACTTGTAAACCATGGTTTTACTAGGGCACGAGTAGGAGTATCTACCCCTAAACGGAAGTCACCTCTTCCATAATAGTCTGAGGAGGTTTTCCTTGCTTGGTAAGGAACTTTATGACTGCACGAAACTCAGTTTCCTCTATGTTCAAAATTTTCTCCGGGATTGACTTGTTTATTGTACTGTATCTCAGTGAATAATGACCTGATTTTTATGAAACTTCGTATTTATACCCTTAATGAGTGTCACAACTAGTGCAGGTAAAAAAAGTGCCCGTTACCGCCACCATGCCCCCCATTCCGCGAATTTTTTACCCACCTACGTAGTCCGAAGACATTATCCCTAGGCACCACTAATTTTCACAATAATTTTAAATAGGGAAACAAAACGGAACCTTTTACCATATAATAGAAAACAGTGTTAAGAAAAACTTAACCAAAATTACTATTACTTACAGATAAAAATCTGGTTTCAAAATCGTCGTGCGAGAGAAAGAAGGGAGAAATGCATTAACATTGCACCGCCAATGGCTGTAACTCTGCCTCCTACTGTCGGCGTGCAAGCTCCTTGGATACCGACTTGCTCTTGGATGGGAAATGGTGCACCAATTGAAACTTTAAATATCAACACCGTGATAAAGAGCGAAGAGCAAAGCGTTTTGAATAAAAGAACGAAAGAATATGGTCCAGAAATGGCTAGAATTGATAGGTCTTCGTTTCGTGAGTCTATGGATGAAGAGCATTCTGAGTTACCTTTAGATATCGAGACGGTTGAAGACTGAAGAGAAATACTTAATTAAATAACGTATTTTATGGAAAGCAATATTTTTTTACCAGAACATTGATAGCTTCTCTTGAACAAATTTTATGTTAGCATTAACAATATTCTGTGATATACCTACGTGGTGTAATGTTAAGTATAAGAGTAATTATATAATAGATTAATAAAAAAATGTCTAAATTTTAGATCGTTTTTTATTTGCTGTAAACAGTTTGAATTGAGCTGATGAAGCACATGCAGCATTCTGAGCATTTTGTTGTATTTCTACTTTTATATCACAACGCCCGAGAGATTAGTAATGTGTCACCACGTGTAATGAACGTATTCATAAACGTTTGTTTATCTAATAACTTATTAGATAAACAAACGTGTATGAATACTTTCATTACCTTTTAGTAATAAGTGTCTACTCCAGTCAAAAAAAACCGGCCAGAACTAAAATATTTATAGTTCACTCAGTCACTTTCAAATTCTCAACGTTATATTCCACATACCTACTTGATTTTTATAGCAATTTACATAGTAAAAAGTAATACTAGAATGTATGCACCACATCCCAAGGTGGGCGTTAGTGACTGCACCACAGTGTTTCACTAATGCAGTGATTTATTGACCACATTCATTATTATCAGTCGTCAGCTCAAAATTTTATTCTTAAGAAATGTTAAAAACCAAACACTTAGGTATATGTGTTTAATGTTTCTTGTTTGGTCTGATATCATTTAACGTTTTAACAGGTTTTACGGTTTAACAGTGTAATGTTTCCACACCTCGGGAACTGTCCTAGAACATTTCTGCATGTAAGGTATTCCTTTTTGTCTCTGGCAACGTATATGATGCTTGATGACTTTTACAGTAACGCATAAACTGCGCATTATTGACAATACAATAGGAACCGTTAGACTAATTTTCTTTGCTTTTTACTTGAATGGTTAGTGTGAAAGGCACGTAGGGGCCAGTTCGTCTCTCTCATACATAGAGTTCATAATATAAATGAAATTACAAGCAGGTTGTTTTTACGTGCGTTACATATATATTTGAATAGATATTTTATCATGTACTGATAAGCAGACAGATTAGTACCAATATTGGATAGATAGGATGTGCATAGAGGGTTAATAATGTAAAAATTGCCAAAGGAGATAAGTAAAACATCGTATTAACTAAAATTAGTTTTTATTATTCAACTGTCTCTGTTTTGAAAGATATGATAGATTTTGTACAAAATTAATGCTTGAAAACATTTAATTTGGTTCCAAAAATCCGTGTCACAATTAAGACGAATCTAACGACACCTTAAACGCTAAAATCCATCAAGCATTTTAGGATGCCTAAGAACTATAACATTTATAACTAATACTACTGCTTAATAACTAATTCACACTAAGCAGTACATTAGGGTGTCCCGAATTTTTTTTATTCTTATTTTAGCTACTTAAGACCTCTCAAAAGTCGCGCTGTTAGACGTAGATTAGCGTAAAAATAATTCAAAAAATATTTAAAAATATCCTTAGGGCTCTACCAGCATTTTTATTTACTGAAAATTCGCAAAAACAACCTTGTAGTCAATGTCGTATATTCTATGTTTTATGAATCAATCCTGTTTTGTCTTGTAATTTTATCAATAAGAAAAGCCTCGGCTATGATTTGCAAGTATCGACAGGTTGTTTTAGCGATCAATCGGTTTGGATCGGACTTGCAAAATTCCTACAAAATTCATGTTTTGACTTGATTTTCGTACGTGCGCTACTTCTACAACAAGACAGTTCGTCTCATTTCTATTTCGATTTTACTCTTGTAAGGAGTTGTTCTATTCTTCTTTGAAAGAAAAACGTAATTTGCGTTACTTAATCATAAAAATGTGTTCAAGGCGAAGTGAGACTACTTGTACTATATTGGGACCTTATAAAGAACTTGACGATCGCCAATTACCTGTTATAAAAGACGTTATTAAGTGCATTTTATTTACTAAAAGTGAATTAAAACTACAGAAAAACGGAAAAGATCCATCGAACACAGAAGTCATTTCAATAGTTTCTGGAAAACTTAACACAATTTGGACCAAAGCTTCAATTCCCATCGTTTCTAACGTACGGGTTACTCAACTGCTAACCGCATATTTTAACAAATATTTATCACTAATAAGATATCCTAAAAGTAAGAGAAACAATAGCTATGACAACAAAGTTAAGTGCTTTTTGGAATCGTCAAATAAGCTTTTTGACATCGCTGCTTGTAAGTGCACTTCGTTTGAAAATTGTTCCTGCACTAAACCCAAGAAAGTTCCCATTTCTGAAAGAGATTTTTTACTGGACCAAAGAAATGATAGGAAAATGGCAATAAGCGGCGTAAACGCAAAAGAAACTGCAAGGCTTTTAAAGAAACATCAAAGACAAGAAAATTTGAAGCGGACAGAGCAAGCATGTTTTCCGAGTACTTCACAAACCGATACTGTACCGGTACGCGTGTTGCCGCCTCGTTCACAGTCGCTTTCAATAGAACCTTCTACTAAAAGTGACTTAAAGGAGTCTCCATCTAATTCATTTAGTCGGAACACTCTGACGCTGCCAGCAGTGGCTAAGGTATGTGATCGATACGGACTATCAACGCGTTCGGCAGCTGCAGTCGCTTCAGCAGTCTTAGTTGACGTAGGAATGGTATCTTCCGAAGATCTAAACCTTGTGATTGATAAAAATAAGATTCACAGAGCTGTTTCAAAGTCACGTACCCAAGCCAGCAAAGACATCGATAAAATTATTATAAAGAGTATCTACTATCTAAGAGTATCTATCTCTCTGAGAGTTTTATCTTTTCGCCCATCGAAGTAGATACACTTCGATGGGCGAAAAGATAAAACTCTCAAGATCAATAAAATAGACAGCCGGTACCACCGAAAAGAAGTCTTAGAAGAACACATTTCAGTTCTTACAGAGCCGGGATCTATTTACTTGGGACATACGACGCCGAGTCGAGGTACTGCGAAAGGGATTGTCACTTCTATTATAGAATTGTTAGAAAATCAAGGATGGAACTTAGAAGAAGTAAGTTGTGTGGGTTGCGATGGCACTCCTACAAATACAGGTTGGAAAGGAGGTGTCATTAAATACCTGGAAGACTATTTGAAGAGACCGTTACAATGGTGTGTTCGTATGCTTCACACAAATGAATTACCGCTTCGCCATTTGTTTATGTCTCTAGATGGTAGCACATCTGGGCCGAAAGAATACTCAGGACCTATTGGAAAACAGCTAAATGTTTGTGAAAGTAAACCACTAGTGTCTTTTTGTGCAGTGGCTGGCAATTTGCTCGAATTACCTGATGACATTGTGAAGGAACTAAGTACGGATCAAAAGTATCTGTATGAAATGTGTCATGCTGTGACGACTGGTTCTTGTTCCCCTGAGTTAGCGAGCCGCCAACCTGGAAAAATGGCGCATTCAAGATGGCTAACTACTGCCAATCGCATACTCAGACTTTATGTAAGTACTGTTTCGCCATCAAATAATTTAAAGCTGCTTGTCAATTATGTGGTCAAAGTTTATGCTCCAGTTTGGTTCCTCATTAAGAAAAACTCATTATTCAAAGATGGAGCCAATCATATTTTTCAAATGGTTACATACTCCCGATTTTTGCCTGATAAGCAAAGATCTATTGTGAATTCAGTGATCGAGAGAAACGCTTTTTTTGTTCACCCTGAAAACTTACTTGTTACCATGCTATTCGACGACAGAGAGCATATTCGAGAGCTTGCAGCTCGCAAAATATTAAAGGCAAGAGAAGCAGAAATAAGCAATACTCGCAGGGTATTTAAAGTACCAAAACTTAACTTCGATGCGCGATATTACATCGATTTGATATTTTGGCAAGAGTGTGAGATATTCGCTCCACCGATTTTGCAACAGATGTCCGACGACGAACTGAGAATTAAGGCTAAAGAACAAAGCTTCGATGTTATTGATTTCCCCTGTCATACACAATCAGTGGAAAGATGTGTAAAGCTAGTGACGGAGGCTTCTCTAAGTGTCACGGACGCTACAGCTCGGGATGGTTTAATCAGAAACAGATTAAAATCTCGCGCGGAAATGCCTAATTTTGGCCACAAGAACCAATTTCGTATTTGAAATAAGCACTAATTATAAGTATTTAAACTTTATTGAACATTACCTTATGTCTTTGTAGTACCTATAAATTTGATTAAAACCTTTAAAACATTATTTTTGTATCATTTATAGTTTATGTTCGAAACCTCTAAAAATGGCAAATTTGAAAAACTTCTTGGATCGGTAGAGGCCTAAAGATGACAAATATTTAATTAAATTTTCTTATATTTGTAATCTATTCACAAAAACGCAACTTTTGATACCTCTTGCGTAGCCGTCGCTTTAAAAAAAAGAATCCCATACATTGACGGGACACCCTACTGTACATAAGTATAGCATACTTACGTTAAAATGATCTTCACAACAAAATACAACCGATAATGGAGATACATTATCCCTTCTCATCATCTTACACCATTTTTTTCGTACTTTCGTATCGCTAAATGGGTGCGTTTGAACGGCTCAATTTTATTCAATGTTTTAAATTTCATTTTGAAAAATTATTTGACTATTTTCAAGGCTATTTATATTTTTTTCCATGTTATAAAGATGTAAATGATTAATTTCAGCAATAAAAAAAATCGTGCATATTCCCTATTAGTGTTCTACAACCCATACTTGTACAAGAAGCTGTGTTCAGTTCTACATTACTTGTTATTTTAATCTCTTAGTGTCTGTGCCTAATAACTAGAATCATAATTTCATTGCCTGCGTGGCAAACACTGCTAATATTTTTTAAACATACAACATTTACACACATACACATATCAATGATAAAATTATTTACTCATTATTATGAAATGCAAGTTTATCATAAAATATTGAGATATTTTGAATTACAAAATAAATTGTTTTAACCATTTTTTAAAATTAATTAACTATATAACTGCTGTCATTGGTCTACTTGCACGGCGCGCATGCCGTCACTCAGAGGACACTTGTCTTCAGACTGTAAGGTCTCTTCCTGAGGAGCGCCAGTCAATTTGCTCAAGATCTCGTAGTGGGCTGCTTCCTCTTTGGATGGGCTAGTTTCGTCTAAACTGTATCTGGGGATAAAGGAATATATTATTATATTCATTCCTCTTACGGAGTAAGAATGATGATTTGAAATAGATTGATAACGAAGGGAAAATTTAATCTTTATCAGCCCTATTCTAATAAACTGTGATACTGCGGATCACATTCCTCTTCCTAGTTTTAGAGACACGTACGGCATGTAGTAGGTTAACTTTACAAATCTTCCAAGAGCATTTTGGGAAACTCACATGTATGCAGATAACCTACACTTTTAAGGCTTACATTACATCGCTGATATCGTTGGTGATAACTAACTTCTATCGCGCACATACTTGTAATAAGAAATGGGCAAGAGGAACCGAATTGACATCACAGCCGTGGTGCAAGTGCGTGGTGATAAAATCATAGAGGTAAGTGATTTTTATTTTGTTTAATTAACGGTTCGCCAACAACGTAACATTAAAAAGCTCATTAGCTCACTTAGATCTAAATGTTAAGTTTCTTGCAGGTAAACACATCATTATAAAGTTTAATAAGCTTAAGTGTAACCATAAGTTTAATGAGTTATATGTAACTATTTATGTGGTTCCTAATTATTCCTTAAACTGCAAAAAAAATCTCGTAACAGTCATAATAATTCGTAGTGGATATCAGCCTTGTCATATATATATATATAAATGTTAAGTTAATTTGTGTACGCTTTAAAAATTCAAGTTCTGCACCTATTGAGCTCAAATATTGACACGATATACAATCTGCTTTATTCATCTATTTTTCGTGCCAATTTTGATCCTCATTTCTTATCAATGCAACCACAATACGCTACAGCGAAGCGTGGATGGAAGGTTTATGTAGGCTTTAAAAACTTAAAAAGTCCTGCACCTCTTAAGCTCAAATTTTAACAAGATGTACAAACCGCTTCAAAAAAGGTTCTTATTTATTTTTGGCGCCAGTTTTTTTCCTCATTTCTCAACAATGCAACCACAATGTGCCACAGCGAAGCTTGGCAGGGTACAGCTAGTTCATTATTTTATTTAATCATTCGGAAAAGAGGTTCAAGAGTTTGAGCCAAGCAATGTTCTACGAAAGATACTGTAGTGTTATGAGAAAACAACTTACCCGCAAGCTTTGAAAAAGGCTGACGCGGAAGGATTGTGTGTGAGGGCAGTAAGACGTACATAGCGCATGTGGGTGGCATGCGCAAGTTTCTCGAGCACAGACAGAACCCGCTGTCCCAGTCCTTGGCGACGACCACCGGCCTCTACTTGAACCTCATAACTGTAACGAAATATATATTTAGCTTGATAGACATGAGTTAGTTATAAAAGATATATATATGTATATGATATTGTATACGAGTATAAATCATGAGAACTGTCAATTCTGTTTTCAAAGCACTCATTTAAACATATCAAAACTACTAACTTTGAATGTAGATTTTGCCAAAGTTGTTTTTTAACATATATGTAGCTATTATTATACATATATTTTTAGATTTTCTATGCACTTTAATCAGAGATATGAGATATCTTGCAATAATTTTAATTATTGTAAATCCAAAGTATATTTATTAGTAATATCAAAAAAAAGTATGCCGTTTACGATAAGAAACCCTTATATGATGGGTCAAACATGCTTTACTTCTTACCAACCGTTATGAATTGGTAAACGTTTGGCCTTTTGTAAACTGATCCCCACACTTTAAGGTCCGACGCCTACTATCGGCACGGCATGGCATGGGATCCTTCGGCATACCTACGCGCAGACGCACACTGACTGCAATTATCACCGAGAAGTCCTCAGGCATTTCAAAGTATGCTTGGGAATAGGCGGAGGACTGGAGGCTGCCACCCAGAGGAAGCAGCGAAAACTACAGGCGCCTAAGACCGCGGCTGTAGTGGTCACCCCGGAGGCGGCTGACAGCGGGCTGTCTTATGCCGTATTTAAAAACGCAAGGGATAGCCTCGCCAATGATTTCGGGACGGTAGGGGTCAGGATGCGCATCGTCCAGACGGAAGCTCGAGTCCTCGAGTTCCCTGGGGCTGAACGCGCAAAGACGGCAGACATGTTTGCTGAGAAGCTGCCTACCAGGTGCGCGGTGCTGCGCATCTCAGGCCTGGACGACTCTGTGCTAGGGAAGACGGGGTGCAACGCTGACAACATCAGAGTCGGCACCATCCGCCCTGGTCCAGGGGGTTGGTGCAGTGTGGGTCAATTGTCCCGTGGCATCTTCGACGCTGGCAAGATTCTCATCGGTTTCGAGAACGCCAGAGTCACAGTTCTGGCGGCGAGACCGAGGTGAGGTGTTTCAAATGTCTGGCCACGGGACATACTCGCATCAATTGCTGTTTTGACTGCGACTAGCGACTACGCCGTCGCCCATGGAGGAGGTTGTAGAGACGGTCCAGTAATGGACCAAATCTCCAACCTCCTTGTCCAGACGAACCTGAACTACTGTGCCGGTGCGCAGGATCTCTTTCGACAAACCATGGCGCAGTGGTCGATTGGTGTGGCCGTAACCGCGGAGCCCTATTATGTTCCTCCCCGTCCAAATTGGTTGGGTGACCGGGACAGCACCGTGGCAGTCGTCGGCTCCACAGCGGCTCATTCCCCGCCTTTGTCAAGGGCACTGGATATGTTGCCGCTGACTGGGGGGGATCACCATATATGGTGTTTATGTCTTCCCCAACTGTAGTTTGAGCGACTTTGAGGTTTTCCTCAACAACCTGGAGACCTCGATGCGACGACTAGCGTCTGGGCACGTCCTTGTTCTAAGGGACTTCAACGCAACATTCACTGCCTGGTATTCCCCCAGGACGAAGGCAAGGGGCGAGGCCGTAGAGGAGTGGGCGGCTTCTAAACAGAGGCTCCACCAACACGTGCGTGCGACAGCAGGGAGGGGAGAGCTCGATAGTGGACCTTTCGTTCGCTACCCCTGTCCTCGCCGCAGGAGTAAGGAACTGGCGTTTCCTGAATGAGGTTGAGACGCTCTCGGATCATCTTTATATTCGATTTGAGCTGTCCCGGACCCAGGACCCCAGTAGGGGTCACGTGGCACGGCGTTCCTCCTGCTTTTCGCAGTGGGCTGTTGCCAAACTGAACAGGGACCTACCAGAGGAGGCAGCCATAATTCACTTCTGGCTGTCTCCTCAGGCTCTGACCGAGGAGGTCGACGTGGGGGCTGGTCGCTTTCGCGATGTGTATACGCAAATCTCTCAAAATCTTTGATGCGGCCATGCCCCGCACCCGAGATCGTCGGCCTCCAAGGAAGGAGATCTACTGGTGGTCCCAGGAGGTGGCGGACCTCCGTACGGCCTGTACACGTACCCAGAGGTAATACACGCGCAGTCGACGGCGTCACCGCGGAAATGGTGAGGAGGACCGGCTTCATGAAGAGTACCGCGAGGCGCCGAAAACTCTGAGGCTGGCCATTAGTCGCGCCAAAGAAGTAAAGAGAAAGGACATGCTGCTGAGGAACTTTCAAGAGGCGGCGCGCCTGGCCACCAGCGGAGTCTCTCTGGTGGTCGGGCGCATTGAGGCGCTGGGATTACGGGTAGCCCTGGATATGACGGAGGCCCTCAATCCTGGTCAACTCGGTCCAAGTACCGGTTAAGGCCCTGATTCTCAACGGGAGGTGGTTCTTCGACGTGCACTGGAAGTTTTGCCTAATCTGGGTGGACCCAGCGTCAATGGGTCATGGTCAATGGCACTGTACGGTGTATCAGTGTGGGCGGCAGCTCTGACCGCTCAGAATAGAGCACGCCTTTGGCGCCCTCAGAGGATATTGGTGGTTAGAGCCAAACGCGGTTACCGCACCGTTTCGACGGAGGCGGCGTGCGCATTGGTCGGCACACCCCCGTGGGATTTGGAGGCGGAAGTGCTCGCCAAAGTATATGGCCCGGCATTTGGCCCCCGCCCAAGGAGATATACGAGGGGCGTGAGGCCGCTCGCCGAGCCACGATTGCTCGTTGGGCGTCCCAGCTCGAGGCTCCACGTGCTGGCTCTGCCGCCATGGAGGCGCTCCAGCCGGTCGACGTCGAGCGCGTCCGTCACGTCCGCGTTTGCCGGACTTCCCGTTGATGGTGCCCGCTCCATTGCGGGCAGGCGCTAGGAGGGGTTCGGATGTCTTAATAATAGCAGTTCCTAGATCTCTCCTATTACTCGCGCAGAGTGGCACACCGTATGGTTTTAGTCGGTCCGATTCCGACACAACACCCCGCCGTAAACCCCGGTGGGGTGAACCCCCTCGTAAAAAAAAGGTTTATTTTAGCGAACAAATTTCAGCCCCTGTTTGGTTTTGAACTTTCTTAAGGTCTTGTTTATTTCTGTACCAAAATTAATCAAATATAAGTTAGTGTTGCAGGAGTGAAAGTATAACAGACAGATAGGCAAACAGAGTTCTTTTCGAATTAGTATAGTTTATGTCTGTGTAGTATAGTGTAGTTTATGTTATAGATATTAACGGTAATAGATCATTTAAAACACTATGCTGTTTTCATGTCCTTATGCGTTTTAACCTTTTTTTCCTGATGGTTTAATGTTTTCTGTTAATTTAATGACGTGGTTAGTTTATCGCTATTTTTATTTGCATACGATGTCGGTCCCTCTTGCCCTATGACTCTAATAGCAATAAAGGTTACAAGATAAAGGTGCACGAATAGCACTAATGTGTAGAAGTTATTCGGAGGTTAATTCTTTCTTATTATTAGGCTTGTTACAATCGTGAAATTTTCCTATAAATATTACCTAAGAAATCATCCCTAGCCTTTTAGGGTCCTTTGCTGAACATCGAGCTACGCTAATGTGAGTACTAGTATACATGTATTGTATATTGATTAACTGGGTACTTCACCGGTTTAAGTCGGGGCGTCAAACATATATCTCAACACTTCAATGTAAAAACAGTCAAAGGCTTTGCAATAGTCCAGGCTCTTCTGTTATACATTTTTTTTAATTTATTCAACACTTAAACCTCATTAGTAAAACATAACATTATTGTTTTTTTTGGTCTTGTCAAACCACTAGGGTTTATAATAAGTACATTCAGTTCATGTACAGAAAATAGTCAATAGTGTTTGAGTGCTATATTTCTATATTTTAAACAAAAGACGTTCATAAATAAAATCTTTCAGGTCAAAAAACTAATACTAGCTATCTCTTAGCATACGAGAGTAGACAAATACATTTAACTGTGGTTGTGTAGTTTTACCCGTTGAAGACAAAAGGGCCCTTTTTCGTTCAATTTCGCATATCTCCGCAGCACATGGACGTGGCAAGGGTCCAAAAAAAGGAAATTATAGCTGAAAAGAGCTATATGGAGCCTAAATTTGTTCGCCTCAAGGTCTACTAAGAAAACTAGAATCTTGGAACTTTATAATGCTTGTTTTAGATTTTCGTTACGACTGTTTTTCCCTTAGTCGCAGACTGTCAAAAAGCAATAACAAAATATGTCCAAGTTTAATGTTGGCGTTGATTCTTGTTGAATTTCTTGCGTATGTCATGACCTACAGTAATAATAGAATTTATATATAATCTTTAATGAATTTTTTATCAAATAATCAGAATTTTAATATATGTACATATTTTTTTAAATACTATAATTTTAAATATTAATCAATATATTGCTTAATAATTTGTATGCCCAAATGGCAGATCATGGAATGAAGATCATTAATAATTATGTAATGAACACCTGTATGTAACCCATGTATCACAAATAAATGATTTGATTTGATTTGAAATATTTTTTTCGTTGTTTTTGTGAGTGTTGAGTACTCAAGAGAGGAAACAATCAAAATATCTGTATAAATATATCACAGAACTAGTATCTATAAATCATACATATAATTGACCAATGCAAACATTATTATGGACGCGTTGGCAGATAGCGAGATAACCTGATCTATTGAGCCACTGGCACTGGGTTTTAAAACTATATTTCGGTTTAATAATACATTTATTACAGTAAATCTATATTATACGTATATAAGTCCATTATACTTACAGTTTGTAATGATAACGCATGATATAATACCTACTTAATTAACAACAACTTAATAACAACAAAGCTTTTATACACCGAGAATTGAAACAACAATTATGATACATTATTATACACGGTGGTCACCCGATATTCTTAGGCTGCAATTATTTTTGATGAATGATTAACTTTCGATATTGTTTTTCTTTTTCATTACTTTTGCCATAATTATGGGGATTGGAATCTTTTTAAATCCAATAATCAACATATCCAAACAGACGGCCATTTTCGATGTCATCTCCCTAGTGGTCAAGATTCAGAACTTGTAGGTATGACTTAATTGTAGATTACACACGCTCGGCTGCCATCACTGATGCACTGTATGCACTTCAAATTTTTTTACAAACAAAATCTAGGTTTTTGCTACGTTCGTGGCTGTTCGTATAACATATACCTATATATGTATCTGCTTTGTTCACAAATGCGAAAGTAGAATTGACTTTTATCGCTATTTGCAAATATTTATCTTCCTACCACGACGGTAAATAACTAGACAGTTGTTTTGATTTTAATCACACTATCACCAAGAAAATGCTGATATTACAGCGTGTATCGTACCGTAGTACAAAACGATGATGCAGACTGAAAACAGAAAGCAAAGATTTACTGTCAAATATTGTGTTTTGTTTAAGCGACCATAAGAAGTATGTATGTAGTAGGCTTATTACACATGGGTTATTCATCATCATATCAGCCGAAAGACGTCCACTGCTGGACATAGGTCTTTTATTACGTGTTAAGCCGCAGTCCCCCTTGGGCCGTTACCCCAACGAGGTTTGCGGCAGGGTGGTCTATCGGAATCGGACCTACTAAAACACTATGCGTCTGTAATAGGGGAAACCGAGAACTGATATTATCAAGACATCCGGACCCCTTCTAGCGCTTAACCGCAGTGGCGCGGGCATCTCTTCCGGACACATTCTCTATTTAGGCGACGTCGGGCACACGGGTACGTCGCCTCCTTACTGCTGACCGCGGGTGGAGGGAAAAACCCGTCCCGTCTACCCGCGGCCACACTCAGTGCTTCCGCCCTGAGTGTGGCCGCGGGTAGCCAACAACTTCGAGCGTAGTCTCATATTTTCACTGGAGTGGCTGCGACATGGGCATGGTTTGTCATAAGTTTCGTCTTATAAATGTTCATTTTAAGACCCACTAGTTTAGAGAACCTTCTAAGGTCATGGAGCAATGTGGTCGCAACACAACATACAAGTACACAACACAAATTATTCGATAGGTAATTAGTGTCTTGATGCGATAGTCTCCAGAAAACCATGCAAATAATAAGAAGAACAAAAAACGAGAAAACGAAAAACTTACTAAATCTCCTGAAGCTATTCCAAAGTTGTAAGTTTCTAATCGCTCTAATTATTTCTTACAGTTTCACAATGCTGTGGAGTTTTAAAATTGGCAGAAAGATCAAATTATTGTGTTTGTATTGTGTACGTATAGTCCAAGAAAATAATTAAAAACAACTTAAAGTCAGATTATAACTGAAAACTAAGAGATAAACACTGCTGAATATTTTACACCATAACATCACATGTTGCACTTGAATATTTATCATGAACTACTATTATAATTATATGTAACTAGTTTAGGTCATCTCTAGTACTAGACATAGACATGTAACTTAAAACCAAGTAATGCATACTGGTATTCGAACAAACAATATGGCAAGTAGAAGACATCAACAATACTCTGTCTGGCAAGAGAGCGGGAGGATATCAACGGTTCAGAGGTTCCTACTGCCACTATTATCGGTTCCCTCCCGGAGCAATAATGTCAGTGTTTATCAGTAGCAAGTCTGCGATTTCAGACTAGACGGCCTCGCAAACCGATCCGAACAGCAGAGAGATGCAGGCGCGGCTTCTAAGTGTGGTACTGTGCTGGACGGCTGTATCGCAAGCAGCTCGACTGCTTGCTGTGTTACCGACTAACACTAAGAGTCACTATGTCATGTACGGTCGGATATTAGAGGCTTTGGCCAAAAAAGGCCACGAACTCACAGTCATCACACATTTCCCAATGGTACGTACATTTTATTTCACTTTATTATGACAGTTAGTTTTTATGCTTTTCATAAAAGGGTGAAATCTCTCTTTTCCGTAGGAGTTAATTTTTTTTACTACTTTTTTGAAACAAAATTTTAAGTATATTATTTTGTGTCTAAAATTAAAGAAAAAAAAAACTAATGTATAATCTTTTAATTATCTACGGGTGCTGTAAAGTCGTTATGGCCCAAAGCGGTTTTTCTAACTTACAAATTATAACCTACCTTAATAAGCATAAAAAAAAATTGCTCATAGATCCTGAGATAGTTTCGCTAAACCGTACGACTAAAACTTCAGTTTTACATTTCACCGGTATAGAGAAACCCTGTACATTACTTTTTCTTCTTATACTTTAGATTTGATATATATTTATATTAAGTATACGTACCGAAGCTGTGAATTCATGACTGTATTATTAAGTGAGTAATGAATTGTATTCAATGCCCAAACATCTAAATTAAAGATTATAGAGAGGAAGAAACATGTAACAAAATTATAGAGTAGTAGATTTTTAAGGTTGCTGGAGAATTCCATAGCTTTCTAGTAATTTTTTTATGAGATCCTCGCAAATATCAACATCAATTTATTGGCAAATGTAACTATCTAACATCTAAATAGTATGGAACAGAAGTGTATGCGTAAGGCGTCTCAAATCATTAACACCTAATCAAAACAAAAATTGATAAACCCAAATATTACTGGATGGATATTTAATGTAAAATAAACATTTTGCACTATTTAGCCTTAACTTTAAAATTAAATACCGTGTTGCAAAAGTAAAACACCTACTTTTGTTACATTTGCTTCCCTTACAATCTATTTTAAGCAAACAGTTTTAGCTTAAACAAATAAAAGTAAAATATTGTTAATCTAAAATATTATTAATCAATTGATAAACTTCAGTTTCACGGAATTTTAAAGTTAATGAAAAAAGAGGTTGTTCTCTGATACCATCTTGACATGGTAGAAAATGTGAACATTTAAGATCGATCGTCGAAGATCTCAAAAGAATTGCTTTTAAGAAGTTTGTGTTAAGGACGTACAGTCAGGTGTTGAAGTTTCTTTGTCGTTATTGATCCCAAAACCTAGTAGTTTTTATGAACAACCTGAAAAAGTTCATTTTAATATGGATATCTTGTTTGAAATAAAAACAACCTCGGTGACTTTTAAGACAAAAAGTTTCAATTTTTTTTTGGTTACAGAAAAAGCCGCTGCCGAATGTAAGGGAAATAAGCGTGGCAGGAACAATACCCGAAATCAAGAATAATCTAAACTCCATAAAACATGACTCTATAAAACCAGATTTTATTCGAAATTTGGAACAAATATTTACAGAATGCGTTGATTCATGTGACATTGTATCACAAGTGCCTGCAGTTAAAGCGTTATTTAACTCATCGCAGACTTTTGATCTAATCATAGTTGAAGTGTTCGGAAGCGATTGCTTCCTACCACTAGGAGTTAAGTACAAAGCTCCTGTTGTCGGATTATTATCGAGTGTGCCACTCCCATGGGTTAATGTGCAATTAGGTAACCCAGAAGCTATTTCCTATGTACCTTCTTACATGGTTGGCTATGGACAAAGGATGACTTTATGGGAACGACTTTCAAACACTATTTCTGTAATTATAGCCAAAGTTTTATACACATACAAGTCACAAGTTCCTTCGCAGGTTAGTAACGAAAGCATTTTTAAGTGAAATTTATTGAAAGCTGTGACAGTCCAGTGGTAAATGGTGAACAGGCCACCAGTATAATGAGTGATTTTTTTTGCAACTTAGCTTTGATGGTCAAGGCCAGCATGCAGAAATGTACAGTACATATTTGTTTTTGTTAGGTTATCGCAGATCGTCTTTTTGGACCTGGACCGAAGTTGGAATCATTGGCTCAGAACTACAGCTTGGTATTATCGAACAGTCATTTCAGTATTAACGAAGTACGCCCCCTAGTTCCAGCACTCGTGGAAGTTGGCGGATTACATTTAAGCGACTCACCGACACTACCCAAAGTGAGTTGATTTCTTATCTCAAAATAGGACATGGGCTCTTTTTGACATTTCATCGATAGATTGAGGATTGGTTGCAGATGTCAAAATCTCTACCATAAAGAAGGTCTGCACGAGCACTACAAAAATACGTCCCATGGGTACTATTGTAGGAGAAATTAGTATACGGTAGATATTTCATTTTCGTAAATATTTATCACCATTATTTATTGTTCGGCCTATCGCGTACCTAAAATACTTATCACAAAAACCAGTTTCTAGTCATTACTAAATAGATTTATGCCCTTTTGTAGATAGAACAAATAACGGTGACAGATACTGTTTATGAATAGTTTGGGTTAAATAATTTATTCAATAGTGTGGTCTCATTAACCATCATTAAAAGCCTATAACACTGGACACAGGATTCTCCTTATAAAGGAGGTTTTGGCCTTCTATACCACACTGGCCAGACGGGTTGGTATAGTGTTTGTGTACTACCAATAATAACAGATTAACATTGATTCCATATTCTAAATCGAGGAATTGATGAATTACGAAGGAATATTAAAGCAGTTACTTTTTATATATGGTACTTTTCAATATTTATGATTCCCCACAGAAGTTAAAATAATATCGAGTAATCTATTTATCGTTTGCATACTAAACGCGCTTATCTTTAAAAGAGCGATTTTAAAGGTAAGCGCGTTTGGCGTAACTATTCGAGAAATCTCTTCCCACGAGCGTTTTCTGAACATAGTCTTAATCCCCTTAGAAGGGGACTAAGGGGAGAAAAAGTCCTGTCGTCTATATCATAGTACGTAGACGTACTATGATATAGACGACAGGACTTTCTCTGTATAGCTTTATCTAAAATGAGGTCAACACTACAGAACAACATTGCACAAATTAAGTATAACAATAAATAATAATAACACGGTGTTATAAAAACAGTAATATGTAAACAAAAACTACTAGATAAAGTTATTGTTGCATATATTAAAGTTCATAAGTTACAATGAACCTTTAGGTAGCAAGTTGTTTACTGTTTGGTAACCTTTAAAACGCTCCTACTAAAACACCGTAGCTTCATAATAATAGTAACTTATTATACCATAGATTGTTACAATTGTGAAATTGAGCTGCAATTAGAGCTGGTATGTCTTTCGCAAACGTATCTCTGAACCGAATCTCTGAAACGCAATGAGATAAAGCAAAAAATCATACCACTAGTGTAGAGGGCTTCTTTTTATTTTACAAGTGTCAACTTTTAAGAACTAAGAGTTTGAGGGCAAAGTATGGACGTACATGGTCAAACTATAAGTCATTCCTTTGTTGTAAGTTACGGAACTCTATAAATTACTCATTTTTCGAATTGCTAACGGATCACCTGACCATAGCAATAAAATAAAAACAAAAACAATCAAAGAATTTTAAATGAGATTGTTTACTTTTATTAAAACCATTTAGTGCCATCATGAAGAGATCGGATAATTAACCTAAATTAGATAATGCAATAGGGAAAAAGTTTATCTTATTGACCCAGGACCTAAAGGCAGCAACAACAGATAGTGTCAAACTATGATTCACTTGAAAAGTACTTAAACTTTAAGATTGTTTATACAAGGATGTATATATAAGGGTTTGATCCGTCCTTGAGTCTAAATTATGGCCGGACTCTCTGGGTATGACTTGGCCGCCTGTTAGAGAGCTGCGCGTATAACATGCCTCACCGCTGTCTTGAGTCTGCTTCTACAAGGTCAACAGACAACCCTGTCGGTTGACATCTGGTGTGTCTTCAGCGTGAGGGAAGACTGATAGTTCTCACTTGTTCCCTTTACAATTTCTTTACCATTCACTACTAACTCCAACCATCATAACCACGGTCTAAAGCAGTAGGTTACCCACACCGATGTCTATATTGGCTAAGACACATTTTTGTTTGGCGATCCTGATATATAAAAAACTCAACAATATAAATTATTTTACCGTTAGTATTCTTCTAAGGTACAATAAGTTACAAAACTTTATTCATCGTCGTATTGTATTTAAAATTTGCGTCGCCAAAAATATACCGTATTACTTCAGTCAAAAAAGTATCGGAAATGGATGATTTGTTTATGGTTCCAAATTCAAATTTTTTTGTTTTTGTTGTTGTTAGATTGGCACAACTGTGTCCATTGTGGCGCAGAGTTTATCAAAAACACGTGCTTATGAGTGGTACAAAGCGTTCAAAAGCGGTCGCGATGTGATGGAAGATTTGCCTCGCTTTGGTAGGCCATCAACATCAGCAACTCAAGTTAACATCGCGAAAGTGAAGAAAATAGTGACTGAAAAACCTCATTCAACAAGAGAGATAGCCGCCGAACTTTTTGTATTTCAAAAGTCGATTCGTACCATTTTTACTAATCATTTGGGTATGAAACATGTTACCGCTCGGCTAGTCCCAAAAGACCTGAATTTTCTCCAAAAACTCAATCGCATGAGAGTCGCTAAGGACATGCTAGAACAAGTCCATTCCGACCCTACATTAATGAAACGCATTGTTACTGGTGACGAGACGTGGGTTTACGAGTTTGACATGCAATCTAGTCAACAAGCTTAGTCTTCCGAACCGAAACCGAAAAAAACCACGCCAAAGTCGATTAAAAGTCAAAGTCATGTTGACTGTTTTCTTTGACTATCGCGGTGTTGAGCACTCGGAATTCTTGACGGAAGGTCAAACGGTAAATAAAGAATATTATTTGAACGTTATGCGGCATTTAAGAGCAAATTCGACGAAAAAGGCCAGATTTGACAAAGAATATTCTTGGATTTTTCTTTTTCCTAAACTCAAATTACCACTTCGTTGCACCCGTTTTCAATTCGGTAGAATTCGCGGCGAGAACTGAACTCAATTCCGGAAACAGCGTTTTAAAAATCTTTTGATGATTGGATTATTCGTTGGCGTATGAGTATCGTTTCTGAAGGAGCATACTTTGAAGGTGATAAAATAAATTTGGATTAATAACAAACATTTTGTGTATTATTGATCTCTGCCCGGTACTTTCTTGACAGAGTAGTATATGGGTAGAAATAATGGTTTACTTCTTTACAGGACCTAAAAAAACTGTTAGACGCGGCAACGGAAAATGTAGTCTACTGGAGTTTCGGATCGATGTCTAGAATCGAGACTATACCGAACGACGTGTTATCAAAAATATTTAACGTAATTTCAGAATTGTCTCAGACAGTTCTCATTAAAATGGACAGAAGGATGCTCTCTCAGAATCTCACCGTGCCTGACAATGTGTACGATATGAATTGGATACCACAACAAGCTACGTTATGTAAGAAATTATTTAAGTTTTAAACTGCTTAACGATTCTCGTTATCGTAAGAGACGGCAGTACTCTATTTTTTTTTAACACCTACGAGGACTGCTATTTATGTATCCGTAATAACAAAGTGAAACAAACATATAGAATTTATTATGACTTATTGATTTTCAAAATATTCGCCGTGATGATCGATGCGCTTTTGCATACGTTGGAACCAATTATCGTAGTACTTTTTCCATTCTGATTGTGATATTTCCAAAACGTACATTTTGAACGCATCAACAGCCTCTTCACGGCTCGAAAAACGTTGACCACGTAATTTGTTCTTCACGGTTAGGAATAAATAGAATCGTTGGGGGCCAAGTCAGGCCTGCACGGTGAAAGACCCGTTAATTCGATCTTTTGATCCTCCGAATACCGAGTTGTTTCGGCCTATGTGTGGCAGCTAGCATTGTTATCATGAAGAAGGATTCTGTGTTGTCGGTTATTCATTCTTATTTCTTCAAAGACTTTTGGCAAACAAATGGTCGTGTATCATTCAGAATTAACCATTTTACGATCCTCTAGTGGCACTATAGCCACATGTCCAAAAACAAGCAACCATTTGCTTTAAAGTGCTTTTTGAACGAAAGACTTTTGTTGGGTTCGGCTCATCTTGGGACACCCAAACCGTTGATTGTTGTTTAGTTTCAGGATCATACTCACATATCAAAGATTCATCACCTGTGTAGATATTATAGACAGCTTTTGACGCACCCTGATTTTACTTTTGTAACATTTTTTTAAACAAACTCGACACGAGCCCGTTTTTGGTAAATTCTCAAGTTGTGAGGAATCCAACGTGAACAATTTTTTTACAGCTAAATGTTCGTGTTATATTTTATATATACTCGTCATACTTATTCCTAGATACTCCTCTATCTCGCGATTTGTAACATGACGATCTTGCATTATTAGTTAAAGAAACAGCATCAATATTTTGAGGTACAACAACCGATTTAAGACACCCTTCTTTAAATTCGTCCGTGAGCGCAGACCGCTCTCGATTGAACTCACTAAACCACGAAACCCACACTTACTATTGATAGTGCTTCGTCTCCAAAAGTCGAAGTGAGTTGACCGATGCACTGTTTTTGAGTTAGCCCTCGCCGAAAATCGTAATAAATCATAGCACGAAAATTTTCACCAGTTAAATACATAGCCTTAAGGACGCAATTTTTTAAATGAGGCCACAAAGGATAAACAAATGACAGCTACATGAAACAAATTGTATTCTTCAGCCCAAGAGTTCCGTGTTTTATATTATAATTACTATTTTAATATTGTTCTGTAACTGTCTAGTTGCGGATACATAAATAGCAGCCCTCGTACAACATACATTTTGCAAAGTGATCTTAAAAAATATTGTACTTATGTTACAGGTATTGTAGACCACAACGTTAGTCACAAATTAACACAAATAAGTATAAAATATAATATTAAACACGGTCACATTTTTACAGGTTGGAATATACATACATTAGTCGTTAAAGTTACGCAGTTTGTTAGTGGTAATCATTACCACTAACTACTACTTAATAGTTTGGGATTTTTATAACCTTTTAATTACTTTAATGAGACAAATAAAAACTGTGTACAATTGGCGGAAACCTAAAAGTACCATACACTATAAATGCTATTGCAACTAACTTATGATTAAAATTTTTGTATAAATTTAATAACATTTTTGTACAGGTCATCCAAACGTGAAATTATTTATATCTCACGGCGGTTTACTTGGGACACAAGAGGCTGTAGCTTGCGGAGTGCCAATGCTGATGGTGCCGCTTTATGCTGATCAAGCGCTTAACGCACGAGAAATGGCAGATCGGGGTGTAGCAAAAATTGTAAAACTCGACGAGACAGACGCAGACAATTGGAGAAAACATTTACATGATTTATTAACTGACCCAAAGTAAGTATAAAATCGATTTTTCATTATAGAATTATCTTTTTATTCATTCTTAATAATGTAATAAAACACGAAACTAATCGGTGTGCAATTTTTTAAGTTCGGGAGATATTTTTATATCCATAATATTGCCAAAGTAGAACTCCATTCCCATTAGCAGTAAATCATAACGAGTTGGAAATATTCGCCTAGAACGGATGTTGCGTCAGGATGTTAAGGTAGGATGGGGTTTACAAAGTAGCAGTACTAGCGTCGTTAGTGCATCTTGAATATTAACTTGTCCATCTGTTTACGTTATTATTGTAATACCGTCCCACGGGATTGAGACAGTTTATAGGTAGGATAGGTACCTATGAGTGGCCCCGGTAGTGAAAGTGTTAATGGTTAATTTTGAGACTAACTAAAATAATTTAATTTAGAATGAGTGTCATTACTTTATTGAAGTAATTCTCATACAGACGATTCAGCACCTAAAGGCGCATAGGCATATAGTGGTAGGTTCGTAGTATGTGTAAATAATATTATAAATGCGAATTTTAGTTTTTCCTTGTTAGTTTGTTATGCCTTAACAACTACCTATGTAAAATTTTGCATAAACTTTGTCAGGTATGTACAAAATGACATATATTTCATTCAGTAAAAAATGTACTATTTCTAACAGATCTATATGGAAGCGCTGCAGGCTAAATCTAGTAAGTCTATATAACAATGTTTACAAGTTTCTAAGAGACAAAAGCTGATCTGTAAAAGATAACCTTTGGTCACGTATATTAGACCAATAACCTACTTAATTGGCAAATCACCTACCTTATCGTAGCGTTTACTTTACAAAGAGTATCGAGAAAACCTTTACGTTTGTATATGCACATATACTTACTTGTATATACAAGTTTGATTTTTATTAAATAATCTTAGAAAAATGAGACCTGTAATGTTACTTTGTGTTTACAGGGAAAGAGAGCATTTGAGAAAAATGCGCACATGGGGCAGACATAACAATGTACCATGAAATTGTAGTCATAGTAATAATATAATATTATATACTATTTAGTATTTTGGACATCTGACACACAATGTCATCTAGTTTCAAACTAAGTAGAGCTTGTACTAAGAAAGCTAGATTGACTAATGAATACTTATCTACTTTTTTTATAAATAAATACATAATATACATAGAAAACACCCAACAAACATTTGGTCCGACCCGGGAATCGAACCCGAGACCTCAGCACAGCAGTCGCATTTGCTACCACCGAGGCAATCATAGTTCGTTTGAGACATGTAGATGTTTGCTACATGGCAGCAGAATATATCCAGGCACTACATGCTAACAATTAAAATCATTTTATTAATTTTCAGGTACAAAGAAAACGCAATAAAATTGAGAGAAGTGTTCCTAGATAGGCCAATGAAACCTCTAGACTTGGGAATCTACTGGATCGAATATGTACTAAGACACAAAGGCGCCACACATCTTCGCTCGCCAGCGCTCGACCTGACGGTATCCCAATATCTTTTGCTTGACGTAATCGCACTTGCAAGTGCAATAGCATTACTAACCACATTCATATTACATAAGCTATTTAGATATCTATGTACCAGGTGCATCAAATGGCGCCCAACAGAAAGACTTATATTTGAGAAGAGATTGATAGAAAGGCATTTTAATTTCTTTCTATGCATCCTATGGAAGTATAAAATAAAGACAAACTGAGCTAAATTCTTTAAATAGCTTCATCTTCATGTATTATAATTTTGTTAATGTGTAAATACTATTATAGAATTGAATATTACTAAAATTAAGATACTAAAATAAAGAAGTTTGCACTTTGTTTAGTTTTTTTAAAGCATGAGCACACTCCTCACATGCCACCCTTTTGATATGCCACTACACTGTAAAGTGCTGTCACCGGTAAGCACTGTAAAGTGTAACAGCATATGAGAGGTTAAGTTCTTATAGCATATGAGCATATATTATGACGAATGTTCTGATTCAATATAATACATGCTCTGGTCTTTTATTTCAGGCAGCAATGAAGTTAGAAGAATTACAAAGCTATTTTATTTAACTTATAAATATACATAAAGTCTTACCAGTACAAAACAGGATCTCCAAAGTCCATGTCAAATCTGAAATGGGAAAAGGCTAGAAGTGTTCCATTCTTTTCTTTTGCAATTAAATACCATGCACTTTCATCTGTCATCTCCTCCACTTTGCGCTCCTTATTCCAACCCCAAGCACATGTAGCATATCTGAAATCATAATTTCTTGTCAACTGTTGACATTTCTTAAATTGTTGTATGTTGGAGGTAAGGTGGTGATGGAATATTTTTTTACAGATCCTACCATAAATAAATTTCTTCACAATTTGATAAGTAACTTAGATAAATTACATTCATGTTGCTTGATGTTAGTATTGTTTTAGGTGGTTTATAACTGCAATCTTTTGATTGAATACTTTCCTACATTTTGTTGTGAAGACAAATAAAGTAATTTTTTTTAACAAAATCTAGATTTTTCCACTTGACTAGCAGTGATATAAAGTTTAAGTAATCGTCAGCAGATAATGTATTAATAACTTTTCCTGTCCACCAATCAAGATCAAGCCTTTTTTCTAACTGCTTAACAGTTATAACTATCTTAGTGTCTTTACATCTGTTTGATGGATATTTTCTAAAGTATAGTAAGGGTATAACTTATCATCAGAAGGAATACAGCTGTTTAATAAATTCAAATAGTTGTATAAAACATTACAACTAGTATCAGTGTATTACCAAACCTTTCTTTCTACAATTTACCAAAACAAAATTTATTCAAATGACAAAAATCAAGCAGGAGGGCTATAAAGGTGATCAAGTCATCATACTACAGGTTGAGGAAAATATGTAGTGTTAGTGTAGAATGAGTGATCATATTTGAAGTAAGTATGTAGTACATTGGTTATTTTATAATCATTGTAAATATGACTGTACCGATTACAGTGCTCTCTCAGAATCTTTTTCTATTCACTAATTTAAGCCACTCCTATTGGCCAGTCAGATTGTCTTTCTAAATTAAATTATTTAAAAAAAGACAAGATATTTATTATTTACAATGCTTACAATTGTTTCATATTTCTTTCAGTCAAGTCTATAGCCCACTGGAGAACATTTTTGTCAAGTTCAGTGACTCGATGCATGTACATATCGACTTCGAGGTCTTTATTCCGGTAGACTAAAAGCTCATTGCACAGCGACGCTAGGTCTTTTATTTTGTTAGCTAAAGTTACATGAGACATCCCATCCGCAATACGACGTTGTTCAAGCTTCCGTGCTTGACGCTTTTCTTTGTTTTTGTTGACATTTGCCGGTGCCTTTTTCTGAAAATGTACATTTTGATTAGATTGAATAAAGAAGGGCTCGTGACGAAGTGCATTTTTAATTACGCTATCTATTAAGACACGCACTTACTCCCATTTACAAAATTTGAAGATCGTACTTCTCGATGGCGGGTTAGGATACTAGGTCTTATATTTAATAATTAAAGGCGGGAAAACACATGCGACTATATTTTTACAAATTAATTTATTTATATGTCATTTGTCAATGTCACTATAGTCAATGAAATTGTTAAATTGTATCACAGATTACTATAATGAAGCAAGGCTACAAGAATAGTGTATAGTTGCCAACCTATGTATATATGTTTTTTTGAAAGACATCAAAATATAACTAAGAAATTACATAAGAATAGTTTAAGTGTGACATCAGTCCTATGGAGCATTTTAAGATTTTAGCACTGCTAGACAAAATTTACAACATAGTTTTGATTAATTGGTAATGCTATTTTTTTATTTAAATAAAACACGTTAAGCTATGAAGCACCGTTTCAAACGAAATTATGCTTCAAAGTATAAATGTTCTTTAATTTTATCATTTGTTGTAATAGTGTGTGTATTACAAAAAGCCAGGGTAACAAAAAGAGGGCATAGCGCTCGCTTCCCTGGCTTTAAATACGCTTTTTCTTTCGTGAATCGAAACTCCTTTTAACTTATGTCCTATGTATCGTATGGTTGTTAGTTATAGGTAAAGAAATAGTCAGTGCCACAAAGGTTAAGAACTTTACCAAAAATAATTTAAACATGTGTTAGGGTAGTGACTGTCAAGTCAAATCAGTATTTTTTTTTAAATGTCAAAACACTAGACACGGTAAATTTTTGTATGAAATATAGAGCTGTTACAATCTGGAATTTTGAAACCGAATTGAATCAGTTTGACAATTCGTGCCAATCGGTTTCAAACCGAACCGTTGAAATTACAGTAAAACGCGGTTTGAACCGTATGACGAGTTAACCAGCGAATGTTACATATGAAAGTGATGTGCAACATGATTCGACGGGAACGATTAAACCATTGTTTTACGGTTTGTCAATGGTTCGCAACCAAGTTTACATACCAGCGTAAAACTTGACATTACTTATACTAACCGACTACCGACGCGGCGACTATTTGAATTGATTGCTAGTTTGTTTAGATCTAAGGGCAATACAACAAACTACCCAGTCAAATAACACGATTATCATGTCTTCTTTTTCGCATTTGATGGATAAAAGAAAAATATGTCCGTTAGATCCAAATGGTTAGTAAATCGGTTCATGTATTAAATTATATTTAAACTGATGACACGTGCTATCTTCGAAAAATCGTAGTATTTTCATACTGATTACACAATTGGATCCCATTGGAGATCTCCTTCCCGACCCTATAAGTCTCTGTCTCGAGAAGGATGCGACCGTGGTAAAAGATCTGTTGCTCCTAGCCATTTGGTGTATGTGATAATCAAGCACACGACTTCTGGCTCAGCGGCCCATGACTATATCAACAATCTATTAGAAGTTACGCCTTCAAGTTGACAGAAAACTACAGGAATCAAAAATTTTTGAAACCATTTTTTCACAACTATAATTTAATTTTTTTTCACACACTGCGTCCATTATGCTAGTTTCTTTTTTTTTGTTGGCGGGGTGCCAAATCCCTTCGGCTCTACTGCTCCTCGGGGACTCAGGAGCCAGGAGTATGTAGTGATTCCACTAAAAACCACCCCGACGACGGCCGGCCAGTCAGGTGCCATACTACGGTGGACCCGGAACATGTTATTTGAGGCCCTCCATTATCCTAGTTTCTTAAGTTTCAGATATTGTCTTTGGTTGGCAATGTCCGCGAATTTCGAATTTATCTAATACGTCATTAGAAAATCAATAACGATGAGTATGTATTAGAAGCATTTTAGTATTTATATGAATAACATTGATGATTTTATTAGCAATAATTTGAGCAATAGACAACCTATATACCTACTTCAATGCATTTGTTTTTCAATGTATCGTTCTCTAAAACAATATGCGATTAGCTTTTTTGGCCGACTGCCAAATTTAATTCTGTCAATATTCTTTCAGCTCCAGTTTCTAAATTCACGTCTTGGTTACGCTGGTGCTTTGGAAATTCAGTGATACATTATCATAGTAATTTGAAAAATATGAAATACATAAAATTGTCTCAAACGAACGATTTAATGCCTACGTTAGGTTTAGGGACATGGCAGGTACGTACGAATGTTTAGAAAAAAATAGCTCCGTATAATGTGAAATTAATAATTAGATAAGTTATTTATATTTATTAGGCACCACCAGATGTCGTAGAATCTGCTGTTTATAAAGCTTTAGATTTGGGATACAGACATTTAGATACAGCGTTTAATTATAACAATGAAGAAGCTATTGGCACAGCAGTGACAAAATGGATTGATGACGGGAAAGGTGCGAGATCTGATTTGTTTATTACTACTAAGGTATGCATTTATCATAAACTTGCTAGTCAATATTTTACACAAGACTAACTCTGGAATCTATATTATTTCCAGCTTCCACATGTCGGCAACAGGGCATCAGACGTGAGAAAATTTCTGAATTTGCAACTCGAACGGCTGCAAATGAATTATGTTGACTTGTATCTAATTCACGTGCCCTTTGGATTTAAATGTGATCCAATATCTCTTACTCCTACTGTCAAAGAAACTGGAGATTATGAATTAGACATGGATACTAATCATGGCTTAACTTGGCAGGTATATACCTTATCGATAAATGTACAAATGTACAGCTTTTTCCGAGGCCAGAGATATTTTACCTCAGATACTTACTGGCAGTATTCTTCCTTTTTAAGGTCATGGAAGAGTGTCAAAAAGAAGGACTGATTCGAAACCTTGGCTTATCGAATTTTAATGAGAAACAAACTGAAAACATTATAAAAAACGCTCAGCTAAAACCACAGGTTTTACAAGTCGAACTGCATGCTTACTTTCAGCAGGTACAACTTCGCAAATTTTGTGAAGACAATCACATAGTTTTAACTGCGTATGCGCCTCTCGGTAGCCCTGGAGCAAAGACGCACTTTGTAACAAAATATAAATATAGGTATATAATATGACGGTTTATTCAGACGTAATGATATTTTAACGAACATTCTTACGACGTTGCTTGGCTTTGTTTCAGCCCTAGTGCTTTTCCAGACTTACTCAGTTTGCCAGAAGTAAAAGGGATTGCAGACCGCTATGGGAAAACACCTGCACAAATATTGCTACATTTTTTAGTGCAGGAACAAATTGTGGTGATCCCCAAAAGTACGAATGAGCACAGACTAAAGGTATATAAAAAATATAAAAAACACCTTCTAAATTGATATGAAAATTTCGCGACTCGCATGCACATTAAATGTATCGGAACTTCGACGGGATAACATTCATTTATTGTACTTTACATATTGTACCAATCGTTGTCAAGAAAGGATGACATTTATTTAGTTGCAAGTTTTGGTAAACGCACTTTGTATTCATTCGGTTTCGGTATTTCGACAAAGTTATGCTCACGATGATCATTGCTTCATAATTTTGATATTCTGCTTCCAGCAAGTGTAGCTTTCGAAAACATGAAATTTTAGTTACTATTCAAATCATCAAACAAACAAGCGTCAATAGAAATAAATAATAAAGTAATAATATTAATATAAAGTACGATTTGATTGCGGCAATGATTCGATTAAAAATCACTAATCTGTGAGATATATTCCTAACTTGGTACTTGAACTTTCTTTTTAGGAAAACATGGATATATATGATTTTGAGTTAACACCAGAAGAAATGGATTCTCTGAGGAAGTTAGACAAAGGAGAAGATGCTCGAATTTTTAATTTTCTGTTCTGGAAAGGAGTCGAAAATCATCCTGAATATCCTTTTAAGTTGGACCAGACTGCTGAAGTATAGAATCATAATAAATGCATACATTGTTCATAACATTCTGTGTTAGTTGAAATGTATATTATCATGAGTCATAAATTAAATTATTGTTCTGATTGGCTTTTTAGTAATAATACGATCAGTTAAACTGATTTAAAATGCAGCTTTCCATTTGCTTTAAGCAGATTTGGATGGGACTAAGTCTTGTCAATATATGTGGCCTTTAATAAATAAATTAGATGTTTGTTTTTTTTTATTTCACCTGGTATCTTAGACTTGACACACTAAAAGACAATATTAATTATGAAAGCCTGTAAAGCATTTTTCGTTGAAGTCGATGCTGTAGCTCTCCACGCCTTATCATCGTATGAATGACCTTAAAGATAGCTCTCTCAGGATACTTCTGTTTTAAGAAATCTTGAATGATGGTCTGTTCCGATACTTGTGAGCCTACAGCGAACCTGCGCTTTAACTGTTTTTCAATACGAGATAGCATCTCATGATCTTCTTCCGAAGTGAAACCTTCTGCTCCTAAAGAGAAATAAAGGTTAAATTAATAATTATTGCCATTTAATTTTAGTTAGTGTGTGTATATTAGTAATAGTTGAAATTTTAAGGTAATTATTACACTGCACCGCGTTTTGTCGTTTTCACAACCTTAAAATAATAGGCTAGTTGACTCAATTTGAAAACTTGGTTAATTATAAACTTTAATATCTATTTTATCCCAAAAACCTATATTTTAAAGAAAAAGCAATATTTACATTCCGTATTTTGTATTCAAAAAAACAATTTAAATTTCCCTTGAAAACGCTGAATAGTGTCCATGGCGTCTTGTATGACGTCACAGTCTGCGAAACAAAACAGTTTACATGTGTCCAGTGTCAACTGAAACTGTATTAAGGTGAGAAAATACTTATGCTAAAAACGAAAAACAATAAGGAGTAACCTTCTCTGTTGTATGAAAACGTCAACAATAACAATGATGTTTTGCGTGGCGTGACGTAACACTTTCTGATTGGTGTTCGCTGTCACGTGATAAATATTAATAGCCTTTAACTTTTAAGAGATATAGACTGGTTTTTTCTTACCTATGTCTCTTCATTAATTATTTTAAACTATAAACCAAGCAATTTGCTATGAGTGGACCTATTGTAGCTTACCAGCTAGGCTGCCAGTCATTGCTGCATCTAAAGTTGACACTTGGAATAAGCGAAGCGATTCAGTGACGTGAGTTTCCGTAGCAAACGGTAGAAGTTGCATCTTAGCTAAGGCTTCAGATATTCTTATGACAGCTTCCAATTGCCTGAAAATAATGTGTCTGATTGGATGCCAGTTCAATAGTAGTAAACGTACATTATATGTTTGTCATCAAAACTACACTCATAAGCACTACCTACTAGGTAGGTAAGGTATTTTTTAGAAACGCATTTCTATTGACCGATATTGAACCTGGATAACCGAGTACAAAATAAACGGTATAAAGCATTACTTTTATTTATATATGCATTTTTTTAACAATTGGTGTGACTTTATATTACTATGTTAAGAGTGTAAATAATCTACGAATTTTTAAACTAATAGTCCTAATGCGAGGTACCTGACTGTGATCGGAATGGACAGGCGCTTGTCGATTTGTCTCTCGTGGTGCGAGGCGCCGCTGCGCATGAGCACGTAGCGCGCGCGCAGGCGCTCGGCGGCGGCGGGCGCGAGGCGCGGCCCGCAGCGCGCGCGGCAGTACGCCGAGTAGCGCCGCAGCAGCGCCAGCGGCAGCTCGCCCGCGCTCATCTCGCGCTCCGCACTGTCCCCGCCCATGTGCACCGATATTATGTGCTTTGCTAATGTCTGCAACCGACATTTTTCGATTAATGCGACAACGGAACTATTTTAAGATTCTCCATTTTACGTTTTAAATATGTTTACTAACGATATCTCTGTTTTGATCGTGTTCATCCTTAACTATAAAGATCATGTCAAATCTTGACAGAATAGTTGGCATGAAGTCGATGTTGTCGTCCGCCTTGGTGTCGTCCCATCGCCCGAACACCGAGTTGGCAGCCGCGAGAACGGAGCACCGGGAATTTAATGTCGTCGTGATACCGGCCTGCGAACCAATAAATCATTATCAGTTAACCAAAATTAATCAATTCATATATACGTTTCGGTGGCATTCTATATATTTATTTTACCTTAGCGATCGAAATTGTTTGTTGTTCCATAGCTTCGTGTATAGCCACACGGTCGTCTTCACGCATTTTGTCAAATTCGTCGATACATACAACGCCACCGTCTGCGAGCACCATCGCTCCGCCCTCCATTACAAAATTACGCTGTAAAAATACCGAATAAGAAACTTGAAGTTGTGAAATTTTATAGGAACAGTATTTAAAAATCATTATCGTATTCTAAAATATTATCAATAAACATAATTACGCTGCCAGGGTCCCTGATGACGGAAGCGGTAAGACCAGCAGCACTTGAACCCTTTCCTGATGTGTAGACGCCAATGGGAGCTACTTTTTCTACGAACTTCAAAAGCTGAGACTTAGCTGTTCCAGGGTCACCCAATAAAAGGATATTTATATCTCCACGACGAGTGAGGCCATCTGGTAATCTTTTCCGTGAGCCTGTTTAATTACATTATAAATTATACATATAAGCTTTATTATGTACTAAGTGCATAAATAAGCCAACATGAATTTGAAAAAAAAAGCAGTGCATACCACCAAATAAAAGGGTGGCAATAGCTTTCTTCATATCAACAACACCAAATACGCTAGGCGCTATCGACTTTGCGATACGTTCATATATGTCAGGAGACGCCGCCAATCTTCGGAACTGTTCCTCTTCTTCTGCAGTGAAAGGGCGTAGACCTCCAGTCACGCCTTCCTCAGCTGTAAGGCCAACCGCACGCAAGTATGAAGACCGAACACCAACAGAACCTTTATCCCTGCCTTCCCTCTATAAAAAATACAGTTCTAGTAAGAATTGGTAATATGTGGTGTTAAGGTCAATATATGTTTTTTTTTTACGTGCATGACCACGTACCACTAGACATATGCAGAACAGTTTGTGCTCCGAATGTGTAAGTAGTATAAGTAAATATAGTGTAAGCAGAGAAAGCAAAAATAGGGAAACAAATGAAAGTATTTCTGTAATTTAATTTCTAACCTAAAATAGTTGTGAGATCGATTACATACACATTTGCGTGTCGACTCAATAGTATGAAAAGGCGTTAGGACTGACCATAAATAAGTGAAGCATGCAAGTTACTTACCCAAGTTTTTGCAATTTTCTTGATGGAGTAAATCCCAAGTACTATGACTCTAGCCCCAGGTGCCACTCGTTCACACAAAATTCGCTCACAGTAAACAGTCAAATGCCGGGGCATCTCTCCTTGTGGAATACTTTCCGGAGCTTCTTGCAGTTTTAATACCTGAATTTAAATATATAAATCTGATAACATTTGTATGTAAATATATCATAAAACTCAATAATTAAATATTTTGTCCAGAATACCTGGTAATCAATGCATTTACATTTGTCAGGAATTATGAAGTAGGGATCCAATGGACATTTGGGTCGACCTGCTTGTTCCCTGCAAATTACATTTTTCTTTTTATGTGTTATAAGTTAAATAAATTTTGTAATTTATTTCAAATCACAAAATTTATTTAAATTTATTGTAGTGATATACATAATATACATATACCTATGCATATAAGTATATAGGTTTTACGTATATTAGTTGCGAATTGAAAAATAATTTTAGTGTTAGACAGGCCTTTTAACAAGGAAGGATATAACATCATGCTACAAACACTAGGAGCCGAGTATCAATGAAAAATGAGTAAAATTTATTATTTTTAAGAGAAGCAGCGTCTGGCCAGCGTGGTATAGTAGGCCAAAACCTCCTTTCTAAGTAGAGGCCTATGTCCAGCAGTGGACTATTAAAGGCTGTTGATGTGATATGATGTGAAGAGAAGCAGACAAATTAGCATGTTTATAATATATTAAAGTTAACTAGTTATATATTAAACTTAACTAAAGTTAAGCTAGAATAAACCAAAGTCATAAAATCTCTGAGTTGTAGGTTACACCATTTTAAAAGTTGTTGACCATGTTTCTTAGCTCTTGTTTTTATTTCCATATAAGTGTGTAAAAGAAAGAAAAAAAAATGATTTGTCACCTGCCAATTTAGTCATTATCCTATCATACGATTTCAATTATTTATTTATTTGTATCTTTAATAAAGTTATCCAAATACTTACGTATTGCACTTCCTGGGCATCACATATCCTTCTAGACCTGGTTTCACAGGCAAATTGGGGATTATGTTCCGGCATGATCTACACTGGATTGATATTTTGGTTGCCTTAGCTTTAATCCCAGATGCTGATATTACTATGCCAGGAATTTTTACTAGCCGGGATACAGTTTCAGACTAAAACATGAAATGTTCATAGTAAGTAGTTTTAGTACATAAGTTAGTGGTATTCTTTAGTTGGTTGGATAGTACTTTTGGCTGATGTAAGTATTATAACAATTTGTTTTATTTAAGAGGAGTGTTAATTGATTTGAAAACCATTTAAAGTTATATTTAGCTAAACTCACTCAATTTTCATTAATAAATTATACATAACAATTAAATATTAATATACCAAGGGACGAAAGTAAAGAATCCAAGTGCATTATTTCTCATTTATTTAATTCTTTAAAAGAACAAGTTTTTGATAGGGATAATATGTTAACTTATGACAAGTGCAATTGAATAGTATTACTAGTTTAATTTACGTACTTTTAATTCCCTTAGGTTAGCAGCATGTGCATCTGATGTCAAAAGAACTTGGATGTCTTCGACTTTTTCCTCTCCCTCAGGCCGTGGTGCAGTCAATTCATCAGCGAGCTGTAAAAAGTGTATAGTTTATTTCTCCAAGAGGGACCTTTGTATGCTACGCAAACCGTATAACATTAAACAGTGGATTTCGGTTTTAAGGAATTGGAAGGACCACTTTAATGTTGTCACTATATCCGGAAGTCACTATATCCAAATGCATATAGCAGAAAGTCATGTACATAATATTTGACTGTCAGTGTACCGTCAAATATTATGTTGGTCTAGTGGTTAGTGACCCTGACTGCTAAACTCGAGGTTGTAGGTTCGATGCCCACCCAATATTGTGTGATGAGCTCGGTCATTTGTTCTGTGTCTGGGTGTAATTTATTATTATTATTATTAGGGTATTATAGACAAGCAGCAAACTTGCTGATGTGTCCACATCACTGCACTGGAGTAAGTTTGTGATGTAAGAGTTCCCATGTACATGATTAAACGGTTTTTTAGTCCAATGGGTTGTGCTTTTCTAACCATATATCTAGTTGGCACTTAAAACTGAATTTATTTATCTATAATAAAAACTAAATTTATCTATAATATGTATGTATTTATATCATCTATATAAGTATCATATCAAGTATATAATGTCATGTATCAGTATTATGTATATAAGTATGTATATCAGCATTATAGTTACCACAGCACAGGCACTACCTAGTTTGGGATCAGACAGCCTGGTTATTATATTATATGCTGATGCGCACTACATACTCTGAATATAATTGCGGATGAAATAGATTTATTTTATTGCTCACTGAGTAGATTCACAATAACAGCATTAAGAATTATTTCTTATAATAAACAATTAGATGGTATAACACTATTGCATTGGGCTAAACCTGTAATAATAATTGTTTTTAAAGATAATAAATAAATAAATAAATTATTATTACTGTAACTGATTCAAAGTTTAACTTTGTACTCATGCTAACTAGTCCTACAAACAAAGCAAGCATATCTGGCCATCTGTAAATGTAAACAAAGGATAAGAAAGCCTATTAATGGTTTTTTGTTAGTAATAATTTTTTGAATGAGTCTGTGCCTTTGCTGACTCAGTCGCAATATGCACATGCAATTTGTAGGATGCTGTCAGCTTTACAAGAAATTGACGTCATATCCGAAGTTGCTATTGCCAATGAATATCCTACGAAAGTATGAATTTAAATTTAAGGGACGTAAGTCTGACGCCGCTATAACCGAAATCGTTATTTATGAAATCCACTGTATATAATTATGTTTTTCATAAATGGTTCGTAGTCGTAGCACATACTCTTTTGAAGACAAGTTTTTTCTTTCTGTTTTAGGCCTTAAAATAATATTTACCTCTTTTGCTGCTTCTTCTAAAATAGGCAGATGTTCAGTAGGCTTCTTGTATAGTTTCTCTGCTAATAGTTCGTCGAAACTGGATAGATCTTCAATATTAATCTCTACCCAATAGTTGCCTAAATTGTAGTTTCGTTTAAGAGCATCTCTGAAAACAAAGCAGAGGTAACAGTGTCATTACCGTAAGATGTATTCATTAGGTAATAGTAATGATAAGGAGTTAACTCACCTATATTTATAATTGAAATTTCCCGTGTGAAATTGCCGAATAAATTCTTTAAACTTCTTTTTTACAGCTTGCAGGTTAATTTGATCTTGAGATTCATTTTCCTCCACACCAAAGTTATCAGAGAAAAATACACCAGGATCATCAAATCCTTCCATGTTTGTATCACGATTTACGGTACAAAATTGCTTGTTTACGAAAACCTTAACTAATTTTTAAAACAGTTACAGACGCTCTCCACTACAAAATCAAACGCGTAGCCCGATTTTGGCGCGTAAAATTGACGTTTGTCATGTCAATGACATGATGTCATTCAATTGCATGTCAGGCAAATTTTAATGAAATAACCTACACTCAACGCTTAAAAACTAATTTAGTTTTTGAACGTTGTGTAGGTTATTTTATTTTTAATTTAATAATAGTCCTTCAAAGGTTGAGATTCCATCGCAACTCATTACAGTTTAATCAAACAATAATGTTCTACTTTGAGGTAAGGAAAAAAATATTCCACCAAAACTGTAAAAAAACAACCATAACATATAATATTCTAAAAAATTTAGACATTTAATACACAACGCCATCTAGTTTCAAACTAAGTAGAGCTTGTACTATGAAAGCTAGATTGCCTGACAGAATACTTTTTTTTTCTAAATACATATAAATTAGAGATGTGACGGTCTCGACTTTTGTCCAACCGAGTTGAATCATTCGTGCGAATCGGTTCCGAACCGAACCGTTGAAATTGCTGTTTGAACCATATAACGAGTTGACGAACGAATGTAATATACGAAAGCAATGTGCAACATGATTCGACGGGATCGATTAAACCGTTGTTTACGGTTTGCCAAAGGCTTGAAACCGAGTTTACATACATACAAGTGTAAAACTTGACATTACCTATACTAACCGACGACTGATGCGGCGACCGTATGAATTGATTGGTAGTTTGTGAGTTGCCCCTCCCCCATTTTACCGCCACAGTTCTGACAGTTCACTTGGCTCTGTACCACTCCAAGGCCCAGATTACCAGTCGCCATACGGTTGCCTCGCCGACATACATTTGACGTGCCATTACTTTAACTAATTAATTCCAAGAAAGTCGACAGACGAGCTAGGGACTTTTGAATTTGATTTATACCTAATAAATGCACACCGCGCATGCGATCTCGATGAAAACTGTTTTTTTATCTTAATATTTTATATATTTATAGAACTTATTGGTCATATTTTGTTACAAATGAAATGGCGTATGCTTAATAAGTATTTTTCTCAACAATTTGTGATTAAATTATACCAAATGTGAAATTAAACAGTTTTAACAACACAAACATCGCAATTGTTGTAGCAAGCACAGCTGGACATAGGCCTCTCTTCAGAAAGCAGGTTTTGGCCTACTATATCACGCTGGCCAGACGTAAGTAGACGCTGGTATTACTAGCGTGTGCGTTACCCCAGCAAAATAATGTCGAAAATGGTCATTTAAACTTTATAGATAATTAGTTGCTCCCCTTCTGTAATTGTTAGGCACATTTTTAAATTTGTTTCAATTAAACTTTTTAGTTATTTCAAAAAAACATTTCCTGCTGGGGTAACGTTTGAAACGTTACCGCAGCCAGACATTTTCTTTTTTAATTGTAATATTGAAATAAATTTTAGCTACATAATTAGTTATCCGGACTAGGTAAATGTTACAACTTATTTGGTATTTGTATTTTCTTCGGCTGTGAAGTTATTCGAGATCCTGCTGGAGTAACGTTTGTGGGTTTGCTGGATCTCTAAAACGGGTAAGCGGATTGTAACCATCTTTTGTACATAACTTCTTAAGGATTAGTTTTAATTTGTTCGACAATAAAATAACAAAAATAATGGACCGTTTAAAAATTATTTAGGTAAGTATGAAAACACTTCAATACGTCCTAACACTTTAAATAAGACCTCTAAAGACTTACTTCAAACGTTATTCTATTGCTTGTAACTACCTTCAAATGTATACGAATTTTCGTAAGAATACTGTAAGTGACTAAAAAGTTATGATGAAATGTAGCTCTCCACGTTCACGAACACAATGTGTGCGGCCTTTTTTGGCCACCGATAAACCTGTGTGTGGATATATAAACTGAATGTTATGCCAATAATTAGTTGTTTAGTTCAGTTGTCTACCTGTAGAATTTCAGCGTCGTACATATAATAATTTACGAGATAACTAAATAAAAGTCGTTAGAAGGTGCAAGACCGTGGTAACCCGACCATGTTTAGGTGGTTACAAAAAAGCGATCACCCAGTACATTGTGCTGGCTCTTAAAATATGTAGGATATTATTTGCAAGTTTACTACGGATATGTACATAAGTCTTACAAAAAACTACATGTTTTTAAATAATTTTTATTTAGGATTGTTTATTGCATAATTAGTAATCAGCCGGGAGATTAGGTATTGTTTTGAATGCTTTTGTTTTCTCGTAATTTTAAGGTGAATTGTATATAGTTGTTCATAGAATTGGTCCCTGTGTAGTATTTGTTAATTGAAGTTTAATTTTAGGATAGGTATAGGTAATTTAAGTTTTGAAGAGTGTAACGTATGCGTTGTAAATGGGTATTTTGTGAATAGATGGGGATTTTTTTAAGTGATGAATCGACTTAGGCTAGCATATCGCGAACAAACTCTGTATAGCATTATTTCTGTAATAATGTTGGAGAAAGTAAAATATTTGATCACAAAATCGCGGTGAGTTAAATTATAATAAAATAAATTATTTATGTAAAATTAGTAATAAGTGATATACCTACCTACAAGTTATGATCGTTTTTAATTTGTTCACCCTGAACGAAATTTCAATATAAGCATTAGTAATTAATATCCTAAGACAAGAATTGACAATTACTTAAATTGAATCCAATTAGCATTAATGCCCATTATTAGTAATTAGGTACACACATATTGAAGAACTCTCAAGAATACGATAAATATTAGCAAAAATAGAAAGCGGAAGCGCACACGCACTTTACAAGACGTATATTATCTGCCTAAGGGTCAAGTTTAGTGCACTAGATGCAAATTGCAAACAATGAAGTATCCCTTTGCCCCTCCCCTCCCGCGTTCTAGCGAAGGATGTATTATCGGCGATTCTTGATTGACAAATATTATCTGACCAATAATTTTATCTATAAAAATGTATCACTTTCACTCGATAAATTAAATTACCGTTATTATATCAAAATATCATTCAACAACTGTTCGTTTTTAACAGAAATCAACAGTCACGGGCTCAACGCTTAGCGGTAGGTACATAGGTATAGATAATTCTCGGTTCTCGGTATAGACCACAGAACAATATTACCTACTCTTACGAGGTATACGACTGTTGGGCGATGCAATGTTGATGCATTCTAATTTACAACTGTATTTTTCTACTATTCGGTCTATTTTAACTTATTGTAGATGACTTGTTGCTTTAAATATTTTGATGCATTCAAGTCTAAGCTCTATACACCTCAAAATAAATTATAATTACTTTAGTGTCAATTCTTTACAAAAAAAAAACAAAGAAATGAAACGATTTCTTATTGGTTTAAATTTTCGATTTATTGCAGTCAGGTGAATCGTTCATACATGTATTGTAGATACATGTATATTTCTAATTTTAGCGGACCAGTGCAGATTTTCTGTTGATTGTAACTCCGGTAGTTAAAAAGACTAAAGAAATTTTAAGTAAAGAAACTAGTGCTTAAGATCAATTAGGAAAAAAAAACAAAATAAATAATAGGTAATAATAATCAATAAATATTGAATGTATTTAACACTGCACGCAACTGTACCGAAATCGTAAGGTGTATTACACTAAACATTTTAAAAGGCAGCGCAATGTACTGGGTGATCGCTTTTTTGTAACCACCTAAACATGGTCGGATTACCACGGACTTGCACCTTCTAATGACTTTTATTTAATTATCTCGTAAATTATTATATGTACGACGCTGAAATTCTACAGGTAGACAACTGAACTAAACAACTAATTATTGGCATAACATTCAGTTTATATATCCACACACAGGTTTATCGGTGGCCAAAAAAGACCGCACACATTGTGATTGTGAACGTGGAGAGCTACATTTCATCACAACTTTTTAGTCTCGTACAGTATTCTTACGAAAATTCGTATACATTTGAAGGTAGTTACAAGCAATAGAATAACGTTTGAAGTAAGTCTTTAGAGGTCTTATTTAAAGTGTTAGGACGTATTGAAGTGTTTTCATACTTACCTAAATAATTTTTAAACGGTCCATTATTTTTGTTTTTTTATTGTCGAACAAATTAAAACTAATCCTTAAGTTATGTACAAAAGATGGTTACAATCCGCTTACCCGTTTCAGAGATCCAGCAAACCCACAAACGTTACTCCAGCAGGATCTCGAATAACTTCGCAGCCGAAGAAAATACAAATACCAAATAAGTTGTAACATTTACCTAGTCCGGATAACTAATTATGTAGCTAAAATTTATTTCAATATTACAATTAAAAAAGAAAATGTCTGGCTGCGGTAACGTTTCAAACGTTACCCCAGCAGGAAATGTTTTTTTGAAATAACTAAAAAAGTTTAAGTGAAACAAATTTAAAAATGTGCCTAACAATTACAGAAGGGGAGCAACTAATTATCTATAACGTTTAAATGACCATTTTCGACATTATTTTGCTGGGGTAACGCACACATTACTAGCACTGCTGGTAAATATACTATAACTCCTGAATTTTTCTAGAAGCCTGATCATCAGTTGTTTAGAGCGTTATTGTAATCTTTACAAACTTTTACATTTCTACTCGTTTATCTTGAACATTTTCATTGTAATGTACATTACACTTCATTTAGATTCGATAAGGTTTTGTTCATAAAACTAAAGTATTTTTTCATAAAATATATATATTTCATGAAAATATCGAAATATTCTTATGCAACTAATTTAATAATTTGCAATAATTTTCAAAAATGTTTATTTTATTTTATTGGTTTACTTTTAAATAGGCTAGTTATGACTATTTAACTTAAATCTAGACATGAAATAAATTAAAATAAAATATAATTAAGAAATATTCAAATGTAATTAGTTTTTAAATTACACGATGTATTATTGAACTAATATATTATTGGATAAATAAAAAATATTATTTAACTTGATGTATTAATTAATAAACAGTGCAAATTATTTCAACTGAACCGGCTGACCGCTGCGCGCTCTTTGCTCGCTCTCAAAAAAGGCGTACAAAAAAGTTTGCAGTGAATTTTGTACTTTACAATTTTTATACTAGATGCAAATAGCAAAATAAAACCAAAGGAAGTGAGACATTTGCAAAAAACTGTTTTTATGACCTTTGACTTTCAATATCGTATGACGCGGTTACGAGGTTTTATGAGACTTTTCAGACGTCTTTACGAATACTAAAATAAAGGTTTATACAACTTTACATCTTATTATCTCTTATACCGAGGTGAAATCTCTTATATGGCGACAATGATATAGGTACTTATTTTTAAAATTACCACCTCAAAGAGGTAGGTACGTGTATAACAGAGTCTGGCAAGAAGTATTATCAATTTAAAATGCTAACACGAAATCTATGTTGCCATGGATACGACAATAACATACGCTATAATACGTGATACAGAACTATCGTTATTGTTATTAGACAAGTCTTATTCTAATAAAATGACCTAATTTAGAGGAATTTGTGTTATTATATTTGTTTGCATATTGTGTAGCGCATCATGGGTGACGTAAGTAATTATAAATATTATATACCATAATATTTTTCTTAGTTTCGTTCAAAAATAAATTAACGAGTCTGTACTTCTTACTGCCTGAGTACTTTTTAACACATCGTAATGTTTTATTGTAGCAAAAAGAAGACGTAGATCTTCGTTTGGAGTTTCTCGCCGAATATTTACTTCGTACGCTGAAACAGAAAGCTGAAAAATGGTCCAAGTTTATAACTAGTGATGAACGGGTAACTATTGTAACTAAATCTATTTATAAATATACATACATGACCAAGTTTGGTTTATTTTTTTCTGAAAACTGTCATTATGTATGAAGACTTAAATAACATTACGGCGTATTAGCTATGCTACGTTATTCGGCATTTTTATAAGATATTTTGCAAACGAGCATCTGGTAGTGACTATCGCTGCTCATGGATTTATGCAACTTAATAGGCACAAGGCGCCCTTTGAGTGACTCCCCCAGGGGGGTTATTGAGGTCGGGCAAGTCGCTATTGCGGCGGTAAGACCCGTTATGGAGGATTGACTCGAGAGACATCACGGGACCCTCTAATACCGGCTGACGCAGGTAATCACCGGGTAAGGGTACTTCGGGGATCATCTGTGTCTGATCCGCAAAGAACTAACGCCTGATTGTCACCACTGCGACGGCTCGCCGTGGGCACGGTGCTCCATACGCTGGAGCCAGCTCCAGGAACGGGCCAGGTACTGCAGACGACTCAGGCGCCGGAGGTCACAGAACGACCTCCGTCCTCCCTAAGCGCAGGCCTGGAGGTGACAGGTGAGGTCATCTGTACTCTAACAGAAGCAGGCCGAATTGGCGGTACGACGCGATGTGGAGCGCACGTGCCCATTGGATTGCAGAACGGGAGCACCGTGGTTCCCACTCACGAGGCTAGATGACCCATCTACAAGCCGTAGATGGCCCGAGGTCCTTTCTAGGGTACACCTGGTTCCTTTCTAGGGTACACCTGGTTCCTTTCTAGGGTACACCTGGTTCCTTTCTAGGGTACACCTGGTTCCTTTCTAGGGTACACCTGGTTCCTTTCTAGGGTACACCTTGTTCCCCGGCTACTGGCACCCGAGACGGTGTGCGATTTTTGTTCCGGCCGGTGGGTTATATCCTAGGGAGTTTCCGCACAGGAAAAAAAGGGAACCCCCCATTTTTTTGAGGCTGGTCGTCAGGTAAGCTCACTCATTCGTTGAAAAGCAATGAAAGATTAATAATTAATAGAAAATAATTCTGTGAGTTGTCTAGTCGATCCATATGTGCACGGACCTCGCACGATTTTTTTATTATTTTCCTTGGATGACGCTGAGGTATATTTACTATATATAGATACATACCATAATATAGAATTTTATGTTTCAGCATATATTATACAGATTTTTTGATATACCTAAATACGAAGTAATCGTGTTTCGTATGAGTACAGCGGGCTTGTTAACTTGTGCTACAGTATTTCCGCCCATTAGCAGAGGCAAGGTCGTATATTTTCTAAGAAATGAACCTGATAAAATCACAGCTACAAATTTTCGTACAGTAAGTATATTTTTTAAGACACCTTAAGACAGACTGAATCGGAGATATTCAAATCTATTTTTTTTTATGCTGACATCATGAAGCATTTCAACATTTAAAAAATATTATATAACCTGCTACCCTTTAGATAATAAAGTGGATGCTCCTTCTATGTTCAAAGAATTTCAGAATAACCGAGAGGCCACCTCACTTCGTATTTTATAAGGGTGTTGGACAGAAGCTATATCGGCACTCTGCTCTTTCTGTTTAAGTAAACAGTGCTTAAATGCATACTCGACTCTTTCAAGGGTTCAACGAATAATACACCTATGTTTCATTTTAGGCTTTGACCATCGGTGAACTGTCTGGGAATGTGTTGATGGATTTGGGTGTTCTAGCGGATGAAGTGATCGGACCACTACTTTGCAACCCTGAGAATCAAAAAGGATGGCCAAAGATAGTGCAGCATGACATGAAGAAGCATGTGAATGACTTGAGGAACTTGATGCATCAGGTGAGTCTCTATTATAAGACAGAGAAAAACATGTTTAGTAGGTACCGAACCGTCAATTGCTGTTTATGGTACCTAAATAGTTTAACCTACATAAATACGCCTGAAAAGGTCAACATCATTAATTTAATCTTTTATCTTAGATTATTCGATAGGTTTCTTAAATTTTGATTATGGGATTTCTTCGAAGTATGAGCTTATTTATAACTTTTGGGTGAAACTCTAAATTGCAGTGGGGTCAACACATTGATGGATTGTCGAAAAGCTTCAGCTCTGCATCATACAAATTTGTCCATTAACCGATGCAGAAACAGCTAGACTAGTGTATTTCAGCGATTTTCAAAATGTTGTTGTTTCAAAGTTTCTCTTTGAGGTGCCTATTCCACAGGATTTTACTATCTAGTATTACTCCTAGCTAGGTATTTTAGACCTTTTGGTTAGAGCCATTTGAGTTTCAGATAGTTTGGGAAGTCTGAGATTTCCTAGACTACCTTTGTTTGTATAATTTCTGTTTTCGATGAGTTCACTATCAAGTTGTGTGTTACACTACTGTTCAACGATCTTCAGTGCGAGTCTTATTTGAATGAATATAACGCTCTCAAAGGGACCACTGAATAGGATAGTCAGATCGTTTGCATAGCCTATTACCCTCCTAGTCCCTTCGCTCACAGTAAATTGAATAGCTTTATATCTTAGCATGATCCATCCTGAGATTGTGGAATTAACACCATATCTAGACAGAGCTTGGTTAATGCTAGTGAAATTGGTTTTGTCAAAGACACCTTCGATATCGATAAAGGTAACTAGTGTTGACCTCTTGTGTTTTAGATTGTTAATGTTTGATTGTGATGATTTAGATTACATTCTATATGTGATACAACTCGATGTAAAGCTGATTCTGTTGATTTTACCATCGAGTATGCGCGTTGTTTGTGGTGTAAGGGGTGACTGACTAACGTAGTGCTCCCAATTTAATTATCTATTAGCCTCTCAAGAACCTTTAATAAGAAAGACAACTAAGGTAACTAAGGTGCCAAGCTCCCTCTGTAAATTTTCCCAAAATAAACCAAAAGAGTTATGTCACACCATTTTAGCAGGCCTGGGCAGATACTGGTACTACAGCCTCGTAGTGGTGTGCCAGCGCAGTCAGGTTCGAAGTGGGGATGTCAGCCTTGCTCGGCAAGTAGGCTGATGCATCAGGCTGGTCGGAGAAGGGTTTCTTTAACCAAATACTCGTAGTGGTCCTTCTCTGGAACAGAACTCGGTCATTAAGGTGGTACTCGCGTGTTTCGCTGTATAATTACAAGTGCGTGGGTTGTCAATGTTAGTGTTGAGAAGTTTTTTACCTCTAATATTATTTAGGCCGCAATTCCTGCTCGTCCTACTCTATGGCTCCTGGATTAGGGCTACGGTATTGGTGTTTACCTCCAGAACCCTGTGCAGGTTAGCTGTTGCTCTCTTACTGTAGTGAAGGTTGATTTGGATAGCTTTGAGGGTGTTAATGGGGTAGGGTACTGACATTGCCATCATCAAATCGTCAAGGTTACTCTCGCCCGCAGATAGCTCCAACTCCTTAGATCCTAGGACGATCGAACTTTGACTGCCTTTTTGGGTGGAGGATTGCGGTGGTTTAAGGCCATTTCTGGCTCTCTGTCCGGGTTTGTTGGTGGGTGGGGCCCTTACACATTAGTTAGATGACAAATATGCTTGGGATTGATGCTGCTTATTCCCACATTTAGGTTCCTATCATTGTTGTTATGATTGAAAGTGTAATGGACATTTGACGACCGGATGGCGTAGTGGTTTGTGTAACGGATTGCTATTCCAAAGGTCGCGGGTTCGATTCCCGCTCAAGTCAAACATTTGTGTGCATGAACATTTGCTGTTTGATTTGAGTCTGGGTGTTTCTATGTATAATAAGTATGTATTTACAAAAAAAAAGTATATATGTATTTATATCAGTTGTCTAGTACCCATAGTACAAGCTCTGCTTAGTTTGGGACTAGATGGTGTTGTGTGTATGTGGTAGAATATTATTATATATTATTATATTATTTAATTTGTTGTCTTATTTTGTTTGCTTTCTATTTGCTTATTTTTTCGTTGAATTTAAATGATTTGGTATATTTTTGTGTATTTAAATGTGAGTATAGTGTAGGCTATAGTTCTCTTTAAAAATTCTCACGGGCTAAAAAAAGACACCTCTGTGGTTTGTTTCGGCGCCTTCTAGCTGAAAAGTCCGAATTGTAAAAATATCTAAAAAGATTCACTTAAAGAAATGTCAAAATGTCATGTATCATTTATAAACAAAAATCATAAAAATTGTTTATGTGGACGTTTCGTGGACGTCACTAAGCAACCGTTTGTTCTCTGTCTCTTTGCTTTAACAAGGGTTCATACTGTCTTTAGGGTAACTACTTTACTTATCTGCTGTAAAAATAATGTGCTGTTTTCAGCTAAGAGGCGAAATGACTAGTCAAGTACTCTTGGCGATGCCTGCTGGAGTAGAAGATATCTATCTTGCGGAATCTAGGCTGAAAGAAACGTAAATATATTAATTATAAAAATAATAGCTAGACACGTCTCACACGCAACCCTTTGATCCCAATCTAGGCAGCCTGACCATGGTAACCAGACTGTTGACAAACATACACTTACAAATGTTTCTTAAAATATACATATTATAGACAAATATTAATTTATGCTTCTATACTTACAATTGATTGAAGTATGCACTTAAAATAAATTTATTTGACCTACAAATTTTAAAATAACAATCAAAATTTAAGATTCTTTTGAAGTTCAATCAATTCAATATATTCACAATAAATTAAATGTCATTAGATTTAACTTAGTCGCGCTAGTGTCACCGGGTACAATTTAAAAAATGGGAATGGCTAAAAATACAGTTCACATTTTGTTTTTCCATATCCACTGCCTAGGTTATATACCAATTGTGTATTTCAAAGCTGGTAAGTTGATTTTGTTTTGGTTGCCCCTTAACGTTCGTTATTCACGTTGCACGTTTTCCTCACAAATTTGACAATTTTAATTACAATTGTATTTTTATAGCGATGGGGAAGAAGTTGATTTGTTTTTAAAGACAAACATAGAAGGTGCTGTTATAAAGTGGGCTCAACAAGTTCATGATTTATTATCTGAGGATTCTTACTTGGGTGAGTAGTATTTGATTAGTGAGCTGTAAAGTATATATATATCCTGTCGCTTTAATATACATTTTAAACTCTTCTCTTTTTCTTCTGTAGTGTTCCTGGTTGTTCGAACCACCAACCACTTTATTGCGAGTCTTACGTCTTAATCATTACCATTGAATTACTCAAGGTTAACTTCGGTTAACGTTAACTATGTTTTTTAATTTATTCAAAATGATGTGAGTCTAATTATTTAACATTTAAAAAAAATTAAGGATTTGTATATTTTTTTATAGCTTTCAAAAGAACTAAGTTCCCACTGCCACTTGCTGATGTAGAATTCTACAGCCACCGCCTGCGCAACTTGGAGGGTATCTACTCGCAGCTGAGGGACCCTCGCGTCAAGAGGATGGCGCACTACCTTGAAGACACACGCAGCGTTTATCTCAGTTGTTTCAAGACTATGCTGACTAATGTGGTCGCAGGTTGTTGATTCAAAACTCTTAATTTTTTTCTATTTCAGAGTGCAGCTGTATAAGAACGCGATGAGATCTTTATAAAAAAATGTAGTCTTCATGAATATAAGGTGGGGCACAGCAGGGATTTGCTCAAATTGGAGCCCCTGTATCGATGACTGTGATGATGCAGTATTTTTAGCGAAGTAGCGAATTATGAAATTGTAGATAATAATATATACTGTACAATTTAGTTGTATGAAACAAGGCACTACTAATAATTATAATTTGTGTAAAATTTGTAAGGTTGAGGTTAAAGAGAAAGTTTTATTAGTAACTATTATTTATTCCAAAGCTCTAGAAATACTCTTAAAATAAATTATTAGGGACGACGAAGAAGTTGCTTAGCCTATTTTGCCAAAAAATTCTTTGAGCGTCGAAAAATGAAATTAAAAGGTACGCTGTTGTTGTGTTGTTAATGTTAGTATTTCGATACACCTTTCCTTTTATTTGTCAACATTTTGAGTTGCTATGTTTACCGCTTCTGCTAAAGTTTTTTTACGTTACTCTCAACATTCTTCTTGATTTTTTTTTCGTTCCATTTATACTGTGATCTAGACGATGAGCCTATAAATTAAATAAATCTAATTTGATATTGATTGATTGAGAATAAGTTCTACGCTTCGTTTTTGTTTAAAAATAATACTTGATTATTTATTTTCAGCTATTGTCGAATGTCGCGATATCTATGTTTATCAAAGACCTTTAGTACCTCATTTTGAAACGTTTGAAGCAACAGATTTTTCGGATAGCAAACCTCTCATCAGGCCAATGTTTCATTGCGTTGGGTTACTTTGGGGAAATTCTAGATATTTTTGCAATGTGGAGAAGCTTATACGTAAGTGATTTACATTAGTCTTTTTTAGTTATTTTCGTAGTATGATATCCAGATCTGTGTAGGCATATAGGACGGTTAGCACTGAGGCTTTGCCGGTGTTGGCGGGTGTGCTTCCGGTCGATCTCGAGGTGCAGAGACGTGCAGCCATGTACTATTCAAGACAACAAAACATGGAATGCGATTTTTTGGGCGCGCGGGATCGCGGTAAAATTACAAGATTGCTTCAACAGCAGCCCGATGTCTATAATGACCTCATAGACGAATGGCAACAACGCTGGGCTGAATCATCCAAGGGGCGCCATCTTTACCAATTCTTTCCATCTGTTCGCGAACGGTTGTCGAGGACATGGCTTGAGGTGGATCACTGTGTCGCTCAATTTCTTACGGGTCATGGTAACTTTAAGAGCAAGCTTTATTCATTTAAATTAGTCGAGTCACCATTGTGTCAATGCTCAACACCTAACTCTCACTATGAACAGTCTGCTCATCATATCCTCTGGGAATGTAGTCTTTGGTATAATGAACGTAATATAATGCTGAATAGCTTGCAGGTGACATCTGGGGCGGTATACTATGGGGATCTTGTGTCAACTAGGGTGAATTTCCGTGCGTTTAGGCGATTCTGCCATACATATTATAGAAATCAAACATAGCTCACGTAGGACCCGTAATATTTGTGGCCGTGGTGCTTCCCTGTTTAAAAGGGTGTATGCCCATTTTACTTCATTTTGTCTCCCGCTTTGCTAAGGAGGGAAGTGGATTTACTGTATTTCCAACTCCTCCAATTTTCTTCTGATTAATTTCGTTGCGGGTTCCAAGACAGTTTAATTTCTTCCTGGGACTTCCCGAGTGTCATAACTCGGTGTGTTCGTGGGTCACTGCTGTGGATCCTGGTGCACAGGAGTTACAGTGGTGGGCGTGTGGGTGGGTTTAGTCCCATCCAGATCTGTGAGCTTTACCAAGATTACTACCAATGATATACTTTTCATTACTCTAGGAGTAATGAAAAGTATCCTAGAAAGTGTTGAGGTCGACTTGCCGAATATACAGTATTCTAAAGCTGGCTGGCTTCCATTAATTAACTACGACGCTATTCGTATTAATGGCTTTGTTTCTCTCCGTTTCTAGGGACCTCTGTTCCTATTGTCTATGTTGACTATGCTTTAAATATATTTATAGACATTAAAGCTTCATCCTGAGGGCTTCAAAAATTGTGGTCATTTTTCTTACTTTGAAAGCCCCTGTTTCCATCTTTTACTTTTCAAGATTACGAGTTGACTAATTTGTGCAGAACCAATCAGTAACCTCAAACACATTTTAGACACTCAAAAAATTTGAGCTTTCTTGGAGCTGCGAAAATTCTTATTGTTATTAGTCGTGTATTATCCAAACCTGATGAATATTTCAGCCTATCTTAGATTGTAAACTGTGCCTAACTGATTGGAATGGCGAATGTTATTATTCATTATTGATAGTTATGTCCCATAACGTGTATACTTTTACGTCGATAATACCTATATCAAAGCAGCTACCTAAGTTTCCTTTAAAAAAAAAAGAAACAAATAATTTGTCAGTGCTAATGATCGAGATTGATTTTCTGTGCAAACACATTTTTTTGGCGTGAAGGCAAAACATGCATAAATTGAATTGATAATATCCTAAATAGTAAAACTACCAAGGTCATTTCAGGTACATGGAATAAAAATTATCACTTTTAATGTATTTACAGCGTTACTTCGGGAAATGTGCAACTTAATTATACAGCAGTGTACAAACTCTGTAGAACCGTCGGCTATATTTCAAGGAGACCCGGAAGAACAGTTATTGAAGATAAGAAAAGCTATAGGCACACTGAATCATTTCATGTCAGTACCTAGCTGCTATAGCATACCTTATAAAATAATTCAGTTATTATCTTGTTTAATCTAATTGGATACTATTTCAGTGATACATATGAAATGAATCGTAATAAGGTGACAACGTTTTTTCCTGCTGGTGTGTTACCAGTGCGTTGGTCTTTTGACTTCGACCGCGTGTTCATGAGGTTTAATGTTTATATGAAACGCCTTAAGATGATTGAAAACATTTTGGAGGCTACAGTCGAGATTCTAAAGTTAGAGAAAGTTGAATTTTGTGGACTTAGAGGCAAGACGTTAAGCCGTGAGTGTATGAAGGTATGAGCTATATAGATACTACAAATATGAAGGTGATATATAATATAGAGATGTATTAGCTATACTATATATAAATATATATATATATATATATATATATATATATATATATATATATATATATATAAAAGCTGTGATTTCACATGCACGGATAAAAGCATTTCCTTGTAATAATTTCAGATATTAGACGAATACCAGCAAAAGTATGTGATTTTAGGCAATATGACTTATGATCCAGCTGAACCTGAAAGTAACAGATTTCTGGTGGACTATGAGAAATTTCAAGATGTACTTGAAGATACTGACCGCAAGCTGGCATCCATATTCACACAAGGACTTGATGAATGTCATAATTTTGAGCATTTCTTTAAGGTCAGTTGTTTTAAAATCAAACAGAAATTACAATCAAACCAAAATAATTTTGAGAGCTTTTATTTATTTTCCAGCGATTTTATATGTTCTTATGAAAATATATCTAATAACTGACTTGATTGATCCAAAAAAATTACAGTTTCTTTAGTACCTATAGTTCATATACTCATGCGTACTCTATTATTCTCTATGTAGACATTCCAATGTCAAATGTTTCTAATAATCGCTTTACAGTTGTTTATATTTGCGTTAATTCCAGTTTTTTCAAATTCTGGGTGATTTGTTTCATCGGCCGATAATAAAAAATGAATTAAAGCCCAAACTTGGCAGATTAATAAGTCTTATGGATAGCAACTTAGATGCTGTCAAGGAAATATTTGATGAGGAAATGGCTGTAAGTGTTACATTTATTTGCTTGTTGAACGTTGTCACCTCATATCCTTTTCCTCTACCTCATACAATTGACAATGTGCATACATTAAGAAAATTAACAATTAAAAAAAAACGAACTGTAAGAACCGACGTAAGAAGAGTTTCAGGAAGGTTTTACAAGATTTTACATTAGTACTCGTTCAGGAGGCGCATTGTTTGCGATCTTGAGCAGGTTCACGCGATGTGTGCATGGATGTAATAGATATGTTTGATGAAATCTTGTACAGCTCGTTTATAGATGAAGGTCATGAATTTCATATTTATTGTAATGTTCTAGAAGCGGGGCTACAGTTGACTGTTTGAGTAGATAGAGTAGAGTATAGATTCAAAGTGTTCGACAAGCTATCGAAAAGCTTTAGATCACTAGTTTTTTCCCTTTGACTGTGTATCTTGTGTAAATATTTTTAACTTTTATTTTTCTTTCATTAATTCCGATTGGTATACAATGCAATGCTTGTCAGAAGTATGCATGGACTACGAGGGATTAGCATTAAACATTTGATTAGGCTAATGAGGAATATCACTGCTTTTAATAGTTTGCTATAACCTGCTTCTAGTGTTAGCAAAGCGTCTTTTTCACGTAGACGAATAGCGGAGTATTAATACATACAATAAAATAAAACAGTAAGAAAACAATAAGCTGTATCACAAATATTTGTTTGTAATATTTCAGAAATTAGGCAAAGGGCCCGAAAGGCCAATGGTAGATAATTATCTTCCACCAGTCTCAGGTGTAATATGGTGGGTCCACAAATTACGACGACGAATTTTATCTCCTATGGAAGATTTTATAGTGTTTGAAGACCCGTGAGTGTTTTTGTAATATTAGATTTTCTTACGTTATAAAAAGAAATGTTACGAAATGTTTTGATTTTATTTATGCAAGAGAAACATTTCATGATGCGATCTTAATTGAAAATACCTGTATTTGTTGAAATAAACTTTTGAGAGACGCTTTTACATAAATGTGTAGTCGACAAAATCGACATGTAATCGAGCCTCAAAAAGCAAGCTCTAGTGCTTCCTTACGCCATCAATATAATGACATAAGGGCTTTAGTTCCATGGTGCAGAACCGGATAAATGACTGCAACGTGCTGGTTCGACGGATGTCGTAAAGTATGCTCTTTTGACTGTGACGGTCGATGTGGTCGCTGGAATATTAGAATATTGCTGGACGTCAGAATAATCGCGTATGATGACCGCTCATTATTCCGTATAGTTTTTTATATTATTCATCACCTCTACTGAACAACCGTAAATTATAATCACATCTTTATGTGGCGCTCTGTTTTGTAATAAATATATTTTTTATAGGTATATTTTCTTTACTTGTTACAAGTATTATTAACAATTACTTACAGTATAATAGAGTCGGATTACGCACTATATATGAAGCAGAAGACCAATGAAATGCTTGTTTACTTAAATGCAGTAGAAGACAAACAATTTAAGCTGTGGTGTGTCACTGTTCCACCCACTTGTAAAGTGCACCTGGCGAAAAACTTAATTTATAGAGACCCTCCTTATGTCAGAAATAATTTCAGTGTTGAGGTAAACTTTTACATCTCAAATTCATTATTTATATGAATAGTCACCCTTTTTATCAACTTACATTACGTGGAGATGGAAATGTACGTGTACGTGTATGACAGAAACGTAATAAATGTTGTATAAAAAGAAAAAATCTCCGTTTTAGATTTATTGAAGCACCTAATATGGTGATTTATTAAAGTGTCCTCCACGTAGCCCTGACTTTCTATCGAAACCGTGAACAGACTATGTTGCCCAAAATTTGGTCATTGAATGTAATTTTAAGTAGATAAATTTAACATTTGTTTTATCGTTGTAGTTGGCTATATTGCTGCGAGAAATACGCTATTTGAAATATTTAGATAAACAAGGGATACCAGCCGAAGGCCTTGAGTTATATGCGAGAAATGAGAAATTGCAGGTAAATTATCCCTATGTACGACAATAATCGAAAGATCTCAGAAGGTACTTGTGTTATTTTTACTAATGATTTTATAAAAGATCCTAATGACACCATATGTTACAGTACGATTTAAATCGTTTGAATCGGGCTATTGCATGGTACAACGCCATTCGAGAAGGAAGCCACGAGACGGAAGTAGCACTCATTGAAAAAGAAATCTCTGCCATAGACAATCTGCTCGGACGGGGCGTTGAAGAACTTACATGGAACGATGACTGTATTTATTCTATTATCTTTATTTTATTTTTTTATTACATTGTTTGATTATGTTGGCAGAATTATAGGTCGTTTCTTACAGAGCTTTTGATAAAAACGATACTATCGACGAATTAAACAAAATGTTGTGCGTTTTGTTATAGGAGAGATGTAACTAGTTATGTCTTCTATTTCGTTAAGTGGCACTTGTGCATAAATGCTTTATAGTTAGAGGTAGACCCAAAACATAATAAATGAACTGTTTGAAATGTATCAAGACAATAAATAGCCACAAGTTTGAAAAACAAAAATACACTTTAATATCACGCACCCCATAAAACACTGGCAAAAGTTAATTCGTAGTGTAACTTTCTACTTAGCAAGTAAGAAGGGTAAAGCTGTGAGGAAACGCTATAATGTAGAAACGCTAAAAATACTTAGAATTTTAAAAGTAATAATAAGGTTTATCTATTCAAAGTAAATACAAATGAATTAATAATAATAACCGTATTACCTACTAGTATCAAAAATACACATCAAAATATTAATGTATTGATTCCTTTAGTTACGGAGTGGATGGCCGAGGTATATGCTGCAATCAATACTCTGCAAGAACGAGTGTTGACTGCACAGAATAACGTCAGAGAAGGTCTTGCTGACATTGCGAAGTGGGGGGATGTCCCCTTGCATAATCGTAAGGAAAATCCTGACAAAATGGAACTACTTGCCGTTTTAGAGCGCCATCCAAGATTCGTTAAAAGGTACATATGCAGCATATGCACTAAAAATATTTATCATAAGTGATAGTAAGCCACAATATAGTAATTCATATTGTATATATTCGCAGACGCAACAAGATACTAGAGAGCTGGGACGATTTTCAAGATATCTTAGAAGAAAATTATAAATTATTTTTCAACATTCATGACGACGAAGATGAAGAATCTTCGGAAGAAGAATTAGAAGAAGTTGATGAGTCAACTTTAGACGATGATGAGAAAGCGGCACGAGAAGCAAAGCTCGCTGCAATAGAAGAACGTAGACTTGAAAAGAGAATGGCTAAAGAGGAGCGTGACAGGATAAAGGCTGAGGAAAATGCGATCAAGTTTGAGAGGCGAGAAGCACGCAGGCTTAAAAGGGAAGCAAAAGCGGAAGCAAAGGCTGAACGGGATAGGCAAAGAGAAGCAGGTATTTTATTGTTAATTATAAAGTTGTTTTTAGTCTTGATTATGGGTTAAAAGTGTTGTGTGAATAATAGATTATTAACGGGGTGCAACAAACATGTTTAGATTGTGGGAACACAAATACGCAATAAAATTTATAACATTTTATAGGCGAGGAGATCGACTCACCGGATGAAGAAGAGGAAGAAATAACAGATCCGGAAGAACTGGCTGACATAGAAGCCGAAAGAATCGAAATGGAAGAGGAGGCTTTCAGAGCAGAGCGTTGGCCGGCTTACGTTAAATACGTTGATTCACTAGTGAATATTTTTAAATAAATAACTATTATTATAGGGGTGTATAGAAATTTTGAACAATGTATAAACATCCATTGTAGCATTCTTTGTTTATGTATAAATCAAGAAACAGTTCACCAACGGTTTCCGCGGCAAACGCAATCCAGGCCGGCCGGTAGTATATTCCACGTGCTGTAAGGGACATCCATTTTTATTTCATCATAGCCACTTCTTAAATCATTATAATCTTAAATAACTACTAGGCCAATAGTCTCCAAAAATTTGAGCAACGGCGGCGTCCTGTTCTTTTTTTTATTTAATGAAATTTTTATTTTTTTGAATTTTTATTATATTTTATACTATTGAGGTGTTTTGTACACATACATAGTGTTTTGTACTAATTGCCATGCCATCTTAATTTGTAATCTTATTTTCGTTTCAAGACCACATTTTTTTTGTCATAACCATTTTTTTACAGGTTTCGAAACAAGTAATGAAAGCCGTGCAGTCTAGTTTAGATTTGTTTGAGCTTCAAACTAACTTGGAGAAGGGGCCGAGAGTAGCTTTTAATGAAGTTATAGCAGAGCTAAGAGATCCATGTACGTACATAGATATGTCTTATAGGGTTTAATATATGGTAATAATAACCAATGTCATATGTGACTTTAATTCCAAAGTATTTGAATGTTACTTTAACCTTATATAATATACTAGCTGACCCGCGCAACTTCGTCTGCGTCTCTCAATAGTAATAATTTTTCTCCGTTTTTGAAACATTCTTTATTGGTGCTCCGCTCCTATTGGTCTTAGCGTGATGATATATAGCCTATAGCCTTCCTCGATAAATGGGCTATCTAACACTGAAAGAATTTTTCAAATCGGACCAGTAGTTCCTGAGATTAGCGCGTTCAAACAAACAAACAAACAAACAAACAAACAAACTCTTCAGCTTTATAATATTAGTATAGATAATGTAAATATATAAACAAATATGGCGTACAGAAGCTTATCACAGCAAACACGACTTATTACACTAATGCTTACTTTTACTTGAAATTATCAATAACAGTAAAAAATTAAATTTACATACACACAGATCAGCTTCTGCTACATTCAAAACATCCTTCGATAAAACCAGACCAGCCCCTGCTGAAGTTGCATCAGATGCACAAACATTACATCTCGTTCGGAAAAACTTAGTAATTTGGATTTCTTCTAAAGAATACAATTAAATTAATATTGTAACATTTTTGTTGTAGACATATACTTCACTCCGTCATTAGATGTGGAGGAAACCGACGGCTTATATGATACTATGAAAGAGATGATGAAAGATATGTTTCTTCAAGCTACACTGTTCCCTAGAATAGACCCTATAGTGCCAATAGCCACTTACGAAGGTAAAATACTTCATAATATTTAGATTAGAGATTCGTTTTGTATCACTTTTTGGATTAAACAAAATTATATTTGCATTTGAAGATGATCTAGCTAACGAAGATGCCATGATAGACCTGTACCATGAAATATTGAAGAGAATTGAAAATAGTATCCATGATATTATATCGTATTCTTCGGTAAGCAATTATATAATACAGTCATTCTGTACACTATAGGTATGTATTTAAGTACATATATATTACATAGTACATTTAAATAAACACATTAAAAAACCGATAAGGATGACAAGGATTCAACATATATTTTGATCATAAATTACTTTTTAATACACAAATGGGTTTTAGCTGCTAAGAAATAAAATCATTTACTATTTTCTTGAGGATGGTTATCATAAATTAAAGTTTAAAAACTAAAAAACACGCTTTTGTATCTAGACGAACTAAAAAGTAGCAAATAATTTTCGTCGTTAATCGTAAAAATGTGGGGCACTAGATCTTAATTGTTGTAAAAATATTTTATTGACATTAATTGGTAAAGGTAAACTTATTATTTTATAAAATATCTTGAAAAACACCCCCACGCTTTTTACCCTTTTTTTGACCGCGTGCCTGACCTCGGATTGACCTTTAAACTTAGGATGTTATTTCTGACGCTATTATCAATTTCACATTCAGAAAATCTTATACTCGTATTTATTAATATTTAGGAATAAATAGTCATAGTGCTAGCCTTCACATCTTTAAAATCAATTAAGGTTTTAAAGATGTGTTAATTTCATGATAGTTTACATCATACCAGTTCTGAATATTAACAGAATAAGTTATTAATAAACTGTTTACAGATTAATAGAGAATCGAAATATTATAAATACTAAGTTGTTCCTGCACAAATTCGTCTATGCATAAAATTGTTCTTTTTATTTGTTACGGCCAGAAATATGAAAAATACACATATTTGTGGATGGAGGACCGACAGGAAGTTCTTGCTGGCTTCCTCAAGTACGGACGCTTCATACCACCTGAAGAGTTTGACAGATACAGATTTGAGAATGGATGTGATCCCCCTGAGGTGAAACCCACACTAGAACAGTATCAGAAAGAGGTAATCTTGATATTACTTATTTTTTGTTAATCGCCCTTTTTTAAGTTCCACGTTCCGTTCCGTTCATACGCTTATAGTGATAAAAGAAGAAAAACCATGACTGACTTGTGTATGCTTACAGATTGATAAATACAATGCTTTATATGACGAAGTAGCAGCATTACCTCCTGAATATCTTTGTAACGGGTGGTTAAAATTAGACTTGAAGCGACTGAATCAAGCCATTAAGAACATCATTTGCAAATGGAGTAATTTGTATAAAGAAAACTTAAAAGAACATGTTCATAAAAGGTTTGTAACAAGTTCTGTTAAATCTTTGACTCATTTTACAATTTTACTAGCTGACCCGCGCAACTTCGCCTGCCTGTCTCCCGTTTTTGCAACATTTTTCATTGATGTTCGGTTCCTATTGGGCAAAACGTGATGCACAGTGAGTACGAGCAATGAAATGTGTACCAAAAATGTAGGTACATGGACAGATTTTCAAATAAATGTTTAGTCAAAAAAATCATTATCGAATAATTGTATAATCATCAGAGTAGTTCACAATAATCTGCACATTTTTGTCAAAAATATTTATACGAATAGTTTTCAGACATTTGCACACACTTTCACATGCAAAATTGTGAAGCTATTATGAATTACAATGATATGCCATCAATGTAATTTTCCGAAAATGTAAACAATTACGACTGAATATTATCATTCATATTCATATATGTATACACTTATATAACTGTAGCATTTTTCACTATTCTGACAAATGTGTATCAATTTCAATAAATATGCGCACAATTTATTTTGCAATATAATGTAAACATTTCTGTGTTTTTCATAAGTTTAAGTAGTGCTTCATTAATCCTCAATTAACAGACCTATAATGAAAATAGATAAAATGCTCAAGATTAGATCCGATGTTCAAAATACATAAATTCAAAATATTACAAATATTTTCATCATTGGGTTCATTTAACCCACTTTTTATTAGGGGTACCGTGATAAAAGATCAGCTGTTATAAAAATTGAAATAAAAAAAAATACTATTTATTGTATTTTGGGTAATTTTTCAAACTTATCGATTTAAACTGGTGCACTTTGAAACATAGTCATGATTAAACTTAATAAGTTACACATTTCGATTCTACAAAATGAAAAATAATTTGTCTACATTGTTCTGAAATTGCTTTGTATATATGTTAAAACTTTAGGAGTGTGTAGTATTCACTAATAGTCATTTGGTTACTTTACTACGAAAAAAAAGTATAGGTACCTAATTTTAACCCAGTTTGATGATTACCTAATCTTCAAACTATCAAATTCTCATTTTGAATACAACGTGAGATAGTTATTTTTCAAACATTAAATATTAACATATATTTGCAAATATGTTAACGTTTATATATCAATGCACGTGACTGTAATATAGTCTTTCTCTACAAATAGGCTATCCAATCCTAAAATATTTTTTTAATTCGAACCAGCAGTTCCAGAGATTAGTGCGTTTAAATCAAACAAACAAATTCTTCAGCTTAATAATATTATACTATATATAATTAATATAGTTTCTAATATTTAATTATCAAAAATAAAAACTTTGACGGTCATAATTCCTTAGTTTGGACGACCTCGAAGCGTTTATAGCATACGCTACAAAAGAGTTGAACGTAGAATTAGACGATGACGACTACGAAGGATTGCTGACTGTAATGAGGGTACTTAACGAAGTTCGTGCTAAGCAGGACGCCGGCACTGACACTATGTTTGAACCTTTGAGAGACATTATTGATGTCCTCAAAGAGTATGGTGTAGAATTTTCTGAAGAGACTTACGAACAGGTACTTAAATAATATGTATCTTTCATATATTTTTTCGTATCTCTTAGCAATTAATGACAATGTAAAAAAATGTATGTATTTTTAGTTAATAGATAGTAATCAGATATGTTTCTTAATGAAACCATTCATTTTATGCTTACGTTTGGATGGACCATTTATTCATTTTATGCTTACGTATGGATATATAAGGAGGCGACGGTACACCAATATTCAGTATACACTTTGGTAAGACATACGTATCAATGTCATTCTATTAATTTTCATTGTGTTTCAAATCACATCACATCAACAGCCTATAATAGACCACTGCTTGGCATAGGCCTCTCCTTAAAAAGGAGGTGTGCCCAAAATTTAATAATCTTATATCCTGCTACGCTTCGCTGTTGCACATTGAGGTTGTATTGATAGGAAATGAGGAATAAAAGTGACGCGAAAAATAGATAAAAACAATTTTTGAAGCGGATTGTTTATCGTGTGAAAATTTGAGTCTAATCGGTGCAAAAAAAAGAGTTTTTGAAGAGTACACAAACCAACTTATTAACATTTATATGTATTTACCAGCTGTCTCCTGTCGCGCTGTGGTTGCAGTGTTGACAAAACTGACATAAAAATATATATAAACAATATCTTTGCAGACGATATCGCGTCAAAATGTTAGCTCAATCGGTACATAACTTTGTACAGTGTTTGAAGCGTATCCAAATCAACTTAACATTTTTATGTATAGCTGGATTATGTTTGAGACTAAGAAAAGCATGTGAATTTTGTTTCAAGACTTAATTTCACCTTAGTATTTTGGTGTCTCAATTTGTATCAGTTATATCTAAAGTTTTTTAATCTTCAAATTTTCGATATTTACATTCAGCTGGAAATCTTACCTGAGAGGTGGAGAAATCTAGTGAAGCTTGCTACAGTTATGAAAAACAATGTGGCACCTCTGCAGGCTGCGCAAGCCGCACTCATAGCCAAACGTGTTGCGCTCATCAACTTGCGGCTCGTCATGTACAGAGAACAGTTCAAAGTGAAAGATGTAAGGACAATGTTATAAAGTATTATTAACCATGAAAAAGAAAACCTATATTACGAGCATGTAATTTAATATTATGACAAAATAAATAATAGTCATTGTTTTGTTAACAGATATTTTTGGAGTCTTGTAAAGAGCCTTACAGTAGTATTGATAAGATTCACATTGAGCTAATGCATTTTGAAGATATCTTAAAGAGCTTGAAGAAATCGTCCTCTCTTTTTGACATTCAGCCACCGGATGAAAAGAATCTCAAAACGTGTCAACGGGAATTAAAACTTGCCAAGGTGTGTAAACGATGTAATAATTTTCTTATTGAGTTTATGACAATCAAGAATTTTGTATCGCTTATTATATGACTGGTACATTTTACTGGTACATTTAACATACATGTTTTGACAAACTTTAAATATATGGTGAACTTCTTATGATTGAAATTTATTATATATATATATATATATATATATATATATATATATATATTATTATTATTAACAGCAACTCTGGGACTACTATTATTTGGTTATGGGAACTATTGAATTTTGGAAGAAATCATCATGGAAGAAAATTGATGCCGATGGCATGGACCAGGAGTGTAAGCGATTCACTAAAGATCTACGACAACTCGATAAGGATATGAGAACATGGTAACAATTAGGCAATGTTGTGTTGTGTTTTTATAACTTGAAAATTTTATTTATTTGATTGTTTTTTGTCTTAGGCAACCATATTTGTCAATTGAATCGACAATTAAGAACTTGATAACATCCCTAAAAGCTGTTACTGAGCTCCAGAATCCAGCAATCAAAGATAGACACTGGTTGGAATTAATGATGCTTATCAAGGTTAGAATGTATTTTGATTATTATGGACATAGCAAAAAGTGTACCTTTGATACCGAACGACCTTTGGTTTTGTTCACGTCATATCCAGTATCGTATCCATGCGTATCGAATCGATCCTAAGTATATCCTCAAACTTGTATTTTGTTTATTAATACCTTTGCATGTGCAAAATAAAATTTCTTCAAGGTAAATGAGGTAAGTCCTCACAATAGTCTCTCACAAAACTGTGAAATTACTTGAAATAAAATATTTAAATCTACAAAACTTTTTATTGCAGGTTAAGTTCCATATTGACGATGACACAACTCTAGCAGATTTACTTGCACTAAATCTCCATAAGTTTGAGGAAGAGGTGAAAACTATTGTTGACAAATCTGTTAAAGAGGCTGCCATGGAGAAAACTCTAAAGTAAGTATTTTATATTATTTTTGTGATTATACGATTTTTTTTTAATTCTCATTATATTTTGGATATAGGGAATTAGAGATAACCTGGGCTCAAATGGAGTTCGAGTATGCGCCACACGATAGAACTGGCATCAAACTTCCGAAAACTACGGAAGAGCTCATTGAAATTCTTGAGGATAACCAGGTGAGATTTTATTGTATGATTAAAATAAAAATAACAATTATGAGACATACTTAAAGCAAAAAAATGTGTATGAGTAACCTTTCCGTGCAGCATTAAAATTTTCTAGTTGTATTGGCCATTATTTGCTATGACCGAACGAAATCAAAGACGTGCGCTAAGAATACAACTCATATATTTTTTATAAAGTTACTAGGTTAGTTACATAACAGGAACAAAGTACCTGCTTTAGAAATGATAATAAATATAGTTTGTAACAATATTTATTATCATGAAAGGGACAAAAATTGTACCGAAATAGCCTTGGATATTAATATAGGTATAAAACTGCTCTGAACTAAGATACAATATCGTTTAAACTGGTGATGTATTTGCTATTTTAAAATGGAACAACGCGACGGTTTCAAGCAGCGACAGTATAATCGTCTTTAGCGGTAGTGTTTCATGTTATACTTATACTTTTTTAGATGCTTCTGGTTTATCTTCTAGAAATGATGCAATAGAACCATGCAATCACCATTTTTATAACTCTTTCTAAAGACTTCTGTTGTTAGATTAATTAGAAATCGTTTTGTTTTAAATCAATAGTTTATTTTTTGTTTAGAGTCAAGTGCAAAATATGATGTCTTCCAAATTTGTTGGTTTTTACGAGAAAGAAGTGACAGAATGGCAGAAAAAGCTGGGGACAGCAGATGCTGTAATTACGTTGTGGTTTGAGGTCCAGCGAAAATGGCAATATTTAGAAAGCATTTTTGTAGGATCTGACGATATAAGAGCCCAACTACCTGAGGACTCGAAGAGATTTGATTGGATTGATTCCAATTTCAAGGTCAGACTCCTGTCGTAAATATATTTACAACTGTTAATTAATATATTTTTAGTAGCTACCTTTTTGAATACCTCTTGAACATTTCCAAGAATTAGTTTAAAGGAAATAAACAAAGCCGTCCCTGAGATCTAATACTTTTTTATAATTTTCAAACATACTTATTATTATATTAATATATTATCCTCTTGTATGTTGAATGACATTAGCCCATTTTGCATTACCTGTTATACCGGGAGCCGGTATGGTCAACAGACAGCCCATTTTTGAGATAGACTTTTACTGTAACTGGATTTTCTCCGTATCTAGTTGGAATCAAGTCAATTCAAGTTAAAAATCTTATTGGAAATTGAATAATCTTTATTCACTTTCAACCATTTCTATATAAATACTCAATTATAGCTAACATAGAACTTTCAACATAGGGTACTATGATATTTAGATAAGTTTCGGTTATAATTTTAATTACAACAATATTTGGAAGTTCATAAAATATTTTATTTACAACTTATCACATTAGGTATAAAATACAACTCAAACTTCAAGTGCCACCATACATATTTTTTACACAACACATGTTCTTAATATAGTCACAAAGAACTGCCACTTAACAAGTCCTCAAAAGTGGGTATAATATTTCAACCTAATTTTAAATGACTTATGCCGATATGGACTAAGATGCTTTGTTTATTAGAAACTTAAGCTTATAAACTATGTATTACAAAAGTATCGCAGCACTATATTACATATATCTTGAGTAGGAGTTAAACAAAAATAACTCAAAAATTTGGGTCAAAAATTACATACATTTAAAAACATAGTTTTTGGAAAAAATATTGCAACTAACGGAATTTTTAGACATTTTCTAATATTTAGATAGATTAAAGCATCAAAACAAATCAACAGAACAATACAGTTCTAAGAAATATTTCAAGATGTAAGTTGATAAAAGTAGTAAAAAATGGTTCATTTTGGTACCTGAGAGGTTAAAAAAGTATGGATACGACTTTTCGTATAACATATTTTCAAGGTATGGTTCTCACGAGTATAGTGTTTGTTTTTTTACTAACGTACATTCAAAACATTTTTATCTAATTGGGGTATATGAGCTTTGCACTTTAATATGTTACACATTGCATAGGTCAAAAAAGTGGATTCCGGTCACATTCCGGTAACGTAACGGTCAGTTTTTTTGAAAAACGCCCATATACCAAAGTACTAACCAGAGAGCTGCCAACAGAATGATTTCAACGCTAAATCTAACGTTTTTTGATAAATTTACCACTGCATTTGAGTAGTTGATATTTACACATTTAGTATAAGTACTTTTATAAATTTTTGCTAATTCAAAAAATGAATATTGCAGTCATAGCTAATGATAAGATCAAATATAGTCCCTGATTTCGTGGGATATTGCTTGTAGAATACAAGGGTTAGCAGCACTGATATTTCTTGTAGATTAAAAGGGTTGGCAGCACTCTCAAATAATGATGACTGTAATCCAAACGAATGACGCAACCGAGGGAACTACAATTATATATTTTACCCAAAATATTGCTAATAATAATAAATATAGATAGATAGATAGATATTTTTAATGAAAATGTAACCTACGTAAATAAAGAAATAAATACGTAAAAATATTACTTTCAAATACATAAATATACATATACAGCCTTAATTGTCTTACTGTTTCACGATTTGGACAAATATACTTACCTTCCTAATTCCCACTGAACTGGCGACATAAAGCGTTTCAGACTCCTGTGTGTTCCTGAGTAGCTGTGCGTATAGGTATACTGTTTGTGTGATGTGTTACTGTTAAGTGTGATGTGGCTCAAAGCAGGTGAACACACATATGGGCTCGCCAATGGAACTGTGGGACCACAATTAATTTCGGAGAATGGTTCCTTTCTCAATTCAGGAGGAATTTGAGATTCTGAAAACCCTCTCCACTTAAAATCAAACTTATTGTATGGCTCGGCGCTGGCTTCGGGGTCGGCACTGGGTTCAGGCTCGGCGTTGGGTTCGGGTTCGGGCTGGGCGCTAGGTTGGGGCTGCAGGCCGGAGGGAAGTTGAGGTGGCCACTCAAAGCCTATAGCAGCGTTTATCGGTGGCACCTCAGTGTCTTCCTCAGACATAAAAAGTCTTTCAGCTCTCCTCGGCAGATGCACTGGCTGAACTAAATCTTCATCTTCATCATCGCTGTCAGCATCCTCTTCCCTGCCTGTGTAAATAATAATAATATACTGTAGTCTGTTTTACCTATGTAAACAGATATATATATATACTACTAAAAGATAGGTCTGAAAGAAAAATATTCACTTACCATGATTCAAGATTCGGGCAATTTCCTCGTCCCTCAAAGGAGGAGCCCTGACGGCTGATGATGAAGATGAAGCCCCGTCTGGAGGAATCCTTAGAAAATATGAAAATCAGTACCAGTATCGTAATAACTAAAAATATAATTTTGCTCAATACAAAAACCAAAAGAAAAACCGATAATGAAAAAAATTGCAAAAATAAAAAATAAATTAAAATTTTAATGCATACAAAAACATTTCTGAGGCATATCCATACTTAGGAAGCATCCCAGAAACACAAAAAACATGGCTGCCCATAAATGTCAAACGTATACTGTTGACGTAACCGGCTCCCGGTATGAGACTATGTACTCCCATTTCCATTACATATTTTCATGTTTTTGAAAGAAATATAATGCTACCTATGAAATATATCAAAACTAATTAATTTTACGTCTTAGATCTAACATCAACTTGCCTTTTCATCCATTATTTGGTTGAAATATGACGACAATAAAATCGTCGTCACATGTTCGACATTGAACATGCTGATAGTTACAGACCGATTTTTAGTGAAAATTAACAGAACTATTATATAATTTGTATACATAATCAATAATTACTTACCCTTCCATCGTTTTTTCTAATATTCAGCGAATCACTTCAAGATAAAACACAAGTTTTCACCAACACAAAAAATAAGTAGTCACCTAGGCGATGGCGGAGTTTTGACTGACTCTTGTTTACATTTTTTTCACTAAAGCTGCGCGAGATTTTGGCTTCACTAGTCAGCCTGTTTCTTCTTTATGCATTTGTAACGTGTTAGAAAGGATAGGGTATATACAATGACGTGCTTTAGAGCGATTATGAGAACACACTTACCCATACCGGCTCCCGGTATGTCAACAGTTCCGGCGAAAATGTGTTTATACCGGGAGCCGGTGTTTCAACAGACAAGAGGTTATATTACAAAAGTATTACCTACTTACCAAGTCTTGTGGTTTTAGGTGCTCTTAAAAGATATAGCTACTACGCCAAATGTCGTTGAAGCGACAAACAAACCGGGTTTATTAGATAAGCTGGAGGATTTAATGTCTGCGTTGAACCTGTGTGAAAAGGCACTCAACGACTACCTGGAGACTAAACGATTAGCTTATCCTCGTTTTTACTTTGTGTCGTCTGCCGATTTGCTCGGTAAACATTTTACCAATTTAACTATTATACATTGTATTTTTTTTTCTTTTAAACCTTTAACCTCTAACTAATGAAAATAATACTAATGTTTTGACTAATGTGAATTATATCTTGGTCTACAGACATATTGTCTAATGGTAACAACCCACCGGCCGTCTCTAAGCACTTGCCCAAGTTATATGACAACTTAGCGAAGTTAGTATTTCCCAAAACTGGTAGTAAGCAAGCGATTGAAATGATTTCAAAAGAGAATGAGGAGCACGTACCTTTTAAAGCCCCATGCTGTGACTGTTCAGGAAAGGTTAGAAAATTTAACAGAAAGTTCCGCACTAGGAACAAGTCCTTTGTTGTAGTTAGGTTATAGTAGAAACATATATAATTTACAGTTGTACTTACCAGTTGAAATAAATCCTTATCTCTGCTGGTAGGGTATAACTTCTCCGGAGTTACAGGTGTGCATGGGTTTGCACTTGCGTTTGCTCTCTATAATATAAAATTATACTCCCATACATTGTACAGTAAAAACAGACACAGTCAATTTATGAAAATCAAATTATGTGCCATCCTTATTTTATAGTATTATATGATATAATTTATCATTATTCGTTTCACACAGGTAGAGACATGGCTCAATCGGGTGACAGACTGCATGCGTTATACATTAAGGGACATATTCGAGCACTGTGTCAAGTCGTATGAGGATAAGTCTCGAGACGAGTGGGTATTCGATTGGCCCGCACAGCCCGCACTTGTTGGTACTCAAATATGGTGGACGACTGAGACGAATCAGGCTTTTGAAAAATTAGAAGAAGGTACTGTAGACTTTAGAATAAAAAATTACAAAAATAGTCATATGTTAATTTTTTTATCTAGGAGTCTAATGTTTTCAATAAAATTGCGAAACCATACAAGATAAATTACTCCCAGACACAGAACAAGGGATTACGCTCTTCACAAAACTATTTGACCTGGGGAGGAATCGAACCCACGACTTAGCAGTCAGGATTGCTAACCAGTAGATCAACAAAATGAAATTTATTAACCGAGAACAGTTTTACTATTATTTTTGTAATTCAACTAGTAACTGTTGTACTAGCTTTCGTTGTACCTTGACTTCCTGATGATTTGATCTGTTTCGGTTTTGTGCTTGGAGTCAAAGGAAACGTAGTGCGAGGCATGTAAATAAAATGAGTATCGATGACTATCATTTTTACAGCATAGATGCCACGAATCATGCAAGGAAATTTAGGCTCACATTCTTTAAGATTTAATTCTAACACCAATAGTATAGAGACAGGGTAAAATATATCTTCAAATTTCATTTCAAAACCTAATTATATCTAGTATATTCATTTTAAGGTTATGAGGGAGCCTTAAAAGATTATCAAAAGAAGCAAATAGCTCAGTTAAATGCCTTAATCGTCTTGCTGTTGGGTGACTTAAGCGTAGGTGACCGACAAAAGATCATGACCATCTGTACCATCGACGTACACTCGAGAGATGTCGTTGCTAAACTTATTAGTGCTAAGGTGGAGAATTCCAACGCCTTCCAGTGGCAGAGCCAACTGAGGTAAATTTAAAAACTATGTACGGTAAATAATTGTATTTGCTATGGGGGCAAAATATTCTCAGCGTCTCTTTCTGCTTATAGACATCGCTGGAGCATTAGCCTTAACAATTGCTATGCAAATATCTGTGATGCACAATTTCTTTATGACTATGAGTATTTGGGAAACACACCCCGGCTTGTCATCACGCCACTTACTGATCGTTGCTATATCACATTGACACAGGTAATTATTAGAATTAGTTGAATTAGTTGTATTTTTTACTCGTGAAATGTTACTTTCTTTAGATACTTACTGTGTGTTTTAAAATTATGTTGTAAGATTACACAAAACATGATACAATTATTTTTTACATAGTTTTTTGTAATTATATCAAAATTGAAAGAGGATAATATTTTGCTAGAAGACAATATGGAGACGTTTTTTACATATTTCACACGTTTCATATTTTTTTTGAATTAGTTTTATTTTTATGTAACTACTTATACATAGTTATCACTTTTACACGTTGTTCGTTTATTACGCTAATACATTCATTCTAAGTTTATGGAAAAAAAAACTTAATACTTCAAAATTATATTTTTTACTTTCTGGCCCATTAAATTGTTTTTTTTTTTACCTGTTTTAAAAAGTAAATAAAAAAATTAAGTAATTTATTTACCTAGTTATATTTTTGTATTAATCATTTATTTTCAGAGCTTACATTTAGTTATGGGTGGTGCGCCAGCAGGACCTGCCGGTACTGGTAAAACGGAGACCACCAAAGACTTGGGCAGAGCTCTTGGTATAATGGTCTACGTATTTAACTGCTCCGAACAAATGGATTACAAGTCTTGCGGAAATATATATAAAGGTTCTTTTTTATTCTTAAAAGTAATTATTACTTTAAATTTAAAAAAGGCCAAGATTAAGTCTCAGTTTAATGGATTTTTCTGTTGGTCAGTTGATTCTGTTTTTTGTAACGAAGTTTACTGTGATTAATAAAAAAGATTCACTTTTACATTGAATCAATAAATTACGATCGAATATCGTACAATAGGTGACATGTAAGGCGAATTATTTATTGGTTTAATCCTTCACAACACATTTCTAGCCTAAAGAGATAAAAGTATGTATATAACTCACGACAAAACATATTCGACTAACGACGACAAAAAGCTGAGCTATAAGTACCACCAACCTTCTAATGATACAATTTTACATTTCTGCAAATATTCATACTTTTTATCTAACTTTTGCATTATGTTCATGATTAATTAGTGTTAATTAAAGAAGCTTAACTAAGTGAACCATTTTAAAGGTGACATGGTTATAACGAGTACACATGACACAAATAGTAGGTACATGGTTATGACGTACAATGAACATGATAAAAATCCACTTGCAAAGTAATTGCTTTGAATCCTAATTATTCCATACTTCTGTCCCAAGGTCTCGCCCAAACCGGCTCATGGGGCTGCTTTGACGAATTCAATAGAATCTCTGTAGAGGTGTTATCTGTAGTATCGGTGCAAGTAAAGAGTGTGCTAGATGCAATCAAGGCCAAAAAGAAAAAGTTTGACTTCATGGGGGAGTTCATAACTCTAATACCTACCATAGGCATGTTCATCACTATGAACCCTGGCTATGCTGGCAGAACAGAGCTGCCTGAGAATTTGAAAGCCTTATTTAGGTAAGAACGTCTTTACCATGCTTAATTCTATAAATAATTAAATGGTATTAATTATATTGAGAGGAGGCCTATGTCTAACGAATCTGTCTACTTAACCAGAGAAGCATCACTTTAGACTGCGTAGTATGAGCTTTCGATAGATGAAAGAATTTTTAAAATTAATTTAGTGGTTTAGGCGTGAAAGCGTAACAAACAAACAAACTCACTTTCACATAATAATATACGTATGGTTAATTTTTATAAATGGAACGAAAACAAAATGAATGAAAAACCTATATGAAAAGCATCCGGGTTTGTTTATGGAATTCTGTCATAAGATTGGGTTTTGCAATAATCATCGCTTGCAAAGATTAACATACGAGTAGATAAGATGTTAGAGACACTAGACTCTGCATAGTGTTTTCTTTTGGAGGTCCTTAATACATAAATTAATTAAACTTAGTCAAAATACTATCAATTCACTTGACATAATTAACCGACGAGGTTGAATCTATATATTAGGTATTTTGTTCAACGTGAAAGATTTTCTTTCTTTCCTCTAGTTTGATGTAAAATCGTTTAGTTGCTTCGTTGCAACTAAACGATTTTACATCATTACATATTTTACATTATCATACATGACACAGACACTTATGATTTTTTCAACAGGCCATGTGCTATGGTGGTACCCGATTTTGAGCTAATTTGTGAAATTATGTTGGTGGCCGAAGGTTTTCAGGACGCTCGTTTGTTGGCGAGAAAATTCATTACACTGTATACGTTGTGTCGTGAACTGCTTTCTAAACAAGATCATTATGATTGGGGCTTGAGAGCTATCAAATCTGTGTTGGTGGTTGCCGGATCTTTAAAGGTTTGCACTTTAATAATATTCTACATCCTATTATTGCTTTGTTCCTTATTTGCAGATAAAGTCATCATACCTATCTTGTTTTTGTCTTATATTTATACTTAATGCTTTGCCATTCAGAACACAAAAATAAAATTCACTTTTATCGCCATCTTCTAATCAAGCATGATCGTATATATTTTTAAATGTATTTTATTCTCAATATATTTTTTAGTCTGTATACCCATATTATAAGTATACTTATTGTAAAAGGAGCTTAATAATTGTTAAGGGCACTTAGTTATCACAGAAAATATAATACCATATCCCTATACAATAATAGCATTGACTTGTGTGTCATATTTACATTTTATTTTATTTATTTTATTTTTTATTTTCTTTAAAAACAACTACAACAACAACAACAACAGACTTGCAATTTTGGAAATGCATTGCTAAAAATAACTTAAAAATTTACTTGAAATTTTTACCCATTTTTAGCGTTGACTAAGTTCCAAGGTAACGACGTATATTATAAGCCTAACAAACTATCAACCTCATGATGTGATGAGCTCAAGTCATTAGAGGAGAGGTTTTCGATCGGTTTCGACGTAAGAGAATGCGAGCCAAAGGGATTCGACTTCGAGTAGGAAAAAGTCTCTGTCGAATCTGGTTTGACTGTTACAGGCGGATATAAAGCTATAGTGAAACTAAAAAACAGCAACTGAAATGATATAACTTGATAGTATGTAATATTTATTTTATAGCGAGGTGATCGACAGAGACCAGAAGACCAAGTACTCATGAGAGCATTGAGAGATTTCAATGTACCAAAAATTGTTACTGACGATACGCCTGTGTTTATGGGATTAATCGGTGATCTGTTCCCCGCACTAGATGTCCCGAGGAAACGAGATTTCGATTTCGAGAAAGAATTAGTGGCGGGTGCTTTATCGATGAACCTGCAACCAGAGCATGGATTTATTTTAAAGGTAACATAATTTTAATGTTTTCACTTCAAGTTTTGTTACACAATTACCTGATTTTTACAAAAAATTATTTATGCCCTAGATGGTGCAACTCGTGGAGCTGTTTGCTGTAAGGCATTCTGTTTTCATAGATGGATTTGCCGGCACTGGTAAATCTATGGTGTGGCAGTGTCTCAACAAGACTTACCACATGCTAAAGATGAAACCGTTTTATAATGACTTAGATCCTAAAGCCGTAACCAATGATGAGCTATTTGGTATAATCAATCCAGCAACACGAGAGTGGAAGGATGGTCTGTTCTCAACGATTATGAGAGACATGGCTAATATGCCCGGCGATGGACCGAAATGGATTGTGCTTGATGGAGATATTGATCCCATGTGGATTGAGAGCCTAAATACTTTAATGGATGATAATAAAGTTAGTACCAACCGTTTTGATTATTACCGGTTACTGTGTTTTGTGTATTGTTTGCTGTTCATTAAAACATCATTTAAAAAAAAATGTAATTTAATATTATGAAGTACATTGAAGTTTTTGTGTAATGACATTATTATTTTAAGGTATTGACGTTAGCGAGTAACGAACGTATCGCTTTAAATAAAACTATGCGACTGCTATTTGAGATCTCGAATTTAAGAACTGCTACACCAGCTACTGTATCTCGCGCTGGTATTTTATACATCAATCCTCAGGATTTAGGCTGGAATCCGTGAGTAAATGGTTTTTAATAAGTAGGCAAGAGACATTCTGCCAGTTATACAGACATGGATTATTCTGTGTTTTGCCTATCTAATTATGCTTTTTATATATAGGTATGTAGCATCATGGATAGAGACAACGCGTGACGACGAATCAGAAAAAACTCTGTTGACGGTGATGTTTGACAAGTATATTCCACCACTGCTAGAGTCATGTAAGAAGTATAAGCGTGTTACACCATTGACGGAGCTACAACAAATCCAACTTACTTGCTACTTACTAGAATGCTTCTTAAATAAAACTTTGTTGCCTTCTGATTGCCCCAAGGAATGGTAATATCTGCCAAAATATTAATTAAAATCGAATACTAATAAATCAAATCAAAACATACGCAGAACTATATATATTTTTCCCTTCCTTACAGGTACGAAATATATTTTGTATTTTCCGTAGCGTGGGGTTTCGGATCAGCTTTGTTCCAAGATCAATTAGTTGACTGGCGTAATGAATTCAGCAAGTGGTTCCTAAATGAGTTTAAACAAATCAAATTCCCTTCTACTGGGAATATTTTCAGTTTCTTCATAGACCCTGAAACGAAAAAGTTTCTACCGTGGTCTGAGCGAGTTGAGTCTTTTGAACTGGACCCTGATCTACCTCTCCAGGTATTTACATATATTAATTTCATGTTAGATTATTTTTAGACTTATTAAAAGTAGAAACAAGATTTTAGCATTTAAGGTAACTTTTTTTTTCAGTCATGCTTAGTGTCGACATCTGAGACTACTCGCACGAGATTCTTTATGGACATGTTGATTGCAAAAGCGAAACCAGTCATGTTAGTGGGCAGTGCCGGTAGTGGCAAGACCGTCACTGTGGCTGCGAAACTCAATTCGTTACCTGACTCTTATGCAGTTACCAATGTAGGGCTTAACTTTTATACTACATCAGGTATGAATATGATAATTCTTGACCTTCTGAAGGCCAGGTTAATTCGTCATGTTAATTAAAACACAATCTTATTTCGTCGTAATATTATTTCGTCATGTTAATTAAATCGTAACCTATTACGTTTTAATTAACATGACGAAATAGAGAAAAGTTTAGATAAAACTAACTACACTGAAATTACGAAAAGAATAGTTAATTAATACAGGTAGAAGAATAGAAGAATTTTTAAATAACAATAATGTCACGTCTTACATACGGCCATCTGATATTAAACAAGGCGGAGCCAGTACTATGTTAACAAGATAGCAGATAGCGATGCCTATATTTGTAAATACAAAGATATTACAGATAAATTACACCTAAACACAGAACAAAAATAGTTGTGCTTATCACACAATTATTTATCTGAGAGGAGATCAAAACATCGGGAACAACCTGAAAAATAATTCAATTTTTTTCTTGTGTCGTCACCAGGGTTCACAGTGAAGAGGTTTATAGAATTCGCCTGCCTGAAAATACTCGTACATATATGTAGTACCATCACTAATGAGCCTATGCACGGGACTCCGGTACACTCTAGTAATTACTTTGTTGCAGAAATGATTCAAAAAGTGTTGGAAAAGCCATTAGAGAAAAAGTCGGGTCGAAACTACGGTCCTCCGGGCGGTAAGTTCATGATCTACTTCGTGGATGACATGAACATGCCAGAAGTGGACACCTACGGCACTGTGCAACCACACACACTTGTTAGACAGTTCATGGATTATCGACACTGGTAATTTAAATTTTGTAGTCTTAAATTGCCCATTAATTTTATACTGACTTGTTAGGTATTTTTGTATTAGCTATAGTATTGGTGAGGAAAATTATAGCCTACGTTACGCAACACTACAGGATCACAGAAAATATGATGTAATTAATTAGATGGTGAAGATTGGTGGATATCATATTTTACCGATGATACCGATTTGTGATCATAATAATCACTTTTCATAGTTTTTTCTTCATACTTTTTGAACATAAATTTGTATTATTACCAACGGTACTTATAACAGACAGTTATTATATATTTTTATTAATACTGTCATAACTAAGAATATATTTGAACTCATAATGTTGTTTTTCAGAATAATTTAATAACAGACAATTATCATAAATTTCATATTAATAATGGCATTATTAAGAAAATATTTGAACTCATAATATTGTTTTTCATAACGGTAATTTAAAGGTTAGTAACAGTTAGAATAGCAATCGTGACAACTTTTTCTCTAGATCAATAAATTACAGAGACAGAGGAGTCCAAATGTTAATTAATTACAAAGAAGCAGGGACTTAGAAAGATGTTTTTTCGCTCGTTGTCTACTACATGTAACTGGCTACATGGTTCTGGCTGTAGAGTCGCAGTTCTAACCTCACCTAACACTCCTCGCTTCGCTTATCTTCGCACATTACGGATACCTTCTTTAAAACATCTTTTTTATCGAAAAAAAACAAGGTCCTGCGCCTTTGTATTGAACTAACATTTAAACCCCTCTATCTCTGTATTATTGATATTTCTTTAAAGTATTTGTTACCTACACATATGATAAAGCTTTAAATAACTTGCTAGCTTTAAATAACGGATAAATAACACGTAGTATTAAAATATATATCTGAAAATAAATATGAGTGTAAATCAGACATATGTTTAGTGATATTATGAATTCTTATGATTATGAGTTTTAATCGTTGGTATTAAATATATTTTTGAAGAGTGATCATTATGATGTAAAATGACGTGAGAAATATTTTCTGAATTCCGAAAATAGGACTAGTTATGTGAAAACATGCGCATCCGGCTTAGACGCATAAGTAAATCTTTGAGTAAATATAAGGTTAAATTTATTTCGTAAATATAAATATATATATAACTTATCCGAGTTTGTCAAATTATGATGGCGTCAGTCGTTGAAAAACTAACCATTTAGAGCATGTTCCAGGTACGATAGGCAAAAGTTGACTCTAAAAGATATATCAAACTGCATGTTCCTGGCGTGCATGAACCCAACAGCTGGATCTTTTACCATAGATTCACGATTACAGCGACACTTTTGCACATTTGCTATCAGGTATACATAGGTTTTATTTTCTTAGCATCATATTTTAAGTTTTCGGGACGTCCTTTGCTTAACATAGGCCACTACTAAAGAGTAATTTTGCATCGCCACAGATAAATCGCTTCCTACCTTGTTATATAATGGTCGTTCGCTAGATAATAAAACTGAGAAATAAACTTTTAACCACTTTCTTTCATATAGATATATATATAACCAACTGCAACCTAATGTTTTATTTTGTATTTCAGTTTTCCAGGTTTGGACGCTTGTCAACACATATACAAACAAATTCTGTCGCAGCATGTTGCCAACCCACTTAACAAATACGGTATTTTAGTCATTCGCTACGTCGATGTTCTTGTCAATACTGCTCTCGCACTCCATGTCAAACTAGCTTCTACTTTCCTGCCTACTGCTATCAAATTCCACTATCTATGGAACCTGAGGGATCTATCTAGTATATTCCAGGTATCTCTAATAATAATAAAAAAAAACTTAATTGCAAAGACCCTAAAAAAAAAATGGAATCTGTAGGATGTTTTTGGAGACTCGCTAAAAGTTTATTTATTAGGTTAAGTAAATATTATTTTAGTGTCCCACGTATGTATATTGCAATCACAAATACATGGTGTGGTCTACAGGGTATATTGTTCACTACTGGAGATGCGATCAAATCTTCATCCGAATTTATAAGGCTGTGGATGCACGAGGCTACGCGAGTTTACTCCGATAAGCTGGTAGATGCTGCAGATAACGAAACCTTTAGCAAACTTATCGCTGAGACTATAAAGAAGAATTGCGAAGTATGTTGTCCATATTAATGTTTGCATTTTTATATATTAGTATTTATATTTGCTTAAACACGTATATTCACGCTTTTTTACAATGTCAAACGTCAATGTCAAAAATGACATTTTTGTTTTACATTCATTGCCCCAGAATCGTATATTTATAATATGTATATGTTACGCTCAAAGACGCGCACACCGCTCACCCTCGAATGTGTCTGTCGTATCGTTTTCTGGCTTAAAACACGGCTTTTTTCACCCTTGGATCACCCGTCGACAACGAGTGGACAACTGGACACCAAGTCGAGGTGGTGCTGGTCGGGTGTCGAGTGGGTGTAATAAGCCCTTAGCCAGCGTTTGCAATGTAAACGCACAAAAATATGTTCTTATTTACGACATCACATTACAAATTTTTGAATCTCTCGGATTTCCTCTACTATGTATCATACCTATAAAACCGCCTCTTGAATCTCTCTCTCTCTCTCTCTCTATTGGTGGAAAGCGCGTTAAAATCCGTTGCGTAGTTTGAAAGATCAAGAATAAGCGAGCGAAGTAGAATAAAAGCGATTTCATTTTATACTATGTAAATACATTTTCCATGAGTTATTTCATAAGGATTTAATTAACTTTTTAAATACTTGTAGGACTTTGACGAAAACGTAGTTTTCGAGAAACCATTGATATTCTGTCATTTTGCGGAAGGAATTGGAGACCCCAAGTACTTCCCTATTAAAGACTGGCCGCAAATAAAAAAGTTATTGGAAGAATCCCTGTCTGGGTATAATGATCTAGTTGCTACAATGAACCTAGTGTTGTTTGAGGATGCAATGTATCACATTTGCAGGTGAGTGCTGTAAAGGCTATGGTTAAAGTTCAAGAACATGATGTGTTATTTAATCTAACAACTGAATGAATTGGTTAAATTCCATTCCCAAGAAAAATATTTAAAAAATGTCGTTATTTAAGTTTGTAAAACATGAAAAATTTCATATCGTTTCGACTTTTTTTACACCACGGAATCTGAATATGTTCACGGTGCACATATCATTAACTTTTGCCATTAAATAAACAATTGAATAAAGGATTTTGTTGCTTTAGTCACTAATGCATGAAATAATGCTGAGTTATTATTTAATAAAAGAAACATAAAAATTTATTACCGGATGGCGCGTAGTGATTTGTGTAACGGATTGCTATTCCAAAGGTCGCTGGTTCTATTCCCGCTCAAGTCAAACATTTGTGTGCATCATCAACAGCCTTTACTAGTCCACTGCTGGACATAGGCCTCTCCTTAGAAAGGAGGTTTTGGCCTACTACACCACGCTGGCCAGACGGGTTGGTATAGGGTTTGTGTCAAGCTTTCCCTCTCTCTGCAGTGCTGTTGTCCTGCGTAGTTTGCTCCCTTAGTCGCCTTTTACGACACCCACGGGATGAATAGGGGTGGTGACACTCTGTATTCTTAATCCGTCACGCATTTGTGTGCATGATCCTTTAATGTTTGATATAGTCTGGGTATGTCCTATGGTCCTATGTATAATGAGTTTGTATTTACAAAGAAAAAGTAAATTTGTATTTATATCACTTGTCTAGTAGCCATAGTACAAGGAATAATATATATTTTTTTGTCTCAAGGATAAATCGCATCATGGAGAGTCCTCGAGGTAATGCACTATTGGTTGGCGTTGGCGGTTCTGGAAAACAGTCGCTGTCTAGACTCTCAGCCTTTATATCTTCACTGGAAGTCTTCCAGATACAGCTTAGAAAAGGCTACGGCATTAATGATTTAAAAGTTGACTTGGGTACATATATTTCTTGATTGTTATATTTGATTATAATTAAATCTGGAGTAAGTCATAATTAGGCGCGGTAATAATAAATATGTGATATTTCTGGGTTCGTTTAAAATGAAGATCACAATAAGTTATATCTAGGTTTATGAAACTTGTACCATCAGGCATTCTGATTTTGGTTTTGTAAGTGTCATACTTTCTGTCGGTGACATGACATCGTACGGTGTACGGTCGTTCTATGTGACAATCTTCTTCTTCTTCATTTTTTTTGACAATACCTGCACTAGGAACGAACACCCAAAAAAAAAGACGTAAAGAACACCCAGACTCAGGATAACAATTTATGGATCACACAAAGTGTTGTCCCATGTGGGAATCGAACATCAGCGCAGTAGGCAGTGGCAAGGTGACCGCTTAAACCACTACGCCATCCGTGCAGCCAGATGTGAGTCTGAATTCCGTACAATCCCATATCACCGCTAGAAAGACAATTATGACACGATTGTAAGGGCGACATAATAATTTATTAGTTTATTGACTGCACGGATGGCGTAGTGGTTTAAGCAGTATTATCTAAAATTTCGTTCTAGCTGGATTGAATTTAAAAGCGGGCTTGAAGAACATAGGCTGTATGTTCCTGATGACAGACGGTCAAGTGGCTGATGAACGATTTTTGGTGCTCATCAACGACTTACTAGCCTCCGGTGAAATACCTGAACTGTTCGCAGACGATGAAGTAGAAAACATTATAAACGGCGTTAAAGCAGAGGTCTGGCCTAAGTTTCTTTGTTTATTAATATGTGTTAATTTAAAATAGTCATTAAAATAGTGGTTCAAGTTATTAACCAATCAAAGCAATGATGCTTTGATTAATTTATAACTTGAATCACTATTTTGAATTGATAACATATTGTGGTAACTGTGATTTAAAATGCTCAAAATTAGAATTTTTCGCAGGTACTAAAAACATGTATAAAATGATATAATTTTCCGAAGTAGCTTACAGTCCTGGACTCATTTGGTCATTTTTTGAATTTTTTTTTATCTCATTTAATACTTTCAGACTAAAGCAAGTGGTGTACAAGACACACGCGAAAATTGTTGGAGATTCTTTATCAATCGTGTAAGATCTATGTTAAAGGTGAGTGCGAAGCTCTATATTATGTTTGTTAAATAATCGTTTATATTAGATTTTTATATTATTCAATATATCCTTAATGAAACATTTAAGGAGATTGTTTTTAAAATTGCAAAATGGTTTAAAATACACTTATACATAACAAACATGATAAATCTTTGTTTTGCACCTAATGTCGGCTGTTGTTACGGTAAATGGTTATACCTACAATGTTATAGTGATATGTAATTGCAATTGTGCCTCCCGCTTTAAGAAACTTTCAAAGGGCTCGTCAACGTGGGAATGTTGCTAGGTCTAAAGGTGCAATGGGACGAAGTCACTTTATAATCGGATTTGCTTAGTGTCTTATTGTTAGACCTCAGAACAATAAGAAATTAATATTAAATATATATTAGCTCGTGCACATGTTCATAGTTTGTGTCTATCCAGGTTGTATTGTGTTTTTCTCCGGTGGGTGCAACTTTGCGTGTACGCGCTCGCAAGTTCCCGTCTGTTGTAAATTGCAGCGCTATCGACTGGTTCCATCAATGGCCGCAAGAAGCGTTGCAGTCTGTCTCCAAGCGGTTCTTATCTGAAGTCCATTCATTGCCGGTTAATACGTTACAAATATTGCACGTTATACACGGTGATTTTTTAGGCGTTTTGGAAACGAAACATTTTAATTTGGAATCATCTATAGTACCAATAAAAATGATTAAATCAATTGTAATGTAGTCTAAAAAAAAGTTTTAGTTTTTGTTCACGTCGTAGTATTTTAGAAATCAAACCTAAACATTAAGTCAATTTTGTACGCAAAGTTTACCTCATGTCTCGATAGATGGCGTTGACGTTGATTTTAAAGTCGCGCTATCGTTTTGTTACCATAGAATATATAAGAAGCCACGATAATATTCATTAAATACCTACGTTCTGAGTATGTGGTGTGGTTTTATTGCTATAAAATACTCCCTACTCGTCGTATAAAAAGGGCGAAAAAGATCTTCGATGATCATAAGGTCCTTCGAGCCGGATCGTTTTTTGAAAAAGCTAAAAGCGCCCTCTAGTGGAGTAGTTGAGAGTTTAAGTAGCAGATAGTTAGTCGAATTGGTGCAAGTTTGAAGCTGACCCAAGCTGAGTGGAGCCAACGAAGCGTGATCGACGGAGCTGAGCGGAGCAAGGTTGACGGTGCCAAGTGGAGTGTTAAAGGAAAGTGATTTTAAAGTGATAAGTGCAACTTAAAAACTGTAAGTACATTTACTTTATTAACAGTTCCAAGTGTTAGAGAGTTTAAAGTTAATGCATGGACTTAGAAAAATTTGAAGAAACTTGGGACTTAGAATAATTTGCAAAAAAGTGAAGAGACCCCGAATCTATGCCCGATTTCGCTTAGAATTAAAGCGCAGTTCAAACACTTAGAAAATTTACGACATTCAAACACTTAGTAAAATTTAACCACGGTGACACTTAGCAAATTAGGCACATAAAATTATTGGCTTATTACACTGAAGTAATTGTAATAGGAATCATGGAGGCTAAGTTAAGGGTGTTGGAAGATATTAAAAGTCGTATCCAGAAGGGGCTTATTAACTTCAAAAAGTCACCAAAAGACAGAATTAATCAGGCATATGTAGACTCACGTTTGGAAATATTAGACAAACAGTATGAAGAATTCACAAGAAAACATGAAGAGCTTTTGGTTAACTATACAGAGAGTGAGTTGAATGCAACCAGTTACATCAAAAATGATGTGTTTGAGGCAGTCACCGACACTTTTATAAATTATAAAGTTGAATTAAAAAATGCTTTACCAAAATCTCAGTCTTGTAAAATGAGTGATGATGCCTCATCAGGCCATGCACAACCGAGAATAGTGTCAATTGCTAAATTACCAAAAATAACAATCCCGATTTTTAGTGGTAAATATCAGGAATGGTCAACGTTTAGGGATTTGTTTTTATCACTAATCGATAGTAATCAAGCTCTGGATGATGTACAACGCTTACACTATTTAAGATCTCAGCTGTCGGGAGAGCCATCACAGCTCATTAAGCACATACCGATCACGCATGCAAATTATAAAAAATGTTGGACGCTGTTAAGCAGTCGTTACAATAACAAAAGATTTTTAGCCAATTGTATTCTCAAGCGTTTACTAAACCAAAAACAAATGACGGCTGAGTCATCTGTTGCGCTCAAGGAGCTTTTAGATACTACAACCGATTGTTTACACGAATTAGCAAATCTAGGGGTGAAGGTAGACGCTTGGGATATCATTATTATTTATTTAATAAGCTCCAAGTTGGACGTTGAGACTCGGAAACAGTGGGAATTGCAGGTGAGTCAATCTTGTGAGGAACTTCCCACCTTCAAGGATTTTCGAGATTTTTTGGATAAACGTTTTCGGGCTTTTGAATTTGTAGAACCTCAAAGTAGTAAGTCTAAAAGCAGTACTAAAGCGTTTCACGTGGTTTCAAAAATATCCTGTCCTCATTGTTCCGAGGAGCACCTTTTGTGTTATTGTAAAAAGTTCGCTCAGGAGACCGTCGAAAAGCGTCGTCATATAGTTAAATCTCATGGTTTGTGTTTTAATTGTCTTCGCTCAAGCCATCTTATTGTTAATTGTCGAGTAAATACTAAATGCAAAATTTGCAGTAGAAAGCATCATACACTCTTGCATCTAAAACCGGACTCTGTCGCGGAGCCAAGCTCTTACGCATCTCCAATGCAAAATGAAACACCACAGAACGAGGCCACTATTGGACCGCATATTACAACCCATTTTGCTAAAAATATTCATAGTCAGGTCATACTGGCTACAGCCCTTATTAAGGCTAGATCGAGAAATGGGCATACACAAGTTTTGAGAGCCCTGTTAGACCAGGGTTCTCAAGCTTCTTTTATTACAGAATCGGCTGTACAGTTATTAAAGTTAAGAAAGATAGCGGTTAAAACATCTATCTCAGGTGTAGGTGGGAGTCAGAATGATCTAACATCGAAATTTATGGTTAATGTAAACATTCAATCGTTACGGGATCCTGACTTTACCTTTCAATTTAAGGCTTATGTGCTGAGTAAGGTGACTTCAATATTACCTGAAAGGAAATTTACATTGGTGGATTGGCCAGAGCTTAGTAGCATTAATTTGGCTGATCCAAATTTCAATAAACCTAACAAAATTGATATTTTGTTAGGATCGGGAGTCTATGCCAAGATCCTTAAAGAAGGCTTACTCAAGGACCCCCAGGGTAGAACAATGGCTCAAGATACTTACCTTGGCTGGATCATATCAGGAGAGGTCAGCAATAAAGATGGAGAGACGGCTTGTCATAATCTAATTCTAAGCATGCACACTAAGGTCGAAGAAAACGCAATCCTAAAAAGGTTTTGGGAAATAGAGGCAGAGCCAACATGCTCTGAAAAGTCATTTCTTAGCCCTGAAGAGCAAGCATGTGAAGATTACTTTGCTGCTACCACATGCAGAGATGCAGATGGACGCTACATCGTAAAACTGCCTTTTCGTTCCAGTAAAACACCCCGCAACACAAAAGAAATAGCGTTAAAAAGATTCAATAGTCTTGAGAGGAAACTAGCAAAGAATAGCGAGTTAAAAGGACAATATACTTCGGTAATAAAGGAGTATTTATCACTAGGTCATATGGAAGAGATTTATAATGAAAAGGACAAAAATAAAGTTGACGCTGTTTACTTACCGCATCATGCTGTGATTCGCGAAGACAAGTCTACCACTAAATTGAGAGTGGTATTTGATGCGTCATCCAAGGATTCCGACGGAGTTTCCTTAAATGACACCTTAATGGTAGGACCACTTTTACAGGCTGATTTACGTCATACAGTTATGCGATGGCGACAACATCCAATATGCTTGGCAGCCGATATCGTGAAAATGTATCGCCAAGTAAAGGTAGCTGATGATCACGTGGACTTCCAAAGGATTTTGTGGCGGGATGACGTTCATTCCGATATAAAGGAATACAGGCTTTTGAGAGTTACATTTGGCACCTCTAGTGCTCCTTACCTAGCAGTCAAGGCATTGCAGCAAACTGCCAGTGATGAAGGTCAATCGTATCCATGCGCTGCTAGTAGGGTTAGGACAGATTTTTATATGGATGACCTAATGACAGGTTGTCAGACTGAGGAAGAAGCTGTAAAAATCTATTATGAGTTTAATGCACTTTTAAAAAAAACAGGTTTCACTTTACAAAAATGGACAAGTAACCGAGAAGAGTTGCTAAATCAGATAAGGCTGGATACTGGAAGAGATCTGGAAATAAAAGAAGATGAAACCACTAGAATTCTAGGACTTACCTGGAACCGCAATTCCGACGAGTTCCATTATACTGTAAACTTACCATTTTCAATATCGTCGCCGTTGCCGCCGTCTGCATCTGAAACTAAAAGAACAGTTATATCAGAGATATCCCGTTTATATGATCCGCTAGGTTGGATTGCACCTTGTATAATTACCGCTAAAATCTTCATCCAAAAACTATGGATCGCTGGTCTGAATTGGGATGAAGAACTATCAGAAGATCTGCTGACAGAGTGGCAGTCTTACCGTAGTGGGTTGCAAACACTTAACAACTTTCGAATTCCAAGGTGGCTGAAAAGAAAAAGCGATGATCGAACTGTTGAACTTCATGGTTTCTCTGATGCATCTAGCGTAGCATACGCCGCGGCTGTTTATATCAGAGTCATCGATGCTGTAGGTCGGGTCCACTGTAATCTGGTGACTGCAAAAACGAAGGTGGCTCCAATTAAACAAATTTCTATACCACGACTGGAGCTGTGTGGCGCGGTTTTAGTTATCAAATTGCTTTTGGAAGTGGCTCATGTTTTGAATATCCAAAAGGCCGACATACATGCTTGGACAGATTCTACAGTCGTGTTGGCTTGGTTGAGCGATCATCCGAGTCGATGGAAAACGTTCGTCGCAAACCGGACGTCTGAAATTCTTAATGCCCTTGATGCCACTCAATGTCATTATGTCGATACAAAAAGCAATCCCGCTGACATTGCTTCGAGAGGTGCAACACCAACATCTTTGTTAGACGACTCGCTTTGGAAGCATGGACCATCGTGGTTGCTTGCTGATACCATAGAATATTGCAGACCTAAGGCTATAATGACTAAACTGGAACTAAAATCGTCCCGGGTTCATGCAGCACAGATAGAGGACCACCCGATTGAACTAATGTGGTCTCGATTTTCATCGTTCCGCAGATTGATCAGGACTCTGACCTATTGCAGACGATTCTTAAAATTCAAGATATCCAGAGAATCACGGTCCAAGTTACCATACTACCTTACAGCTTCTGAGATAACGGAAACCATGCATTGCTGTCTCAGGCAGAGTCAAAAGGTTTGGTTTGAGACAGAAATAAAGGCAATCAAAACCGGAAGAGACTTCAGAAAGGGCAGCGGCTTAGGTTCTTTGAATCCTTACTTGGATGATAAGGACTTGATGCGAGTAGGGGGTAGAATCCAAAATGCACAACTAAGTGATGATAGGAAGCATCCCATCATAGTTCCTCATCAGTCCCATTTGACAAAATTACTCATAGCGGATGCTCATGAGCGTGTATTACATGGCGGGCCACAATTAACACTTAATTTTCTTCGCTCAAAATATTGGATTGTTCGAGCCAAGAATTTGATTAAGGCTCATATCCGCGACTGCGTACCGTGTATCCGTCACGCAGCCAAACCAAACAACCAATTAATGGGTCAGCTGCCATCATGCAGAGTGACTCCAAGTAAGCCGTTTCTCCATTCAGGTGTCGACTACGCGGGACCGATTCAAATAAGAACAGCAAGGGGTCGTTGACATAAATCTTACAAAGGCTACATATGTCTGTTCGTATGCATGGCAACCCGAGCTGTGCATATAGATGCAGTCTCAGATCTGACCTCTCAAGGCTTTCTCGCTACATTTAAACGTTTTGTGGCTAGACGGGGTCACTGTAGTCACCTATACAGCGATAATGGCACGAACTTTGTGGGGGCGTCAAAAGAGCTTAGGGCAATGTTTCGCGATGAGAGCGCTTCTCTCCCTCAAGAAATTGCCTCTATATTGGCTAATAATGGAACCGAGTGGCATTTCATCCCACCTTATTCTCCGAATTTTGGAGGTCTATGGGAAGCTGGGATCAAAAGTACAAAACATCACCTCAAAAGGGTGATCGGCGAATCGACGCTGACTTTTGAGGAGCTGAGTACCGTCCTATCCCAAATCGAAGCTTGTCTGAACTCTAGGCCCATTTCACAGTCTAGTGAGAACTCGTCAGATCCCAACCCATTGACACCAGGACATTTCTTGGTCGGTCAGCCACTGGTAATAGCACCAGATTATGATTATGAACATGCAGCAGTGGGTAGCCTGAGACGTTGGCAATTGACACAAAGAATGATTCAAACTTTCTGGAAACGTTGGTCTCAGGAATATTTAACTATATTTTTTCAACGACATAAGTGGGCTAAACGGATGCGAGATCCGAGAGTTGGAGATGTTGTCCTCATAAAGGAAGACAATTTACCACCTGCCAAGTGGTTATATGGGAAGGTAATTAAACTACACCCTGGCAAGGATAACTTAGTACGTGTAGTAACCCTTCAGTGTAAGGGTTCCCGAGTCCAACGCCCAACTTCTAAGCTGTGTGTTTTGCCTGTCAACGATGACTGACAAACGCGTAATTTTATTGTTTTGTATTTTAATTCGTTATTTCATTCTTTTATATGTTATTTCGTTACTTTATATACAGTCCACTCTGATACTACGTTTAAAAATATAAAATTAATTAGAGTAACTAGTTTGATTGTTGGTAAACCTAAATCGCTTTTTGTGTATTTTATGTTTACATTTTTTTTTATGTCTTGATGTTATTTACAATATGAACACTATGATCTCCGAACACCAAGGATTTTAGTTTAACACTAAAGTTGTTCGTATATTTACTCTAGATTTTGCCATGGTGGGCGGCTTGAAAGGACTAGGTCCTTGGTGGGCGGAATGTTCACGTCGTAGTATTTTAGAAATCAAACCTAAACATTAAGTCAATTTTGTACGCAAAGTTTACCTCATGTCTCGATAGATGGCGTTGACGTTGATTTTAAAGTCGCGCTATCGTTTTGTTACCATAGAATATATAAGAAGCCACGATAATATTCATTAAATACCTACGTTCTGAGTATGTGGTGTGGTTTTATTGCTATAAAATACTCCCTACTCGTCGTATAAAAAGGGCGAAAAAGATCTTCGATGATCAGTTTTAATATTCATTTTTACTCGATCGACTTGGAAAGTAGTAATGGACTGATCATTCATTCATTATCTTATATGAATGAAACACGTCCGTGGGCGTTTCGGCGGCCGCTGCGCACCGCTGACGCTAACAGCAGCTGATAAAAGTATACCTATAGGCGCGAGCTAGCGAGTACTTACGTAGATAGACTCCAATTTGTCCTTCATACTTTACACGGGCTTAGGATCGTCGGAAATACCTATTTTATTTAAACTTCTTTTCGATTATTTACCACGATTGTTCTTTTCACAACAAATCAATTTATCAACGGACTGTAGGTATAAATATTTCAAGCTTATTTAAAAAATCGGAGCTATCTACAGAATAATTAACTTACATACCTATTTACACTATTTACACTTCTCTGTATCGAAGCAACTGCTCAAAATGGAGTCCGCTGCATTCAATACACAAACATCTACGTTTAATGCAATTGTTTTTTAATTTTCTTAATGTGTCTCTATCACTTTTCACTTTATCAAAAGCGTCCACTATCGCAATGCGTAAATTATCACGGCTTTCTTATTCCCGTGTATAAACAAGTATTTTTATTTCCGACCATAAGAAAAAATCCAGGGGCGTTAAGTCCGGGCTTCTAGGTGGCCAAGGCACTGGCCCTCCTCGACCTATCCACCGATCACTAAACTCATTGTCCAGGTATGCACGCACTACACTCCGGCGAATAATAATTTAAACGTCCTTGACCTTGCGCGTGAGTATAGTATTTCTATTCGTAGTATTTACCTACTTGCGATTGAAAAGCCCTACTACTGGATCTCACCTTTTCTCTGTAATCGATATGAATATCGACTTTGATGATAAAAAATATATATATTTTATTAAATTAACGTTATAGCTTCTGTTACTGATAAATAACTCAAAATTTTCTTTTCCAAAACGCTTTCAAAATCACCGTGTATTTTCATTTTTCTTATAAATACGGTCTTTGTACTTCCGTAGTTAATTTTGTACAAAAAACTTAACTACTAACTAACTAATGAAATAAATTGGGAAGAGAAATAAATAAATTATATACGAATGTAGTTTAAGTACAATAAGGCAAACGCCTTATCTCTAAGTTAATATAAGTAAACAATAAAACTATTGTTTGAGTATAGTAACTAAACGGCCTCAAAGATTTTAGCTCAGTATTCAGCACATGGAATGAATTTATTAGACATTAGTGTTTGTTGTAGTAAATAGATTTATTAACGAAATTTTATAATGAATAAAAATTAATAATTGATTATAATTAATTTTATAATTTTATAATTTTTACAGCCCGAATTGGTCAATTCAGTAGCGGATTTCATGTCACATGTACACCAAAGCGTGAATAAAATGTCAGAAGTCTACTTCCAAAACGAGAAGCGGTATAATTATACTACGCCTAAGACCTTCCTCGAACAAATAGCTCTCTATAGCAAACTACTTAATGAGAAAACAACGAACTTGAAGATGATGATCTCAAGACTTGAAAACGGACTGGAAAAGTTAGCATCGTGCGCTGCCGATGTCGCTATTCTCAAGGTGAATGAAAATTAATAAACTTCTAAAAATATGTAAAAGTACTACAAATTTCATCGGGTACCCTTTAGTCTAGAGATCAAATTATTTTAATGCATAATTATTTAATGAATATTTCCAACTTTCTGTCAAAATTATACATGCCCTCTGTTCACGATATTTTGTTTAAGTGAACTTCTAGCTTGGCTATCATCAACAGCCTATACCAGTCCACTGCTGGACATAGGCCTCTCCTTAGAAAGGAGGTTTTGGCCTACTATACCACGCTGGCCATACGGGTTGGTATAGGGTTTGTTTCAAGTTTTCCTTCTCTTTGCAGTGCTGTTGTCCTGCTTAGTTTGCTTCCTTAGTCGGCTCTTACGACACCCACGGGATGAATTGGGGTGGTGACAATTTGTATTCTTAATCCGTCACCACACGGACTTGGCTATAGATATTACCATCTCCACCATATTTTCTTTTACCTGGGGTCAGAAAATAAAGTTATTGTTATTCATTTATTATAAATTGTTTTCCTTTCTGATTTTAAGATTTTTTTTTACCTTTTTCTTTTATTAATGACTTACAATTTATAGCTTAAAAATTTGCTATTATATTTTTAAGATATTTTTCTTGTTACATACTCTACTCGACTTAATGAAAAATATCCAAGTCCGACATATTTTTTTTAACTCTGAGGATACAAAAAACAGAGAAGTTTCAGAGTTTTAGACATATCTTTAAATAACAATAAAAATATATCACAATGTAATCCATTTTTACTCACAGAAGGTAAAGTATAAATGAGGTAAAAGGTAAAATTTTTAATTATTTTGACACATTCTTTAATAACCTTGATTGTTTAGTCCCTGGCAAGAGACAAATAGTAAGAGTTGCTTATTATGTAACGTTCCTGTTTCATCTCTATTTTCCCTCTAATCTAACATTCTTCTAATGAAGGTCTCAAGCTGACTAACCAAGGGTAGAGAAACCAATACAAAACAATTTATGTATATTAAATTTAAAAGCCTGGTTTTGTTAATGTAGGTGACATTAGCTGAGCAAGAGATCATTTTAAAAGAAAAGAACAAAGCCGCGGAAGAGCTGATCGACGTGGTAGGCGCTGAAAGCGATAAAGTATCAAAAGAAAAAGCATTTGGTACGCAATATTGTTATTTTAATATATTCAATATTAATACATTGCCTCAAAATAAGAGCCTTTTGTGAGTAGTCTCCATAAAAAATATATTTTACGAGTGCAGCGCTTGACAACGACGCGACAAGGAAACTTTTAATCAAGGACTGAAGTCGGTGATGGTCAAGAGTCGAAACAGCGAAGTCGTCGGGTCTATAACTAGGCGGCATCAGTTACACACCAATAGAATAATTTATGTACTACCATAATTTATAAATCAGTTCTTATGTCTAAGTAAAAACAAAAGTAGCATTCAAAGATAGACATTTTTGTGTTAATTTTAAACTGTACCGTCATTGTCTTTACTAAGAACTATTAAACACTTAATTAATTATATGTGATAAATGACCAATGTTATTTTGATTTGATTCAATAGCTGCTGAAGAGGAGAAAAAAGTAAAGGTGATAGAAGAGGATGTTACAATAAAGGCTAAGATCTGCGCTGATGACTTGGCTAAAGCTGAACCTGCATTGATTGCGGCTCAAGAGGCTTTGAATACCCTAAATAAGAACAACCTAACAGAGTTAAAGGCTTTCGGTTCGCCTCCTGACGCTGTTGTCATGGTTACTGCTGCAGTACTTGTCCTGTTTTCCAAAAGGGGTAAATTACCTAAAGATAGATCGTGGAAAGCTTGTAAAGTAAGTAGCTTTTTATTTATTTTCGTAATATTTAATGAGATTTTTATTTTAACAGCATTAATTTACTCGAACGTGTTCTTTAAATATTTCAGTTGATGATGGCAAAAGTGGATCAGTTCTTATATGACTTGGTTTACTATGATAAGGAAAACATTCACCCCGATGTGATTAAGGCAAGTAATAATATCTTGAACAATAATACATAAAACTTTTTATACAGACTTTATATGACATAGTTCCTGGGCTAATTTAAAAAAGTTTAAACCGATAATCTAAGTAACTAATTTTTTTGTACAAAACTTTTAGTCAGGCATATAAATAAATGTCTTCTCACATATCGAACAGGCCGTTCAGCCGTACCTCAAAAATGCCGAGTTTCATCCTGATTTAATTCGTGCGAAGTCAGCGGCCGCCGCTGGTCTCTGCGCTTGGGTGATCAACATTGTAAAGTTCTACGATGTGTACGTAGTCGTTGAGCCTAAGCGACGTGCCCTCAACGCCGCTAACGCTGAGCTGCAGGCAGCCAGGGATAAGCTAGCTTTTCTCACGGATCAAATTGCCGTAAATATATGACTATAAGCTATTGTTCAGTTTGATTTATGATATGAGTTTTATACTAGAATTTGATTCTGTATTATAGGAACTAGAGGAAAAATTGGGAGTGTTGATGAAGGCATTCCAGGAAGCTGTGAATGAAAAAATGAAATGCCAAGCTGAAGCTGATGCCACTAATGCCACAATTGATTTGGCTAACAGACTTGTCAATGGACTTGCCTCAGAGAAAATAAGGTAATATTTAATTGATCTGGAACTGCTCATATGTTACGTAAACGTTATGTACTGCTATGTACTATTTGATTATATGTTACGCACTGCTTATTGTGAGGGCATCATTCTCCAATAACAGATGGTCAGCAACGGTAGTGAACATGAAGGAGTCAGGAGTTTTATTACCGGGTGATGTGCTTTTGGTGACAGCTTTCATTTCTTATGTTGGCTGCTTCACACGTGGCTATCGTCTTCAGATGATGTATGAAGATTGGGTGCCTTCGCTTGGTAAAACCAATGTAAGTTTATTATACTTATTTTATAGCATTTATTATGAAAGAGGAATGACACGTTATGTTACAGAGTCACAGTTGAAATAATATTAATCTTTAGTCCAGGTGATGTATGAACTTAGTGTAAGACTTTTAATATCCAAGTTCCTGTTTATAACCGGCAAACTCTCATTTACTCTTGCAGCCTAAAATAGAAATGACGGAGAATCTAGACCCACTGACGATGTTAACGGACGATGCTCAAATAGCAACTTGGAACAACGAGGGTCTGCCTACCGACACTATGAGTACAGAGAATGCTACTATTCTAACAAACTCTGCGCGCTGGCCACTTATGATTGATCCTCAGCTGTTAGTAAACGGGTTTTCTGACTTTTAACTTTTTTCGTGATATCTAAGTCTTAAAAATTGTACTAGTACACATATGTTCTATATTCATCATGGCTGTGCTTCTCAAGGTTCGTTTCGTATCATTGATTCGTTTAAAAAAAGCGTTTTTTTTTAAAGTGAAAACTTCTTAAGCTGCTTTAAGCGATTTTTGGTAGGAGAAAAACTTCGTTCGCGTCACCGATGACCTCGACATACTCGTGACGTACTGCGCCAGACTAGCGACGCCGTAGTATATTTAGCAGCATGTGTACATGTATACGCATATATACGCTCGACTGTATCATATTCATGTTATTATTATTGTTATTGTCATACTTATTGGATGGGTAAAATATTGATTGAGTGATTTCGCGTCACCGACATGCTGTAAAAAAGAACAGTTATCCAATTGTCTATATTGAGTTTTTACTTCTGGCGGCAGTCCTTATGACGACTACCTCAGTTTTTTTTATGATCAACTAGGGCAGGATGAGTGTAACTAATTAATCTATTTTTACATTTGAATATTCTCATTTATCACTGTCTTACCTATCGTGCACAGAGAGAACATTGTAAATTAGGTAAATAAAAACATTAACATTGTTACTAATTTTGTGCTTGAACAGTCAGGGTATTAAATGGATAAAATCCAAATTCGGCGATGCTCTCGTGGTGATTCGACTTACGCAGCGCAACTACTTAGACCGAATTGAGAGGGGCGTCTCTAATGGAGACGTGTTGCTACTGGAGAATATTGGCGAGACAGTGGATGCTGTACTCGAACCGCTTCTTGGCAGAGTCCTTATACGTAAAGGAAAAGTGCTCAAGGTAACTGTTATAAAATTTAATTCGAAGTTTTTTAGCTATTATTTTTTCTTTTTACCTCACACATCTGACACAAGGCTATGGTAACCAGACTGCTGATAAATATAATAGGAGTTAAAGTATGAAAGTGCCGTTGTATAGTAATAGATACTTGAAATGAGATAAAACCTTCATGGTGTGAGATTTTCGTGTGAAACATTTTTACATGAATACTTGTTTTTAAAAAATGTGTAACATTAACTTACTCGTATATACTATATTCACTACTATAGTCGATTATTTTCATGCATTCCTTACCACGTTGGTATTCGTGCCAAGCAAAATCTCTTAATTCCATAGTTACCTGCGTTACATATATTTTTCAGATAGGGGACAGAGAGATAGATTATCATCCAAACTTCCGCTTTATACTGCAAACGAAATTGGCTAATCCACATTATCAACCGGAAATGCAGGCTCAGTGCACTCTCATTAACTTTACTGTAACAAGAGATGGGTAAGATATATCATCATTCCTATTTTATGATTGTGTATTAATTTTGAATTTGGAAATATAAGAATTTTTAAACACATTTATTTGACTACATGATTAGTTGACCAGGTCCATTTGATAAATGTATTCATACATTTTCAGTTTAGAGGAACAGCTTCTTGGTGAAGTAGTGAAGGCTGAGCGGCCAGATTTAGAAGCTTTGAGAGCCGGTTTGACTAAACAACAAAATGATTTCAAGATCACGCTGAAGTCTTTAGAAGACGATTTGCTTAAGCGACTGTCATCTGCGGGTCCGGATATTTTAAGCGATGCAGCTCTGGTTATTAACTTAGAGACCACTAAAAAGACTGCCGCTGACATTGAAATCAAGGTAGAGGAGGGTAAAGTTACTGCCGTTAAGATTGACGAAGCTCGAGAAAGATATAGGTAAATATGGTTTTGTTTTGTTTGGTTTTGTTAATGTGTATGTAATGTTAGTTAGGAACCCTGCATATTTGACAGTTCTCAGTCATTTCTTGGAGTATTATAGAAATACGCAAATTCGCACTCTCAGTGCGACTTGGCGCCTGAACACCCTTACTCTTCGGACAATTTGTTGACGTAAGAGCGAAATAACTAAATCGTAATAGGATGATAGCTAAAATTTTGTACACGTTGTTTTGGTGTACAATAAAGTTAATTTTAATCTATTCTAACTTTTCACAATTTAATTCAACCGTTTAATTTGCAGACGTGCGGCTACAAGGGCTTCTATGCTGTACTTCATTCTCAACGAAATTTACAAGATAAATCCGATGTACCAATTTTCACTAAAGGCATATAGTGTGGTTTTCAAGGAAGCATTACGTACTGCCGAAAAGGCCGATGAACTGGAGAAGCGAGTGCGAAACTTGCTCGATAGCATAACATTTTCAGTCTACGTGTACACGTGTCGAGGTCTCTTTGAGAGGGACAAACTCGTGTTTTTGTTTCTTGTGACGCTACAGGTGAGCTAAGTAAAATATTTTTATCAGACACTTTATTTATTATTACAGGATATAAACAATGTAACAAAAAACACTAGTTATTTTTTAGAAATATCTTTTTTAAAATATTTTTATTAATTTTTTTTTATTACAAAATTTAAAAGTCGCAATCAAGTAAATTAAATCTAATTTGCATTATTGCCCATTACTAGGTCTTATGGTAAAGACAGTACTAGTGCATAGTTGATATTTCGCGGCCGTAAGGTGGGCCTGGAGACCTGTCATACAGGATTCGAGCCTAGCATAGCTCTTACTAAGGAACTTTATTTTGTTTCCTTTTAATACGTGTAATTACCATACTCTGTAACCTACCCTTATGAGAGAAATAAAAGTTAATATTATTATTATTTTATACACATTAATTATGTTTTTAAACACACACTTAAAAAAAACATATTTAAAGAATATAAAAAGAAATGATGGATGCTATTGTATTTATTATTTTTATTATTATTAATATAAAATAGTACTTATTCAAATGACACCCTTATTTTTATGGTATTATACACTCATCTTTTTAGGCCATGGTTCACGAGTTATTGGGGTACACGAGTTATCATAATAATAATATTTTTGACGCTGACCCTTATATTATTTTTTTATAAATAGATACATATTATATACAATAATATGTACTTAGAAAACACCTAAACACCGAAACAAATATTGCAGATCATACAAACATTTGGACCGACCCGGGAATCGAAGTTATATTTTGTGTAAAAGTCATTCCTTTCGACTTTCTTAAGATAAGATTTGTTTCCTTTTAAGATAGTCTGACGTTTGAATTGGAATTCCCTTATAATTGTGTTTCTATGACACATGATGACATACTATGATGATACACTTGTATTAAGTGACTAAGAAACTAATACCCATTATAACATAGTAATAAAAATAAAGTAACCATATTTCTATACATAATGCAAAAACTATTTTGTTATAAGGTTCTTCAAACAGAGGGTAGACTAGATATGCGAGAATTAGATTTCTTGCTGAAGTACGCTGTGGCACCAGAAAATTCACCGTATTCTTGGTTATCTAATAACTCTTGGGGTGGCGTTATAGCACTATCCAAGATGGATGCTTTTGAAGACCTAGACAAGGAAATAGAAGGAGCTACTAAAAGGTAAACCTTATTTTAAAAAAACACCTAAATAACAGTCACACTGATAACATGTTGAAAAAAAAAACAGAGAGAAATTGCAACTGTTTTTAAATAAAATTCAACTGTGATATCTTTTGGATAAATTTAACAATACAATTTTAAATGTCTGTTGATGAAATTTTTACTATAAATATATACATATTGATTGACACATATAAATATGTGTCAATTTAGCTTGGTTTAACTGTGAGGGTGATCCGATTCTTTAGCGTAATTCGCTTATTGCCGTTATCTATAATATATTAGATCCAACTATAATATATTAGTTTCCAAAAACGACGAAGGTATACGTGGTATTAAAACAAATTTGTTTGGTAAATTTGAATGCGTTTTTTAAGTTTTACTTATCGTTTATTTTAATACGACGACAAAAATGGCGTCACAGTAACCGTCATTTTCGTTATACTCCTATTAAGCAGCATAATTTAATGATAGAGCTCGGGGGGAAGATGTAGAGCCTTAACTTACCTTTTTTTTTAAATAGTTTTAACCTATGGACTTAGAAATCGACTTGTAAAAATATCTGAAAAGATTTACTTACAGAAATAAATATCATTTATTTATTTATTTATCACTTGACAAACGGTAATGTTTATATTACCTTTGGGAGAGCCAATTAGTCCGCGAGCCAAGCGAAAATTTCGTCGAATCATTTTCTCTCAGTCGATAACTTTTAAAATGCTTAAGAGATTTGTATCCTGAAGCGTTATGATCGTCAGCCGTGGCTACCCACGCACGTAATCAAACAAAATTGAAAATTTATTCAAATTATAGTTGGCCCAATATCTTGAAGAAGAAAGATTGTCTACTAATCATGATGGATTATCCGTCAGCTGGTCACACGAACATGGAATAAAGATATGTTTTCAGTATTAATTTATTTGATTTTCTTATCACAGTATTTCTTTATTTCTATTGTTTGAATTGTTAACTTTCTCTAAAAAATATTGATTTAATCGAAACATTACAATAAAATCATATCTTTCTGTTAGCGTGTTGAATGTCATGTTGAAGAACTTTTGATGACCTCATTTCCTCCCCGATAAAAATTCGTATGCTGATTATTGACATGATCTTGTAAGGAATAAAAAAATCACCTGGCAGGATGCCGGGGAAAACTCGTCAGCTGACACATTTAAATAGGCGATAGATGCTTCCGGCTGGCTCCCGCGTTACACCTTTCAGGGCATCAGCTGACAAGCGTTCCACCTAGATATAGCCAGCTGACTTTTTATTTATTAACAGTAACACGTAAACTATAATCTGATAAATTTTTATTTGGGAGAAAATCGCTGAAAACATATATATTTGTTTCAAATCGTTTGACCGTATAATCCACCACTTTATGATTAACTGCCAATTTTTCTTAGATATTGGGCTAACTATTATTTGATGAATTTTCAATCGGGAGTAATTAAATTTTTTTTTATTACGTGCGTGGGTACTACCACTGCCCAACCCACCCACTGAGCCGTAGCTGACGATATCACAATGCTTAAGTAAGTAACTGAACTTTCTGAGTTATCGACTGAAGGAACCTGGTCATGAAACTTTATCCCTGGCTCATGGACATGTTTAGGCACCCCCCAACTGTATCCTCACGTTGACGTCGTGGGGGGGCTTGCGCGGGTCAGTGATCTCTGAGGCTATGCCGGTAGAGTCACTCATGCCGGATTGGCTCAGAGGGAGACTCCAGACTAAGAAGGATACTCGGTGGGGCCCTTCTTGGGTCACCGATAGTTGCTCCACTGTCCAAAGTGGAGGAACGACGACGGGCACGGTGAGCACTTACACTGCCACCGAACAGGCTACGGGGGCTATGTCTCCTTGCAACCGTTGGCACATCGTAATCCCGAAAGGAGTGTCGTGGTTATGTCGCGCGACTCTAATTGGGGGCGAGGGTCTTGGCTTAGCCGCCCGGACTGCGAGGAAGAAAACCTCTTTAAAAAAATACTCCGGATCCCGTGTTCTGGTGCGTGGCCAGGGGATGCATGGCTGATGGGTAGTTCAGTCGCAAGCGCACTTCCAGCCGAGGTACTTGCGGACCCCTCGGTTAGGCAAAAATTTACGCTTGCCCGGCTATTGCCCGGGTTGACTTTTATTTCTCCCCTACTCGTGGGTACAATAATGGAAATGAATTCAACCGTAAATACACAAACAAGCAAGAGTAGGAAGGAAGAGAAGAAGGCGAGGAACAATAAGGAGAAGACTACTGAGGCGAACAACTCCTCATCGTTCGACTCCTCGTTTTCAATAGAAACGCCTATCGCGATAGAGCTCCCAGAAGTGAATCTGACTTCTGGGATCAGAAGATTATCGGAACGTCTCCGTTCCAGGTCTGTCGTGTTATCGGGAGGGAACTCTAGTGCAGCGATCGACGAGCCTGATTTGGAGCTGCTTGATATCGACAGCCGGAAACGCGGTCGCTCTAGTGACGATGATGGAGACACGTCCCGAGATTGGTTGCCTCCCAAAGTGGCTAGTAGCCGCAGAGGGAGGTCGCGCACTCCGGTCTCGGCTCCTTCAGGCTCCGGTCGAGGAGATCGCAGATCTCTTGCAAAAAATCTAGGAACCAATGGACGGGGGTTCTGCAACCCAATTATCGGTGTCTTTGCAGGAGAGGGCGAACGCGGCTGTGGCCATTATAAACAAGGTGGCCACCAAATCGACGAACCTTAAGGGTCAATTTGTTAGGGCCCTTAAGGACTCCTCCTCTGCCATCTCTGGGGTCGTAAGTCGTAGGCTCAAAGCTGCTAACGATCGGTTGACGGGACACGTGTCTGAGCTTAGCACTCAGTTCGCCCGATTCCGATCGCAGGCCGATAGCCCTAAGCAGGGACCGGTTCCGCAGAGGCGACCTGCCACCACTCACGGTCCTGGGGACGTCTCTGACACCCACCTGCGCCAAATACTTGACGCAGTTGGGCGTATGTTGGACGGGCGTCTCGCGGGTCTGGAGGCGAGGCTGCCTCCAGCCCCCGTTGTTCGGTTTCTGCTCGCAGAGGACAGGCCGAAAACCGCTGCAGCGCCGACTCCTCTTCCTGTTGGGGGCAGTCGCGTGACGTATGCGGCGGCAGCGTTGGCATCCGAAAATCCAAGGCAGCGGCAAAGATGGCCACACCGAAGGCTGAGCCTCCGCCTAAGACTGCGGCAAGGACAGGTGCGGAATTCCCTCCGCTCCCCACTCCCACGTCTGTATCTGGCCCTACAACATCGATCCCCTCTACGTCTGCCCCGTCTAACAATGGGTGGCAAGTAGTCGGGGGGACTAAGAAGCCTCGAAAGCGGGGCAAGAACAATGCTCAAAAAGCTGCCTTTACCCCGCATTTACCGTCGGTGGCAGTCGGCCCCCGCCCGAAGAGATACGTGAGTGGCGTGAGGCCGCTCGTCGAGCCACGATGGCTCGTTGGTCGTCCCGGCTGGAGGCTCCACGTGCTGGCTTTGCCGCCGTGGAGGCGCTCCGGCCGGTCATCGTCGAGTGGGCAGGGCGGCAGCACGGGACCCTTTCTTTCCGGCTGACGCAGGTCCTTTCCGGGCACGGCTGCTTCGGGAAGTACCTGCACTCGCTCGCCAGGAGGGAATTGAGTCCTGCCTGTCACCACTGCGATTGCAGTGAGGACTCGGCTCAGCACACGCTGGCAATTTGCCCAGCTTGGGCGCCCCAGCGCCTGGTTCTCATTGCAGTCATTGGGGGGGATCTCTCGCTGCCGGCCGTCATACGCTCCATGGCCGGTAGTGACAGATGTTTCACCGCGGTCGCATCCTTCTGCGAAGACGTCATCTCGCAGAAGGAGGCAGCGGAGAGAGCCCGGGAGGACAACCTCCACTCGGACCCAATCCGTCGCCCTCGAACCGGGCGGCGGAGGCGCGCCTACCACCGCCTCATGCCGCCCTGAGTGTGGCTACAGGTGGACGGGACGGGTTTTCTCCTCTACCCGCCATAACGGCCAGCCGCGAGGAGGCAATGTCCGCGTGTGCTGGACGTCGCCTAAATGGACACCCGAAGGTGGTGCCCGCGCCGTTGCGGGCAGGCGCTAGGAGGGGTCCGGATATCTTAATAACAGCAGTTCCCGGAGCCCTCCTATTACAGGCGCAGAGTGGCACACCGTGTGGTTTTAGTCCGTCCGATTCCGACACACCACCCTACCGCAAACCCTGGTGGGGTGACGGCCCGAGGGGGTTTCCACACGTAAAAAAAAAATGGACTAGTTTAGGCAGATACGGACAGGCTCGTCCGGAGTGATACCACGGCCTCACAGAAAACCGGCGTTAAACAATGCTTACTTTGCATTTGTAATGTCCTCCGGTAACCTCATTCTCTTGGTGAAAATATCTAAACAATTACTGTAATAATAATAACTAACAATTACAAATGACAATTATATTGTAATATTCTCATTATTAATTAAATATCAGAAAAACTGCATTTTCATTATCAAATAATTATAGACTACTAACATACGTATATGATGGAATATTTTAGATGGGAGAAATATACAGAAGGGGAAGCTCCTGAAAGAGACAAGCTGCCAGGAGATTGGAAAAATAAAACTTCTCTGCAACGTTTATGCATCATGCGAGCTCTGCGGCCAGACAGAATGTCTTACGCCTCAAGGTAACCGCTTTATAAAGCATAAGAGCAGCTTTACCACTTTGTTCCTGTGGCGGTGGAGACCATGAGTCCAGCTACTCTATAGGTGCTTACACTAAGAAATTTATAAAGGAAATAACTCACAGAAGTCAATTATAGGTGACTTCCGACACGGTTCGTTCCTGGTGCAAAGGTTGGCTATTGCCATTCAACGCGGCAATGTAGCAAGTGTCATGAGCACCTTTCCACCGGCAATGATCAGTAATAATGTAAATAAATAAAAAAAAAACTTAAATACTTGTTTTGATTTTTATTGTTTTGTTCGTAACAGTGCATTTTGTGAGGAAAATCTGGGTTCAAAGTTTGTTGAAGCCCGGACTCCTCCTTTGGAAATATCTTATCAAGAAAGTAATTCACAAACAGCTATGTTTTTCATCCTATCACCTGGTGTCGACCCTCTGAAGGTAAATATGATTTATGTAAATTATACTATTACAGTATTATTATTTACTATTATTACAGTACTGAAGGATAGATTTGATGAACTGAACCACCGGGTTGACCTTTTAAGGAGTTCTCTTTGTGAAATTTCACTTATGGGATTACTGAAATTTATTGAAGATGGATGGATGGATTTATTAAATTTATACTTACCAATTTTTTTTTTTTTTTCTGGTTTTTAAAAAGACAACTCCCGCATTAGGAAAATATCCTGTGTCGCGGGGAATCTTACAAACATACATGAAACGGACACAAAGAACACCCAGACTCAGAACAACAATTTGTGGATCACACAAAGTGTCGCCCCATGTGGGATTTGAACCCACAACACTCGGCGTAGTAGGGAGCGGCGTGGCGACCGCTTAAACCACTACGCCATCCGTGCATTCATGCATTCTTCTTTAAAAAGTCTTCATGAAGTTGTGGTTTTATATTGTGTTAAACTTTTAACTTTATGCACATGTGTACTTTACTTTATGTACATATGTGGGCTTAATGTCCAGGGCATTCTCTATTAGCCAATCTTTGGGTAGTGCAGAAATCTTGTTAGGTCAAAACACAAATTCTTAACAAATATCACTATCCTTGTCAAATATTTCCAGGTCATTTTCGCTTCGCGATACCAATAGCCTGGGTTTAGTTAACTATTGATTTAATAAGGCATCTCAAAATCTCCGGACAAGGACAATTTAGACACATTTTGTAATCACTCATAAATGTAAGTGATTACAAAATGTGTCTATGTAAATGTGTCTAATACATTCCTATGATTGCCTGAATTTTAGAAAAGCAAAGAGTACGCAGAGTATTATTTAATGTTAAAAAAACTCGTAATTGTTGCTAAATACATATTTGGATTTATTTAAACATTTTCTAGAAAAAAAATCGTACTTCATCTTTTGGAAAGTTCCTACATATTGTAAAATTTATTCATCTTAATGTTTTAGGATTTAGAAAAATTAGGTCGTAAAATAGGCTTCGCAACAGACAAGAAGAACTTTCACATAGTCTCATTAGGTCAAGGTCAAGAGGTAGTGGCTGAATCAGCTATGGGTATAGCTTCTGCTAATGGACACTGGGTTATATTGCAAAATATTCACTTGGTTGCTAAGTGGCTTTCGACCTTAGAGAAGAAAATGGAGGAATGTTTCGAAAACCCTGAAGAGGACTATCGGTAAATGCTCGTAAAACATTGTTTAAATTGATTAATCAACTTTTTAAGAATAACAAAACACCTACATGATGTTTAAAGGTTGTATCTAAGCGCTGAGCCAGCAGCTGACGCCGCATACCATGTCATACCGCAAGGTATTTTGGAGTCTGCAATCAAAATTACAAATGAACCGCCTATTGGAATGTGGGCGAACTTGCACAAGGTATGTAGTTAAAAATATCATGATTACCTACCATCAATTTACAAATTTAATTGTATTTTTGACGTGGAACATCTTTCGCTGCCCATCATTGTATAGGAGTGATTTCGTAAAAAGGGACGGGTGTTGTTACACTACATTGACCCTCTTAGTTCTGCATAATTTTTACCTCATAACGAGCACTGTTCAGTCATGATAATAAAGCCAAAATGATAAAATGAATGAATGAATAATTATTATAATAATAATAATTATTATTATTTTATTTAGTCTCTAGACAACTTCAGTCAAGAGACTTTAGAAATGTGCAGTAAAGAGGCGGAGTTCAAATCCGTTTTGTTCGCACTCTGCTACTTCCATGCTGTTGTTGCGGAGAGGCGCAAGTTTGGTCCACAAGGCTGGAACAGGTATAAAGCAGTCTTTACTATCATGCTATGGAAACAGGGTATAAGTATTCATGCTAAAAGGGGTTCTAAGTCCGAGTTTTTAAGTACTGTTGTAGTAATGCCTTAAATAATTTAGATTTGAAACTGATTCATGTACAAATGTAATTTCGAACTGTCCATAGAACAAAGTAACTTTTGCAAAATCGCTACTTTTCAGGAGAGCGATTTGAAGTTTGTGTTGGACAAATGCTGTATTTTTTTCTATAATTGCTCTATAGTCTTGATTCATTTTCCAGTCATACATAGTGTTTTTTTTGTTATGAAAACATTAACTGTTATGAAAAAACTAGCTTATAAACCCATAATTTAGAATTTAGCAGAGGATATGTGAATATGTGACGATATACTGTGGGAATCTGCCTTGCATTTGTAACATTATTCTTGGAAAAAGTGCCAGTACTACGTACACATGTAACATTGTTTTACGTAAATACTGATTGACAAACGTCTTTTATGAGAAAATGGTTTGGAGCTAGAGTAAAACAATGTATATTTTCAAACTTAAGAAACATTTATTGACAGAAAACACTAAATGAGTGGACCATAGTTAGTAGTTTTTACAAATAATTGGAATTATTACAGTTTAATTTTTTCGTCATAAAATTAAAATAATATCTTGAGACTGTATTTCGGCAACAGGCTGTGCGTGAGGTAATGAATTATCTGTGACTGTAACCTATCCAAAAACCTCTACCCGTACCCAGCTTGTAGTACCTTATGATAGTGGTGATGAAGTGTCACGATTTCGGACCTTGTGCCTCTAAAGACAAATAAAATGTGACAATCTGTAAAATAATTAAAGAAAATTGTTTCCTTTGGCTACACCTATCTATGTATAAATAAATAATAAGAGATATTACTTAGGCTTTCTTGGTAATTTATACATGGAAAAAGGTCATATATCTCAATGTAAAACTAAGAATAAAGATACATTTACACATAGAACATACTCCGAAAATATAATTCATGAAATCACATTGGACCAATCCGCAGGGTTTATCCATTCAACTTCGGCGATTTGACGATCTGCGTCTACGTATTGTACAACTATTTGGAGGCGAACCCTCGTGTGCCCTGGGAGGACTTGCGCTATCTGTTCGGAGAGATTATGTATGGAGGACACATTACTGACGACTGGGATAGGCGGCTGTGTCGCACATTCTTGCTTGAATACATGGCACCGGAACTGGTTTGTTTTAGCACACTTATTAAAAATCAAATAACAAATGTGCATCGTTTTGTAATTCACTTGATATGCTTGTAAATGTTTCTAGGTGGACGGTGAACTGCAACTGGCGCCTGGGTTCATATCGCCTCCTAATTCTGACTATGTTGGCTATCATGCCTATATTGATGATTACTTGCCTGACGAAACTCCCTATCTCTATGGACTACATCCTAATGCTGAGATCGGCTATTTGACTACAGTATCTGAAAGACTATTTGGTGTAAGAGACTTTTTTTAGATTAAGTGATGTCCAATAATAGTCCTGATAATACTGATAAAATTACTTACAATTTTAGGTAGTGTTTGAAATGCAACCAAGAGACACGGGCGCACAAGCTGGTGGTGGAGCTACCAAGGAAGAAATAGTAAGTCTTTTTATATATTTTGCTATAACACAGAATTGATGTTTATAGATTCATACTGATTACCAAATAAAGAAATAATAATCACACACTGTCACTGTAAGCCACTGAATCATTCCCAAATTACTCCCTGATAGTTAAAATTCTAAGATATGTCTATGACCCATAGGCTTAACACAGTTAGTTCTGAACTAACTGAGTTCAAGAATGCAAAACTCAAACATACTGTAACTGCCGGATATACAAACGGCATTACTAACTAAAACAATTTACTTTGCACTTGATGGCATTTTTATCACTTACCCAAGTCCAAGTCACATAATTAAGTCTCGGAACTCAGATTTTCTACGGTAAAAGTTGAGATCTCATATTTTCAAATGTAACAAAATCGATAATATAATCAGAGTTCAGTAACATAATATCAATATTAGATGTCATTATTTCTATAATAAATATAATTTATGTGATTGATGCTCGACCTTTTTATGTTACAATAGTTTACAAACACATAAGATTAAATAACAATATGAAATCACATTTTGTGATCTGTTTTCTTGTGAAGATACGCGCGCTTTTGGATGACTTCCTGGATAGAGTGCCGGAGCCGTTTAATCTTCAGGAGTTGATGGGGAAAGTGGAAGAACTGACTCCTTACACTATAGTGGCATTGCAAGAGTGCGAGCGAATGAACCGTCTCATGGCAGAGATCCGTAGATCTTTAAAGGAAACAGAATTAGGTCTTAAGGTAGGTTTTGTTGACACTTTTCATTGCATAATACATATTTCCTACATTTTTGTGTATGTTTATTATTCAGGCTTTAAAATTTCTAACGCATAGGTCTTAGTTTTGATCATTTGACTCTAAAAAACACTCGGAAGTAATTTTTTTACCTTATTTGGAGTACGATAACCCGTGACTTGCATCGAATCGTGTTCATACAAGTTGCGCGGCAGTAGCGGTGCGTATTCTGTTAAGAGCACAAATTTATTTTCTCGATTAAAAATTGATAAGAATTTTCTCAGGAAGGGCAGTTAATGATACAGCTGAAAGAGCTGTAAAGTTTATGCAAGATTTTCATGGTTTGATCACTGCAAAGGAGTAAAAGCAAAAGCTATTTTCGCTCCGCTGTGTTTGGGAGCATAGAAATCTGTATCCAGACTGTAAAATAAAGACCCTCAAAAGAAAATATCGTCCCTTATCTGTAATTTTATCATTTTCTAATAAATATTTTATGAAATTTAAATATTTCAATTGATTTAGATACATAACGGAAAGGGTTGAAACAGCAATTTTTTAAATCTTCAGAGTTCTATCGGCACGGGTTCAGTTGACGTAGGAAGATAAAATTTTGTATTTAAGTAAGTCTGTGTAGTTGTAGTAAAAGAAATATATGCTATGCATTTTAATATCTAAAAAAAAATTTTTTTCACCCATATAAAGTTTATAGTCCTGTAACTGCTTAACTATAGTTACCTGTATCCATAGGGTGAATTGACAATCAGCAGCGACATGGAGAAGCTAATGGAGTCTCTGTTCATGGACAAGGTGCCCGACTCATGGACAAAACTGGCCTATCCCAGTTTGTTGGGCCTCGCTGCTTGGTTCTCTGACCTTTGTATGAGGTTGACCGAATTAGAGAACTGGTCCGGCGACTTTAACGTAAGTTACAACTTTGACATACACAATAACCTCACCGAGTAAATTGATGCTCCTGTACTATATTTTATTACACTTTACACAATAAAAATAACTTTTCAGTTGCCCCCGGCGGTGTGGTTGGCAGGATTTTTCAATCCTCAGTCATTCTTAACTGCCATTATGCAACAGACGGCGCGAAAGAACGATTGGCCATTAGATAAAATGTGTCTCAACTGTGACGTCACAAAGAAAAACCGACAAGACTTCAAGTAAGGCTAAAATGACCTTGACTTTACTCCATATTCTACTTATTCTTACAGCTCCTCCTGAAAGTTTGACAAGTAGTCGATTAGTGATACCCTATGAAGACACCAGAGCTCATTAAAAACATAAACTGTTTTGAAATAATTACTACTTTTAAGTACCAGTACTTTATAGTAAAACCGCCATGTTCAATTTCATGTCTTGGCTGTTTAACATTAGAAAAAAATGCTTCTATTTATTATAAAGTATTTTAGGTAACGTAGATCGCCCTGACCTATAGCTTGTCACAACTGTTATCAACGCCCACGCCAGTCCCAGATGTGAGAAAGTCATGAGCCTTCACTGTTGGACTTTCTGATTTCTTTTCCGGAGGGTTACAAAGTCGCCGTTGAAGCCCCACTTTGCTTCTCGGATCATTGCCTAATCCCGAGTATGGGATGGAATGCGCTCCTTCTTGGTTTGTTTCTTACCGGATAATCTAATCGTCGGTGCCGATTCTGTCATTGATGTAGTGTTTTGTTATATGTCATTAATATCGGTGGCAAATCCAAGCTCTGATTCAACAGATCTTTCAATACGGCATCTCGCCGAAAGCACGAATGTTACCAAGCATGGGCAAATGCAGCGAATCTCTCGAAGCTCCTTTCCTATGGGCTTTCCGAGTAATTATGTAACTGGGTTACCAGTTTCATTAGAAGCATTAATGTCATTATCGACCCGTGCATGCTCTGACTTAAATCTGTAAATGCAAGGCTGTGTGCTATCACCCCCACTGTTTCTTCTGCATATCAATATAAGATGATATTCATGCAAACTAGTATCACCTATTGTTATGCAGATCATAGTACGGGAGACGCCTTTTACACCGTCCGCCTCGGGAAAACGTCATATATAACTTATGTCCGAAATTAATTCAAGACACTCTGGCCTTGCACTACCAATATGTGGAACAAGTTATCGTCTGCGATATTTTTGGACCGATACGACCTTCAAACCTTCAAAAAAAGAATGTACTCCTTAAAAGGCCGGCAACGCGCTTGTGACTTCTGAGTTGCAGGCGTTCATGGGCGGTGGTAGTTACTTTCCATCGGGTGACCCGTCTGCTTATTGCCCCTCTTCCATGAAAAAAAAATCTTATGTGAAAAACTACATTATTGGCAAAATTTAATCGATCTCTGATCTACAACTGCGATAATGTAAACTATGGATATGAATTAATTTAATTAATCCCATTTCTCAGTGCTCCGCCACGTGAAGGTGCGAACATCTGCGGACTGTTCATGGAGGGTGCGCGTTGGGATACCACCACCGGTGGCATTGTCGAATCACGCATGATGGAGCTCTTCCCTATGATGCCTGTCATTTTTATCAAAGCAGTTACGCAGGACAAACAGGAAGTTCGAAACGTGTACGAGTGCCCTGTCTACAAGATTCGGTTAGTTTTATCGTCTTTAAAATTGAAACTCACAGCCTATTTATAACGATGATAGACGCTGCTTCGTCGCACAATGTCCCTTTCGCAATATTCCTTAGTCGCAAAATGTCCCATTCGCAAAACGTCCCTTTCGCAAAAGTCCCTTTCAAAAATTATTATCATTATGAAAGTTGTATTTCCATTTGTGTGTGAAACACCTCTGCCTACTCCTTCGGGGAAATACAGGCTTCAAAGATATAAAAAAACCGTAAATTTCATACTTTTAATCCAATAAACAAAGGTTAGGTTGGTTAGAACTGCGATCCTAGGACGCGCAAGTCGAGTGAGCTAAGCGAGAGTGCCGCGGCAGCGGTCGGCGAAGCGCCAGAACCAAACACGTCTTCTACAAGTAAGTATTAGTTAAAAATTAACTAATACTTACTTGTAGAAGACGACGAGCGAAGGCGAAGAATCACCCCCTTCTATTTTTAAGACCACAGACATTCACTATTACCCCCAACTCGGGGGTTCGATATTCCTCTTCAACTGCCAGAGATTGCACACTGAAGGACATTACATTTGAGAATTAAAAGTTGTATACAAATTAGCGACCTCAACGCTCTGAGCCGATCTCTTACATGCAACCCTGCGATGAAGTGTAAAAAAGTATAATATATACATAAAAAGTTATAGGTATAAGCCTGCGATGGTAGGTAGCCCCCACCTACCATCGCAGGCCCCGTAACGTCAACCTCATCTGCACTGGTTGCACCCTGTCGAACAATGGATGACGCACTGCGAGAATCACTAAATATCGGTAGTGATGACGGGCAGCAGCGTCACCAGATAAATGATTTTCGCCACTGCGGCCACCAACCCGCCTGTCAACCGTTGTGTCTGAATGAAAATGTTGTTGTTGAATTTCCCCATGTGAACCGCAACCACATTCCACGGCTCCCAGTTCCCGGTTCGCACTATGCCTGGCCACGGTACCGGCCACCGTAACGGTGCGGCGGGGCGAAGAATCCCTAGGTTACGTACGGTAGGGTGCTACTGATAACTGTATTTGGCGAAGTAAACGGACGCACTCTGCGGCTTGACGATCGCCTTGCAGAATTGGCAACGGAGGTAAGCCGTATAAATTAGGATATTTGGGGGCTATCAGAAGTCCGAAAACCTGATTCCAGCCACCTCTACTTCCGACATGGAGACCAGCCAACGCAAGGTGGCGTCGGAGTTATGGTCCAGAAGCAGTGTGGAGTAAGTTAGCAGTGTGTCGTCAAGGGTAGCATACCTTGTCTTTAAACTATCCAAAAGGTTTTCCATGAAGGTTGTACAAGTGTATGCTAATAATATGATGTGTATGTTAATATGATCTTAGATGACATATTACACTAATATTATAAAGGTAATAGTTTGTGAGTGTGTATGGATTCGTATGTTTGTTACTTCTTCACGTTCAAACTGCTGGATCAATTTCGATATAATTTAGTATGGAGGTATCTGACAGCCTGGGGTCAACATAGGGGCTTCATTTTATTCTGAAACAATGTACTATTTCCGTGGGATATGGTGGATATATTATGGTTATGGTTCTTTACCACTTAAAAACCCAACATATTATGATCCATGTGTCAGTTTCGAACTTATAAATTGCCTTTTCTTTTAACAGAATGCGCGGTCCAACATTCGTATGGACTTTCAACTTGAAGACCAAAGACAAGCCGACTCGTTGGACACTCGCAGGAGTCGCCCTACTTCTCGGCATTTAACTTACTAGTTATTAAAAGCTATTATTACCTAATATGTAGCACAAGTGCTAAGATTAGTCTGAAATACTTCTAGTCTATAGTTTATGAGATATGTTACTAGTCATTTTTCTTTATTATATAATATTATGTTGTTAGAATAATAAATGTTTAGTGTCTTGTGAACTGCCTTTTATTTCTTCCGAATTGATTACACCCACGCCGATTTTGAGGCTGTGGTGTCACTTCAGTCGAGCGGGCACATACATGTAGAAGCATGGTTCCCCTACATTATTAGTAGGTAGGGTGACACCGTTTTGATACGGCACTGTACAAAATATGGTATTCAGAGAAAATAAATATTGAAGGCAATTTTTGCGAGGTAACTTCACCTTTAAACACAAATAGAAAACCGCCGTATATTAATATATATTGCTATTTATTAAAATAGGCATTTTAATAAAATAGCAGTTCAAGCTTTTTTTAATATGAAAGAAGCAGTATTGTAATAAGTAATCCTAATAAAAAAACGATGGGTTGCACTCCGGGAGTGCCTGCAGAAGTGAAAACTTGAATATTAACGTTGTGCATTTTTGATATTTTGGAATGGTTAGGGAATAATTTCACACGAATTGCTTTAATTTATCGGTATAAAAGTACTATCATTTATGTGGTAGAATACAATATTTATTTATTGTACACAATATGTCGTACACAAACATGACAATTTATCGAAACGCTGTCACCATCCATGGATGCGCGTGGCACTCCGTAACATAAACACACACGAACATTCGCGCAAGCGCCCTGCGCCGCCTAAACGAAATAGCAGGCGCAAGCATACATTTTCGCCGCGCCGTAGAAAGAGAGGGGGATACTTCCTTGTTGATGTTGGATACGGAGGTTGATTGCCGAAATAAAACGGAATATTTATTTTTATGTAAACCGTTGTTCACATAATCTCTATTATTAAGCAGCTCTATTATCAAGCCTTGATAGACGTCATTGACGAGGCCATCCTGAAGGTAAATAACGACATGGTGGCTGTGGACCCAGTCCTTTATTATCGAATTTTCATTTTAAACCAAATGTAAGTATTATGCTTATGAAAAAATTAACATAAAATTAAACAAAAAAAAAATAAGTAAAATCAAAATCACCGTAATTTCTAGGGCGTGGCCTACAGAGAGTTTATCATTCAACAATAGGATCTGAATGTGTCAGATATCGTCATCATTTAAAATATCGATCGATATTTTTTTATTGCTGTTTCAACAACTTCCAACTTCTGTAGTAAGAAGGGTAATTAAAATAGCGGTGTTACTACTAGTAGTAAGATTGGTAGTATAACGGGCAAAAAAGAAACCCAGTGAAAAGTCAAGCCATCATCAGAGGCAGTCAACATATGACTGGAAGGTTAGACCAAGGTAAACTGCCACCCCGAAGTATATGGCTGACGCCCCGCCCGGCGGACGGCTGAGTATCAGTACCGGGCGGATAGGGGCAGTCGGCCCCCGCCCGAAGAGATACGCGAGTGAGGTGAGACCGCTCGTCGAGCCACTATGGCTCGTTGGTCGTCCCGGATGGAGGCTCCACGTGCTGGGTTTGCCGCTGTGGAGAGCTCCAGTCGGTCATCGTCGAGTGGGCAGGGCGGCAGCACGGGACCCTTTCTTTCCGGCTGACGCAGGTCCTTTCCGGGCACGGCTGCTTCGGGAAGTACCTGCACTCGGTCGCCAGGAGCGAATTGAGTCCCGCCTGTCACCACTGCGATTGCAGTGAGGACTCGGCTCAGCACACGCTGGCAATTTGCCCAGCTTGGGCGCCGCAGCGCCGGGTTCTCATTGCAGTCATCGGGGGGAATCTCTTGCTGCCGGCCGTCATACGCTCCATGGCCGGTAGTGACAGACGTTTTACTGCGGTCGCATCCTTCTGCGAAGACGTCATCTCGCAGAAGGAGGCTGCGGAGAGGACAATCTCCACTCGGACCCAATCCGTCGCCGTCGAACCGAGCGGTGGAGGTGCGCCTACCTCCACCTCATGCCGCCCTGAGTGTGGCTGCGGGTGGACGGGACGGGTTTTCCCCTCCACCCGCCATAACGACCAGCCGCGAGGAGGCGATGTCCGCGTGTGCTGGACGTCGCCTAAATGGAGAATGTACCCGAAGGTAGTGCCCGCGCCGTTGCTGGCAGGCGCTAGTAGGGGTCCGAATGTCTTAATAACAGCCGTGCCCGGATCCCTCCTATTACAGGCGCAGAGTGGCACACCGTGTGGTTTTAGTCGGTCCGATTCCGACAAACCACCCCGCCGCAAACCCCGGTGGGGTGACGGCCCGAGGGGGTTTCCATAGTTAAAAAAAAATACTTGTAACAATACCTGTGGCATTAAGACCGCCATTGTAAAACCCATACATGTATAAAGATAAAAAAAAGACACTTCAAACGAAAGACGTCCACTGTTTACATAGGTCTCACCCAAGGTTCGTCAACAACCGGTTCTTGCTGCCCGTATCCAACGGCTTTCCGCGACCTTCACCAGATATCCGGACCACCTTGTGGGGGGCCTACCCACTTGAAAACTTTTATGCCTATCAACATTTTTTTCTACGTGCAATGTTCTCTGCCCACTGCCACTTAAGTTTGGCAATTCTCCGGGCAATGTCAGTGGTTCGTCTGCAGATCTCCTCATTTCTGATACAAAACATTATTCACAATTGACTTTTGTTCAAATAAAACCGAAATACATGTTACTTGACACCGTAGAGCGCTGTAATACAATTTCGCTTTATGTCAAGTTAGTGCTGAGTCGGTGCTATCGAAATCAATATTGAAAAAGAGGATATGTTTCAAAGAGTTCTCCAAAGAAGATTATGAAACGTATGCTTAGGAGCATTTTATGCTGGCAATTAAAAACAAATTTTAAATCTTTATTTAAAATATAAATATACAATAGTTACCAAGGATACAGACAGGTTCTAGCGGGTTTACTGTAATTCGAAGTAAACAATACACTGTTCCCAGTTTATATTTTGTACTTGTGTTCAAAATGATTTAATAAGAGACTATTGCCATATTTCTATGTGTTTTGTACGATAAGTGTGCATCATGGGTGACGTAAGTATTGAACCTAAACTAAAACTGTGTCTAGAGTAATAGTCCACAATTGTTACTTTGGTTTGCTATTCTTTTATATTGCACTAAGCTACAAACGTAAAATATACATATAAATACAGTATAGGTTGCAACAACATTTTTTTACAGAAAAACGATGATATCGATCTTCGCCTTGAATTCTTAAGTGAATATTTATTGAAAACATTAAAGCAGAAAATTGACAAATGGCATAAGTTTATGACCAGCGACGATCGGGTAATACTTTTTTTTGTATTGATTTCAATGAAATAAAGTTTATCGCTTTACCAGGTAGGCTTGACTCTGGCACCCACTAAAATTAATTTCTACATAATAAACGTAAGTCTAAGTAAGTAAGTAAGTATTGACACAAAAGAAACCTGCTATTAACTACGTTTAGTGATTCTCGAATTTATCCTAATAAAAGTAGTAGTAAAAAATAGACAAAATATTTAATGAGACTATATATTTATTAGTATGTCACAAGGCTCCTTACTAGGTCTATAAAAGAAAAACCTAAATAAGTAATACATTGTTGCAGCATATCTTATTGAGATTTTTTGATACGCCTAAATATGAGTTGCTTGTGTTTCGTATAAACACGGCTGGTTTGTTAACTTGTTCGTTGAAATTTTCCACCAATCAGCAGAGGTAAAGTCGTATACTTTTTAAGGATTGAGGATCAGAAAATTACACAACGGAATTTTCGTTCGGTAAATAACATTTTTATTTCAATATATCTCATAAAATTTTATACTTTTTGTTATTCGCTCAAAAACACGTAACATAATTAGTAATACTGTATTAGACAATGGCAGGCATGTATAGGACTTTTGTACCTTTCGTATCTTATGGTAGGGATTATTGTTGTATTTATTGGGCTGGTAATATCATCCACAATAACAATTTTAATTATTAGATTTTAAGAACTTTGCGTTCAAAAGTTATTTTAGTTCGTAGTTTGCATATAAGCTGTACTGAAATCGATACCAATGACAGTTAATCCCCTGTCAAATCAGTTTAATTACCTTTTTTACACAATGTTCACGACACAGATTGCCTCCTAATAGATTCCGCATCATTGAATATTTGTTCCGATTCGAGTTCACCAAATTTGGCGGTATGCAAGGGTTGCGGGGGACGTGTCAAATGCATTGTGATTGGATATTTCAAAGTCAAAAAATGCACCGAACCTTTCTGAAGGGAAAGGGTTGGGACGTTGATGGATAAACTGGTTTGATAATCTGAATTATTAATATTTATTTTATTCTTGATTTATTGATTATTGATAAATAATCAATAATTTACAAAATATGAACAAAAAATATTCAGTGGTTTAGAAACAGGACAACTTTCTTGTTTTCATAATTTGCAACATCATGTGTAAACGCAGTCATAATACATTGACCTTAGGCGGCGATCAGCCTACCTTTTAACTACTTTTAGTTCTAAGAATATGATAATTACATAAAGATAGTTAGGATGATTCACTTTAAAAACTGTACGAGTTTCATTTTCATCCATAATATATTACTACGGGTACAGGATCTGCCGTTCTCCTTTGTGATTGAGGTGTTCGTTAAATCTGGTCACTTTTTTAAGATTCTGACTATTGGTGAAATGTCTGGCAATGTGTTGATGGATATAGGAGTGTTAGCTGAGGAAGTGATTGGTGCACTTCTTTGCAACCCTGAGAATCAAATAGGATGGCCAAAAATAGTAGAGAATGATATGAAAAAGCACGTGCACAACTTAAAAAACTTGATGCAACAGGTCAGTGTTCTTTTAAAAGTACCCGCAATCAAGCCGACATCATTTTAACACTGTTTTTTTTTCATTCTTATGTCTTAGCATGTTAATTGCTAATGCTAATATTATTTACTGGTATTGCAATTTCGTCCGAGGTGAGCAAATTAATAAAAACGATCGTAACTTGTGGGTAGATTTATCACTTACTGTCTGGCGAGCGTGGTATAGTAGACCAAAACCTATCTAAGGAGAGGCCTATGTCCAGCAGTGGACTGTTAAAGGCTGTTGATGATGATGATGCTAGCCTTCGTCAATTCGTCGCTTAACACTATTTAAAAAAATATCCCTATCTATTCACAAAATACCTATTTAAAACGCACACGTCACACTTCAATATAATTAAACAAAGGCATTCAAAACAATGCCTAATCTCCCGGCCACTTGCTAATGCAAAACAGGTAAAAAAACAAACCGAGCGAAACAGGTACTTAAACATGACTTCATTATTCGTTCATTTAGCAATTTAGCCATAGCAGGTGTATGAATATTTTAGCACGACGATTTATTAAATTAAATTAAGTCTTCGCGTTAATGCGAAAAATGCACGCGCTGTGTGAATGTGAAGCGTTAACGAATGAAGCGGCGAAATTTCGTAAACGTAGGAATTATAGGTATAATTTTACCAAATTTCACGACTACAATTAATTTGCTAACTGCTAATTAATAATTCACAAATAAATATGAGTGTAAAGACTAATTATTTAACACTTTAGTTAAAAGGACAAATGTCGAGTCAAGTGGTGCTTCCAATGCCAGATGGTGTCGAAAATATCTATTACGCTGAGTCGAAACTCAAAGAAAGGTAATGAACTTAATAATTAGGCTTCCCTATTAACTAAAATGTATGAAGTTATGGTTAGACTTGAAAAGCAAAACGTACTAAATAGTATAAAAGGCAAAAATGAAGTTTGTCACTGTTTTATTATAAAAAAAGTCTCCGTCTATTAGGATACCCTGCTTAAATTCCCTGGGAGATTTATTTTGGATATTTTGTCCACAGCAATCCCCTAGGGGATCTGTTTGGATTTTTTACCCAAACGGTAACATTTTTATTCGGAGGATACGAGTATTTCGCATAATATATATATACATATATTAGTGTTCTCATGCAATCATGTTCTGTTCCAAACTATCAAGATTACTTCACTTACTACACTATATACTTTAAATATAACTTATCCGCTTAATACATTTGCATTTACAAGATTAATAACAACTATAAACACCATTCAGTTATAACACTTATAAAATACTGCATCAAATCTAAATTAAGATATCGCAATCACCTAGCAAATCGTTCCACTTTAGTTAACTTATTTTATTTTATTTTCTACATCACCAGAAATAATATAAAATACCAACACCCTTATAGCCCAGACCCTTTTTTTTTTTTTTTTTTTTTTTCCGTGCGGAAATCCCCTCTGATAAAAACTACCTGTCGGTGGCATGTCGGACTCGAACCGACTAAAACCGCACGCCGTCGCCGGGTACTAATAGCCGGGGAACCAGGTATACCCTAGAAAGGAAGTCCCTGGTGCCCCGACATACCTCGGGTCATCTACAGACGAGTAGACGACCCCCTATAGCCCAGACCCTGATGTTTACCTGGCTACGTTATATACACTTTATTACCTATCTATGTCTATTACTCGCAGATTATTGTACCAGTGGTCATACTACTTAAAAATAATAACCAACAATATACTGTTCATTACATACAATATCACAGCATGTGTTTTACTTATAATTTCTGTAACTGGGGATTTTTTGTGTATTACTTGTTATCTATTTTTTCTACTGTTTCCAACCCTAATTTTTTGTCATTTATTTTTTTACAATACAAAATTCGATAACGTTCAAGAAATTCACGCAGATTTAGACAGAACTTCAGTGGCAAGCTCATCGATTTGTGTGATAGAGGAATGACATCAAATATCTCGCTCACATGGGAGGTCCTTAAAACTTTTATGTCAGAACATCAGGCGCATCAACAAAAGTTTCGATGGTCTTTTGATTCTTTTGGATAGATGTGACGTCTTTTGGGATTTAATCATTGTCATTGAATGCCGGTTACAAAATTCATCACAAATCCCAACAATAGACGGTTACAACTTTGCTAGGACTACTGTACACACAGAATGAAGGAATAGTGGTATACTTTAGACACCACCTTCGAATTTCTCCCACTGAACTTTCTCTTTTTTTTTCTTTCTCTTTTTCTTTTTCTTTCTTTTTTTGAAGATGCCAACTGTTTAAGTCTTACGATTAATAAGGACCCTGTGGTGATCGCAATCTACCATCCACCTGCATAACAAAATATGTCCAATTTTCTTAATTCTTAATGAACTTTTGAACTCCTACTCCTCCTACAAAAATGTTGTAGTAACTGGGGACATCAACATTGACATTTCCAACACTAATAACGTTCCTTTGATTACCTATCTCAATATGGCCGCATATCATGGTATGCTTCCGGCTCACACACTGTGTACACGTAAGAATCGATCTTGTCTAGATCACCTACTATTTAAAACTAAACTAGCGGCTTTTTGTTACGTAGCAAATACTTCTATCACTGATCATGATACAATTTTATTTTTCCTTCGTTCTAAACACTTCTCTAATTACACTACCTATAAAACTACCAAAGTTATTTACTTTATATTTACTTTAAAAATATTAAATCAGACATCAAAACGGACTTTACCCCTGTATATGTAATAAAATAAAATATATAAAATAAAATAAAATATACCTGTTCTAACGTCAACGACGCGACTAATTATTTTATTAAAACTATAAACTGTAATTTTAAAACTGTAAATTTAAAATGATAACTTAATTCCTGTAAAAATATAGTAGCAGAGCAGTAACTTCCTCTAACTTCCTTATAAATAATAATAAATTACTTAAAAATATAATAAAAATCAGATAGATAATGCACAAGGTAATACAAAAAAGTTTGGAAAGCTATAAAAACTATCACACACACGTTGAAAGACACTACCCAACCGTTCGAACTTCTCTCCCCACCAGACCCAAAACGTTCGGTAAATTAAGGTAATTTAACTTTGCTGATGTTGGACGGTCCTAAGCCGAACAAATCACTACTGGCAATCACCATCCACAGTCGGCAGACGTCCTCCCTTACCACCACACATTACACACATTCGTCTTATTAGTAACGGATGACTCTGAAGTTGAAATTCTCATACTGAATCTAAAAAGTGACTGTGCGGTTTTTACGATCTTCTTAAAAAAATTCAAAAACTTCTTGGTCCCACCTATTACTTATTTATGTAATCTTGCTTTCAATACAGGAACATTTCCAGAAGCATTCAAACTCGTTGTAGTTCACCCGATCCACAAAGGAGGTGATAGGGGTCAACCGCAGAACTACAGACCTATATCTATTTTATCAACCCTTTCTAAGAATATTAGAGAGATTAATTAACAACAGGCTTGTAAAATTCTTAGAGCAAACATAACTGTTGTCTCCATGATAATATGGTTTTCGTTTCAGTCTATCAACGAGTAAAGGAGTCTTGGACCAAACCAACGAAGTCATAGCTAATTTTGATGAAAAACAAAAGGCTGCCATTCCTTTTCCCGACCACAGATGTTTATAAAACTTGTAATGGGCTCTCTGTCCGTAGACTATTTATCTTTTCCGTTATTCTCACGACCCACGCTCAAACTCCTTATGAAATGAAACTTCGAAATTTGATTCTGTACGTCGAAAACATACCATATGTCCATCGAACCCGGTCAGAACAAGACAAGCACAGCGATGTTTTTATCACTTTGGTAACAGCTTGTACAACAAAGATAACAAAATCTTGAATTGTACCCAATGACTAAATTTCAATTTAAAAAGCGGTTACAAAGTGGTTAATTAATTTGTATTATGACGAAACTGAAAAGATAATCTGCACTTCAAAATAAGTACGGTCATGCACACGCACACACGCATACACATACACACATACACACACACACACACACACACACACACGCATGCGCTAGTATCTAATGTTTTTACCCTTTTTAATTACTATATTTTGAATACATTTTTTTGTGTGACGTTCCTCAAATCTAGTAATATACTTCTGTATCGTTAAGGAGAGAGTGGAGATTTGTCACACAGGTTTAGAACCTACTACAAACTCCAGCTCTCACTAAGGTGTCATGTATGTTATATTTATTATAGTAGTATAACAAACGAATGTACCTACTTACCTTTTTGAGACATATACTCGTAAACCTTATTATTATTAGTTCAACTAGTTGAAATTTAAGTTGAACTAAATGGAAAAGAGGTAATTAGTAGTAAATATCTTTACATAGAAATCAATTGCCGAAATATAGGTGTGTCCGCGCATCACTTTAAAGTAGTTGCAAGTTATTTTATAGAAAACAGTTATATAAAATTACTTTTTACATTAAAAAAAAACTCATATTATCATTTCATGGAATAATCAATACGCGAAATATTTACTTGAATGTTTCGATATTCGTTCCCACATTCGTACTTAATCATCTTTACCACGGGAAACGAAAATTTAGAAAAGCGATATCTAGTCCGTCTATATCCGCAGGGGCGATATCTAGTTCCGACACTTTCTAATAACAAATACAGATTTAAGCAGGATATCGTAGTGGACCGTGTGTTTACAAAAACTTCCAAATAAATCCCCTTGGGGTACAAAATGGACAATACAAAATTCGAAACAGATCCCCTAGGGTATCGGTGTGGACAAAAAATCCAAATAATTCCCCCATTCGATTAAGGCGGGGGATCCTAGTGGACGGAGCCAAAAAAAAAATCTCAAGGTCCACAGATCTAAAACTGTTTATGGCATTTCTTCCAACGCATGTCTGTGCATGTCACTTTCGATCTTAATTTTGAACAATAAAATTTTTATTTGAATATCTAGCATCGAAAGATCTACTGAGGACTACATGCGCCTATCCAGAAACGCACAACCGAGAGCGCGGCTAGAGAACTGCAGAATCTATCGAACAGCCTTGCATTTGTTAATGCCTAACTCACTATTTGTCATTCTGTTTAATCCTAGTGTTCCAGGATAATCTTAGTAATATTGGGGGTTAAAGTATGAAATTGCCGATTTTTACTGAAACATTGAAACACGTTTTTTTCTAAGACATTTATTGAATCCAAATATCCTCCTCATTATCCATACATTGCTGCAATCTAAACGGCAGTTCATTTTTGCCTTTGCGCTAGAACTCTGGAACTTTAGAATTGTGTGAAAGCATTTTGTACTGCCTCCTGGGAAGAACTTTTTTATCACGTAGAAAATTGTCCAAATCAAGAAAAAAAAAATGCTAATCCGTTAGAGCAAGGTCTGTCGATTCCGCCATCCACGTAAGGTTTCTAACTGTAGCTCTAACGTAGCTCTCGTGTAGTGCGATATCTTGCGTTATCATGGAGCAATAATGGTGAAGATCGATTCACGAGTCAGGTATGTTTCACTGCTAGTTTCGCCATCATTGTTCGAAGCTCGGCACAGTAAACATCTGCTGTTATTGCCTGACGAGACTTGAGAAAGCTATAGTGAATAACTCCAAGAAGAGACCACTAAACAGTTATCATTACCTTGTTTATTGGTAGCTTTGCTTTAGGGCAGTTTTTGCTTTGTTGCGGGGTTAGACCTTTTATTTTATTTATTTATTTACATAACTACACAATTAGTTAAATGTAGGCAAACCCTAAACTACTGGCGTTTATGCGGCATGCCACAACATGGAAAATCAATTTAGTACATAACAATTAATAAGTAAATAACATAAGAAATTAAAATAATAACATTAACTTAATAGTATTAAGTTCAGGGTAGAATACAAATTTACCTGGTTCCCCGGCTATTAGTACCCGGCGAAGGCGTGCGGTTTTAGTCGGTTCGAGTCCGACATGCCACCATTTTGCATGGTGGTATCCGAGGGGATTTCCGCACGGAAAAAAAAGAAAAAAAAAAAAAAAAAAAAGGGTAGAATACAAAAACATAATATTGTCGAGCGGGCGGACACTTTTATTCCCGAGCAAACAAAGTGAAACAGGTTTCGAACAGGGAATCTACAGGCTGTTCACGAAATGTGTTTTCCATTTTTGTTTTAGATTTATATTTTTGTTAATCTTTGTCTAAAGGAAGGATTTCAATTATTTATACGGCGGGGAATAATATACTTGATGATTCTTGATTTTTTTATTCAGTGAGACAATTTTTTTTTAAATTCTGGTCTGTAATTCATAGGTACTATTGAGGTAAGATTTAAAAGTTTTGCCGTAGCTTGGTGGCTTGTGGTATTCTATAATTGAATTGACGAGGGTGTTATAAAGCAAAATCTTTACCCTGAAAGTTAATCTATTTTTGATAATATATAGGTTTACCAGGAACGCTTTTAATGATCACGCACTCGGTTGACTTGTGGTAGCCAGTTAAATTTACTATTGATGATCAGCCCCAGATATGGGTGTTTGTCTACTGATTCAATGTTCTTCACATTGGAGATACTACTGTTTTTGTGTAGACACAGATGTTCATGAGCCACCAGCCTAACGCTTCCAGGACATTGAATTTTACTATAGGGAGAACGTATGTTGATTAATTAGGGTTTCTTAGCGTTCAGAACCAGTCCATTGTCATGGCACCATTTGCTGTCTGCATTTTAGTAAACGCTGTAGAAACATCTTTTCTGCAATAAGTAAACAAGTGTCGTCCGCGTACTAATAGGAAGCGCAGTGGCTGATAACATTATTCATGTCGTTACTAGGATGACTAGGATCGGCTTACACTATCTCCTTCAAATCAGCGTTATTCACCTATGTGGGCGGTTCGTGCTTCAAATCGAAGTTTCCATTACGAAATCGTTTAAACCAAAAACGCACGGTGCGTTCATTAGCAGTTCCTTCTCCAAACGCAGCATTGATATGGCGAGCCTCGAATTTTCGAAGTATCCATCTTTCACGTCTAAGCTGAATAAAAAAAACGTTTGAAAGTTGGAAATCGAATGCTGCACATTTTTGAAAAAAAGAACCTCATATGCATCATGTGCAAAAAGTTTCACACGGAAATCTCACACCTAGTATCTATTATTAAGTATCTATTACTATACAACGGCAATTTGATACTTTAACCCCTATTATAAAGTGTATCAATACACTTTTTTTTTACATTTATATTATAGAAATTACAATCTGACGAATCTGACGCAGAACGCGTTAATTTCAATTTGATTGATTTCACAAATATGATTTTTAATTTCTATAACTTGTTTAAACTTCTTCTCTAATGCCTTACTTAACATTATAGTAATGGAGAAGATGTGGACTTATTTTTAAAAACAAATGTAGAAGGAGCCCTTATAATGTGGACCCAACAAGTGCACGACTTATTAGAAGAGGATTCATATATAGGTTAATATCTAAGAACCTAACACACTTAAAAGAAGCTCAAGTTTAGTTTATTACTCACCTCTTTCATTTGTCCCTTGTGTTAATGAAATATTAATAAATATTTAATACTTACTATATTTTTATCTGTAGCAGTAATTTTCTTAAATAAGCTTTAGTACCATTGGGATTCCATTAGGTAGGTCCACCACTCACGAAATATGTATTAAAACGTTATTTTCCAGCCTTCAAAAGAACTTCCTTTCCGCTCCCAGCTGCGGATATTGACTTTTACTTACAACGTTTGCGTAACCTGGAGGGTATATATGCACAACTAAGAGACCCTCGTGCCAAGAGGATGGCTCACTACCTTGAAGATACTCACAGTGTTTATCTCAGTTGCTTCAAGACTATGCTTACTAATATTGTTGCTGGTTTGTTTAATAGTCTTAATTTTAGTTATATGTACCAAATTTAGTGGTATTATACATGTTACTACTACCAAGCCACACAGGACGACATAACATTGTGTAGGGCACCTGATTGTAAAGTCACAGGTCATCCTTCTCCGGTCTCATAATGGGAGAAGACACTGACTTCTGTAACACAGGCCAAGAGCCTAGCTCAGCAGTCAGGGACTTCACATATATTGTGTATTTTTTATGTAAATATAATAATAAATAAAAAATAAAAATTTAATAAGACAGAACCTGATACAAATAGCAATTACTAACTTTTTTGGAATTCAAGAGTAGATTGATTTATGGTTTGAATTTTTATTCACAGCTGTTGTTGAATGTCGCGATATATGCTTATATCAAAAACCACTAGTACCTCACTTTGAAAACTTTGAAGCAACTGACTTTTTGGACGCCGGACATCTTATCAGGCCGATGTTTCACTGTATTGGAATGTTGTGGGGTAATTCTAGATATTACTGCAATGTGGAGAAGCTCATTCGTAAGTAAAATTTGCTACTTGAAAAGCAATTCACGTGACCCACTTCACGTTGTAAGTGTAACAACATAAAAGAAAATCGTGGAATCTCGTCAGCGGCGCATTCATGTAGTAATTATTATAAATAATTATCATTGAACATTATGACAGTATGTTCTGTAGAAACTTATAGAGTATGTATATATACTAGTAGACTAAAGAGTAAGGATTGGCATCTGTTTTATTATTGTTTAAACCACAAAAAACTAAGACTAACTTCAGTTGCCTAAACAAACAGCAAATGAAATCATTACATCTCCCGTACTGTGAAAAAAACAAAAGACTCGTTGGGAAAGATTTGAGCATTCTTGAAGTAACAGGTTAAAATTAAAATATTTGTTTTGTGTATAACCTTAAATATGTCATCATCATCATCATCATCAACAGCCTTTAGTAGTCCACTGCTGGACATAGGCCTTTCCTTAGACAGGATGTTATAAATAGTCATAATCAATTTACTAAACGTCTTTACAGCGTTGCTCCGTGAAGTATGCAACTTAGTCATTCAGCAATGTACGAATTCGATTGATCCACCTTCGATTTTTCAAGGGGATGTAGAGGAACAACTCTTAAAGCTTAGGAACGCTTTAAAATTATTAAATCATTTCATGTTAGTTCATTTTCAAACCTATTAATTCTAGTAAGAGATTATGAAAAGGTTTAACACTATTTTATGAACATACAAGTTTTTTTATTTTTGCAGTGATTTTTTCCTGTACTAACTAATCGCTACCATTACCGTATCATTAAGTAATAGTCAATGTAATCCTGAACTAGAGCTTACAGGTAGTCATTGTCATCCTACGAAAAATACGAAATAACGTCACAAGTCATTAGTTATAACTAACGACTTGTGGCGTTATTTCGTATTTTTGTATACAGATAACAACCAAAAAGTCTTGAGCATATTCATATCAGAGATTGAGTGACCTTGAAAAAATCTTTGTGGAATTTAAGGGATATGCTATTGATCCTCTAGTAAGCAAGAGAATCAATAGCATATCCCTTAAATTCCACATAGATTGTTTGTTTGAAATCTTACGAAATATTAATAATACAATAATAATTATATATATAATATATGATTTTATTAAACATTTCAGAGACACTTATGAAATGAACAGACATAAAGTAGCGACGTTTTTCCCCCCCGGTGTGATGCCAGTCGGTTGGTCTTTCGAATTTGATCGAGTCTTCATGCGGTTTAATACATACATGAAGCGCTTAAAAATGATTGAGAATATTTTGGAAGCCACAATGGAAATACTGAAGTTGGAAAAAGTAGAGTTCTGTGGATTACGAGGCAAGACATTGAGCAGAGAATGTGTAAAAGTAAGAGCTGTAATCATGACACCTAAAATAAAACCCAAAATAAACAATTGTTATTGTGTTCTTAAATGTATACTTGTGTATGTTTAAGTATATTTTAACGATTAAGGACTCAATAGGAAAACGTTCCAGGTATTGGAAGAATATCAGTTGAAGTATGCACAATTGGGTACTTTAGCTTACGACCCTGCTGATCCTGAAGATGAATCTTTTACAGAAGATTACGAGAAGTTTCAAGCTATACTAGAAGATACTGATCGCAAACTTGCATCGTTGTTCACACAAGGTCTTCAGGAATGTAATGATTTGGATCATTTCTTTAAGGTATTATAAAGTAATAATAATACTATGTCGCTGGCTATTTTATGTGAATGTTTCTAGCTAGTAGTCTGTGATAATTTAATATTTTTGCAGTTCTTTCAAATTATAGGAGATTTGTTCCATCGCCCTATTATAAAAGCGGAATTAAAGCCCTTGCTTCCTAAACTACTTGATTTAATGCATACTAACTTAGATCATTTAAAAGAAATATTTGACGAAGAGATGGCGGTAAGTGATGCGATATTTTTTTACTCAATAAGTAAATATTTTATTGTTTATAAAACCTAAAATTATTTTAGAAAATGAAAAGTAGTAAAGAAAAGCCAATGATAGATAATTACCTGCCGCCAGTTGCGGGTATATTGTGGTGGATCCATAAATTGCGCCAGAGAATACAAGAACCAATGGAAGAGTTTATATTATTTGAAGACCCGTATGTAACTGCAATATATACATATATAAAGAACGGAGCAAATTTAACAAATTATTCTTACGTCTTTACCACTATATATTAGTACGAAAACAATTATTTTTACAGGATAATAGAAACGGAGTATGCAACATACTTGAAGCAGAAGGTTAATGAAATGCTCGGGTACCTAAACTCAGTTGCAGATTCACAATTCAGAGTATGGTGTCCCACTGTACCACAAATATGTAAACTGCAACTGGCGAAGAACTTACTTTACAGGGAGCCCCCTTTCGTACGAAACAATTTCAGCCCAGAGGTAAAACATATTTTTACTTTCCAAATACTTCAAACAAAATCTGCTCGTAAATGTAATTTTAAAGTCCTCGCGGTTTCCTGTACGGTTTGGTAAATTTTTGAAAATAATGTTACAGTACATATTTATTGTCTACGATCTCTTGGCATTTTAGGCACTTTTTTTTGGTATTTTATAAAGATAATAAAAAAATTATCTGACTAATCAACAGCAACAGGTTGTAGCAGCTCATAATGGACATTTCCTGTCCAATCCTACCAAATACTTAATACAACATATTCTTTTTGCTTCACTTTAAAATGGTTCGATATCATTCGTAGTCATTCGGTCAATCAAATTTTGTTACGTTAAATCATTTGGCGCCCATTGGCGTCGTCACATATTTTTTTCAGTGACTGACCAACCAGAACGAGGGCATATTTTTTGACGTAGAAAAAGACTTGTATCAACCAAAAGTAATAAAGTGTTAAAGAGTATTGTGGAGTACAATAATAAATCTTTTACTGAATTTCCTACACATTAATGATTGCTAATCTGGTTCTAATTAAGATTAGTACAAAATGTATATAGAATTCACTCTAGCTGCTGCAGTTTACGAATGTTTGTTACAGTTACAAACTTTGTTAAGAGAAATACGCTACATGAAGTATTTAGATAAGCAGGGCATACCGCCAGAGGGTCTTGAGTTATACGACAGGAATGAGAAGTTACAGGTAAATTATAAATAATAAATCCTATAAATTACGGCAAAAGCTAATCACTTCTTAAATGTTGTTAATACTGGACGGCAGGTAATAATTGTGTACTTATATAATTACTATCTTGCAGCACGATTTAAATCTTTTAAATCGAGCTATTGCATGGTACAACGCTATTAGAGAAGGTAGCCATGAGACAGAAGTAGCGCTCATAGAAAAGGAAATTTCTGCTATAGACGTTTTACTAGGGCGTGGCGTTGAAGAACTTACGTGGAACGATGACTGTGAGTAAAAGTTAATGTTGTTTATTGTTGTTTTACTATTATGCTAAAAGGTCGGGTTTCACATTAACTAACAATGAAAAACTTAAAAAATATTGTTTAATTTTTAAGTAAACATGCACGACGTGTCCGATTTTTAAAGAAGCTCAACTTTAATTATGATATAAAATAAGGCACATGACTCTTTTTTTTGGATAATTGTGTGAGTATATCATTGCTTAAAAAGGATTTAGAATGCTATTTCTTAAGATACTTTACATTTCAGTTACGGATTGGATGACAGAGGTGTATACAGCTATCAATACGCTTCAAGAACGCGTTTTAACCGCCCAAAACAATATAAAGGAAGGCCTAGAAGATATTGAACGCTGGGGTAAAATCCCGCTGCACAACCGTAAAGAGAACCCAGATAAATTAGAGCTTCTCGCTGTCAATGAACGACATTCACGATTTGTTAAGAGGTAGTTAAACAAGAAGCTTAAACTAGTCACGTAATTTTGATGAATATTTATATTGAGAAACATAATTAAAAAAACTTAAAAGTAGCAATATTTGTATGGAGCATCAATCATTTATTCATTTTAGGGAAAAAAACAAAAACATAGTTTTTTTTCTACGGTTCCAACCAATCAAGTAGAATATAACTAAGACTAAGGTAGTATCGGCAGCAGCGGCAGCTCTTCGATCGACTCAGTTTAGTCTAAAATCTGAAGTGACAGTAGGGGGATATCGTTGCTTTATTTTGCCAGGAGATGATGTTGGCTAAAGAGATGGTGTAAAGGGAACAGGAGAGGATTGGTTCTCTCCTGTCTCGCAAAAGACGCACTTGTAGCAATGTGGTCGCTAGCTCTCGTAGTCGCTTTCCATCAGGTGACCCCTCTGCCCGTTTATCCCTTCTTCCATAAAAAAGAGGCGCAGAGGGATAAGACCTTCTAAACTTCACATTAAGGCTGGTGTTTTAATAGAAGTCCAATTCTTTCGGGGTTCACAGAGATTTTAATTTACTCTATATGACAAACCTCATGCACGGCAATAAGACTCCGCGACGAAACACCATGAAGTTTTAGTCATTTCGACTTCAGTTCACTAATGTGAAATGGCACATTTGGGGTTTCTATAGATCTAAAATAATGTACACACTACAGACAATGTCATGACCGTATATTATGCGTAATTCATTGTTCAAGAGTACCTAATAAACAATGGATGTAATAAATCAAAAATACATTTTATAGACGTTATGCTATACTTGTTATACTGTAAACAGGGCACTTTATTATATTCTGTACAAAAGTATATAATACTAACTGTAATGTACTATAACGTTATTCTGTCAATTCAGTTCTAATAATAATAGTTATAATATTGTTATTTTATAATATTAACAGACGTAATAAGATACTAGAAAGCTGGGAAGACTTTCAAGATATTTTAGAAGAGAATTATAAATTATATTTCAATATACAAGTTGAAGAAGATATAGAATCTGAAGAAGAAAAGTTAGAACCAGTTGATGAGACAACTTTGGATAGTGACGAAAAGGAAGCACGAGCACAAATGCTCAGAGAAATTGAGCAACGCCGTATAGAAAGACAATTAGCTAAAGAAGAGCGGGAGAGACTCAAGGCTGAAGCAGAAGCTTTAAAGCAGCAGAGACGAGAAGCACGTCGTTTAAGAGAAGCTGAAAGAGAAGCTGAAATAGAAGCACAAAGAGAAGAAGGTATGTACTGTTTCCATTTATTTCACAGAATTTGTATAACTTTAAACTACATGGTAAAACTACATGGTAAAACTACATGGTAAAACTATACAGGTGTAACGGAAGAATTGACAGTTGAGGAAATAACAGATCCAGAAGAACTCGCTGATATAGAAGCTGAAAGACTTGAAAAGGAAGAAGAGGCTTTCAGGGCGGAGCGTTGGCCAGACTATGTTAAATACATCGATTCGCTCGTAAGACATTATTTTAAATTACAACAAATATTTGTGTGAAGTAAGATTCTTCAAACTCTAATATAACATATACTTGTATTAGCGCAATAAAAATTCATATGCAGCATCTGAGAGAATGCGTCATAATTTCCTACTTAAATTACGTGTGGTTTTCGTATTGTAAAACTTAAGCGTATTATTGTTATTGATTATATTTCAATACAATCAATCAACCTATAGCATTAATTCTAAGAAACTACTGTATTCAATTTTGAAAGTACAGATTTACCAGTAATTGGTTTTTAACAAAACTATGCTAACAATATTTTTTGAACTAATTGCATGTTTATGATAGTATGTCTTAGCAACTTACTATTTTAAACACAACAGACGAAAGCACACTTCTCGATAAGATTGTACCGATATATGTACCAGTATCCTAAAGGAGAAAATCCTTCCTGAAAGAAAATGGATAATGAATCAATGAATGGTAATGACCTGGAATTAGGGCACACTTTCTCAATTCTTGTGTATCGTCAAATGATAAATACAAATACCTTTTTTTTAATATAACATGTTTTTATTTCACAGGTTTCTAAACAAATTATAAAGGCAGTGCAAACGAGTGTAGACTTATTTGAGATTCAAACTAACTTAGAAAAAGGGCCAGGGGTTGCACTTATGGAAATTGTAGCCGAACTGAGAGATCCAGGTACGTTCCAGCTTAGGTGGAAACACCTAGTTCTGTAATGATTTCTATAATAATACTCATTATAAAACAAATAGTGATTCACAGTAAGAATAGTAATAAAATTAATATTGTCAATAAAAATAATTATTGTTGTATGCCTTTTATCTGCAGTGAGACGAGGGTAATAATTGTGTGTAAAGAGTTAATAATACAAGACACCCCAGTTTCAGTAACCGGGGAACCAAGTGTAACCTATCCTAAAGGCAATCCTTAGTACCCCGACGTACACCGTGCCATCTACGGGTTACAGATGGCTCCCTCGTGTTTAGAGACCACGGTGTCCCCTTCCTAGCCCTAAAGGCCACATGACACATGGCCTCACCTGTCATGGACATACGGCGGACGTTGAGCGACCTCCCTACTATAAGGCACCTGCAGTACCTGATCCGTTCCCGAGCCTGGGGGAAAGAGAGACTTCTAATTCTCTCCCGTTCCCACTCCGGTGCACTCTTTTTCGTGTTCGAGTTTTACGCGCTCTCGCTCCGTACTATTACCACAATCGTGGTACCGAGCGAGGGTGTAAAATATATCTAAAAATATTAATCCTGAGACACATTCAAGTGTCGTAATGCTTGATTGCCTAAAATAATATAAATAAACTTAGCACACTTCTAAATATGAGTGATGAGATACGAGAGAAATCTGTAGTTCTTAAGGAAATTAGATATCATTATTCATATCATATATCTTTATTACAGATATTTTCTTTAGTCCTTCATTAGACGTAGAAGAACCAGATGGATTGTATGATACAATGAGAGAAATGATGAAAGATATGTTTCTGCAAACTACCCTATTTCCTAGAATAAGCCCAATAGTACCCAAAGAGACTTATGAAGGTAACAATAATTCATCTAATTATTTACTTACATACATAATACTACTTACATACTTAATAATACTTTGCAGATGATTTGGTTAATGAAGATGAATTGATCGAACTGTACCACGAAATTTTGAAAAGAATTGAAAGTGGTATTCATGCTATCGTATCTTACTCTTCGGTATGTATAATGTAAAAATAAGATACAAATATAAATAGGATAAAGAAAAACTATGACTCGTCGAGTTTTTATGTCTGTAAGAACAAAGTTCTGCTTTTATACTAACCCACATGTAATACCTTTTATGTGTCATCTTTCTCATATCCAAAGTAAAAACATGAATTTTTGTTTTTTTATTAGAAATATGAAAAATATACGCACTTATGGATGGAAGATAGGCAGGAGGTACTTGCGGGTTTCTTAAAGTATGGTCGTTTTATACCTCCAGAGGAGTTAGATAAATACAAATTTGAGAATGGAGGGATTGAACCTCCAGAAGCGAAGCCAAAACTAGAACAATATCAGAAGGAGGTAACTATGTTATGTAATATAATATATTATGTTATATAACACACACTATGTCATTATAAAATTTGTCGGCTCCATATTTTGAATTCGTGTCTCTCCCTTAATTGTTATATTGTATAAGTTGGCTAACAAAATGCAAGCCAATAACCCAATTCAGATGGTGTTCCCCATCACTTAAGCAAAAGGTGATGGATTAAAAATACGGAATGTCACCACCCCTATTCATCCCGTGGGTGTCGTAAGAGCCGATTAAGGAAGCAAGCTACGCAGGACAACAGCACTGCAAAGAGAAGGATAACTTGACACAAACCCTAAACCAACCAGTCTGGACAGCTTGGTATAGTAGGCCAAAACCTACTTTCTAAGGAGAGGTCTATGACTAGCAGTGAACTATTATAGGCTGTTGATGATTATTGACTGATAAAGCAAAAGTATTAAGCATTTATACTGACAGGCTTGTCGGTCTAGTGCTTAGTGAATATCACTGCTAAGCCGGAGGTCGTGGTTTTGATTCCTACCCAGGACAAATATTGTGTGATGAGCACGGTCATTTGTTCTGTGTCTGGGAGTAATTTATCTATGACATGAATGTATTTAGAAATATTTAAGTATGTTTATCAACAGATCGGTTACCATAATACAGGCTCTGCCTAGTTTGGGACCAGACTGCCGTGTGTGAGATGTGTGAAGTTATTATTATTATTTAATATAGTAAAATAATAACACAGAGTTCTTCCAGATTGATAAATACAATGCATTGTATAATGAAGTGGCGGCATTACCTTCTGAATATCTTTGTAATGGATGGTTGAAGTTAGATTTAAAGAAACTTAATCAAGCTATTATGAATATAGCATGCAAGTGGAGTAATTTGTACAAAGAAAATTTAAAAGCACATGTTCACAAAAGGTTAATAATAATCAGCTGTATTATCTTACGAGTTACTATGAGAGTTTTTGGTATATTGTATTAAATATGTTTTTTTATAGACTCAAGAATCGATAATTTCTACACGATAAATAAATAAATGTTTGAAAGTTTTCGCAACAGTATTCTCTGAAAAATATGCTTACGTTAGTGGGTTTAATGCTGAATGAAACGACCACATCCATCTTTGTAAAAATTTTCTTCAACAAATTGTAAATGAATTTTTAAGAAATTTCGAACAAATTAAGTCAAATTCAAATTCAATCATTCGAAAATGCTTTTCGACTCACAAATGATTTATAGTGAGCCTGCTGAGAGTCAAGTTGTAGAAACGTAACTAGTAATAAGACCGTGATAATTTTCTTCCAGCCTCAATGATCTTGAGGAGTTCATAGAATATGCAACAAAAGAATTGTCCGTGGAATTAGCAGAAGACGACTATGAAGGATTACTCAAAGTTATGGCTGTATTAAATGAGGTACGCGCTAAGCAAGACAGTGATACAGATCATATGTTCGAGCCCTTGAGAGACGTTATGTATGTCCTCCACGAGTACGGTGTTGAGTTTAACGAAGAAACTTATGACCAGGTAGATATTGGTAGTAATTATCTTTGATTAGAAGAAAATAGATACAATTTTCTAAATATCTTATAATAAACGAGTTATTTTTTTTCCTAGCTGGACTGTTTACCTGAAAAGTGGCGAAACTTAGTAAAACTGGCGACAGTCGTAAAGAATAATGTAGCACCGCTACAGGCCACACAAGCTGCGCTCATAGCGAAACGCGTGGCGCTCATCAACCTTCGGTTAACTATGTACAGGGAGCAATTCAGGGACAAAGACGTAATAATATTAATAACTATCAATCTATTTCTAGCATTTCTGCCAAGTAGCTTCAGATTCAGAGTAAACCGGATAGTATTGTGCGTGCAGTTTCACGAAAACACATAATTATTTGATATACATGCAGCCCAAATATAATATTTTTCAACTATTTTTATTATTTGTTTATTTATTCATTAAGGCCAGCTCACAATTGTTTACATTGTCGCATACACCGTGTTAGGGACATCGTGCCGAGTACTAAACTAGCGTATTCAGACCATCATTCTGAGTCGGAAATCATTGCAATTTTCTGCCGGAAAAATGATATCACAATGAGTAAACAGAACATTTTACCAAATAAAAACCTAATAAATACCGCATACGGCTAAAAATTGCAATGTACCTAATTAATCAAACAATATTTAAACGTTTAATGCAATCAGCTGTCAACGGCGTCAAACGTCAAGGTCATTCCCCCGTATTGACGAAAATTAATAGGTAACTAGTTGTATTCTGTGCAAAACAGTCAACACACTTACATAATTTACACGAGGACACGTTTATTCCTGTCTTATAAAATAATACAAAATGCAAATACGCACACTTGTACTCTTGTGTACATACACATCATACTGTCGTCAAAGCCACGATAGCGTAAGATCAATAATTAATCGATATCGAAGCTTGTGTGTACAAATTATAAAATCGATATTATTACAAAGTAGAGAAGTAGGTAGTTGCGTTTTATTAAAGAAAATTTTAGGAGCACATTGCTATCTAACTTACTCTATTAGATGTTTAATTTTTTTATACCTCGTAAACAAGTATAACTGGCGCTACTGAATCAGCAGGTAGAACACGCATAAGCAGACAAAAATAAAGCATAAACAAAATTGTTGTGTACTTCTTTAAATGACAAATTCACTGTTATCTAAAACCAATGCATCTTACATACTGAATGTAATAGGGAATAAGTTGTTGAAATATCTATCATAAATAAATCAGTAACTCGTAGGATTCAACATCTCTTGTGAATTTGGGATTGGCGACGATTCAATATTAAGCACACCGAGCTTGGTTAGGAACTTTAGGGCCACAGTCCTAAAAGGTTTTTTTAGCGGTGAACGCGAAGATTTTTGTTTTGGTGGAGTTGAATCAAACATTATTATTGATATAGTTTAGGTAATTAAAATAACACTTACGATACTCTTTATTTCTTTTTAAAATACAACTCTCAACTTGTATCTGTCAACTGTAACTACCTGTAAACCAAGTTACATAAATAGCTCTAAAGCAAGTGGAAACATTAAACATTATATTTATTTTCTATCTATCATCTAAACTTGCAGCAAATGCAGTACATAGGTGCCCATTACGCTCAAGTAAATCCCCATTTAACAATCTGAGGTTCCCTACAATAAGTATATATATATTTGTCTTGTCAATTCCAGGTATTCTTGGAGTCATGTAAAGAGCCCTATAGAGCTGTTGACAATATTAATAAAGAGTTAGTAAACTATGAAGAGATTCTAAAGGCTTTAAAGAAATCTTGCGGTCTATTTGATATTCAACCGCCCGATGAAAAGAACCTAAAACAATCTCAGCGTGAATTAAAACTTATCAAGGTACAAATTATATTAGATTTAATTTAGACATGCGCACTTACGATGTGATCTTATGATATACATTTTTACAGCAACTATGGGATTATTACTTCTTGGTGTTTAGAACTATTGAATTTTGGAAGAAGTCACCGTGGAAGAAGATTGATGCCGATGGAATGGACCAGGAATGTAAAAGATTCACCAAGGACCTGAGACAGCTGGACAAGGAGATGAGAACATGGTAATGAATTACTTAAAGTATATTATAATTACTTATAGGTAAAAACTTTGGTAGTGATTTTTTTATAAAATATATATTTGTATTATTAATTGTTGTTCCGAGTCTGGGTATTCTTTGTGTCCGTTTTATGTCTATTATTATTTGGAAATATTTAAATTTAAATAACTCGATAACTAAACAAATATAGCAATAACTTAATTAATTATTATTAATTAATTATTAACTTTATTAATTATTGAGATTATGAAATATACTTATTTAGGGTGTACTAGCTTGTCCCCATGTCGGTTATCGCGTTAACCTATGTCCTCCCTCAAGAATCAGTCTCTCCATGCCAAATTTTATTAAAATCGGTTTAGCGGTTATTGATTTCCCATACAAACTTCTAACATCCCCCCACCACCTTCACCTTCTTAAAGGGTGATTTCTGGGATTAAAACTATCCTATGTCCTTTCCCGGGACTCAAACTATCTCTATACATAATTTTATCTAAATCGCTTCAGTCGTAAAAGCGTGAAGAGGTAACAGACAGGTAGATACTCGCATTGAGAATAAATAAAATATTAATATAGATATTTGTATATACCCTTGTTATTACGATGTTAACATTATTAAATATTTTATAACTTGATGATTGTTGTGATAATTCCTTGCGTATTAATCGTATTGTTAGTGGTAATAAAGTAGGAAGTCACTTTACTATCAGGTAAGATGGAAGATAAGCATCTGTTCCAACGAACAGGACTTGAAATACCTAATAATATATTTAATCTCGTAAAAGATATAATTACGATTTATGTATGAGATATTTTAATCTCAAGATTATTTTAAAGTATAGAGAAAATACTACTCTAAATGTCAATGATAACTCCAGGGAACCATACATGGCAACCGAATCTACAATAAAAAACTTGATGACATCCTTGCGAGCAGTTACTGATCTACAAAACCCAGCTATCAAGGACAGACATTGGCTTGAACTTATGATGGCAACCAAGGTAATCAACCTATTTAGGCTTTTAAATTTACTTTTAAATTCCGTTATTGTTAATTTATTTACAATTAGCTTTTGCCCGTGGCTCCGCCCGCGAGTATATCGCGGTAAAAAGTATGTGATCTCACAGCTAAACCATTATTATCTGTGCAATGGTTTGGCCGTTAAAGCGTAACAGACAGAGGTACTTTTACATTCATAATATTATTATTACAAATGAATAATATTACCTTGTTAGTGATGATTATATACATTTTTAGTAATTCCGTGAATGTAGATGTGATAAATGTTTACTACTTGTTACAATTTCGTAAAAGCTATGAAAAAGGCGTTAACAACTTGTATATAATATTATTTACCAGTAGCCTTTCTATACCTCTGACACATTTCAAGAGGTTTGTTGAAGTAATTGAGGTGAGAAAGCATAACAAACAAATATACCAACATACTCAGTTTCGCATAAATATATACCTAAAATTAATTATAGGTAAAGTTCCATATTGATGACGACACGACTTTAGCAGATTTGTTAGCACTTAACCTCCACAAATACGAAGAGGAGGTGAAAACTATTGTCGATAAGTCTGTCAAAGAGGCTGCTATGGAAAAAACTCTACGGTAAGTTGTGTTTACGACAATTACCTAATTGAAACCAGAGATCATTTCGTGATACAAGTTCGACCATTATTCATTAAGTTTACATTTTTTTGTTTATTTCATTTACCTAGGTAGCTTGATGTAAACGTTTTCACGTAACTTATACGAGTAACACACTTGTTTTGCACTGCATCCTTTCATGCATGTAAACTTAGTAGCATTCCAGATTTCTGCTTCCTTCAAACACGATTTTTTTGTTGAAATTAGCCATTGTTTTTTTTGTATATAGGGAACTGGAGGTAACATGGTCGCAAATGGAGTTTGATTCTACTATACATGACAGGACTGGACTCAAACTTCCAAAAGCTAGCGAAGAACTAATTGAAATTCTAGAAGATAATCAAGTTAGTTGCTATATAATATAATTATTCCATAATAATATACGGGTATGTTATATTCTGCTATCTGTTTCTAAAGGGTGTCTCAGTAAGAGTGCACTTTTCAAAGTTAGAATCATTTTTTTTCGTGCAAGTGGCAACTCTGAAATTTGACAGCTGTCATCTATGTTTATTCCATTATTAAAAATGGAGCGCTTTTCGAAAGAACAACGCGTGATAATTGTGAAAACTCATTACAAAAATGAGGAAAGTTACGCTGAAACTGCAAACTTCTCCAGATTTGTCAACCATTCGAAGATTGGTCAAAAAATTTGAAGAAACTGTGTCGATTATGGATATTAAAAATCCTTTGCATCGGTCTCTTGAAAACATTGCTCCTGTAAACGAGTGTCGCCGAAAACCCAAAAAAAAAACTTTCTCGACAACTTGAAATTACAAGGAGCACGCAGCGAATTTTGACGAAAGACCTCAGCCTTCATGCGTACAAGATTCAGCTAACTCAGGAGCTTAAACCAGCAGACCATAGAAATTCGTTCAATGGGTAACGGAGCAAAGTGAATGCCAATTTTTCGAAAAAGTCATCTTCTCCGATGAAGCGCATTTCCGTCTGAATGGCTACGTGAATACACGAAATTGTCGAATATGGGGCTCAGAAAAACCTCATGCAATCCATGAGAAACAAATGCACCACAACGAGCAACTGTCTGGTGCGGATTTTGGTCAGGCAGCGCGATTGGGCCTTACTTTTTTAAAGATGAGGCCGAAATGGCAGTGACTGTGAACGGCATTCGTTACAGGAATATGAGAATGAGTTCTTGTGGCCTCAACTGGACGATATGGATCTGGACAACATATGGTTTCAGCAGGACGGCTTTACCTGCGACGCAGCGCATGAAACAATCGACTTATTGCAGCAACAATTTCCAGAACACATTATCTCACGAAATTACGATGTCAACTGGCCACCAAGATCGTGCGATTTAACGCCGTGCGTATTTTTTTGGGTTTTATGAAATCTTGTGTTTATGCAAATAAACCAAAAACAATTCCTGAACTCAAATTAGAGATCCAACGCGTCATCGGTGAGATACAGCCAAGTCATGGAAAATCATGTGATGACAGGCCATTAATCATGAAAAGAGTAATGGCCTGTCATAAGAGACGTGGAGACCATTGGCCGGAAATTTTATTCCATACTTAATCGGTACATATCTTCTTTACAATCCAATAAAAATATCACAACTCTTTTATAAAATACGTGTTTTATTTTAAAATGAAAAAGTGCACTCTTACTGAGTCACCCTTTACACTGATCAGACGAGATACTTTCTCCATCTGTTTTATTGTCTGTCCTTTTATAACCCTAGATTGATAGCATAGAGAATAGAAATTGTATACTGGCTTTTCAACCAGAAGGTCGGTCAAAGTCTTGACACATTCATTTTACATGCATTGATGACTTAGTTAGCGCAACATTTTCTTCATTTGTATTACAATTGTGTAGTTTGAACCCCATATTCAATTCTTGAAAAAAATTGTATTTGAATTATTATTTTTCGTAGAACCAAATACAGAACATGATGTCATCAAAGTTCGTCGGTTTTTACGAGAAAGAAGTGACAGCTTGGCAGAAGAAACTAGGTGCGGCAGACGCTGTTATCTCATTGTGGTTCGAGGTGCAACGGAAGTGGCAATACTTGGAGAGCATATTCGTGGGATCTGACGACATCAGGGCTCAGTTACCTGAAGACTCTAAAAGATTCGATTCTGTCGATTCACAATTTAAGGTCAGATTAACCTATAAATTCATTGTTGATGTATTCTAATAAATTCGTTTCATCAGTCATAGTTTCATCGGGAGAAATGCAATTGTTAATAATAAGTTTGTTTTACAGGTCCTATTAAAAGATATAGAAAGTACCCCGAATGTCATTGAAGCTACAAACAAGCCGGAACTACTGGAAAAGCTTGAAGATTTAATGGAAGCCTTGAACCTTTGTGAGAAGGCGCTTAATGATTACCTCGAGACTAAGCGATTAGCTTATCCTCGCTTCTATTTCGTGTCTTCTGCTGATTTACTTGGTAATTTAAATAAAAAAACATTCCCTTTCAAGAAAAAAACATCTAAGCATTATTGTTACTTTTATTTTATTTTGCACAAACATATTTAACTCAAAAATAAATCAAACAGTCTTTTGATTTTATGGCGGATGTTACTACAATTTATAGGGTGTTTTATTAGTTCGTACACATCTAAAACGCTACTGTTGTATGCTTTAAGAAAAATTTAGCTCACGCTATCCCATTTACAGATTGTACTTACCTATAGTTTTATTCAATCTAAATCACCTTATACTTCTCTGGTCTACAGATATATTATCAAACGGCAACAACCCACCGGCCGTTTCTCGTCACCTGCCTAAGTTGTATGACAACTTGGCAAAGCTAGTGTTTACTAAACCTGGCAGTAAGCAAGCATTCGAGATGATCTCTAAGGAGAATGAGGAGCACGTACCTTTTAAAGCACCATGCTGTGACTGTTCTGGAAAGGTATGCAAAGTTAAAAATTAAACATTAACGCAGTTATTTTTAAGGGCCGCTTACATTATGTTTAATCGTTGAATTCATTATTATCCTGTCCGTTGGTCCATTATGTTCGTGGCCAACCTTCCTTATGTGATAGTTTTTAGACGGAACAAATGAAAATAGTAAATTGAAAGAAGAAAAATGAATTGATTGAGGGATTGAGTTTGCAATATTAGAACGGTATCGAGTAACATCACATCATCACATCTACAGCCTTTAATAGTCCACTGCTGGACATAGGCCTCTCCTTAGAAAGGAGATTTTGGCCTACAATACCACGCTGGCCAGACGGGTTGGTATAGAGTATGTTCCAAGTTTGTCCTTCTCTCTGTAGTGCTGTTGTTCTGCGTAGTTCTCCCTTAGTCGGCTCTTACAACGTCCACGGGATGAATACTCTGATACTCTGTGTTCTTAACACACGGACCTTACACGGAAAATAAAACAAACTTAAACCGAACTCATATTTCACTTATTTTTCTTATATCCTTTTCATATGCAGTATAAATTATTAAATTATATTAATTTTATTATTATATAGATATATGATTTGTGACTATTTTCTTTGTAGTGTAAATTGTCATAGAGAAATATAAATTAAATCACGCCCATATCCCCGAAGAGTTAAGCAGACGCATTTCACACGCCCACAGTTTGTGCGCCTAAATTTTTTATCGCACATACGTAACAGGCGCAAGTTTGTTGACAGCCAGGTACTTTAGGAATTATATGGGAAAATTGGGACTTCATTATGAAAGCGAAAGTTGGTGGATGAAGGGCAATGGTAGAAAAGAAACATTGATTATACTAATGGATTGGGGAGTGTTGGCAATACTCGTAGATCGAATAGGTCAGACAGACTGGAAAGACCGAGCCCTCTAACCGGTAGAAAAAGTTAAAACAGATAACATGCTTAGAAAAAATAAGAAGCTGAATACAATACAAGTTGAATAAAAAAAAACTGGTTTCTATTGGCCTAGGTCGAGACATGGCTGAATCGAGTGACAGACTGTATGCGTTACACTCTACGAGATATATTCGAGCACAGCGTGAAATCTTACGATGACAAACCTCGAGACGAATGGGTGTTCGATTGGCCGGCACAGCCAGCGCTCGTTGGGACCCAGATCTGGTGGACAACGGAGACGAACCAGGCATTTGAAAAATTAGAAGAAGGTTTCTATTATTTTTATATAATTGTTTTAGAACCTAATCAACAAAGGACATATTACATGACTAGCTTGATGATAGCCCACTATACCTATATACGGTAACCGCGTAATAAAAATGAATAACAGAAATTGTTATTCTCAGCCTGGGTGTTCCTTGTGTTCATTTAATGAATGTTTGTAAAGTCCCTCGCGATACAGGATATATTCGTAGTGTAGGAGTTAGTTTTTTTTTTTTAAGAAAGAAAAATACTATGGCTTTCTGGTTCTACTACTTATTTTTTTTTATTATAATTTAAGGTTACGAAAATGCAATGAAAGATTACCAAAAGAAGCAAATCAATCAATTGAATGCTTTGATCGTTTTGCTCTTGGGTGATTTGAGCGTCGGTGACCGACAAAAGATCATGACCATCTGTACTATTGATGTACACTCGAGAGATGTCGTTGCTAAGCTTATTTTAGCCAAGGTGGAGAATTCTAATGCTTTCCAATGGCAAAGTCAGTTAAGGTAATGTTTTTTGTAGAAAACAAAGTGGCTCACTTTAGTAGTGTAGATAAAATTGTAAATAAGACCAATTTAGTGATTTATCTTAATCCCAGCCATAATTACTTGACTTCTGTTGTCTTGTAGTAAACTTGTCTTGTTTTATTTCAGACATCGGTGGTGTAATATCGTCAATAATTGTTTTGCAAATATTTGTGACGCCCAATTCGTCTATGACTATGAATACTTGGGAAATACACCACGTCTTGTCATCACACCGCTAACTGATCGTTGCTATATCACATTGACACAGGTATGAGTGAAACTATAATCATAAACGAAAACCGCTATCGCAAAAAACGGTTTTGTCGAATATTTCTGTAGGCAAGTGCTGAATTTCATGAAAGTGGTTGCTTTTTATACATGTATAATAGTCTCATAGATACATATATAGATAACACTTTATAGAGATTACTAGCTTTTGGTCGCGGCTCCGCCCGTATAAATGTCGGTTATGACGAGTAAAAAAAGACAAAAAAGTAAAAAGTACGGTAAAAAGTAGCCTATGTCTTTTCTCAAGAATCAAAGTATCTTTATACCAAATTTCTTCTAAATCTGTTCAACGATTATTGTTTCTCTATACAAACTCCCACCCCCCTTTTCACCCCCTTGAAGAGTGTTTTCTAGGATAAAAACTACTCTATGTCCTTTACAGGGACTCGGTCGATCTCTGTACCAAATATCATCTAAATCTGTTTATCGGTTTAAGCGAAAGACTTTCGCATTTATAATATGGATGGATACGTATGGATTAGACCAAATGTATAGCTAAAATAATGTACAAAAGGTTAAAATATTGTTCATTTCAGAGTTTACACTTAATAATGGGTGGCGCTCCAGCTGGACCTGCTGGTACTGGTAAAACAGAGACGACCAAAGACTTGGGCAGAGCTTTAGGCATTATGGTCTACGTATTTAATTGTTCCGAACAAATGGATTATAAGTCTTGTGGAAACATCTATAAAGGTATTTTTTCGTACAAATCATAATGTAATTATTTTTGTTTCGTTGATGAAACCCAATAAATAGGTGCCCTATATGTATTTCTTCCAGGTCTCTGTCAGACCGGCGCATGGGGTTGTTTTGATGAATTTAATAGAATCTCGGTAGAAGTCTTGTCTGTAGTATCGGTGCAAGTAAAGAGTGTGCTAGATGCAATCAAGGCAAAAAAGAAAAAGTTTGACTTTATGGGGGAGCACATAACTCTTATACCTACCATAGGCATGTTCATCACTATGAACCCTGGCTATGCTGGTAGAACTGAGTTGCCTGAGAATTTGAAAGCACTATTCAGGTAAACTATTAACTGTATTTTTAATAGTTAATTTATTAAACAAGCATATTTACTATGTTACCTATATTAATTTAAATGTTTCAACAGGCCATGTGCTATGGTTGTCCCAGATTTTGAGCTGATTTGTGAGATCATGTTAGTTGCTGAAGGTTTCCAGGAAGCCCGTTTGTTAGCTCGCAAATTCATCACTCTTTATACATTGTGTCGAGAGCTGCTTTCTAAACAAGACCATTATGATTGGGGCTTAAGAGCTATCAAATCTGTTCTGGTAGTTGCTGGGTCTTTAAAGGTACTTCATTAGTTTGAAAATGCATAAAAAAGTTTGACTATGTATTTTATCATTATACTTACTATGTAATAATTTTATAGAGAGGTGACCGATTAAGACCAGAGGATCAGGTGCTTATGAGGGCTTTAAGAGATTTTAATATACCGAAAATTGTTACTGATGATATGCCAGTGTTTATGGGATTAATTGGTGATCTATTTCCTGCCCTTGATGTTCCAAGAAAACGTGATTTAGATTTCGAAAAACACTTAGTAGATGGAGCTTTATCTATGAAGCTACAACCGGAAGCTGGTTTTATTTTAAAAGTACATATTTTAACATGCCTTTTTAATTTCATTACAGAATACTAGCTAATTTTTAATTGTCTTTGGTACTTTAGATGGTGCAACTAGTTGAATTATTTGCTGTGAGACATTCAGTTTTCATAGTTGGATTTGCTGGAACTGGCAAATCTATGGTGTGGCAGTGTCTTAACAAGACTTACCATATGCTAAAAATGAAGCCATTTTATAACGACTTAGACCCTAAGGCCGTAACGAACGACGAATTATTCGGTATAATCAATCCAACGACGCGAGAATGGAAGGATGGTCTATTCTCGACAATCATGAGAGACATGGCCAATATGCCTGGAGATGGTCCCAAGTGGATTGTGCTTGATGGAGATATTGATCCTATGTGGATTGAAAGTCTTAATACGTTAATGGATGATAACAAAGTAAGTGAGTTAATTATACACAATATTATCAGTTTCCTATTTGGGTTTTTGTTCCATTTAATTTACATTGACAAACCTTCCTGTTATTGTAGAGACTTTTGCGTGTGCTCATTTATAATTGTATTTTCGACATATTATTTTTCTGCGTAGGTATTGACGTTAGCAAGTAACGAACGTATTGCTTTAAATAAAACTATGAGACTGTTATTCGAGATCTCCAACCTGAGAACAGCTACACCCGCTACGGTGTCGCGTGCGGGCATTCTTTATATCAACCCACAAGATTTGGGATGGAATCCGTAAGTAGTCCGTAAGTAGTTGTCAGATTGTATCCAAACTAATCGTTAATTCTCACTTGCCTAATTTTCATCATGCAGGTACGTTGCATCATGGATAGACACAACGCGTGACAACGAATCAGAAAAAGCTATGTTGACGGTGATGTTCGATAAATACATACCTTCGCTACTTGAGTCGTGCAAAAAATATAAACGCGTTACGCCATTAACAGAGCTTCAGCAAATTCAACTTACGTGCTACTTACTTGAATGTTTTTTGAATAAAACCTTGTTACCTTCTGATTGCCCCAAGGAATGGTAAGCTTTTTTTGTATTGTTGCATACTAGCTAAAATCCCAAAATCTATCTAAGTGGCGTGCAATGGGAGAGACCTATGTCCAACAGTGGATGGCGATGACATACTAGCTTTTGCCCGCAGCTCCGCCTGCGTGTATGTTGGTTATCACAGTAAAAAATATCCTGTTACTCGCTGATAATATAGCTTTCGATTGGTGAAAGAATCATCAAAATAGTTTTAGTGGTATAGGCGTGGAAGCGTGAACAAACAAACTCACTCTCACATTTATATTATACCAGCGATCCGGTCCGGTTTCGCACGGTGCAACGTAGATACTAATATTACGACTAACGTGGTGTCGGTGTAATTATACTATTATTATGATAGGACTATACCACAGGACATCTTTATATGCAATATTTATAGCCTTGCTCTGATCTGCCACCCGCTACGGACGTATGGCCACTTTGCCCCCAAATTTTAAATCACATTTTTTTAAATATATCTTTTAAAATATTAATTTTAATGATATGCTGTAAAGAGCTATTTTAATCTACATTAAATGCACAACGTATATAAAGTATTTAGTTGGATAAGGAATAATAATGTATTGTTTAAAATAGCATCTTAAATAACCCATTATTTTTTTGTAATCATTAAAAAATAAAAGTGGTTACTGTGAGTTATCGTTAGGAGATACGAGTAGACATACATATACCATTGCGGACTTTTTTGTTAGATCTTTTTAAGATATACGATTCCGTAGTAAATTAGGTCTATCTCGTAAAGATTAACTAGCTCTGCAATGTAAGCGCTTTGTCTACCATAGTATGCACGTATTATACAAATAAACCATCCTCTTGAATCACTTTCTCTGTTAGTGAAAACCTCATTAAAATCTATTGGTTAATTCAAAAGACCTAAGAAAAACCTAACAAAAAAACGACCTAATTTAATACTATGTAACGAAGTATTAAAGTATGGATTTATGTATTTTATAGAATATAATTTAACTTTTACCCTTTTCTATCTACAGGTATGAAATATACTTCGTATTTGCTGTAATTTGGGGTTTCGGTTCAGCTTTATTTCAAGATCAGTTGGTTGACTGGCGTAATGAATTTAGCAAGTGGTTTAGTAATGAGTTTAAACAAATTAAGTTTCCTAGTACGGGGAACGTTTTCAGTTTTTTCATAGACCCCGAAACAAAGAAATTTCTACCATGGTCTGAAAAAGTAGAAAGCTTTGAGTTAGATCCCGATTTACCTCTTCAGGTATCATTTATTTTATTTCATATATTCTATACTGATCTGAAGAGTGAATGAAGTCATGAGGTGTTTAAATATTTCAGTCATGTTTAGTATCGACATCTGAGACGACTCGAACTAGGTTTTTCATGGACTTATTGATTGCAAAGTCCAAACCAGTAATGTTGGTGGGTAGCGCAGGGAGCGGCAAATCAGTCTCAGTAGCTGCAAAGCTCAATTCATTACCGGACTCATACGCGGTTACGAATGTTCCTCTGAACTTTTATACTACATCAGGTATGTAATTATAATAATAAGTGATACCAATATGCTAGTAGTTTTGATTTCTATCTCAAACAAAAATGCGTATTAAATAGTACTAAAATTACTTAAAAACCTAAGATACCTAATATATTACAGATACAGATATATTATAATATTTTACAGAAATGATACAGAAAGTGTTGGAGAAGCCTTTAGAGAAAAAGTCAGGGAGAAACTACGGCCCTCCGGGCGGTAAGTTCATGATCTACTTCGTGGATGACATGAACATGCCAGAAGTGGACACCTACGGCACTGTGCAACCGCACACGCTTATTAGACAGTTCATGGATTATCGACACTGGTAACTTAAAAATTGATTATGTTAATTGATTGTATTATTTGGGTGATTGAAATCGATCGAACGAAAAAGCGAACGTTTCACTAAAGAAGGAACTTCATAATTGTTGCAGGTATGATAGACAGAAGTTAACACTGAAAGATATATCGCAATGCATGTTCTTGGCGTGCATGAACCCAACGGCTGGCTCTTTTACTATTGATTCGAGACTGCAAAGGCATTTCTGCACCTTTGCCATTAGGTATATTATTATTTAATTATTTGCTCATGTTTCATAATAACATATTAAACAAACACAATGTTTTAAGCAGAAAGATAATATGGTACTTAAAGGTTGAGCGTTCTTTGGTAGGCCAACGGCCAACTTCGCCTTCGCGGTCATTTATTTTAAATCGACAACATTCAAAACATTATTGGTGTTTAAAGTTAATTTGTGTTTTGTTTCGTCGTATTTTTATTTGACAGTATGTTTATGTTCTGTACTGAGTGGAGGTGACTTTACATAACGAGGGCATCGATCAACGAATCGACCACTATTCCTAAAGGAGTTGGAAGTTCTCCAACCATAGGGGTCAGACATGATCTCGCATGGTCGGAGGATCCTCCTTTTATTTTAGACAACAAGGTCACAGTACTTGTCCCAATGTATATTTAAATAGTTTTTTTTTTCATATAGTACTTAAAGGGAAGATGTTATATGTATTGAATAGAAATTAATTAAATAAGGAGCTACGTCTGCCAACAAACTGTCCTGCAGTTTGGCAGAAGTAAAAAATATGTACCGTGGTTGTAATAATTTAATAATAAACAGTTTTTCTTCCTTTTTCTTTTTTTCTTAATGGAACGGTGCTAACATATTTATTCAACTTTATCTCTTCTTTTTTAATCCTTCTCTAACACCATGTTAAAAATGCATTTTTATATTTTATATTCCAGTTTTCCAGGCATGGATGCCTGCCACCATATCTACAAGCAGATACTCTCACAGCACTTAAGCAATGTTAATAATAAATATGTAACTCCAGTTATTCGTTATGCCGAGACACTGGTCTCAACAGCACTCTTGTTGCATAGCAGACTAGCCGCCACCTTTTTGCCTACAGCCATCAAGTTCCACTACATATTTAATTTGAGGGACTTATCCAACATATTTCAGGTAATTACGAAATATACAATTGAATCTGTAGGTATTATCTGTAGGTATAAAAAAGTTCAAATAAACTTAAAAAATATGTACTTACTACAAAGATTTAAGTACTTATATATTTGGACCGTATTATAAGCAAAGGATTGTCCATGGTGTAAGTACTGATTACATTACAAAAGGGGTCTTATTGAATGCTATTTTTAGGTATTTATAATATATATATTTTTCTTATTATATTCAATTTTATGTTTTTAATTATCAATTTTATTTGTAACCTAGATTTTATTCTGATACCGTATTTTTTTTTAATTAAATGAGTGTTAAGAAATAGATTTATTTAGCCATAATTATGTATTATTTTTAAAAGTTGCCTTTATATTTGTTGCCGAGGAAAAATTACTTTTATAATAAATAAGATTCTTACTCAGTTATAAAAATCTCAGTCAGAAGTATTATCATAGATATAGCTAGGGGGAAGTCCCGTAGCGCCGGACGGCACCTAGCGCCGGACACTCATACTATTTTGACAAACGTCAACGCGATCTATTTATAAATCGGTGAAAGGGGTGCGGGAGAACGTAGCGAGACAGGATCACGCAACGCGATTTGCCAGTGAGACGCACAGTCGTGGTGGAAGCGGTGAATTGCTGTTTTTGGTCGGAAAGCGTTGCGTCACGTAAATTTCAAGTAAGTATTACTGCTATGGTTTTATCCTTAATTGTTTTTGTTATTTGTTAATAAAGACAGTGTTTCACTATAATTATTATATTGTGAAAGTTTTTATTAAATACCTTATCAGTTTTAGTATGAAATACGTAATTTTGGACGTTTCCTGTCCCCTACTTTCGGACACAAAGGTGTCCCTTACCACCGGACAGTTTATAGGTTAGCTTTTTTATGAAGCATTTGTACTTATTGTAATGATGATTGTTTGTTGTTTTACAAGATAGAAGGAGAGAGATATTTGAAAATGCAAGAGAGAGAAAAAAGGAAAATGGGATCAGCAAAGTTTAAAAACTGCGATGAACAAGATTTTGTCCAAAAAAATGAGTTTGAGGGCAGCTCCGTCACGTTACAATGTTCCAAAAAGTACTCTACATGATAAAATAACGACACTGAGCAGTGGAAAAGAAGTCACGTTGCAACCAAAAGTTGGTAGATTCACAAAAACCTTCTCACCCCCCCCCCCCCCCATAAGAGATTTGTCTAATAGATGTCTGCCCCTGATGAAAAACGAGTTTTTGAAGTTAGCTTACGACTTGGCTGAAGCTATGAAGATTCCCCACGAGTAAACAAACCAAACGTGGCAATAACGACAACAAAAAGGAGCCGTTAACTGAAGTATCAAATATAGAAAAAACGACTTGTGTAGTGTGTTTAGAAGACCACGACGAGGACTGGATACAATGCTCCAGATGCCAATAATGGGCTCATGAAGCATGTGCAGACGTTCCAGAATGTGGAGATGCCTACATATGTGATAGATGCTAAAAGTTTTAGAATGTCCGGCGCTTGGGGTTTGAAGATTAACCCGTCCGGCACTAGGTGCCAATGTCAAAGTCCTTTATTTTTTTACCAAAACTTATTTAACATTCCTAAACTATGTTTACGCAGAATTTGTATTTTTGTTATTTGATTTTGATTTTATGTTTTGTTAATTTAAGTAATTCATAAATAAATACATATTTCTCGATGTAGTTTTAATTTTATTTCCTGAAAACCTTATGTGTCCGGCACTAGGGGACTTCCCCCTATATACCTAGATAACTATAAGCTGCAATATCTAGTTTGCTATCCACTATAACCTTAATGCTGTCTACAGGGAATATTATTTACTACCGGCGATGCTATAAAAACTCCTTCCGAATTAATAAGATTGTGGATGCATGAAGCAACACGCGTTTACTCGGACAAACTTGTGAATGCTGCTGACAATGATACGTTCGCCAAATTAGCCGTAGAGGTTATTAGAAAGAACTGTGAGGTAAAACAGTGCACCTCCCTAATACAATCATTTCCAAAACAAAAATATGTATAACAAAAAAAATGTCATTCGCGTTAAGAAAATAGTGACGCATCGATCAAGCCTCGTCGGTCAGCCTTCTGACCCAATTAGGTCCCAAGAAATCGTTTCAATCAATCGTTCCAATCGTTTCGTAGCAGCTTAGAACTTGATTGGTCAGGGTTTTCTTAACGTGACTGGACTTAGTAAGATACGGATGGCTACCATTTTTATATTTTAGTTTCGTAAAAACTAAGGAGCGAGATGCTCAATGAAAGTTATCCGAATTAAAAAAGTTTGCAACTTGAAAAGTATAAGAACCACAAAAATGGGGCTCATCCTTCTGGCCCATTTAGATTCACAAATGCATGCAAAACATGTTTGTACACATAATTGCATGATAGTTTAGAAATATATAAATAGTAATATATGGAAGAAAATTATTCAAAAGCTTTAAAAGCAGTTGAAAAACGCTTTTAAACTTTTTTATAAAAGCCTTCTATCAGCTCAATAATTGAATCAAAAATTATAATACAGTAATTAATAATAATTAATTAGTAATTAATTTGTTGGAGATCCAATAAATAAATAAATAAATAAATAAAATAAAATAACAGAATAATTTTATCAATTTCTTTTTTCTTTTTTAAAAATTTAATTTTAATTTCAATTAGTGCGATGGTAAACTACCACGTTCTTCTTACATCTAAACTTTAACGTCTTCTTCATGGAAAGCTCAATTTATTAAGTTTTCTTCTTTCTTTAAAGTCGCGTAATAAATGTCTTGAAAATTGATAATCATAATTACTAGTTTTTATATGACAGTTGGTCGCCTACATTACTAAATGAAACTCAATGCTTCCAGGAATTCGAAGAAAACGTAGTGTTTGCAAAGCCCTTAATTTACTGTCACTTTGCTGAGGGTGTCGGCGATCCTAAATACTTTCCCATTAGAGACTGGCCGCATATCAAAAAATTACTTGACGAGTCGTTATCTGCATACAACGATATTGTCGCTACAATGAACTTAGTGTTGTTCGAGGATGCAATGTACCATATTTGCAGGTTAGAAACAAGTCAAATCCACAGTTTCAAATATTATTATCTCAATTCAATTATTGCGTCCCATAAAGTACCTAAATGGTCTTAAAAATATAAAAATACAGAACCATTATGGACCCTAGGGCATCGCTATCTAGGGGAAACAACCGAAACTAAATAGTAACTACTGATTCCGTATCCGTATATGAAAGTTCTCACACTCGTTAGTTTAAATATATATAACTTATATCACCTGGCCTGGTCGGACGGGAATCCACTTGCGTGCGGGTTTAAGCTAGCGTTCCTTAAAAAAGAGCCATAAACGACGTCAGTGCCGAAATTAGCACTGAACATATAACTTATTAACCTTTAAAAGATTAATTATTGTAGTAACGCTGTCTTTTTATTGGTAACTGTCGTTTTTTTTTTCTATTTCTAGAATTAACCGCATTATGGAGGCTCCTCGTGGGAATGCGCTTCTGGTTGGTGTTGGAGGCTCTGGAAAACAGTCTCTCTCTCGATTATCTGCATTCATCTCTTCGCTCGAAGTTTTTCAGATACAGCTCCGTAAAGGATATAGCATAAATGATTTAAAAGTGGACTTAGGTATATACCTACTTAAATCTAAATTATTTTAACCGCCAAGGAAGGTTTAAAATAATGAAGAAAGGTATTACGCAAATGTCTTGCAGTATCCTAGTGTTTTTTTTTTAATAAAGCGTCCAAAAATAAATATATTAAATCAATCGACCAGTCAATCAGGCATAATTAGCTATAATTGTCTTTTTTAAAAAAACACAACGCCCGCATTAGGAATAAATCCTGTGTCGCGGGGGACTTTACAAACATACATGAAACGGACACAAAGAACACCCAGACTCAGAACAACAATTTGTGGAACACACAAAGTGTCGTCCCATTTGGGGTTTGAACCCACAACACTCGGCGTAGTAGGAAGCGGCGTGGCGACCGCTTAAACCACTACGCCATCCGTGCAGTCGAATAATACTCGCATAATACTCGTACTTATCGGTTTATAAGGCCTGCCATATATAAAATGATAACCAAAATAATAATAAACAATTATAGCAGATATTATTCTGTCCTTAATATAGCTGCATTGAACCTAAAGGCGGGTTTGAAGAATATTGGCTGCATGTTCCTAATGACCGACAGTCAAGTAGCCGAGGAAAGATTTTTGGTACTTATAAATGACTTACTAGCCTCCGGTGAAATACCAGAGTTGTTTGCAGACGATGAATTAGAAAACCTTATCAACGGTGTTAGAGCCGAGGTGAGTGCATTTTGTTTCAGGGATACAACATAATATAAATGTAATTCCGTACGTGATATTGTGAAAATAATACCTCGATTCGTTAATTTTAGACAAAAGCTACAGGGGTTCCTGATACGCGTGAGAATTGTTGGAGATTCTTTATCAATCGTGTAAGATCAATGCTGAAGGTTAGTAATGAATCTGTGCATTTACTAGTAAACATCGAATTACCCTAATGTACCGGTTGTTAATTTGTCATTATTTCGGTTGATTCTCATCAGTGAATGTGATTTGTTGGTTCTTCAAGTAAATATTTTGCCGGTATTAACCTGTGCAATTTCCACAGGATTGGATATCCTGTTTGTATCGCAAATACTTTAAAATTGACAACATGTACGTAGGTATATGTATAGATTTTAACACCTAAGCATATCTCAAAAATATACATTTTTATGGTACAGGGGATGATAGACAAACGGACGAGACACAAGTGCGCTAACGCCCTTTGAGTGCCCCAGAATTAGGATAGGAACTGGTTGTTCGTTCGGTGACCACAGTCACATCACATTATCACATCAACAGCCTTTAATAGTCCACTGGTGGCCAGACGGGTTGGTATCGGGTTTGTTTCAAGTTTCCTCCTTTACTGTACTCTTACGGCACCCGCGGGATGAATAGGGGTGGTGACACTCTGTATTCTTAATCCGTCACCACACAGACCACACTCACTAGGTAAAATACAACAAGAATTGTTTAAAATCGGTTTTGTGTGAGGCCGTGGTATCAATCTACATTTTTACCATATGTGCCGTGGCATGGTTTTCCCATGACATAAACCTACTCTTAAAAATAAAACCATATAATAATAACTAAAACCATTACTATATTAAAAAAAACCGGCCAAGTGCGAGTCGGACTCGCAATCGAAGGGTTCCGTACCATTATCTATAAAAACAGCAAAAAAATCACGTTTGTTGTATGGGAGCCCCCCTTAAATATTTATTTTATTCTGTTTTTAGTATTTTTTGTTATAGCGGTAACAAAAATACATCATCTGTAAAAATTTCAACTGTCTTAACTATCACGGTTCATGAGATACAGCCTGGTGACAGATGGACAGACAGACAGACAGACAGACGGACGGACGGACAGCGGAGTCTTAGTAATTGGGTCCCGTTTTACCCTTTGGGTACGGAACCCTAAAAACAAAAGAAATTGGTCTTCTTTACGTAAATGTTGGCTAATAATTTACTCGGACAATATTGTGTTGTTGTGTCGAACAGGTGGTGTTGTGTTTCTCTCCGGTGGGCGCAACTCTGCGCATCCGCGCTCGTAAGTTCCCATCTATTGTAAGTTGCAGTGCCATAAATTGGTTCCATGCATGGCCTCAGGAAGCTCTACGATCTGTGTCTCAACGGTTTCTTGCTGAAGTGGAAACATTGCCGGTAAATATGTTGATAATACTAAAGGACTGAGCAGTTTAGCTAACCATCGGTGTTTTTTTTTTCTAATCTTAAGAGAATTTAGTTGTTTCTAAGTTATTGAGACTTTCACTATATTGTATGACACTAAATAGTGACTTAAGGGACACCAAAACCAGCAGCAAGTTATAAAAAAATATCTTAACTAAACAAACAAAAACAAACATTACACTCACATAGTGGTCAGGAGTAATTTTTATTTTTTTGCAATTCTTGATTTTTTTTACTATCTTTGAAAAGGAAATGATGTATGGTGTTCGAAATATTCGAACGAAGATTTATGTTCAGATTTTCTTATAAATATCTCATTTATATATTTTATTTTAACTGAACTAAGTAGGTATGTATATTTTTTACCCCGGTGCGACCGGGGGTATCGCCTAAGGCGGGGCGCTGTTGTGCCTCTTAATGTGTAGAGCAGGGAGAAGCGCAGCAGCGTCCTGTCCCGAGGGTGACTACGGTCACCCCGAGATGTGATGTGAAGTCATGGGCTACGACGAGGCGGACTTCAGAAGACGCCGATGCGTTCCTGAAGCTCCTCCCGACTGCCGAGGTAAGCCTCCGGGTCTAGCGGGTAGACCGTTTCAGCGGGAGTCCCTCACACGCCCTCCGTTTCTCGAACGGAAGGTTTAGTGCGAAAAGCATTCCCCGCGTAAAAAAATAATGTATTATTATATCGTGTTCACCGTGAGTGAAATATGATACAAATATTACCTTATTACCTTGATTTCCTTTCAAATCCATGTACTTTACACATAATCTCGTGATGCTTTAATGAAACAAGAATTTACAGTTTAACGTGACAACTTTATTACAGCCAGACCTAGTGCAAGCAGTCGCGATCTTTATGTCTCATGTGCATGAAAGTGTGAACAATATGTCAGAAATTTACTTCCAAAACGAACGGCGGTACAATTATACAACGCCCAAAACCTTCCTTGAACAGATAGCGCTCTACGGTAAACTCCTTAATGAAAAGAACCGGGATCTTAAAATGATGATTTTACGACTCGAAAATGGGTTAGAGAAATTAGCCTCCTGTGCCAATGATGTCGCTGTGCTTAAGGTAAAGACACACAATTCAATACTTTAATTCAATTCGTCGTCTTACTTTAGTATGGAGTATTAAACACCTACAATTTGCCAACTAAAATCTTATTCCCACTTACTTACAATTATGTAGGAAAATTGGAAGTACAATATAAGGGAAGATAGGTAAGCAGGGAAGATATCTACTATTAGGAATTGCTTTTACGGATCAGGGAGTGTAAACAATAGCTCGTGCAGGTCAGACGCATACCTGTTACTGGAACTGGCTGTTACCGAAAGGTCTGTCCACTTTAGTAATCAAGTATGGGAAATGTGTAAAATATGGATAATATATTGTGTACGACGTATAAATAATGATCTTCTTCGATAAACACCAAATCTCCAGTAGGAAGCTCCAACATCTTTAGCAAGCTAACACTTACTACTACAGAAAATTGTTGAGAGGTTCATATTACATAGGTTACGCTAGCTGAGCAAGAAATAATATTAAAAGTGAAAAATAAAGCAGCTGAGGCACTGATCGAAGTTGTTGGTGCTGAAAGTGAAAAAGTTTCTAAGGAGAAGGCGTATGGTATGCAAATCGTTTCTCATTACTTTTCTGTAATGTATCTTTATTTATATTGGTTTCATTTAAACTTAACAAGAACTAAAAAATAATAAATAAAAAGAACAAAAGAGAAGGTCATATTTCTAAAAAAAGTTTGTTAAATATAATCACTAAAAATAATAGGCATAGTCAACTACTGTCATTTAATTTGATTATCTGACTAAGAATCTTAAAATATCTAAGAAAAGAATATTAATGAATAAAAATATAATAATAATATTTTTATATACTTTTCTTACCTATATAGCCGCTGGAGAAGAAAAGAAAGTGAAAGTGATTGAAGAAGACGTTACAATAAAGGCCAAGATCTGTGCGGATGACTTGGCTAAAGCCGAACCCGCATTGATTGCGGCCCAAGAAGCTTTAAACACACTAAACAAGAATAACCTAACAGAGTTAAAAGCTTTCGGTTCGCCACCAGACGCAGTCGTCATGGTCACTGCTGCTGTGCTAGTCTTATTTGCCAAGAAGGGTAAATTACCCAAGGACAGATCATGGAAAGCTTGTAAAGTCGGTGTATTTTCAAAGTATTTATTTTTTCTCATCTAACGTCAATACCTTATTATTTTAATTTTATTTTCCAGTTGTTGATGGCAAAAGTAGATCAGTTTTTAAACGACTTGGTGTATTACGATAAAGAGAATATTCACCCTGACGTAATTAAGGCAAGTAATCGTATACTTATATCTCGACTTTTTTTTTGTTTTCTGATATTTTAGCGCCAAACATACCTAAACAGGGTTTACTTGTAATAATTACGAAACACTATAAATAATAATAATGCAACTAGTTAATTTATCATGAGCAGGCTGTACAACCTTACATCAAGAATCCGGAGTTCAATCCAGACTTCATTCGGTCGAAGTCTGCAGCGGCGGCCGGTCTTTGTGCTTGGGTTATCAATATCGTCAAATTCTATGACGTGTACGTAGTGGTAGAACCTAAGCGTCGAGCACTCCTCGCTGCTAATGCTGAGCTACAAGCTGCGAGGGATAAATTATCATACCTAACCGATCAAATTGCTGTTAGTACTGCCTCGTGTACTTATTGTGGAATGCTAAGTCTATCAAGCATTTGATTTTTTTTAAATACATTTTAGGAATTAGAAGAAAAATTAGCTGGATTAATGAAAGCGTTCCAAGAAGCTGTAAACGAGAAGATGAAATGCCAAGCTGAAGCAGATGCTACTAATGCTACAATTGACTTAGCAAACAGATTAGTCAATGGACTTGCTTCAGAGAAAATACGGTAAAACCAAAATACTAAAACGTATTATTATCTGATAAAGGATATTAAAAAATAATTCAAAAGAAGCTGAAATTTAAAAAATATCAGCTTCGTACGGATAGTAGAACAATTATTATACATATGCTTTATCCTAGGGTAGCATCACATTGTTGCGTGTAATATTTAGATTAGCGTCATCGGTGTGACCTTTTTTTCTGTGCGGAAATCCCCTCGGATACCATCAACCGGTAGTTATGTTGGACTCGAACCGACCAAAACCGCACACCGTCTCGGGTACCAGTTGCCGGGGAACCAGGTGTACCCTAGGAAGGAAATCCCTGATACCCCGACGTACCTCGGGCCATCCACGGCGTGTAAATTACTCCCTCCTGTATGGGAACCCCTATGTCCCCTTTGTGATCTCGCTTTTTGGCTTTTTGGCAGCGCGTTACGCCACCTAGCCAAAAATTTTTTTTCACCGGCTTAAAATTTTAACAGACTTTTTCAAGAATTAACGCCATATTTCAACCACTTTATAGAAAACCTTAACAAATTTTATACCTAAACCTTCCTCATAAATAATTCTGTCTATTATTGAAAACAGCATTAAAATCCGTTTGGTAGTTTTTGCAATTATCTGAAACAGACAGACGTGGCAGGGACTTTGTAACATATATTTATAATTATGTATTTAATGACTTTTTTATCAACTATTAGGTGGTCAGCAACAGTGGTAAACTTAAAAGAGTCGGGAGTGTTATTAACTGGTGACGTACTATTGGTGACCGCTTTCATTTCATACGTCGGTTGTTTTACACGAAGTTATCGCCTCCAGCTTATTAATGAAGATTGGGTGCCAACGCTTGCCAAGTCTAATGTAGGTGCTGCTTGCATATAATTTAACATAGTCTACTTGATTTATAAAATAAGCAGAAACGCTCATATAAATATATCTAATTTTTCCGCTACTGTCTTATGTAATGCTTTGAAATGAGGCTATTAGAATTTAAATCTTTAAGTGACTATTTTTCTTAAACAAATTTACATTAATTGGAAGGTAGTAGCTTTGTGGAATTGAACACTAGTTTTAAAATACACATAAATATTACTACCTATATTACTATTATTACCGAAGATAACTATCACAATACAAGTATATTGTGTTAGTTACTGATGGTAAGTACCATCAGTTTCGTCACGTTACATTTTGTTTCTCGTTGGTAAATTTTTATCAGAATGGCAATTTTATCGCCTTTGATAACTTTGCTTTGGCTTTACTTTTGTTGCAGCCTAAAATTGAAACAACGGAAAATCTAGACTTAATTGCGATGTTGACTGACGATGCGCAGATAGCAACGTGGAATAATGAGGGTCTGCCCACGGACAGTATGAGTACAGAGAATGCAACGATTCTTACCAACTCAGCGCGCTGGCCGCTCATGATCGACCCTCAGTTGTTAGTGATTTTATCTTATTCTCTATATATATATAGCAGGCTATAGTTCTTATAGTTGAATGTTTAACTGTTTTTGCTTTACTCTGTTTTTGTTTATGAACAGGCAAGGTATTAAATGGATAAAATCTAAATTTGGCGAAACACTAGTAGTAATTCGTCTAACGCAGCGTAACTACTTAGATCGGATAGAGCGTGGGGTCTCTAATGGAGACGTTGTATTACTTGAGAATATCGGCGAGACTGTTGACGCTGTCCTTGACCCTTTACTCGGCAGAGTGCTTATTCGTAAAGGAAAAGTGCTAAAGGTACTAGATTGACAGTATTACTTACTTAAAACGTTTTATTTACCATAATCATCGTTAGATAATGTTACAGAGTAAACATTTTTGTGACATATAAATTCATTTCTAGATTATGTTACCGTCTATGGTAAAGCTAAACTAACAAATGTAGCGCCTTAACTACTAAGCCGCTTTCGTAGCAGAGTAGAAAGGCCACTTCCTAGTAAATGTATACCACATCAACAAAAGTTGTTATTATTATTATTATATTATATATATTATTTATTTATTATAGTTCATTATTATTATTTATAGTTCATTATTATTATTTATAGTTCATTATTATTATTTATAATTAATTATTATTATTTATAATTAATTATTATTTATAGTTTTATAAGTCTTATAATAACAGCTATAATACCAGTGTTATAAATCAATTCCAATGACAATGTTTAATACAATTTTCATTTTCAGATAGGGGACAGAGAGATAGATTATCATCCAAGGTTCCGCTTTATACTGCAAACGAAATTGGCTAATCCACATTATCAACCGGAAATGCAGGCTCAGTGCACTCTCATTAACTTTACTGTAACTAAAGATGGGTAAGCATACTTATTATTTTACATATACCTCCAAATACACCTCCTTTCATTAATTATTGGGTTATTTTAACTTTTGTGTGACTCGTGTCAAAAAAAAATGTATTAAATTTTCAGTTTAGAGGAACAGCTTCTGGGTGAAGTAGTGAAAGCTGAGCGGCCTGACTTGGAATCATTGAGAGTCGGTTTGACCAAACAACAAAATGATTTCAAGATCACTCTAAAGACGTTAGAAGACGACTTGCTCAAGCGACTGTCATCTGCTGGGCCAGATATATTGAGCGATTCAGCTCTAGTCATCAACTTGGAAATCACAAAAAAGACTGCTGCTGATATTGAAATCAAAGTAGAAGAGGGTAGAGTCACCGCAATCAAGATTGATGAAGCTAGAGAGAGATATAGGTGTTACTGTTTTTCATATTTTGTCATGTATATTGAACCCCTTGGATAATCACTCGTTTTTTTTTCTTTGTTAAGGTTATTATTTTAGGGCACAAATTTAAAATATATTCATTTGTATAAGTTTTGGATGAATACTCTGTAAATTCATACAAAACAACAAAGATAACAAACAACAACATAAAATTAACATACAACATAACATTAATATTTTCGTATCTTTTATGGATATACTAGTATTATATTCGATTCTATCAGAGATGAATGAGTTTTATGGCACATATGCAGGTGCTGCAGTAGGTATACAGAAGTATAGTTACACATTTTTATATTCATTTGATGCAAAGACTGTCACTTCAAAATTCATGAACAAAATAAACGTAAAAAATTATTTTAAAATAAGTTAACGTTCTTTAAATAACATTCACTTAGTTAAATATCAACTTAGTAACAGTTTTATTATTGGTTTATGCAGACGAGCTGCCGATCGGGCATCTCTACTGTACTTCATCTTGAACGACCTCTCCAAGATCAATCCGATGTACCAGTTCTCTCTAAAGGCGTATAGCGTCGTGTTCAAGGAAGCATTGTTTGCGGCTGAAAGCGGTAACGACTTGGAGAAGCGTGTTCAAAACTTGCTTGATAGTATCACATTTTCTGTATTCATGTATACTAGTCGAGCGCTCTTTGTTAGAGATAAACTCGTGTTCCTGTTTTTCATGACTCTTCAGGTAAGTTAACAAAACAATTATTTCTTTAACATTCTCAATTGTTTAGTTAATTGATTTTGAGATGCCAAGATCCGTCAAGGAATAAAGAACAATTTTTTTTAGAAAAAATGCGACAGATTTATTATAGCCGACAATACACTTGCCTCGCATTTACCTTTCATAAATATACATCAATAAACATAAAAATGCTAAGTTCGTGTACGCTTTTAAAGCTCAAAAAGCTCTGCACCGATCGAGCTCAAATTTTGACATAATATTATACAACCCGCTTCGAAGATTGTTTTTAACTAGTTAGTTAAAAACAATCTTCGAAGTTATCGTGTCAGTTTTGTTTCTCATTTTTTAGCAATGCAATGACAATGTGCCACAGCGAAGCCTGGCATGGGTGCAGCTAGTACTTTATTACTCTACTTTTACCTTACTTTTAAGATTCTACAATCAGATGGCAGATTGGATTCACGGGAGGTAGATTTCTTGCTGAAGTACGCAGTGGCGCCAGAAAATTCACCATTTCCCTGGCTATCTAACACTTCTTGGGGTGGTATAGTGGCTCTCTCCAAGATGGATGCTTTTGAAGACCTCGATAAGGATATTGAGGGTGCTTCTAAAAGGTAATTATTGTACGAAATTTTCTCTCTCCAAATCTTACTTGTAGTATTATTATTTAACACGTCAAATAGAAGTAATTTTAACATGATAGTTTTCTTTTCAATCCAATATATACTGTTTTTTAGTAGGGCAGGGGATTGTCTTGCGTGTCTAACGTGTACCCAAAAAAGCTTCGCCACGGTCGGACAGTTATATTTCCCCGCATTTAATTCTAGTAGAATTAATTCATTATTGCTATTTATTGATACTATTATACTTCATAATGAGACTTCATAATGATAATACAAAAGAACACTGCAGGAGAGTCTATCGCAGCTAGATAAAATATTAGCCTAGGGCTCAATTTCTTTTCTCCCGCTTGCAACTTCTATATTCAAAAATTATTGACATCTCAATCACAACTGGGTAGTAGTTCGCCTTTTTCAAACTACCCAGTCATAATTGCGTCGCTTGTAATCGATATATAAATTAATCCGACGTAGCAAAAACATCGTCTCATAGTGTTGTGTTCTTACAAATTATTTCTCTTTATCAATTGTTTAAAAATAACATTCTCATTTGATGATAAAATATACACTAAAGAAAAAAACTAATTTCTTTTGGCCTAATAATGTTGTCAGGTGGCAAAAATATACGGAGGGCGAAGCTCCGGAGAGGGACAAATTGCCGGGTGACTGGAAGAACAAATCCGCATTACAGCGACTCTGTATAATGAGAGCACTCCGCGCAGATAGAATGTCATATGCCTCAAGGTTATTATTTTTCAAAAATTTTAATAGTTGTATTTTATTTCATGACTAAATCACCTATACAGTTTAAGCTAAAGTTTTCTACAGTTTCATTCACCAGTAACATGCGTAAAAATTATTTCCAAAAAAAACGTATTGTAGAAGCCATAGTACAACATAAGAGAAGACTCAGTTAGCTACAAGCCCTGTGCATTTGGGGGCCCTGTGCGCTAACGCTTTGTGACCGTAAAAAAGTATCTACTTATTTAGATCAAAGTGTAAAAAAAATAATTTCAAATCAATATAGCCACAATTATTATCACGAAAGAGTTGCATCGAAATGTCCAACTGCAATTTAAACTTTAGTACAAATTTATATTATGTTTTGCACTGCGCCCAACGCTGTGACGCCGAAGCTGGGCAAATTGCCAGCGTGTGTTAAGCTGAGTCCTCACTGCAATTGCTCGTTGGTCGTCCCTACTATAGAGTCATCCACACCGGTGTACAGTGCCATTGACCTGGCAACTCCCGTGTACAGCCGTCAGCCAGGGGCAGGCGCAACTCTGACCAGTTTTGAAGTAAGCTGCCAGAAGTGCTCGTCGAAAAGCCAAGTATCCTCCGTCTTATCCAAGGCCACCCATAAGCCCAGCGCCCGATCACCAAATAGATACCCGTGTGGCAAGCGTGGTATAGCAGGCAAAAACCTCCTTTCTAAGAAGAGGCCTATGTCCAGCAGACAACCATAGGCTGTTGATGATAATGATGAATACCATAAACTAGAAAACCTAAAACAACCCCTTGATAGAATTTGCTACAGGCCTCGCGCTGTCTTAATCCAGACTTGTGTGTGTGACTATTAGTTTTTATTATAAATAAAATGTTGTTTTTTTCTTAAGCTTTTCTAAATTGTAATTCCAATTTATATTCAACAGCGCGTTTTGTGAAGAAAATCTGGGAACGAAGTATGTTGAAGCGCGATCGCCGCCTTTGGATAAATCTTACCAAGAGAGCAATTGTACAACTGCCATGTTTTTCATACTTTCACCTGGTGTTGATCCATTGAAGGTATGCTTAATGTTGAATAATACTCTTTAATGCTAAGTATATTTTAATATTACGTCATTGCATCGTAAGGCACATCTTTTACCTTAACCTAAACAGACTGGACTTAATGTAGTAGTGCAAGTTTAGCGGATTAAATTGAAAGAATATTTTTAACAGGTTGTTTAATCTATGATATAAATAATCGTGACATGGTAATTGTTTCTTTAAATATTCTTTAAGGATATTTATAGTATCTACTTGTATGTAAAAATGCGCCATTTATTCATTCTTCTGCAGTTGCATCGACGAAATGCATTGTATTTTTATTTTAGCACCTAGTAATTTAGGTACACGCCGATGCATGACAATGCACGTTCACACACAGCTCGAGGGACCAGAGAGTCCTTGGCAACGGAAAACATACGGGTATTGCCGTGGCCTGCACAATCGCATGATCTTGTGAAGTCTGGCGATTGTGCAGACCATCATGCTCCAGAGACTTATTCTAGAGAACTTGGACGGAGTGTCGACAGCCCAACAACTGAAAGACTTGTTAAAATTCCATTGAGAGCGATCGCCGCAGGATCAAATAAACTATCTTATCACACACACACACACACACACACACACACACACACACACACACACACACACACACACACACACACACATTGTATTGAATTATTAAATAATAAAAAAATGACATTATTTAATTTTGTAAAATATTAAAACTTTAATTTCGTTTTAACTTTATTTTATACTACAACATGTTGCTAAGAATTTCTTGATGTGTGAATTTATATTTATTTAGATAAAGAGCTCTTTAATATTATTTTTTTGAAATCTTTGGTTTCTTTATTTGAATTTATATTATTATTATATTTATTTTCATTTTTAAGGGAACGTACCCATACTACGTGATCCACTTTTTGCAATTTTTAAGCCCCCTCCCCCCCTCGGTGACCACGTGTAGTATATTCCAAGACCCACCCTTCTCCCTACAGTTTTCACGTAGTAATTCATAAATATGGTTTTGAATCATTTATTGCTAACAAAAAGTGAAAAATTTATTCATCTATTAAAGGCATCCAAAATTCATTCGTCTTTTTCTGTTTAGCTTGCATTAACAAGGAATTATTGTGACATTTAATAAACGCATTGTTTAACCGATCGTACAACGACATTATTGTACTGGCACAAACTCTCGGTGACTTGATTGACAAGTACACTGCATTACAAACTAACAGTTTTCAATCAGCTGACATCTCGGCATGTACTATGTACGTCATTGTTGCCACCTGTGAGATTAAAAAGCGTCAAACATTGCACGCTATATTTGCATGTATCTCGAAAAAAGAGAAAAAGAAAAAAGAAATATTATTAGATTATTTATTTTTTAGAAGAAAAGGAAAAGAGGAAGAAAGAAATATAGAGGATATTGACTACGTGATAAAAACCTAAGCTCCCCACCCGTCATGGTGACCAAGCGTGATATTTAGAAATTCCCCCTCCTCCCTCCTGAACGGGTTACGTAGTATGGGTACATTCCCTAATGTGGGATGTAATTTTAGGACTTGGAAAAACTAGGCCGTAAAGTGGGCTTTGCGAATGATAAGAAGAATTTCCACATAGTATCTTTAGGTCAGGGTCAAGAGGTAGTGGCCGAAGAAGCTATGGGTATTTCTTCAGTCCGTGGTCACTGGGTTATCTTGCAAAATATTCATTTGGTGGCAAAGTGGCTTTCTACTTTAGAAAAGAAAATGGAAGAATGTTTCGAAAATCCACATGAAAACTATCGGTATGCATTTCAAACTCAAACTGAGTATATTTAATTACACATTTAATATCGATTAACGTAATTAACATTTTCAATACTTCGAAGAAATCCGGTATTCAGATTTTTTCTTTTTTAATTTTTTGTATTGACTTTTTTGGGTTATTTTACATCTTAACAGTAATTATTAGGACATCCAACGTACGTTGTAAATTGAACAGATTTTAATTAAAAATATGTTTTAAATTTACAACGTACGTACTATCAAGGTTATTATTTGGGTATAGCGAATGTTTAATATGAAAAAAATAACTAAAAATTTATGTAAATACCTTACAAAACTGTATGCATACATAATTGTAACATAATATCTAGATAATCATTATAATATATATATATATATAAATATATTATAGTTTTTAGAAAATTCGTAAGTGTAAGCTGTCGTGTATTTTAAAAATATGTTTTCTTTCTTAACTTTTGTTTTTGTTGAAGCAATAAACATAATATAATTATTTAAAGCTTATATCTGAGTGCTGAGCCAGCGGCGGACCCCGCATACCATATCATACCGCAGGGTATTCTGGAGTCAGCAATCAAAATAACCAATGAACCACCGATTGGTATGTGGGCAAATTTACACAAGGTACATTTTAACTTAATTACTGTTGAGTTTATATGGTATATTATTATGGTAACATCATCAAATGTTATATACTTGTTTCCTGTTGGGCAGTCCCTGGATAACTTCAGTCAGGAGACGTTAGAAATGTGTAGCAAGGAGGCAGAATTCAAATCTGTTTTATTCGCACTCTGCTACTTCCACGCTGTTGTCGCCGAAAGGCGCAAATTCGGTCCCCAGGGCTGGAACAGGTATGGTAATACAGTAACCTTTTTTATTTACGTGTAACTAATTCATGTATTTAACATCAAAATGGAAAAAAACTGTATTCATGCAATTTAAACATCTGAAATTTAAGGAGGGGAGTATCACAGTTAAATACATGTTTACACTCGTATTATAAATGTGAAAGTGACTTTGTTTGCTTGTTACGCTTTCACGCCTAAACCACCAAACTGATTTTAAAAATTATGTTACATATGGAAAGGTTCATAACCAGCGAGTAACATAGGCTACTTTTCACCGTGATACCGATAACCGAAATACACGCTTACGGGGATGCGGGCAACAGCTAGTACATTATAAGAGAAAAACACTAAATGGAAGTGTTTCATCTAAAATTATTTTATGAGCTATGAGTATGTTCGGTTGTACGGTTCGACTGGAGTGATGGCACGGCCTCGAACAGCCTAAGTTGGCATCCTACCCCACTCTAATTCCCGTGTGGGACTGGTGGCACTCAAAAGTGACACTTAGCCCTTGAATTGTCTTACTCATTTGCAGGTGTCCATGGGCGTGGGTAGTCCACTTACCATCAGTGACCCGTGTACTTGTTTGCAATGTATTTTTAAAACTATTCCGCAGAATTTATCCATTCAACTTCGGCGATTTAACGATTTGTGTCTACGTATTGTACAACTATCTGGAGGCGAACCCTCGTGTGCCCTGGGAGGATTTGCGCTATCTATTTGGTGAAATCATGTACGGAGGTCATATTACCGATGACTGGGATAGGCGGTTATGTCGAACATTTCTGCTGGAATATATGGCACCGGAACTTGTTAGTACTGAGTTGTAATGCTACTAATCCATTCTTAGGCTATTTAGTATTGCTATTTTGCTTCCTGTCATCTATACTTGTGTGGAGGAATGGGTATCATGTCCCTTCAACACAAAGTCAGGATCCTCCGACCAGGCGAGTTGATCATGCCAAGATTATATGTGAGTTACTTGCCCTGACTGACTGATTCATAGCCGCAGAGCTTAAACTGCTGGAGCTACAAACTTGGAATTTTGGCAGGTAATGTTTTTATGTTGTAAGCATCCACTAAGAAAGGATTTTTTGAAATTTCACCCCTAAAGGGGTAAAATAAGGGATGAACGGTTGTTTGGAAGATAGTCATTTTCAAAGTTAGAAACAAGAAATAAGAAATAATCACGCGAGCGAATAGCAATAGCTAGAAATTTCATATACATATTTAAATAAAACTACAAAGAATACTAATCGGTTACTGCAATTAAGTGCGTTAAGTGATGAAAGAGTGGGACTGCAAGTTCAGAAAGAAAGGGGTTGACGGCTATTCCATACTATTTAATCTCTCTCTCTCTCTATTTAATCATCTGTGGTAAATATACTTGTTAGATAGCTGATAATACGTTTTTTTTAAATCTATCTGGAGCTGGAGCTACAAACTTGGAATTTTGGCAGGTAATGTTTTTATGTTGTAAGCATCCACTAAGAAAGGATTTTTTGAAATTTCACCCCTAAAGGGGTAAAATAAGGGATGAACGGTTGTATGGAAGATAGTCATTTTCAAAGTTAGAAACAAGAAATAAGAAATAATCACGCGAGCGAATAGCAATAGCTAGAAATTTCATATACATATTTAAATAAAACTACAAAGAATACTAATCGGTTACTGCAATTAAGTGCGTTAAGTGATGAAAGAGTGGGACTGCAAGTTCAGAAAGAAAGGGGTTGACGGCTATTCCATACTATTTAATCTCTCTCTCTCTCTATTTAATCATCTGTGGTAAATATACTTGTTAGATAGCTGATAATACGTTTTTTTTAAATCTATCTGATAATAAAATTAATTCTTAAAAATATCACCGACTACAATTTGTCTCCATCATGATGATTTGTTAGAAACTGTTTTCTTTATTCCTTAATTTGCCACGTTTAAATTTTAATGTCACCACAGAGGAACTATCCCTCCTAAATAAAATATAATAATATTAAAGTAAAATATACAGAATTTAAGTATAAATAAATTTAAATCCATAATAAAAAAACTGTGTCAGAAGACCTATTACTCGTTTGTGGATTACATAGAAGACATGAATGCTTGTGATTAATTTAGTACAGTCTATTTCTTAAATGAAAAGATAATGTAACCCACAGTGTAATTTTTTCATGTTTTACTTTACTATTTTATTTTTAGGATATGGTATTTCATAGTGAAATCTATCAAAAATTATGGCAACTACAACCCCTTAAAGTATTTAGGTCGACTTACCTAGTAACCCTGTACATATTTATAAAATATGATACCGAGTATGGTTAATATTTCTTGAAAAAATACTCGTTATATTATTTGCAAAAAGAAGGAAAACTTGACACAAACCCTATACCAACCCGTCTGGCCAGCGTGGTGTAGTAGGCCAAAACCTCCTTTCTAAGGAGAGGCCTATGTCCAGCAGTGGACTATTAAAGGCTGATGATGTGATGTGATGATGTGATATTATTTACTAACCGAACGACAACCACCATGCTAGTGTGTGATGATTCTTTTATGACAACATCTCGCTCTATAAGATAGTAACATTTAATTTAAGGTGGACGGTGAACTGCAACTGGCACCTGGATTCATATCGCCTCCTAACTCTGACTATGTGGGTTATCACACCTACATTGATGACTATCTGCCAGATGAAACTCCATACCTCTACGGTCTTCATCCTAACGCCGAGATTGGTTATTTGACCACAGTATCTGAAAGGCTTTTTAGTGTAAGTAATAAACAAATTACTAGCACGAGTAACCAAAAATACCTTTTTCTTTTCTTTTAAAAAGACAACTCCCACACTAGAAATCTATCCTGTATCGCAGGGGGGCTTTACAATCATTCATGAAACGCACACTAAGTACACACAATTTTAAACAACAATTTCTGGATCACACAAGTGCTGTCACACTCAGTACAGTAGGAAGCGCCGAGGTGACCGCTTAAACCACTACGCCATCAGTGCAGTCATCTTCACTCAGTCATTTCAATCGTTATACAATAAATAAAATTGTCGTAGCAAGTCGTATGTGAAAATATTTTTCGGTGAACTCTTCAACCCCATAGGTGTGCGCTTAACTACGCGTAGGCCGTACGCCATATAACTGTTATCATTAAAAGAAGTGCGATTCACAGCTTCGTTTCTGAAATTTCAAAGGTTCCGTAAACAACCCTGTATTGTAAAAGATTTTCGAAGAATCTTCGAAGTGCCTGCTTATTTGATTTAGAAACTTGACTTTGTTGTTCTATAAAAACTCTTCAACATCGACTTATATCTTGTAAATTTTCCAACAACAGGTTGAAAACCTGTTGCTGGAAAATTTACAGTCAGTTTTCCAATAATCAGTTTTCCAACCGCAAATTAGTTTATAATCGCATTTTTTTAATTTTCTTTGCTTGTGCTGTACGTCCTTGTTTCTTGCCAAATTTCATGATTCTAGGTCATTGGAAAGTACCTTATAGTTTTTATTTACCAGCATAATGATCAATTTGATAAAAATCTAAGGCTTATAAATGGCCGTATCTTTTCTTACCATAGACTTTTTTTAGAATTTTTTTACAGCTTTAAAAGACCCTTGATCTAGTCAGACAGATATATGAACAACAAAGTAATTGTAATGGGTTTCTTTGTTTCTTTTTTCCATTCGAGAAACGTCACACAGAAATGACTGAAAAATAAACATTAGTCTATATGCGATGATAAGATGAACATTTAACAATTGAGAAATAAAAAAACGTTTTTTAATGATTTAAAAACATTGATTCTGGACTTCCATAAATAATAAAATATAGTCCAGGTTTTCTACTTTTTCTTTGATCAAAATGTAATGCACAAAATCAGGTCGTATTCGAGATGCAACCTAGAAATACCGGTGCACAAGCTGGGGGAGGAGGTAGCAAAGAGGAAGCTGTGAGTATCTATAATATGACATTTTAAATATTAACCACTTTTACGTTATGCCTTTAAAGAGTTTGCGAAAGTATATCTACAGTTTTAAATTAAATTTTAACCATAACTATGTATGCGGTATAATAGCACACACGATAGCTTCGCTTCCCTTGGTAACATGTGTAGTATAGTATAGTGTATAAAGGTTTTTATATAACTAGCAGATTACAAAGGAAACATGCAATTGATTTTTAAAATCAAATATAATAATTCATTTTGTAGGTCCGCGCAATAATAGAAGACTTCTTGGACAGAGTGCCGGAGCCTTTCAATTTGCAAGAGTTGATAGGCAAGGTAGAAGAATTGACGCCATACACTATTGTAGCACTACAGGAATGCGAGAGAATGAATCGACTTATGGGAGAGATTCGAAGATCTTTAAAGGAAACAGAGTTAGGACTTAAGGTATATTCATTATCTCTCATATTGTTATTATTATTGCAAAAAATTTCATATTTCTAACTATCAAGTATTATTATGATTTTAACCTTTTACCTAACTTAGCATTTATTGTAACTAAACAATAGCCTATAAATAGTAACAGCCTATATTTGTAAAGTTATGTTTGTGTAGGGTGAACTGACCATTAGCAGCGATATGGAGAAGCTGATGGAGTCACTATTCATGGACAAAGTGCCGGAATCCTGGACAAAACTGGCATATCCAAGTCTTTTAGGCCTCGCCGCCTGGTTCTCTGATCTCTGCCTCAGGTTAGGTGAGCTAGAGAACTGGTCCGGTGATTTCAATGTAAGATTTATTCTGTTTTTAGTACTGTATCAATAAATTATAAGCACACATATATTAATATATACGCCCTGAATACGTTATAATTTTTTGTAACTGTTAGGACTGCGCCATTGCTAGTTCTATCTGTTATATTTTACCAACTACATAACTTTCATGCATACATTTTACAATTAGGTCTTTACCTATGAAATTGCCCTTTTGTATGCAATAAGTGAAAGTACTTATTTTTTCAAACTTTTTTATTTCTGTTATTCGAAGTAATCACCCATGCAATCGACCCATCTTTGCCAACGCATTAGCAGTTTATTGATGCCCTTCTTGTAAAAATCAGCTGGACGGGAGGCAACAAACTCTTCAAAGGCATTTTGTACTGCCTCTCGGGAATTGAATTTTTTACCCACTAAAAAGTTGTCTAAATTTTGGAAAAAGTAATAGTCGGTAGGTGCAAGGTCTGGATATCTGCACGATGTCGACCGATGTGGGTGATTACTTCAAATAACAGAAATAAAAAAGTTTGAAAAGATAAGTACTTTCACTTATTGCATACAAAACGGCAATTTCATAGGTAAAGACCTATTATTTATAATAACAAAATGTAATAAAACGAGCAACTATTTCTAGTTACCACCGGCGGTGTGGTTGGCTGGATTTTTCAATCCGCAGTCATTCTTGACTGCTATTATGCAGCAGACGGCGCGAAAGAATGATTGGCCGTTAGATAAAATGTGTCTGAATTGTGACGTCACTAAGAAGAACAGACAGGATTTTAAGTGAGTGCAATACTTATTGTGTAACAATCGATTTTTACAGGATTCGCACTCTAGACATTTAGTACAGTACAGGTCAGTAAAAGTAGTCGCTTGTGTCGCATACTCTATCACAGCTTTTGTCAGGTTTTCTTTAAAATTTATTGGTCAACTGTGTGACATAACTTGTATATACATATTTTATGTTTGCCTCAAAACAATACATTAGTGTTGTTGCATAATCTCTTACTAAACTCTCTGTGTCCAGCAATAGTTAATATAGAAATCTGTGAAGGAAAAGTAATGACCGTTTCGTTTGAGATGCACTTAAGTAATAGTTTGCAGTCCAACCGGTGCAGCGGTGCTGGCGAGATACAACTGTGTGGCGACGATCTGTGAGCAATATAACGACTCATAACTGATCGGTCCATGCACATAACAACAACAAAAATTTAATGACTTAGGAAATAAGCGTGTAATGCCTACATTTATTGTTCGAGGCTATCGCACTTAAAGAACTAAAGACTGACTTAAAATTGTAACTGGTCACGGTGTTGGAGTGTTAGTGTTTAATTAACAATAAGTTGCTGGTGCTATCTGGTTAAGAGTGATGACGAAAATATAACCCTTCATACATTACATTTACATTATAAATATATTTCAAGTTTATTTTGCATCTGAAAAAAAAAAATATCTTAAATCATGTCTATGCAGACACAAAATTTCAGGTTTTATGAATAAAAGACCTTATTTAAGTCTTTCCACCATTCTTTTGTAGTGCCCCACCACGAGAGGGTGCCAATATTTCTGGGCTGTATATGGAGGGCGCACGCTGGGACACTACTACCGGTGGCATTGTTGAGTCACGTATGATGGAGCTGTTCCCAGTTATGCCGGTCATCTTTATCAAGGCGGTGACGCAAGATAAGCAGGACACACGCAGCGTCTACGAATGCCCTGTCTATAAGATTCGGTAAGTTGTAAAAAAACTAACATTTATGAGAATAGCATATTTTAACTGGCATAAAAAGGAAAAACAAACAAAATTACAAACTTATTTCAACTTTTATAAATATTAAATCGTCTGTTAGTCTAGATTTTTTTTTTTTTTTATAGAACTGCTGGCAAACGAGCAGAATGGTCACCTGATGTAAATTCCGCCCATGAACGCCTGCAAGTCAGGAGTCACAAGCGAATATTATTTTATTCTATTTCTATTAATTTTACAGTATGCGAGGTCCTACTTTTGTGTGGACGTTCAATTTGAAGACCAAAGACAAGCCAACTCGTTGGACACTCGCCGGCGTCGCTCTTCTTCTAGGCGTTTAGTGCATACACGCAAATGCGCAAGATAAAATGTTTAGGGGTTCTATAGTAGTAAATAGTATGATAGCGGTCCAGTTTATTAGGTTTTATTATTTAATTATATTATTGCAGAGTGTGTTACCTAGGGGAACGCATTTTCCACTTTGTATCCGGTCACCAATTCGTTCAGAAAGTCTATTGTTCATGAAATGACTGCCGGTTATTTTATGATGATATGTTGAAAATCTAATAGATACTTATTGTCTGTTTTGTTTTTCAATAACACAACAGCAATATACAAATAAAGATTGTAATATATTGTGTAATGTAGAAGGAGAGCCCTAGAAAGGATTTCGGGATTTACTCGATCGTGGCATGTTACCATATGGAGGAATACCTACTACATGAGCCCTACCCAGCCTATCAGATTAGTGAAAAAGGTCGATGGTCAGAAATGCTCTAGCGTGTAAGCTAAGTTAGGTTAATTACATGCCGAATAGTGTGTTTTTAAAAACGCGCTACATAAGGCACCAGGCCCCCCCGAGAAAGTTCCAAACACATGAACATTCTTGAGCAAGGATAATCTTCTTTTATTTTGAAATGCAGGAAATCTTTAAATGTTTACATAATTTTCGTGCCTTTAATTATCATATTTTGTAAAAAATCAAGTAATAAAAATATTTCTAGTCGTGAGATTTAAAATACCCCGCAAAATTACTGTCAGATTTTTGGCTAGCATGACAGGGACATCAAGCTGAACCGTCTGTATACAATCTAACTCAGGCTCATGCATTTTGAAATAGCAATTTTTTGAATTTGTAGTTTGTCACTTAAAAATCGTCAGACCTTTCAATTTGAGCATTTTTGGCATCCAAATAACGTATCCCCAAAATATCTGATACGCCCGAATATTTTATTTTCGATTTCTTCCCCTTACATTTTTGAAAACTAGTAGGAGCTTTTCCCACCACTGCTGAAAGTAGAAACATTATATAGTTTGTGGTCCCCATCACGATCGAGTAAATCCCCATTTAGCATCATGGGCTCCCCTGTCATTTGTGGTATGTTTCTAAAATTTAAAAATACTATTTTATTAGTATTAATAGTATTTTTTATTCTTATCAGTTTCTAAAATGTAAGATATAGACGAACCATAAGTGTTCGTAGTGTTGCCCAATTCGTGTGGTTTTTATTCATACTTGTGGTTCAAGTCTAGTCGAAGAGACTGGTCACCCATAACCGATAGGTATTTGAATGCATAAAATGTTTTTAAATATGATTTTAGTACCTGAAGCGACTTTTATGAATTTATTTTATAGATATATACGTTTTTAGCTTTTAAAATAGAAAATTATTCAAATCAAACACTCAACTTTGCATTGATTATGTTTAATTATGTTTTTGAGGCAGTTTTTGTATTCTTCTACAATAGAAGCCGTGTAAAGCTTACCTCACATAATAAATATTTTAACGGTAGAAATTGATCCCAACAATTTTACTGTAATCGTACATTAAAATGATATTAATCGAGGATATACATAATACCACTGAGAATATAATAACAAGCATAAATATTCTAACATTGGATGTACAAAATTTTGTAAAATGGCGTAAAATCGCCATATTGTTGTATACAAATCGCTTCCAATTGGAACTCATTCTTTATTGATATTTTTATTTTCTTTCTATGCGTAGATTTTAATTAATTTATTACTATATTAAATATATGAACATTTAATTACACAATAGACTTTTATTGAATAGCTTTAATAGCTTTTTTTACGGTTTTTGTCACTAATTGGCTAATAATCCCCGTTTAGTTTCTTTAACTTAAGATCCTAATTTGGGTGGTTAAAATCTATGCGAATCAAAAAACTACGAAATTAAGTAAATCGTGATTTAAAGTTACAGAACGCTACTATAATGTACATATTGTTGCTGGCAGCATACTCGGCACATATGGGCTAGCTCGACTGGAGTTACAACTGCCGTAGTCTTAATCACTCACCATCAGGAGTACCCATCTGCTCGTTTGCCGCCTATACTATAAAAATGTATTATGGAGTGTCAAGTTGTGAAGCACTATCTGGTATTGGACAACATACAAACAGACTGTCTAGCAAAAAACAAACAATAGAATATATTTTCTAATATTTTACCCATCACGATGGCCCATGTGTACGCTCTAGTTATGATTTCAGCGTAGCAGTTAAAGATAAGTTGTGTGCTAAATAACTCTGTCTGTTACGTTTTCATGGCTAAATCGTTCTATCGATTTTAATGAAATTGCCATGAAAATACTTTGATTCTTAAGGAAAGACATAGGCTTCTTTTTACCGACATAAACCCTGCGCTTGTATATCACACATCATCATCACATCAACAGCCTTTAATAGTCCACTGCTGGACATAGGCCTCTCCTTAGAAAGGAGGTTTTGGCCTACTATACCACGCTGGCCAGACGGGTTGGTATAGGGTTTGCGTCAAGTTTGTCTGCGTAATTTTCTGTCTTAGTCGACTCTTACGACACCCACGGGATGAATAGGGGTGGTGACACTCTGTATTGAACCGTCACCGTAATCTAAAGTGCTGTGAGAAAACGTGGAGTGTTTTACAAACAAAATTCAAAATTTCACCACAACTCTAAAAAGCTCATTATTTATACTCAACATGTTGGCCGGTGCCGAGATTTTCTAGTCATATATCTAGTGTTTTCTTCTACACAATATTTAACAGGCTTAGGAAAGAAAGTCAAATATACTTTTCTCTAATTTTTATTTCCTTTGAATATTTAGACAAAATATTTAGTGCAGACAACATCACATTATGTCAGGTCCTTTAAAATGGCTCCATTGATTGTTATATTAACGGAAAGTCCAGAATACTCCGTACCTTATGAAACCACAAAGGCGGTTACGAAACACCTTGTCATAAGTTATTACTTATTAACGTGCAATACAATGCTTTAACAGGAAGACTACACATTTATTTATATAACACTGAATTTATTTTTCTTCACATGAGCCCTTTAAAGTATAAATATATAATAATATTAATGTCTCTGTGTATATATAAAAATAAATATGTCTCATTCGGACGGATTCTCTCAGTCTAATGACAGAAACCCTGAGCGATCACTTCAACAGAGTTATTTAAAGAATTATATATCATAAAAACAAATAAAACTCAAAGAGTGAAACAAAGGAATCGATCTTTGCTGTCAATTAATATTATATATAATTAATATAATTATAATATATATATAATTAATATAAATTTAATTAATATAATTATAATATAATTAATTGCTGGAGAGAAATGTTGTAGTATTATTTACCCATAACTGTTGTTTTCTTGGAGTGTGCCCTCATCACGAACTCAAAAGGGGATCCGCCATTTTGTGTGGACTATCAATACCGAACTGTACAATGTTAAATCTTAGGCTAACATACATATGAAACACAATATTATTTTTAGTGTTTCAGATGCAGATAAATTTACATTAACTTGGGACTCAAACAATTTCGGATCGGCGGATCTCTTTTACCCGTAACTTCATAAACTAGCAACTTGAATTATTTGTTCACCAATGAAATTGCAGTTACGTGTAACTTTAACTGGCAGTGATGTAAATCGCTGCCAGTTAAAGCCAGTAAGTCAGCCATTACGTACACTCTTAGTATTTTGTGCGGCGTTAAGAGTAGAATTATCGTTATCCGATGTCGGTTCAGAACCTTTTACAGTAAATGTCACATAATATCGTTTGTTCTTGTCAAGCTTCTCAGCCGGTAATGCTATCAGCTGCTTCTCAGTACCATGGGATACCTCCAGTGTCACGTGTGCCTTAGATGTACCGGGTGGAGGCTTCGAACTAATTTTTGGCAGAAATCCTTTAGATTTTGAACTCAAACCGGCGGTCATAGGTTTCGGCATCGTGTGGTGGTCCCACTTATATGGAACTGTAAAGAAAGTCTACTTTATAGCCTGTTATTAAACCAACAACAAATTTTTAGTCACTGTAAATACAGAACACTTACTATATGCGGAACATGGTACCCCTGTATATGCGTGTACAGCATGAAAACAACGATGTGTTTTGCTGGTACAAAGGCAGGGATTATCTGGAATAGCAGTCATTTTGTATAATTCACTCTCTCCATAGTCAAAGTCTATAGGCCTTTCTGGTAGTTTATCCAATTGCTTCTTGCCACTTTTTTGTAACTTTCGCAAACTTTCATATAAAAACTTCTCAAAACTGCTAAAAGAGTAATCTGGGCTATTGTAAGGACCCAGTCCCACATGCGATAAACTTGACCTATTATATTCTTCAATAGCTCTTTTTACTAGGACAGCTTCATTTGCTTTGCTCGTTCTTATTTGTAGCCGTTTAAGCTCCAATAATTGTTGAAAAATCTTCCTCTCGCAGTAGTATCTGAAACAGATTGTTTCTAAAATGGTAATATCAAAATTTTTACCTGCATCTTTTTTTATTGTACTACAGTTTAACGATGACTTAAATTGATCTAGTTTCAACGTACCGTCTCATATTAGTTTGAATTCTCTGAGTTACCGACTTCATATCTACGGCATATTTGTCACCTGGCTTTCGAACAGGAATTTTACTATCAGACTTTCCTGAATACTTTCCACTGGCGTTTCTTTGTTGGTAATAAGCGGCAAGGCGTGGGCTCGCTAAACAACGTTGCTGAGCTCTAGGACTTGGTTCAAAACCAGAATCCATTAAACCACTGGATTCATACCCGCGTTCTGAATTTTCACTCTTCGATCTAACAGTTGTTCGACTCTTAGTACGGCCTTTTTTACGAAACCGTTTTCTGCGTCCATCTGCTTCACTATGACTATATAACTCGTTATCACTGATGCTTGGAACTCTTCCTATGTAACTATCATCTTTTGAGACCTTTTCTCTTATAAACTCTCGTTCATCTTCCAAAGAGCCATCATCTATTTTACTGGACGTTTTTTTTAAAATCCCCGTGACATCAGGTGCACCAGTAATATCAGAAAGTACTTTGTAGCTCTCTGTTTCGTAAATACTACTTTTTCGACTGCTGCCTTGACTTTCTTTAGAGATTTTTCTAACTTTCTTTGGTGTTTGTGGCAATACCAAATTAACATCATAGTCGCCAGAAATATTTTCCAGAATAACTTTTTGTACGGCTCGGTCACTAGTATCCGTAGTGTCATCAAATACTCCTACAAGGCCTTTGTCTTGACTTTGAGTATTTTCAGTACTGCTTTCTATAGCAGAAGTATAGTCTTTATGTTTCTCTTCTGAGCTCATAGCATTGCTCTCACTACTGTCCTTTTGCAAGATACTGTCTTGAACTTGTGTATCCGTTTCAGGATCTAAGCTGTGATCAACGGATTCGCCCATATAATGATGTGCTTTACTTTCATTACTTACAAATATTTCGTCTTTGTTTGAAAACGACACAGCTGGTAAACTACTCTTCTCCTGTGTTTCAGTTTGTTCAATACTAGGAACATCTAAACTTGTCTTTGACTCTACAGAAACCTCTTTGTTTACTAGTGTATCGTCCGGCCCAGAGAGAACTTGAAAGGATTTCCTACGTACTAAAGCTACATTTGAAGTAGAAGTAACTTTTATTTCGCCGTCGGTGTTTTCTGTTCTTCCTCCTTCGCCATCGGTTCTTCCTTCTTCGCAAGTATCGTTTCTCGAAATATCTACCTCAGCTTTAGATGGTACTGCCTGTAATAGATTGCCTCGAAACTCATGATTCTCTGTTTTAGCCTGTTCAGCTAATTCTACATTTTTGTTATTGTTTTCTTCAGTCTGAAGTTTACTTTGCGTAATACTTTCCTCAGTAGACATTTCTTTATTTACTTCATCTTTCAATGTCACCGATCCATCTTTCTTTAAAATGCTATCTTGTTTTTTAGGGGTAGAATCTTTATTTTCACTTTGTTGATTAATACTTTCATCAGCAATTTTAGTTTCTGGAGTCAAGTCTTTATGTGTTACTGATAAATTCGACGTTTCAATAGATACATTATTTGCAGAGTCAACACTTACGTTTAGTTCTGAATTGCCAAGTTGACTAGATTGTCTTTCCATATGAATTTGAGCTTCTGTGATAATCATATTAGTTTTTACTGAAAGAGTGTCTGTTTCAGTTTCACTCTGTGCAACACATTTTACGGTTTTCATTTCTTCCTTATCAGGCTCCGACCTTATAATTTCACTTTTAACTTCAACCTCAGAAACTGTACCGTCATTTCTGTCAGCAACCTGAGAATCTGTACCCTTATACTTAATTATATTTACACTTTGTTTTTCATCATCGTTCTCTATATGATTTGAAGTTTTTTTTCCTTTTCGTTTGGTGTAACGCCTTTCACTCGATTCAGAACTGCTAGTTTCCGAAGGCGAGGTTGTTTTTTTTTTACTACGTTTATGATGTCGTTTATTTTTCTTTTTATCGGAAAAAGTTTCAGAATGCGATGAACTGTCCGAACGTGATCGATACCGACGACGATGTTTGGGGCTACTCTTATATCGTCTCGAAGGCTCACTTTTTGATCTATTCTTTTTTGAGTGTTTTTTTTCTCGTGAGCTTTCTCTCTCGTAACCATCAAGTTCACTATCATACCCATCGCTAAAACTCCTTTGGGTGTGCATTAGTCTTTTTCTCCTCTCCTTATGCTTATCTGCGTATTTTCTAGATTCAGTTTTTTTTCGGTTTACTTTTTCACTGTAAGAAGAAGATTCATTAGATGAATCACTGTCATCCCTATATTTTAATCTTCGTCTTTCTTGAACTGGGCTAGGCATTTCCACTATTTCCTTCTTTTCTATTGTTATTCTATCATGAACATCTATTTTAGTACTTGTAACTCGACGCGTTGGTAATCCTGTTATTGGTGCTCCATCTATTACAATTTGCGTATTTGACAATTTTGAGGCCGGTAAGCCGCCATGCATTTGAAGATATTTAGCTGTCGATCTATGTCCCCGAATTGTTGCACAGTCCAATGGTGTCAGCGGTTCGTTTCTCGATGACCTTGCTACTAGATTAACTTCAGCTCCTCTATCTAATAATAGTCTACAAAGATCGGCGTTATCTGTAGTCGCTGCTATGTGCAACGGAGTTCGACCCTCGTGGTTAGTAGCATTAACTTGAGATGGTCTGCCGTCTAATAACCATTTTACTAACTCTCGCCGTCCTGACGCAACCGCTTCATGTAAAGGCAAATCACCCTTAGAATTTCGCAACCACAGGTTAGCGCCTCTTGCTCCTAAAAAGTATAAAATATTAAGGTATCTACAGAATTGATCCGTTTTCTAACGTATTCCGTTATGACCACGAAGCAAATACAAAGGTTAAAACAATTGATCTTTGTGCAAACAAGTTCTGATTTTGAACAGAAGTAGCTAAGAGAACATTTGACATAAGACAACATTGGACTACAAAGAGTCCATCTCTAAATTATTGAATACTGACCAAGAATTCGTACAGTTTCGATTTGTCCTTTAGCGGCAGCTGTATGTGCAGGACTGCGTCCCCTCCTATCTTGCCGATGGGCATCCGCTCCATGTTGTAACAAAGCTGACGTAGCATCAGCATGGCCTAATGCAGCCGCATAATGCAATGGAGTGCATCCATGGGAATCAGCTACATCTACTCGTGCACCACATAAGCCGACTAAGGTTTCTAAGGCTTCAGTGTGCCCTCGAGCAGCTGCACAATGTAGAGCAGTTAACCCATCTCTGAAATTATTAAAAATGCAAGTAATAAAATTCATTTCTAATTCACGGTATATTAATTTATACAATTTATTTTCCAAAGTTAGATATGTATTAAGCGCAAATGCTTTCAATACATACATACACTATTTAGAAGTGATATTTCTTGTACACTGATATTTCTGTACAGTACTGTAGAGTTAGTTATCAGTGAAAAAGACTATTAAAAAAATAACTATTAATATTAATAAAATAAAAAATGCCATTCATTAATAATTAACTGTTCTGTTTTTACAAAGTGTAAATAGTAGTGTATATTTTTGAAATTTTCCTATTAAACATGATCCTTTAATAATATAGAAAACAAAAAAGAATGGAAAAGAAAAGAAAAAAAATTACATCCATGTATTTTTGTTTGTACATGTGTGTACGTATAAATACGTACGTACGTAATTTTATTTTGACACCTATCATGTATCACTCCTCACTATATCTTCCAAAGGACGACTGGTAGATAACGCCACGTGGCATTAAATCCGTCTCTTGCAAAATATATGCAGAAAGTTTAAAATAAAAAAGTCTAACCTATCAGCATCGTCGACTTTAGACCCTGCTTGATGTAATGCTAGTACTGCGGCTGCTGAGCCTGCTGATGCAGCCCACAATAGTGGTGTTCGTCCATCAGCATCTCGCACATCTACGCGAGCTCCACCCTCCTTCACCAATGCTCGCAACACTTCTAAAGCAGCGCCCCTGCTCTTTAGTTAAAAATAGCATTCTTAACATTACTGGAGCATCTAATTGAGGAACTCTGTAGGTTAAAAAATAATTACTTATCGTATACTTAAAATTTCAAAATAATATTTTCTCTTAAGTTTTGTTTTTCAGAAGTGTTTAGAAAAATTAAAACGTGTAAAACGTAACTTAAGAAAAAACAAACACAAAACTTTGTTTTGTCGGAATCCATAAAATAATTTTTCACGTAGATTTTTGCTAGTCTTTTGGCTTATGCTAGGTGATGTTTTTTAGTTTTTTCTTCCCTAAATAATTTCAAACTTACTTGATGGTCAGTAGCAGCCGGAGCCCCACACATTTGTGCTGCGTAGTGTAACGGATACCCGCCGTGCTGATCTGGAGTAGCTGCGTCTGCACCAGCTGCTAGCACCGCCCGAAGTGCTCCAACTTCACCACACACTGCAGAATACCATTTTGTAAATAGCATAAGTACAGTATAAGGATATTTTTTCTAGCTAGTTTTATAGATAGATAGCTTATGGACTTCTATAATCCCAAAGCTTTTACCCAAGGAAATATTTGGGATAAATTACTAATCTAACTCTAGGCACAGTTTTCATGAGATTGTTTTATTTTCCTGTCTGTTCCTTTAAAATAATGCACATTAAAATTCTCAAAAAGTTTTTTATGTTTTGCCCAAAAGATGTTTAAATGTGGAGAACTTATAGCTTCCACTATGCACAACGTTGCTTTACTCGTTGTCGTGTAGTGCAACTAATAATTGACCATTGTCCAGTATTCGTGTCAAGTTAAGTATTACTTGGGAAATCTCCCGCCAGAAGAAATCCAAACAGTTAATTGTTTAGTATTATTCTTCCAAACCACAAATGATGTCAGGTGAAACAAGTAATTTAAGTAATTTCAGGTATTCCAATTCATTTAGCTCAAGCCTTATTAAATGTCTAGCGACCTATTAGGTACAATCGATTCACAACTGCCTAAACACGTCCTTATATGTCTACTCCTTCTGCATAAAACATTAACCTGTCAGTCTGACTCGACCTTTTACCTTATGTTTCTGAAAAACCTAGTCCTAGATACTCATGGACTGCGGTCCGATTGAGTTCAAGGCTCCGCCGACCTTGCTAGCCGCTCAATAACATCGTGCCGGACACCCCTCTGCTGGCATCCAACAGAAACCTCAGAAAACTCAGACAACCTTACCGCCACCATTGCCGCATGTCACTTATTACAATGATTTACAATGCGGTATTTAGATGTACCCATGTATATTATTGTCACTAAAGAAGCTCTGCTAGTTAATACATAATTCAATATGTAAAATAAATCGTTGTATGAATCGTATCTTCGGTTTCATGCCTCTGAAATAGTCTTAAAGTGCAAGTTAAACTAACAGTGAGTTTATGAAATGCCCATTTGTTTTCTTTTTTCTCTACCATACTATTTCTCTTAAAAACCGCGTGTTTGAGAGTAGAAGGTATAAGATTTCATGAAATAACATCAATTGGTTTGCGTTAATGGTATTCAGTTAAAAGAGTAAAATATAGCGGAGTATGAACAAAGAGAATAATAGAACAACAAAAGGAAAAGTTGTAGACCATTCCATGAGTGCTACCAACGCAGTTAGTGTGGTGGCCAGGTATATTAAAAATATTCAATATTTTCTGCTCAATTTGTGAGTCATTTATCGATTTTATACGATAATGATATGAATAAACTCGTAGCATTTATTATTTTTACATTAAGTAAGGTTGAGTTAACAACCTGCGGCAGCGTAAGTCCGTTTATGTTCGTCACCAACGTTCCTCGGAACGAAAGTCTGCGGCCTCGGAAAAACATTGCATATAATCATTGCAATCTCTGACGTAATGCATTAAACACACCATGCCAACTTACATAACCTTGCGCTATGATAAACCTCATACGTTAACCATATGTGTTTTTCACTAACAGTTGACCTTGTTTTATGGCTGCCAATGGCAAGATTTATTATGTTCTATTAAGTTGTATTCTATTATAAAATCTATTCACATAACCAGTTAGATAGTTTCTATATATAAATGTTAAGTTGGTTTGTGTACGCTTCAAAGACTCGAAAAGTTCTGCGCCGATTGAGCTCAAATTTTGACACGATATACAACACGCTTCAACGATGGTCTTTATCTATTTTTCGCAACCACAATGTGCCACAGCGAAACGTAGCAAAGTACATCTTGTTATTAATATACAAATATTAAAGTAAGTACTTAATTACGTACTACAACCATTGAAAAAAAAATACATTACTATGTATGTACTATGATGGATACACAGTGTTATGTAAAAAGTGTAAAATACATATGGAGATATGGAAAATACCTGTCATTTAAGAGAATTGTAAGTACATTTCCTAGTAACGAATCTAAATCATTTTTGTTTCATGTGGAAATCCCCACGGGCCATCACCTCACCGGGGCTCAAGGCGAAGTGGTATGTCGGAATCGAACCGACTAAAACCACATAGTGTTCTGTCACATATGTGAACAAGGGACTCGAGTAGGTATACCTTAGGTATTAAATCCTCAAGAACACCGACAGGCCTTGGCCGCCATACGCAGCCATAGAATTGAGAGGTCTTGCTCTCTTTCCGGTTTAAAGAGGTCCGCATAGAAGTAGACGTATACTTTACGGAACTGAAATGCGACGCCTTGCTCAAATCGAAAACTATAACTACTCTTTAGAAGATTAAGCAATATAATGGGGTAAGTGTGATTTAATAATATTCAATTTTTCGTTTTCCGTTATGTGTGCCTTCTTTGCTATTCTCTACTCTCAAATATCCTGGAACGCGTGAAAATAATTTAAGAACCAGAACTAACAATGTGTACAGTGGCTAATTGATTTTACTTTAACACTAGGGGTACTTAACTACTGCCATGATTGCCGGGTGAGGAGGGATAGGGGCGCAGTGGTCTCTTTCTGTGGCGCTGAAATGCTCCAAAAAGAGACCGCTCAACGGGATCGTGAGAGAGCTGATCCCGAGCGTAGAGGACGTCGGCGGTTGGTATAGTCGCCAGAAAGTGGGGACCACTGGTGGCAGATTGACTTGTCCCAATTGCATTAAGACGCAATTGGGCCGCCAAGTCGCGATTGAAGGGGGAAGTGTTTTTCCCTTGGGATAGGGGCTGATTATGCACGGTCAATTCGGGGAGGACCTGAAAATAACATGGACCGGGTCCTCTCAGAGTAGATTACCTGAGACCGGCCGTCGGAGTGGTTTTAGTGGAATCACCACACCTGAGTCCCCAAGCAACAGGAGATCCGAAAGTATTTTTTGGATTAGGAAATTAAAAGGAGGAAAAAACGGGGTACTTTACTTGAGGACCATCAATGTTGACATGGCGGCTTTTAAAGTTGACAGAATTTATTATAAATGCTCCCAGAAACAGTACCATATTTACAGATAGGACGGATAAAAAAGTCAAGACTTTAAGTTGTCCATTTTTTTTATTACTCTAAATACGTAAAGATATAGTTACTCTAAAGTATATAATATTTGTAACCGTTTATATAAGCCCCTATAATTCTGTATTTTATTACGAGTATAATTGACATAATTTGGTGACATTTGGCATGCATTACTACTGATAAGGAACAATCAGACGACTAGACAGTGAAGTTATCACGTTAGAAAAATTCTTTACCTACAGCGATAAGTTCATGAGGTATGTACATATGATTGACACAATGTGGTGAGTAACTAATTGGTTTGCGTGCCACCCCGCATCAGCCCCGACGTGATGATAATCACGAAGGCATCGCTGCGCCGCACACCACCGAGTGACACCAGTTAGATAACGACTCACTCTACGGTATCTATTATAGCGACGCCTTTACAAGCTGTCTATGGATAAATTGCACTAGTTTAACCACGCGACAGTGATGTGTGGTTTGGGTTGTTTCTGTGTACAGTGGGCAAAAAATAATAATTACACACTAACAAATTTATAAATGAGGCTAACATTAAAATAATTCACTGAACGCAGAAGTAGCCATTCATTTTATACTCTAAGTATATTGTATCTGACGAACCTAAATTTGCAAAACTCAATGCCTAGGTTAGGGAGTTCTGCAAATTTGCCTGTTACTTCTTGTTTATTACTTATGCTCCAATTATTATCGACTTTTTGAAATAGGGCCATAGTTGCACGTGGACAAATTTAGCGCCCTAGACATCCTCTATAGTCAAACTTATTTCGATCTATAGATTTACGTGGTTACGAAAGTAATTAATAATAATAATAATAATATTTTATTTCTTCTCTCACACAGAAAATCATATCAATAAACTAGTAACAAAGTTATAGATCAATTTACAACAAGAAAATGCTAATCTGTGTGAGAGACTGGTATCCGTGCTAGGTAAAACCTGTATTACAGATGACCAGCCTCTCCTGGCTCTAGACAAGTAGATGCAGCAAGTGAGATATTTTGTACAAAGTGATTATACATGTGAGATGAAATAAATGAATGAATTAATGTGTATTCTCTAACCTGTAATATGACTAAAGATATCGGTGTATGGGTGTGTGTAAGAAGATATATATATGGATGTAAGTGTAATATGTGCATGTTTTATGCTGCGTGTGTAGGTGATTGTGTGTTGTGTGTGTGTATATATATGAGTGTGCGAGTGTCTATGTATTCATATATGTGTGTAATTCATAATAATATTTTAAATGCGAAAGTAACTCTGTCTTTCTGTTACACTTTCACGGTTAAAGAGGGTCACCCTTTTTTAATAAAATTTGGCATATAGATACTTTGACTCTAGAGGAAAGACTTGTTCTGTGGAAATATCCTTAAAATAATATTTCTGCGCTAATTTATCAATTGAGTATTAAGCATGCATTAACTATAAGTAAAGCATGATAACGTAGCAACCAAATATACAAGGGCGTTCACAATATTTTAGAGAACTTACCAGTTGCCCAATGTACAACAGTGTGGTGCTCGTCGTCTCTTGCGTTGACATCAGCCCCGGCAGCCAGAAGAGTCTGAACGAGCGGAACGTTGCCGTGCACGACAGCAAGATGCAGGGGAGTCAGGCCATCTGCATCACGAGCGTCCGCAAGCGCTGGCGCCGCCATCAGCACGCGGTCGGCGCACGCCGCCCTTGCAGCAGCACTTGCACCAGCGCCACTCGATGCGCAGTAGTGTAGGGCACACCGTAAACCACGGTCACGTACGTGGACTGCCGCCGGCTGGTAAACGATAACCAGGTTTCAATTGATTCAGTAACATAGGTTAAGTTTAAACATTTTTATTAAGCTAATTAAGTATAAATGTGTGGACTTCAACTTTCGTTATTATTGAAGATGTTACCTACGTAACGTACGTAACATCTTCAATAGCAACCATATAGTATATAGGTAGCAGACCACATTTGTGCCTCTATATGCAGCTAAATTATGCTATTTACTGTTTTGTAATATGAACACACTCTATTTTTCATTTTTACTTAAAATTATAATTTTTAATTAATAATGAAAAATAGAGCCACCTTCTATGAAAAACAATCAATAAGACAGTCACTTATACACAAGTAAGTAATGGTTAAAATTAATCAGTTCAGTCTTCAAAATGTTTTACTACTTAACTAAATCTCATTTCCGTGCAGGCAAAGAAATGCTGAATGTTAAAATTAAACAAAACACAGTCAACAACAAAACATATATGAATGTATAACCCACTACCCTAATAACATACACTAATAGATAAAGAACTCTAGTATGTCAAAGAATATAAACTGCTGTCAAACAAGTGTTTTGTTCCCGCATATTACTAACAGCTATACCAACACTATGATTGAATACAGTATGACCGAAACCCGCATATCTACTTAATGAAAAATGAGTCCTTCGTGGAAACAGTTTGCGGTCTCATTGATAGGTGCACACCAGCGATGTAACGAATAACAAATTTTAGGCATACGCGAATGTAGATAAAATTATGTTTACTGAGCCCTAGGGTCTTAGTTTCCACCACTTTCCACTTTTTTTTTAAAGACAACTCCCGCATTATGAAACATATTCCTGTGTCGCGGAGGACTTTACAAACATACATGCAACGAACACAAAGAACACCCAGACTAAGAACAACAATTTGTGGATCCCACAAAGTGGTGTCCCATGTTTGGATCGAACCCACAACACTCAGCGCAGTAGTAAGCGGCGTGGTGACCGCTTAAACCACTACGCCACCCGTGCAGTGCAAACTGACAACTGACTTATCCTTGAGGCTTAATAGAGGATTACTGCCACGGCGGTGCAGTGGTAGCGTATGCGACTAATGTGCTGAGGTCTCGGGTTCGATTCCCAGGTCGGACCAAATGTTTGTATGATCTGCAAATATTTGTTTCGGAGGTTGGGTGTTTTCTATGTATGTGTGCAAAAAAAACAGACTATTAAGCTTTTATAGTACAAGCTCTGCTTAATTTGAAACTAGATGGCATTGTTTGTTAGATGTTCGAAAATATTATTATTATCTTTTTTAAATTTTGTAAGCATGTTTTACTTTCATAAAAGAGGATTTTTTTACTTCAGTTCAATGAATACAAAAAGATTTAGGCAAAGATTGCTTGACGTTTAAAATATCGTAGATTTATAAGTGCTTAAAATACACTTATAAAACTCTATTTTCAGACATTTATATTCGCAAAGTATTCGCATGTAGCGAGTACGAATATTCGTTACATCACTAGTCCACACTTTATGATAGACACGTGTCGATATACTACACAACCGTATTTATTACTCGTACATATCAAAGCGTTTCCTTCCTATTGTGTGCAAGCCAATGTTAAACCTATTGATTGACTATAACCCCACCCCTTGTCTCACCGCGGGCCCATGTGCATTTCCATAATTGACAGTGCGTACATTCTATTGCTCTATCAATGTGCCAGGGGAAAAAGTAAATTGTTGATAGTTGATATATAGAGTTGTTATTCTCTTCGCCGTTGTAAATATTGTCTAACGAAAGCTTTGACTATGTATTTAAGTTTTTAATATACTAAATGGATAAAAATATAATACTCTATATTGAAGGAAATACAGGCTGATGAGCGGACGCCGCATGTTGTTTACATACAAAAATAAAGCGATCGACGGTCGACTAACATCGCGTGCTCTGCTCATAAATAAATGATTGAAACTCGACTTCCATATACAAGGATATTTAAACCCAATTTCTCCTGTCAATAATACTACGAAGAAACCTAAGTATAACCTTATTTGCCCAAAGTCTAGGAATGTATTTTTAAAAATTCAAACAAAAAGTAAAACTCGTCATGAGACGCTTAATGTGGCGATGATACTTCAAACGTTGAACTCACGTCCTTGTTGAGTATGTCGACAACTGCCTTGTAGTCTGCTTGCTGGCACGCATACATAAGCGGGGAGCAACCCTGCTGAAGTGGCGCATTCACATTTCCGTTTTTCTTTGACCCTTCCGCCTTCTCACGTTTGATCTTTGTGCTCTTATCGAGAAGGTCACCCTTTTGCCGGCCTTTAGGTTTCTTAAGTATGCTTGGGATGGGCTCGCCCCGGCCGCTGGTCGCGCGTTTGTCCATTACAGAGCAGGTTAGAATGGCTCGCACGCCATGTGTGTCGTGTGTCACGGCGACGTAGGCGTGTGGTGAGCGCTGAGGAGCTCGCGAGGGCGAGTGGGCGCGGAGGGCGCGTGCCTCAGACTGGCCCTCCATCGCCCGCTGCTGCCCGCTCGGACAGAGGTGGCGCTGGGCGGTGGGCGCTACGCAACGCCGCCCAACACCTAATCTATTAGCGTGTTCAAAGCAGGTCACCGTTTCGAAACTATAGTCTTGAACGAATCGAACATTACATAGGTCTTTGAATGTTACAATAAATATCGAGACCGTGATTAAGAAGGTAGTTAAGTTTGTTCCAATATTTAATTATTTGTTCGAGAACTAAATATTTATAATATAACCCCAAAGTTTAAAACATAGTAGGTATATCCTTAAAATGTGGTATAGTCCTTCACAAATTTTGTTCTTGTCTTCGCTGAATAAAGTGTGTTATTCACATCCCATCCAATAATATTTTGAGAGTTGCAAAACTTGAAATGAAATAGCTTATAATGCACGCATATTAAGCATGATCGTATTAATTACGTACACTTTTTGCACTAGCTAGATAGCCTTTGTCCCTCATTAGACTTAATCAAAAGAACCAATCGATAATAACATAAGCTACAACCCCTAAAGACAGCTTAATATAACTTATATCTCGTTTTGAATCAACCTTGAAAAATGGTTTCTGTGTACAGTAAGATTCATATCATTTTGATGACCTTGAACCAAAGGCAGTACCAAAAAAATATTGCGTGTGTTGGTAGTCATTAGTCGAATACTGTGCTCTCGTAAATGTCAAAGTTTTCATAATCACTGTCGAGGACTAGCAATCGGAGAGCTTTACCTAGGATTTAGTACGATATGTTACTTTTATGTGACACGTTAGGGATCAAGTTTGATTGAACATGTTTGTAAGTTTATAGTGATCATTATAGTTATAGTTTGGCGTTGCTTGATGTGTCGGGTAGATGTAAATTGTTGCAAGAGCGGAGTGATGCGTGACGTAAGTCCAGCACGCTACCGGCAGCCCTGAGCTGATCGTAATCGTACTAACATAATTTGCGACTTTTATTCCAATAATTTGCGGTTAGATTAATTTTAATAAAAAAAGACCAAGATACAATAGGTAGTGTAACACACAGTGTCCGTTTGGTGACAGATTAAAAATACAGAGTGTCAGCACCCCTATTCATCCCATGGGTGGCGTAAGAGCTGACTAAGGGAGCAAACTACGCAGAAAAAATAGCAGTGCAAGGAAAAGGAAAACAAACCCTATACCAACCCGTCTGGCCGGCGTGATATAGTAGGCCAAAAGTTCCTTTCTAAGGAGAGGCGTATGTCCAGCAGTGGACTAATAAAGGGCGTTGATGTGACAATAGATAGTAGTGAATAAGCACTCTTGGCTCTTCTTAATAAAGGTACCGTATAAGGGGAAGAAAACTTTATTCTTGGAAGACATAATCTGACCAAAACTGTGTTAGAGATCATGAAAGTTATTAAACAAGCTCAAACTAGTAACAACCTATTAATATTATACATGAATTAAATTATAATAATAGACCATAAATTCATTAATAATGTTAATTTAAATTTAATATTATTTATTAATATCATTGACTTTAGTCACTGGGTGATACATCTGGGGCACGTTTGTGAGGGGAATTGGAATCTAATTACTTAATAGTATTAATTTTATATATATTTATTTTATTTAAAAAAAAACAGGCACAGACAACAGATAACGTAGCACAAATAATAGCATTTCAACATACATATTGTGAACCTGATATCCTATTATATCTAAATTAATATAATGTCTTTACACTTCAGGTTAAAGTATTAAAAAATGGTTTCCTTGTAATTCCTACACCCAGTATTTACTAGCAAATACTGTGTGTGTAATCCGGGTGCATCCAAGGGCACTTGGATACGGGAAAATCTTTTATTTATAACTAGCTTTTGCTCGCGACTCCATCCACGTCTGTATCGGTTATCGCGGTAAAAACTAGCCTCTGTTACTTACTAATAAAGTAGCTTTCCATTTATAAAAGATTTTTAAAATCGGTTTAGTGGTTTACAAAAAACAAGATTTATAGTATGGATTAACATGCCTATACAATGTTTATTTTAAAATAAATATACAAATGTTTGTTCTTGACTTTAGGTTGTATTTACCGGTTTATCGCTACTTTATTATAACTGGTTTGGTTTTAATTATTATGAGAAATTGAGGAATTATTGTTAAGCTTCATTATTAGAATGACGGCATCAACCATAGATAGGTTTCGACATTGGGTTGAAACATATCTCTTCACTGTTGACCGCAGTATGTTTTTAGTTTCTTTACTATAAATAATTAGTGCACTATATAAAACCAACTTTATACTATGATGACATGCATACAATTCAGAAACTATTACACTTACTTCTAATTAGCATCTTCTTCACTAGCTTACAAGACAGCCATTGTCCTGTTTAAATTGCTTTCAGTTTTCACCCGAACGCGCCAGGAATGTTATGTTTTTGGAGTTTATGTATGTATGCCGATCATACAAACACTTGGTCCGACCTGGGAATCGAACCCGAGACCTCAGCACAGTAGTCGCATACGCTACCACTGCACCGCCGTGGCAGTAATCCTCTATCAAGCCTCAAGGATAAGTCAGTTGTCAGTTTGCACTGCACGGGTGGCGTAGTGGTTTAAGCGGTCACCTCACCGCTATCTACTGCGCTGAGTGTTGTGGGTTCGATCCCCACATGGGCCGTCACTTTGTGTGATACACAAAATTGTTGCTCTAAGTCTGGGTGTTCTTTGTATCCGTTTCGTAAATGTCTGTAAAGTCCTCCGCGACAATCAAAACAATCTCCACTGAAAAATGTATTTAGGGACCTACCTATATTTTATACCTCTATATAATATTTATTTGGCACGCTGTGTAACCTTAACGGCTTAATGGATTTTGGCGTTTGAGGTGTCGTATCCGTCTTAAAAAATTAAAACGCTGGATTTTGGGCGCCAAATATGTTTTCAAAAATGTATTACTTTCAAAATAAAGGGTTTTATAAATGTCTTACAAAATACTTTAAATCAATTTATGTGCAACTTGTTTATTCAAATGTAATTTGGAACGAGATATGCTAAAAAAGATAAAAAATGTAATAAGTAGCCATACGCAGTCGGATATTTTTTTTCATTAATTAACTTTTTTATTATTTTTATTTATTAGTCCGTGTGGTGACGGGTTAAGAATACAGAGTGTCACCACCCCTATTCGTCCCGTGGGTGTCGTAAGAGGCGACTAAGGGAGCAGAATACGCAGGACAACAGCACTGCAGAGAGAAGGAAAACTTGACACAAGCCCTATAATAACCCGTCTAGCCAGCGTGGTGTATTAGGCCAAAACCTCCTTTCTAAGGAGAGGCCATGTCCAGCAGTGGACTAGAAAGGCTGCTAATGATGATGATGAACTTTTTTATATTCTCTTTCTTCTTTTCCTTTCCTTTCCATTTTTTTTTATTTTATTTTAAACTTGTTCGGGCTATTATCAACTTATTAAAGAAATGAACAGTCAATTCTATTCAACCGTTCTCAAGTGACGTGCAAACTTACCAATTTACTAATGGGTACGACATATTATGTCTAACCATGATTATGTATATTTACGTCACGAGTTAACTAGTAGTAGTTACTGATGTTATGATATCAAAGTATATTAATATAAAGAAACTAAAAGATTTGTTTGTTTTGTTTGGCTTGAAAAATCTTTTGAGCATTTTAGACAGATTATAAGGATTATTTGACGCAGCGAATCTCAGGTAAGGAAAAGAAACCTAAATGATCTGGATCTTCAGGTAGCCGCCAGTTTAAATATAATTACAGAAATACTTTGTAACAGCTCATTGCTTCAAGCGCCGTAAACATATTCAACAAATGTACAAGAACATTCTTCACGCCCGGACTTCACGCAACGGCAGTGTTTTGTATCGATACCGGGTAGGTCACGCAACCTTCAAGGACTCATTTGAAAACAAAATGATTTTCTCGTGCTTTGCCGTAGTTTCCTTAACATTTAACGTTGGGTTAACCCACTGCCCTTAATTTAATATAAGAGCCAGCAGTGTTGTAGAAAAATGTAAGCTTACAATTTCATTTAATGTTAGCACAATCTAGACTTTAATATGAATTTAAATAACTATATGCTTCTTAATTAGAAACCTAATGTCCCTACCTTTTTTAATAAACGCATTGGACGATTCGAATATACATATATATAGAGCGCACCAGCTAAAACCAACGATTTTTAATACGCCCATGCTCACAGGCTCAAACCACTATTTAAGAGAGTACGTCTCAAAATATCTGTCATGTCTCAAAATATAATCAATTTTTGTCTCTTGTCAATTAAATTTTTGTCAATTAAATAGAATGTGATTGAACATCATAATAAATTTCATATTTTATACTGGATGCCTGGACGATATGTGTTTACGGGCACTATTTGCATCATTTGTAATTGAAATACAATTACGTATTAGGTATTTTTCCTGAGCATTGCTAAGATACTTTGTAATTGGTTGTGACTCAAAATACATTTGTCGATTTAATATAACCTAAGCAGAAAGAGTAGCAATTCTAGTAAAAAGGATTAGCTTTTTTTTTGTATTTGTGACCAAAAACAAGTGTCAACCCTAAACATTAAAACTGGTAATATTTTGTAAGAGAGTAGTTCAAAGTATGTGATCATCATTGATTTTTTTAATGAATTCTAGGGTAAGCCACGATCGTGGCGGTGAGTCTCGCGAAGAAAAATTGGCTGAATAGGCAACACGGCAACCTCGCATAACAGACAATACAGGTTGTTAATGGCCATTGCCACTACAGAAAATACTCGTGACTCATAGTCCGGGAACAGACATTTATGTGACAGAACTAAATTCTAATTCTACATCCTGGTGGAGGTTACTGCTCGGCAGCAGCATTGTTTCGTCTATGCGGCGTAGTTAACAGAATGGAGCAGTTCACCCCGAGCAACGATTTTCATTTAATTGTATATATGTAAGTCACAAGTTCGTCCCTAATACTTAAAAGTATTGCTATCATTTAGGGTCGG